GGTCGGGGTGGTCGCGATCACAAAATAAGGGGCAAGGGCGGCGAGGCTCACCCACTAGGCCGGATGGCACCGATTTAAGTATTATCTAGATATTTGCTTGAGATCGGTGGATTAGTAGTTGGGTGGGTGACCACCAGCGAATACCCACTGTTGTATGTTTTTTGCCATTTTTTTTTGTTCATTTTTGCTCCTTTGAGGCGCAGACTTGGGGCTATATTATCAATTAACAATGAACAGTTAGTTGCGACCCTCAACCCCCCAAAACGCTAACTACACTGCAACAGGCAACCTCCCCCCACCCATCCCATCCCATCCCATCCCACCTACTCAAACCTAAACGACGGATACTTCCCCCCCGTCTCCTCCTCCAACTTAGCGATATAATTCCCCAACCCCGCCAAAAAGAACGCACTATACTTCGTCTTCCCCTCCACATTATCATTCTGCACCCAGCTCTTCACCTTACTAAAGATCGTCACCGCCGAGATCGCCTGCACCGTCTCGTCCCACTTCCCCTGCGCCTCCTTGTCCGCCTCTACCGTCTTCGTGCCCCGCGCTTGGGACTCGAGGATCAGTTTAGTGATGAAATCGCCCTGGACTTCGATGGAGGGGGGGATGTTGGAGAAAGGGCCGCCGGGGCCGCTGACGAGGAAGAGGTTGGGGAATTGGGTGACGCTGACGCCGTAGAGGGATGTTGCGCCGTTTTTCCACACGTCGTTCAGCTTAACCCCCTCGCGCCCCGTAATATCAACGTTGCGGTATGAGCCATCCACGCTATCAAACCCAGTAGCGAAGATAATAACATCAAACTCGAGCTGTTTCCCATCTTGCAACTCTATCCCCGTCTCCGTGAGCTTCGAAACGGGATTGCTGGCGATATCAACCAGCGAGACGTTTGGCTCAGCGAAGGCCTCATAATACCCCTCCGCACAAAGCGGGCGTCCTCCGTAATGACCCGTCGGCTGAAGAAGTTTCGCCGTCTCGGGATCCTTAACAATCTCCGCGATCTTGCTGCGTACAAACGCCGCCGCCGTCTCGTTCGCTTCGATGCTCGTCCCTAGGTCGCCGAAGGTCTCGAAGAAAAACCGGAATCCACCTCCCTTATTCCAGACGCGCTCGTAGACTTCGCGACGCTCTTCTTCCGAGGCTTCGAGGGCGGATTTCTTGGACTCGACGAACCCCATTGCGAAGAGGGATTGGAAGACCGTGTCCCAGATGGTATCGTAGTTTTTATAAATCTCCGCGCGCTCAATCTCATCCACAGGGCGATTGTTGACAGGTGTGATGTACTGCGCGCGCTGCTGGAAGACGGTGAGTTGTTTGACGATCTTGTTGATAGCGCCTGTGATCTGGCTTCCTGATGGCCCGGTCCCGATCACAGCCACGCGCTTGCCGGTGACGTCTAGTCCCTTGGGCCATCTTGCTGAGTGGAAGGCTTGGCCTTTGAATGTGTCTATGCCTGGGTATGTAGGGATATTAGGATTATTCAAAATCCCCACCGCCGTAACGAAGTACGTAGCAGAGAACTTATGCCCCCTATCCGTCGAAATCTCCCACCTCTTCGACCCCTCATCATAATGCGCAGACCTAACCTCCGTCCCGAATATAAAATCCTCAAACGTCCCATTCTTCCTCGCCGACTCGACGATCTGCTCCCTCAGCGCTTCACCCTTCAGGTATCTTGTATTCCACTTCGGCGGCTCGCGCTCGTCCGAGAAGCGGTACACCCAGCTCTCGGTGTCGGTTTGCGCGCCGGGGTATTGGTTCCAGTACCATGTTCCGCCGAGGGATTCGCCTTTTTCGATGCCGACGACGGAATGGAGCTTGACTTTGTTCTTGAGGAGGTTGAGGAGGCGGGTGCCGCCGAAGCCGCCGCCGACTACGACGGCGTCGACTTCTTTGACTTCGTTGGACATGGTGGGGTCGAGGAGGGGTTTCGAAGAGGGGTTATGACGTTTTTGGAGGGGCAGTTGGAGGGGTAGGTGGATTTCGATGATGCTGGGGATTTGGATAATGTGAGACAGGTACCGGAAGGCAATAATAGGGGGACATATATACCTACCTTTAAACCTCTTAAGCTCTCATAAAAAGCCAAGCTGGGGCGTCAAATCACATCATCCTCTCGGGATTTGCAAACATGTGCCTTTTCTACGCTACTAGTCGTCGAATATGGCAACATGAAGCATTAAGATCCCACGATGTGCCTGGATGTGCAACATGATCTGTAGACCATACTGGTAGTGGACAATGGCGACATTAGATGCAGGCACACTATTCATCAAAAGCTGCAGTATGAGACGCAGACTACGCGTCGAGTATGGCAGTATGGGGTTTAACCGCATCGACTAGTCGAGGATTGCGGCATGATGCTGTAAATCACATCATGTGTTCGGGATTTACAGCAGATGCGTTAAGCACACTGACTCGTCGGATATGGCGACATGAGCTTCACCCCATTAACAATGCCGTCTTGGCTGGGACGTCATTGAGGCCCGACATAACAGTTAGTCACGAGATTGAAGGGATGTATGTATGTGCCAACCTCCTACAAAATATGTGGCATAGTGGAAAATCCGTAAGGCTTGCCATTGGAAAATCATCGAGAAGTGCTGTATCAGTTGCTGTCGAGGTCGTCAACATGGCAGCGGCCGCAACCGCGCGCGGGAAGAATTACAGCCACTGATTGGCCCATGACACTTCACCTTACTCAGTCGACGCGTTCCAGGTTGGCCAGGACCTGGCAGAGTACAACCACGGATCTGGCCATCCTACTTCTCCAAATCCGCGGAATTGGGCAAACTTTTATTATGGCCAAGTTTATTGAGATCCGATGTCGCTTCCTCGATGTCTGTGCGAGTTCCACACGTGTCAATTGATGCTCCGGTCCCGTGCGCTCACCACGATGTCCCGGAGATGCATCTCATCTCGAGTGACCATGCACCCGAATGCAGTAGCCCATTTGTTGCCCGCTGATACCCTTCTCGAGGAGGAGAAAAACCCGGATTATGACCCGAAACGCTTCTACCCAGCCCAGATTGGCGAGACCGTCAACGGCAAGTATCAAATCATTTCAAAACTCGGATTTGGGACAGGTTCAACGGTCTGGCTGGCCGAAGAGATGAACAGGTCTGTACCTCGTAGTCTTGGGTGGGCATCATGATACCAATTGCATATAGATGGCCTTGGCAGTCGAGTAAATATATGGCGTTGAAAATCACCAATTGTTTTGAGGGGGACTGGAAGTCGGCTAATGAGGAGCTGCAGATGCCTCGTCATATTTCTCAGATACAGTTAGAAGATGAAGGGGGTAAGTATGTTAGAGTGGCTGAGGACTCTTTCGTCGTTATGGGGCCATTTGGTGAGCACCTATGTTTGGTTTTTGAGCCGTTAAGGGAACCTTTGTGGATGCTAGGACGACATCTCGGGACTGTCGGGCTGTCGGCACCTATTCTCAAAGCTTTCTTGAAGCTCATTTTAAAGGGGCTTGATTTCCTTCACTCTGAGTGCCATATCATACATACCGGCAAGTTTATTGCCTTCTCGGTTTGTACTGTAGATTGGGGGAATGAATTGCTGATAGTACCACGTAGACCTAAAAGCGGATAACTTCTTGATTGGCTTTGAGGACAGCTTGGTCATTGTTGAGTATGTCAAGGCACAGATACAAAACCCTGGCCCGTACAAAGAGGGTGATGGACGGCGCGTATATCAATCTCAGCCCGACTTTGGGCGCTTCACCAAAGGCACGGGGGTGCTGAAGATAAGTGACTTCGGTGCTGCTGTGTTCGGCGACACGACGAGGTTGCATTATCATGATATCCAGCCTGAACAGTTCGCGGCACCCGAGGTCCTGCTCGGCGCAGGCTGGACGAATAGTGCTGATATTTGGAACCTTGGTATGGTGGTAAGTGAAGATGCCGGGGAGTAAATACGATAATTGAGTCGTCTAGTTGGCTAACGTATGGGTTATCAACAGCTCTGGGAACTCCTCGAGGACATCTCGCTCCTCGACGGGGTTGGTCCTGAAAACCAATACGACCGCCATGTGCATTTTGCGCAGATGATTCGGATTTTGGGACCGCCGCCTGTGGAACTGCTGGGGCGGGCAAATAAGGAGGTTTATGCCAGTTTGAGTTCAGAGCAAGGTATATATGTTTCTTATCCCCCGGCCGGATATATTCCTTTATCACCCATCGTGCCTTCCGTTTCACACTCCTTTCGTTTTCATCGCGCCTTCCTTCAGCAGATTCCCTCCCTTCCCGCGCGCCTTCTATATTCAGAGTCGATTTACTCCCATCGTACCTTCTATTGGCAGAGTCATTTCCTCATCATCGCTCTTTCCTTCTCTATCGTGCCTTCCCTCCGCAGACTCCCTCGGTTCCCGTCGCGCCTTCCCTTTACAGACTCAATTCAATCCCCATCGTGCCTTCCATCTCTAGGTTTCGTTGCCTCCCGTCGCGCCCTTCCTTTCTCATCAGTCATCCCTTCCGCATCGCGCTTTCCTTGTCTATATGCCCCCCCATCGTCCCTTCCTTTTAAAGGTTCCATGCTTATAATAGCACTCTTAGGCGAATTTAGGCATCCGCATCTGATGTCACCTGAGGACTTTACGTCCGAGAGCAAGACGCCGTCGCTCCAGGGAGAGGATAAGCGGCTTTTTATAGAGTTTGCACGGAGAATGCTGAAATGGCTGCCGGAGGAGAGGGCGACGGCGAGGGAGTTGTATGAGGATCCGTGGCTGAGCTCTCCCTGACAGTTGGGAAAGGCTTCTGCTTGAAAGCGTTTGATAATCTTGTAATTTATGTAGACTTAGACGGCTATACTTTTGAGATTTGATTAATTGGCACAAAAGATTACCTTCACATCGGATTATATGTAAACGTGAGGAGAGACTTTCAGATTATGCCTACAAACTACCTATACTAAACCACCCCTTACCACCACCAACTCCCTACTCATCCACCGGCAACCCATTCGCCACCGCAAACGGATCCCACCTCGAATCCTCATGCCTCTCATACTCCATCACCCCCGCCACCTCCCCCGCCTTCTCCCTCCCATACACCTCCTCCACCCACGCCAACACAACATCAATCCCCGCACTCACCCCCGCACTAGTCCAACACTTCCCATCCACCACCCACCTCGCATGCGCCACCCACTTCACCCCCGGCGCCATCTCCCTCGTATCCAACCACGCGCGCTTATTCGTCGTCGCGCGCAGCCCATCCAAGACACCCGCTCTTGCGGCTAGTCGCGAGCCCGTGCAGACCGTGATCATGTATTTGAGCTCCGGGAAGCGGGAGCGGATGAAATCAATCGCTTCCTCGAGACCAGGGGGTGAGCCACGCGTGCCGTAGCCGCCGGGGATTAGGAGGACGTCGAGGGGGGGAGCGGAGGAGAAGGTGTGTGTGGGCACGATGGTTTGGCCGATGGCGGTTGGTTGGGAGGCGGGGTGGGTGGAGATGGGAGAGAGGGAGGCGCCAATGATGGAGAGGGTTAGGGGGGTGGTGTAGGAGAGGACGTTGAGGGCGTCGAGGGGGCCGAAGACGTCGAGGGCTTGGAAGCCGGGGAAGAGGAGGCAGCCTATGCTGAGGGGGGTGGGGGAGGCTGCGGGGTTGTTAGAGTGGGTGGCTGGAAGGTGCGCCGGGGAGTTGGCCACCGGTATAAGATTATATGGGAGACTCACTCATGTTGGTAGTTCTGATGGAGTTTGGGATTGTTGGTTATAGATTGAGAGTCATAGAGGTTTAGTGGATGAGCTGTTAGGTGGAGATCTCGGTGTTAGGCGCTGGCGTGCTCCAATAACCCCGCACTCCAAGCCGCTCCACACCAAGGGCAGGTAAGCTTTAGCTAAGCCCTGCCTGAACGCCAAAACTGCAGGGGTAATTCTTTCAGACTCTCGGGGATTGGGGTTTGGTGGAATGGGAATGGTTTTTCAGGATGTTACGCTATTGAGACCAGCTTTTGTATTGCTTCATTTCCGCCAAAGGCGCATTGTTGGGAACTGGAGTTTATGGGCCTCTATGAAGAATAAAAGTGAAATTATATTATATTTGAAGACGTTTTTTCTTAAAAAAAAAAAAAAAAAAAAATAAGAAAACTACAAAAATAATTAACGTAACCTCAACCATGGTTTTCATCCTACAACGCTCTCATCCTTCAATGCATAGTCCACGAGTCTTGGTGGCTTGGATGTGCCACGATTTGCTAAACACGGACGCTCAGGCACCGTGTTGGGAGGCTGAGCATCCCTGCCCTATTCCCAAGGAGGATGAGCTAATCCTAGGCAGCAGCTTTGGTGTTTCGATCCTTCGGGGAGGTAAGGACTGGTACCCAAATTCTAATTCGCGATATATCAAATGCGTCGTTTGTGGTTTCTATGACAGATATTTGACGCTGTTAATTATATGCTCTTAGAAAAGAGTATGCTGGAACTTCGTTAGAATGCTGAAAATGGGTGGTGATAGGGTCGTCGTGCCAGGTATATAGATCCTTTTCCCTTTCTATTTGCAGTAACCGACGTGTACTAAAAGCCGCCACATTCCTTCCATCCCCACACCTAGAAAAGACCCGCTCTTGTAGACCCTAGTTTTCCTATCAAAGCGTGCGGGGGACCGATCCTAAGCTTGCTGCCAATATATCTTCTCTGTCAATTATCCACCATATCCCGATGAGCACTTGTATTGCCTACTTGTATCACCAACAGTTATATATTAGCACTATTAATGTAGGGACTAATTACCCCCTGATGTTGTATTTGGTGATATATACAGGGGTTTACTGAGGGCGTGCGACCCCATTCGCACATGGATTGCTATCCTTGCGATTTGCGGAACGCTTACTCGTATCCTTTCAAATAATAGTTGGGAACTCCCCCTACACCGCGGAGTTGATTCTTGCCAGGGCTGAGTTTGCGGATTGGCTTCCGCCTCGTATATGTACGACATCAAGCTTCCCCCCTCGTTTTCTTTGTTTATCCCCTTGTTCTTCGCGATCGTCTCTACTATCTTATGTTGTATGTGATATTTTGATACTGGCCTTGCTCGAAGTTCATGGACTGAGTCGTTAGACTTGAGGGATGAAGTTGGACGCGCCGGCTGCGATAAGGCGGCGCCATGGCCTATACCGATTCTACTCGAGGCATCGCCATCGGCTGGTGGTAGTTCTAGGGACGCTTGCGTTATTTGGACTTCTTTCAAGACTACGCGGCACAGGGCGATCGAAGGACTGCAGAGGGGGGATCCCTTTACCTCACGTATTGGCAAAGCAGCAAAAGAACGGTGCCACTCCGAACATAAAGACCACGGCAACTGGATGGAGACCCGGGCCACGATGTGAAAATTATCCACGGGATGCGAGTTTGGTAATTGTGGTGAAGACAGGGGCAACAGAGGTATACTCGAAGTTGCCGACGCTTCTACTTACATACCTCTCTTGCGTGCCACCAGAGAATCTTCTTTTCTTCAGCGATATGGCTGGAACGGTCGGCAACTTCGCCATACACGACTCTCTCGACACAGCGAAGTGGGCCAGGACGCACAAAAACCCCGACTTCGACCTATACCATAAACAGCAGGAGATTAAGGGTCTGGGACAGGACATGGGGTCTATACGGAACGAGGGGAAGGCTGAGTCCGCATGGCGGCTGGACAAATACAAGAATTTATACACAGCGCAGAAGGCGTGGGACATGGCTCCAGGACGTGACTGGTATATGTATATCGACGCGGATACATATATCAGCTGGACCAACTTATTCCATTGGCTTGCGACCTATGATGCTTCTCAGCCGCTTTATTTAGGCAGCCAGATTGACGTCGGAGACCCGCCGTTTGCGCACGGCGGCAGTGGATACATGATTAGCAAACCTGCGATGGAGCTACTAGTAGGGAGCGATCGCGAGAAGCTGGCGAAGCAATATGATAAGAACGCCACAACGGCGTGCTGTGGCGACCAAGAGATCGCCAAGGTACTGTTTAAGAAAGGTCTACGGCTGAAGAATGTGCGGCCGGTAATTAACGGAGAGAAGCTGAAAAGATTTAACTTTGGGCCTGACTTGTGGTGCACGCCGGTTGTGACGATGCACCATATAGGAAGCGAAGAAGTTCAAGAGATGTGGGACTTTGAAAGCCACAGAAACTCTACAAAGGTAGGTCACTACATCTTATTTACAGGGGTGCATATACTAACAGTTACAGGAGCCATTGTTAGCAGAGGAGCTCTACTACACGATGATTTCGTCCTTAATGGGCATCCCACGCAGAGATGACTGGGATAATCTGTCCCCTAACGAGCAGATCCGCCCCGAGCCTCTCTTCAAACCCGCCTTCGTCGGCAACTTCTTCGTCAACGATTCGACAAAGTCGTATAACACCTGCCACAGAGCCTGCGAGGAGGACCAAACCTGCCTCCAGTTCCTCTACTATAAAGACACGTGCAAGCTGGACACGGCGTTCAAGCTGGGCTCACCGGCCTATCCCTGGAAGGAGGAAGGCGAGGAGATCAGAGTCCAGTCTGGGTGGATGGTGGACCGCATCAAGGACTTTGTCACGCAGAACTCGCCATGCAAGGGCCCTAACTGGGATCCCGACTCTTAGCGGGATGCTGTTTTCTTGGAGTTTTACTGTGCATGTCGGGGGTTGGCATTTTCATTGCCATTTAAAAGCGGAGTCGGAGGAGGCTGGCTTAATATTTATATCATATTAAGTTACTTAGGTGGTAATCTAGTGGGTGGCATGAAGTGGCGCCGAAAGCTGCTGGATTTAGCAGGTCAAACACCATCACTTAGACTAAATGTATAAATATGAGAAAATATCGATAATTTAATAAACTATCTATGTAATAAATCTATAAAGCATCCACCCACTCCAAAGCAGTATCTGGCTCAAGCCTCTTCGAAATATCAGCGTCAACATAGATATTCCTTACAATGCCCTTTGCATCCACGAGAATAGTAGCCGGAAACGGGATCTCGTAACTCTCATCACCATAACCCTTCTTATAATCCACCCCTATGCGCTTATGGAGCGTCTGGATGCCCTCTGGCTGCTTATGGACAAGACCAAGCTGCCTCGCAAATGCACTGCCTACGTCGGATAGGACAGAAAACTCAAGATTGTGCTTCTCCACCATAGTGAGTGTCGTGTCGGGAAGTTGGGCCGTAATAGCAATCAGCGTCACGTTTTTGGCCTTGAATTCTGGGAGACGCTTCTGGAGTGCGCGCAGTTCGATGTTGCAGTAGGGACACCAGTCGCCGCGGTAAAATGATATCAGAACTGGACCTGCTTCCAGGAGCGACGCGCTTGTGACGGACTTCCCAGTTGCATCTGACAGCGTGAATGCAGGGAGTTGTTCTCCTACTTGGATGATCTTGCGGTTGGCAAAGTCGGATTGCAGCTCTTTGGTTGACTGGAGGATAGCTTGGGAGACCTCTTTAGGAGCACCGCCATTGTGGAAGTTATTGTACACAGCAGATAATTCTTGGTTGAGGGCCATGTTGGTGGCTGTTGTTTTTGCAGAGTGATAAAGCTGTATTGTGCAATGTTCTGTCTTTGAGATCGATGCTGTTACTTGGTGGCAGCGACGCCATTAATATACAATTTATTTCATCCATGCTTGCCAATTGCGACTTCATGATGCTATACTGCTGCGATATGAACAATCTGAGCTTAACTCCGGGTCTAGAGCACGGTGTTTGGATTTGTGATTACGGAAGCTATGGTCTGTAAAGAGTTAGCTTGATGATGGGTAGCAATCGCCGGCGATGACCCTGAACTTTCGACGCTGGACCATCCTTGCCAGCAGAGTAATTCCAAATCAATAACTCTTCTGAATCGCGGCCCTGCCTTGAATTTGTTAGCCCCTCCGGTACCATGTGAACACGGACGCTTATAATGGATTAAGCTTCTTACAAATCAGCAAAATAATCCCGCCACTAAATTGACCAACGTCATATTACCTGCATGTAAGCCAGTTCACTCAAATCCCGAATATGCAAGCTATTTCTCCATCCCTCAATTAATGCGAGATGATGGTTATTTGGTTGATTTAGTGAGACTTAAGAAGGGGTGAACCAATGAGCTATAATTGCCGTCCAAGAAGATAAATGAATTCGTGAGAGCGTGGAAGGCAATATTTTGGAAGTTAATTCTTGAGAAGCTGGAGAAGAAAACCGAGAATGAAAGTAATATAGTAGTTAGTCACGCCTTTTATCTTGAATTGTTTATCACTCTGCCCAATTCTTCACTTTCATGTCATTCCGTCTTGTCGCCTCCAACCACCATTCTATCTTTATTATCCATTCAATCTGTTGACTTTCTAGCTTTCCATCTCCACATTCTTACCACCTTTCTCCCACCCTTCCAATCAATCTCTTGGTCTTCCTCTCCAACGAACCCGGGGATGCCATCTATAACACCCTTACTCCTTCCATTGGTCGATTCAACACGCACAAATACTTCCTCCACCCCTGCTTCCTCGGTCGCCCATATCATCAACGCAAAAACAACATTTTTCATAATACCCCTGCCCCAGAACTCCGGACTGAGCGAGTAACCCAGCTCGTACATCATTCCCCCGTCAGCGCCAGTTTTTCTGGTGAGGGAAACGCTGCCAATGAAGAGGCCGGCATCGCTAGGGTAATGGATGCGTATCGCCCACGTAAGAAGGCCGGACGAAGAAGAGTCGCCGCCATTAAGAGAAATCCAGGAGTTTGCCTCGGCGATACCGTAAGGCATGGGGACATTGAGGAGGGCCGCAGCAACGCGGGGGTTGCTCATTATCTGTTGCATTGAAGAGGCGTCATTGGGGTACAGCGGTGTAAGGAACAAAGGCGTCTCGGGAGAAGTGGGAGTTGCAGGAAGTGCTGGAAGGCTAACTGAAGTGCCCTCATTTGGAGTGGCCGGTTGGAAGCTGTACCATGGCGGACGTGGCCAGGGGGTTGCTCCGGTCAGGGGTTGGGTTTGGGCTGGCGTAGGCTGATTCGATTCTAGTTCTGAAGCGCCTGTAGGCACGTTGGAGGGAGTTGACGTTGTCATTGAGAGGGAAATACTGAAAGATGATCTGAAGCGTCGAGCTTGGGTTTTGACAGCTGTATTAGTAGAGATAGAGATGCTGACATGCAGATGTTGTGAGTCAACCGGAGAGGGGAGGGGTTAGCTTCAACAGGAAGGTGGCTACGAGCAAATAATGAGGCATAGAATATTGAGTAGAACGGAATATATTGTACACAAATAATACTATATGATTCTCTGTAGAACACCACTGTAAATTAACCTCAGATATCGTAAATTCTGGAAGCACGGATTGGCTTTGTCTTGGCCGACTCTAATATTCTGAATTCACGTCTTTCGGATAAACGTTCCACCCAATTCCACTATCCGGAATAATGTAGCGCCTATTCCGTTCCATTCCTCAGGTACGCCTTTCTATTGGCTACACTATATCTGCATCAACCCAAATAGGGACTTAGCTCCCCAGGGCTGCACGTGATCCAAGTGTCTTTTGGTGACAGCAACCCCCCAGATTTTGATTTTCCAAGAGTCGCGAGCCAAAGCTACCGCGTAGGAGACGAGCCTCGACATTCAAACAACCCCTCCACCACCACCTTTGCGCAGCGCAACATTGGAGGAAATACCTATTTCGAAGTTGACAATCCGAGCCGACTACAAAACAATCATATTTATTTCTCGACAACGATAAACAGCGCATGAGGTCGCATACTTGAGACGGCTGCGCCTGTCCAGATGCCGTAGCTATGTCGACCAATCTTATTGACATCGTGGTGCAGAGGCTCAGCAATCCAGATCTCGGTATGCCATCCTCTGGTAGCTGTATTTAATTGCAGCTGGCTTCCATGCCACTGAATTTAATTGTTCTAATTGATATCTCTAGATGTTAAACTCCGGGTGGATGCTGCGACGCAGCTGCGCGACAGCCTCGAACATTATACCACACCACAAGCTTATCCCACATTCCTGAAAAAGCTGGTCCCCATATTCATTCAGTTGCTGAAGGGCCAGCCTGTCTTCATAAGTACAAATCCAGAGCAGGTATGAGAATGGCCAAACCACACATGTCGCACGGATAGCAGTCAGCTCTAACGGAAATAGAAACTGCGAAATTGTGTCCTGGAAACTCTACACCGGCTACCCACGAGTCCGCCTGAACCGTTCGAACCATATACTGTAGATGTGGTGAATGTCCTCATAGGACTGGTCAGGGTCGAAAATGAAGACAATGCCATTCTTTGCGTCAAGACGATAATGGACATTATGCGCCATCAGACAAAAGTCCTCCAACAACCGGGGAACAACCAGGTCCAAGACTTCCTCAGCCTGATACAAGAGATGTTCGATGACATGCCCGCCGTAGTCCACGAGCAATTGGACAACCCGAGCCCATCGGCGACGAATGCTGTTGTACCGTCAACTCCTGGAAGCTCCCAGAATTTCCAATCTCCAAGGCCAGGCTCTCCGGTGGCATCCGTTTCAGACCTTGGTGCCGATCCGCAACAGCAAACACGCCCCTTGTCAAAAGGCATGCAGTCGTTCAAAGTTCTGGCGGAGTGTCCGATTATTGTTGTTTCTATATTCCAAGTCTACCGCCAAACTGTTCCTGCGAATGTGAAGAAATTTGTACCACTGATAAAGGTTGTGCTCATGCTGCAAGCCAAACCTCAAGAAGAAGCACATGCGGAGGCCAAAGCCAAAGGCCAAATTTTCACCGGAGTTAGCCCTAATATTCGGAACAGGGCCGCCTTTGGAGAGTTTATCACAGCCCAAGTTAAGACTATGAGCTTTCTCGCATACCTTCTGCGAGTCTATTCCCAACAATTGCAAGAATTCCTCCAGACACTGCCTGGAATAGTTGTTAGATTACTGCAAGATTGCCCACGAGAGAAGTCTGCAGCAAGGAAGGAGTTGCTGGTTGCTATAAGACACATCATCAACTTCAACTTCAGGAAGATATTTTTAACGAAAATCGATGAGCTTCTAGATGAGAGGACTCTCATTGGAGACGGCCTTACTGTCTATGATACCATGCGGCCCCTCGCATACAGCATGCTTGCGGACCTAATTCACCACGTTCGCGACCAGCTAGACTCGAATCAAATCCGCAAGACAGTGGAGGTGTACACGAAGAATTTGATGGATAGCTTTCCAGGGACCAGCTTTCAGACTATGAGTGCTAAGTTGCTGTTGAACATGGCCGAATGCATTGCCCGAATGGAGAACAAGGCGGATGCGCGGCACTACCTAATCATGATTCTGAACGCCATTGGCGACAAATTCGAAGCGATGAATCGTCAATATCCGAATGCCATCAAGCTGTCAAAAACTTATGCACAGCAGAAAGATGAAGCTGCGCCAGACAACTACCTTGCGGACTTGGAGCATCCGCCGGATTGGGACGAAATCGACATATTCACTGCTACACCTATCAAGACGTCAAATCCGCGCGACCGCGGAGCAGACCCTGTTGTAGACAACAAATTTCTGTTCAAGAATCTTATGAATGGCCTCAAGAACATGTTTTACCAGCTGAAAGCCTGTAATATTGGGTCTCCCGTTGACCCAGCTAACGCAACGCCACATTGGCAAGAAGTCTCGTATGGCTTTTCAGCGGAAGAGGTTCAAGTCATCATCAAGCTCTTCCGAGAGGGCGCGTATGTGTTCAGATATTACGAGATTGAGAAGCCGGCAGCGGAATCACAATACTCATCACCAGTTGAGTTTATGGCCAACCATTATATGACGTCTAGCAGCAAGGAAGAGAAGGACCTTCTCGAGACGTTTGCCACAGTCTTCCATTGCATTGACCCTGCTACGTTCCATGAGGTCTTCCACCAAGAGATACCTAACCTCTACAACATGATTTTTGAGCATACCGCTCTCTTACATGTCCCGCAATACTTCCTCGCCAGCGAGGCCACCTCACCAAGCTTTGCAGGAATGTTACTTCGATTCCTAATGGATAGAATCGACCAAGTCGGAACTGCGGACATCAAGAAATCTTCGATCTTGCTCCGACTGTTCAAGCTTGCATTCATGGCTGTGACGTTGTTCTCAAGCCAAAACGAGCAGGTCCTACTACCTCACGTGCTCGATATCGTCACCAAATCTATTGAGCTCTCCACTACCGCCGAGGAGCCGATGAATTACTTCCTTCTTCTAAGGTCTCTGTTCCGCAGTATCGGCGGAGGGAAGTTTGAGCATCTATATAAGCAGATTCTGCCACTTCTTGAGATGCTTCTGGAAGTACTCAATAATTTGCTTATGGCAGCTCGGAAGCCAGCAGACCGAGATTTGTATGTTGAATTATGTTTGACAGTACCCGCGCGGTTAAGTAACCTGTTACCGCACTTGAGCTACTTGATGCGGCCTCTCGTGGTTGCATTGCGGGCGGGCTCAGACCTTGTGGGGCAGGGCCTACGGACACTCGAGCTTTGCGTTGACAATTTGACGGCGGACTATCTAGATCCTATTATGGCACCCGTGATCGAGGAAGTTATGACCGCACTCTTCGACCATCTGCGTCCTAATCCATACAGCCACTTCCATGCGCATACTACCATGCGCATTCTCGGAAAACTCGGCGGCCGGAATCGGAAATTCATGACTGGTGCACCAGCACTTACCTTTCAGCAATACTCTGACGATAGAGCTAGTTTCGACCTGAAGCTTAACGGATCCAAGAAAGATAGGGCTTTCCCTGTGGAGATTGGCATAGACTTGGCCATTCGAAAGCTCATGGAAATTCCAAAAGGAGCAGCTGCCAAAAAATCCGATGTATATTACAAAAAGCAAGCGCTCCACTTTGTCAAGGCACAGACTAAGCTTAGAATCGGATACGACAACCTCCCAGAAGATTTCGGGCGCCTCCTGCGTTTGCAAGCTCAGGACCTTCTTGCGAGAGACAGCAATGCCGATTTTTCCGCCCTGGAGGTCAACGACCGGCAGAGGTCTGTTATGAAGAAAGACTTGGAGCAAGAGGTGCTAAAGAGGCTTATCAAGGCTCTCATGTTTTCCGTATCAATCCAGGATCTGAAGGATGAGGCATTAGCAACACTACTTGGTGTTTGCAGACATCTAACTATTTTGGAAGTCGGAAATGCATTGGCAGAGTTTAAGCTCAAACGCCAGCCATTCGACATCAAAGCTGGCGAAGGGCCTGTTGTTATAGACAGCAGAGTACTTGCTGATGCCATTACCGAATCGCTATCATCAGACAATATCCTTGTGCGCGAGGCAGCTGAGCGAGCACTGAGAGAGGTTTTCGACTCAACTGCGATCATCTTTGGTTCTTCCGCCCAAGTCGGTCGATTGTCATTTTTTACACACCTCAGCAACGTGTTTTGTCATAGTTGCTACGAAGAGGAATGGTTTACCAAGGCTGGCGGTAGCCTCGGTATTAACCTCTTGGTAACAAAGTTTGATATTGGCGATAGCTGGATTAGCGACAGGCAATTTGACTATGTCAAGTCATTGTTATATGTCATCAAAGATATGCCGCAAGATCTGCCCGCGAAGACGCGGATCGGGGCACAAGAGACCCTCGAAATACTGTTGAAGAGAGTGACCAAAAACTCTACGAAGAAGGATATTTTGCCACCGGCCCCTCTTCCACCAGGAGTGCCTCGTCCCCAGTTTACATCTCGACTACCACATCTGTGCCAACTCTTCGGCTCCGGACTGTCGCATCTCAACCGACATGTTCGCGAAACGTCACAGAAAGCTTTGACAACTATATCAGAAACGATAGGTGCGGAAGTCTGGGAGCTATTAGAACCTCAAAGGGACGGTATCTTGAACCCAATCTACAGCAAGCCATTGCGAGCTTTGCCCTTCGCCATACAGATTGGATACATCGATGCGGTGACATACTGTATGGGCCTGAAGCCCGACTTTGTCCAATTCGATGATGTTCTGAATCGTCTTTTGATGGAGTCTCTGGCCCTTGCTGATGCTGCCGACGAGTCACTCGCGGGAAAGCCGGCGGAGCAGCGAACCCATGAACATATTATCAGTCTTAGGGTCGCCTGTATTAAGATGCTCACCACTGCAATGGGCTTTGAAGAGTTTCAAAAGGGGCCGAACAACGCCACAAGAACGAAGATTGTGTCGGTGTTCTTCAAATGTCTGTATTCCGAATCAAGCCAGACTATCGAGGCTGCGAACGATGCCTTGAAAGTTGTCCTTTCTCAGACCACCAAACTGCCGAAAGATCTTCTCCAGAATGGCCTGCGACCTGTCCTTGCAAATCTCCAAGATCCTAGAAGGCTAAGCACTCATGGGTTAGATGGTCTGGCAAGGCTGCTCCAACTCCTCACAACGTACTTCAAGGTTGAGATTGGATCAAGGCTTTTAGACCACATCAAAGTTCTTGCAGAGCCTAATGCACTTCAACGAATCTCTTTTACTTTGGTTGAACAGAACGACCAGATGAAGATTATCGCTGCTGTCTTCAATATCTTCCATCTCCTCCCACCTGCCGCCGAACATTTCAAGGAACGTTTAGTGGAAACCGTCCTAGATCTTGAAGATAAGCTCCGACGAACAAGATACAGCCCATTTAGGGCACCGTTATATAAGTATCTCAACCGTTATCCAAATGAAGTATGGATGATGTTGCTTGGCAAAATTGAAGAGCAAAAGTATGGCAGGTTCCTGGCGCAACTCTTGGAAGATCCCGACAGTGCACCACTCAGAAGTGTTGTTGTAAACAGCGTGGACATGCTGATCAAGAATTGCGGCGATATGGGCGCGGAGAATAAAGAGACACGATATGCTGCTGTCATCAACGCTATCAATGTGATGCATTCGGTATGCAAATATCCAGGCACAGAAGCATGGATGGAGAAGAAGGAAAATCTCATGTGGTTCCGCTTGGTTGGCAAGAATCTTGAACAGCGCCTTCGCAACTATTCACTCCCCTCAAATCTTCGTCTGGCTGCCGAGCAAGCCGGAGAGCAGTTGATGATTATATTCACAAAGTTCCTCGAGATTCACCCGAAAGACCTGGACGCGCTTTTTGGGCTTGTAGATTCGGTGACCTGCGGAGATTTCAAGCCCAGCCAACAGTTCTTCTCGTATATTTACAAGAACATCATTTGCAACGAATCCATCGATTACTGGAAATCGATTGTACTGCGCTCTCTGGACGTTTACGCAAGCAAGACAGCATCCCAGAAAACCAAAGCCTTCCTGCTTCACAACATTGTCAACCCGATTGTTGCCAAGGATGTAATGCGAACATGGCCGCGGACTGGCTCGATGAAATCCCCGCGCCTTATTGATAGAGCCGTCATTGAGTCCATCCACACCAAGATATGGCGTGCCAGTCTTGGGGATCCAAACGAAGACCTTACTCAACCTGGCATTGACCACACGCGAATGGAGGTACTTCAACTCTCGGCCATGCTTGTAAAGCATTATCATGGTATCCTGCAGGATGCGCGAAAAGATATCATCAAATTCGGCTGGACATATATCAGACTCGAAGACGTGATTAATAAACACGCAGCTTATGTGGTCATCGGGTATTTCATTGCTCACTATGAAACACCTGCGAAAATAGTTGTCCAAGTCTACCTCTCATTATTACGAACAAACCAAAACGAGGGTAGGACCTTGGTAACGCAGACCCTCGAGTTATTGGCTCCTGTTCTTCGGAAGAGATGCAACTCTGCACCGGGAGACCGAAATCCTATCTGGGCCTCGGGCGCACGCAGAATCCTGGCCGAGGAGGGCCAGAATGTGCAGCAGATGACGAGCATCCTCCATTTCCTTGTAAAGCACGACGAGCTCTTCTATGAATCCCGAGACAAGTTTGTTATTTCCATTATCTCCTCATTTAGGAAGATCGCTCAACCAACAACCGCTTCGAATGAGAGCCGACGTCTAGTCCTCCAGCTTATGAATTTGATTTGGGAATGGGAGAAGACCCGAGTAGAGGACAAGGCAACCAGTCCTGCACGCTTGATGTCAGAGTCTCCAAACGCGAAGAAGAGGAAGATAGAGAGTACCCCAGTTGCCGAATCCTCATCCCCGTCGTCGCAGAAGGCCTCGCCGCAAAAGGCTCGTTCTTCTCCACCAGACAGAGCTGAATATCAGATCCCATTGGTGTACCGCCAGAAGATGATCAAATATCTGGTGGAGTTCATCGCAGCGCTGCCAGAGAGATACCCACTCCAGTCAGCAAAGCAACGAGAACCAGCATTGTACCAAATTCCGGCCCCTCCATCCTCATCAATTGAGATGATCACGAAATCTATTTCACTGCTGAAGAACCTATTACAACCACAGTATTGGAGCGATCTAGACGTTGATCTTTTCCCCAACGTCACCGATATCATGCTTGCAAGTGACCGCACAACAGCAGCCCTTGCTAGCGGGGGAACTGACAAGGAGAAACCAGACGACAAGTTTATTACGAACATGATCAACACGCTGCAAGTTGTAAGAGTCATAGTTAACACCAAAACTGATGACTGGATTCAGAAGAACATGTCGAATCTGCAGCGCATCTTGGAAAAATCTATCAAGTCTGACAATGCTGAGATTCAAGACTGCCTTCATTCGAGCTGCCAGAATAGAGACGATGGGCGCCCGCTAAAGCCTCTGCTGAAAGCCATTCTCGATGCCGTCCCAGACGATGTACAGATGGAAGATGCCGATGCAGACGGCGAGGCCGAGGCTTCAACGTCTGAAATCATAACATTCTTATCTACCACTGCAACAGAGGATTTGTCGTCTGGAAATTACAACTCCGGAATCAACATCCTCTGGACTCTCGCGCAGAGAAAGCCCTCTGAGATGGATCAAGGGATTATAAGTGCGATAATGAGAGCTCTCCAGACGAAACTTGCAAAGGAGCATGTCGCTCATTACGCGGCAGCTGTCACGCAGTCTGTAGCAGCTGCAGTGCAACAAGAACATGAGCCCACTGGCCTCATGAATAAGTACGATCTCAAGATACAGACTGGCCTAATGCTCAAAGCTATTGACATTATGTCCATGCGAATGGAAGTGCTTGGCGACTACCGCAGGCCGTTCCTTAGCGTCCTCGCAACCCTTGTTGAGAAGTCTCAAAGCAACGAATTGTGTCTGAAGATCCTCGACATGGTTGATGGCTGGGTGTTCAAATCTGAAGGATCATGGCCAACACTCAAAGAAAAGACCGCCGTGCTACATAAGATGTTGACATTCGAGAACAGACAAGACCAGACTTTGCTCATCAAGTTTTTAGAACTAGTAATACGAATCTACGAGGATCCCAAGATTACTCGCACCGAATTAACGGTGCGCATGGAACATGCATTTTTGATCGGTACAAGAGCTCAAGACGTCGACATGCGAAATAGATTCATGGCTATATTTGACAAGAGCCAATCGCCAACAGCTAGCGCAAGACTCACATATATCATCACATCGCAGAACTGGGATACTTTGGCAGATTCTTACTGGCTTGCCCAGGCGTCGCAATTGCTTGTTGGGGCGGTTGAGATGAACAAGCCAATTCAACTGCACCACGAGGATTTCAAGACCATTCCAGCGTCGGTGCTATTTGGCAACTATGCCAAGGATACACGACAGCCCAATTTGATGGATGACGACAAATATGATGAGTTTATAGCAGGTCATCGCCGGTTCGTACGAGAGCTAGGCGACGTCACAGTCCGCGACATCATGGAACCCTTGACTCAGCTCCAGCACTTAGATCCAGATACGGCGCATGAAATTTGGGTTTCTCTGTTCCCAATTTACTGGTCAGCAATGGCCAAGGATGAACGCGGAGAGTTGGAGCGTGGAATGGTGTCTCTCCTGACAAAGGATTATCACTCCCGCCAAATTGACAAAAGACCAAACGTTGTCCAGTCTCTTCTGGAGGGAGCAGCTAGGTCCTGGCCGGATTGCAAGATACCACCCCATGTCATGAAGTTTGAGGCGAAAACTTACGATGCATGGTATACTGCGCTTGTTCAACTGGAGAATGCCGCCATCAAGCCCACGACAGACAGTGCAGTTGTTAGGGAAAGCAACCTCGACGCATTGGTAGAATTGTATGCTGGTTTGCAAGAGGATGATCTCTTTTATGGAACGTGGCGTCGCCGCTGCCAGTTTGTCGAGACAAATGCTGCGCTTTCCTATGAACAAAACGGGATGTGGGATAGCGCGCAAAAGATGTACGAGGCCGCTCAAATTAAGGCAAGAACTGGTGCGATTCCTTTCTCATCCGGAGAATACATGCTCTGGGAAGACCACTGGGTGCTATGCGCTCAGAAACTGCAACAGTGGGATATCTTACAAGACTTCGCCAAGCACGAGAACTTTCAGGATCTCCTCCTTGAATGTGCCTGGAGAAACCCGGAAACATGGCAGACCCCAGAACCTCGGGATCAGCTCGATGCGATTATCAAAGGCGTCATGGATGCGCCAACTCCTCGCCGAACGTTCTTCCAGGCCTTCATGTCTCTTCTCAAGTTCCACAACAAAACAGAAACCACGGCAGATTTCAGCAAGGTATGCGATGAGGCTATACAATTGTCAATCCGCAAATGGCACCAGCTTCCTAAGCGGATTACCAATGCACATATTCCTCTACTTCAGAACTTCCAGCAGCTTGTTGAGCTTCACGATGCTAGCGTCATATGCCAAAGCCTAGCACAAACGACCCAAGCAAACCTAGATGTCAAATCTGGAGAGTTGAAGTTACTACTTGGTACCTGGCGAGATCGCCTCCCGAACGTATGGGATGATATCATGGCATGGCAAGACCTTGTTACTTGGCGCCAGCACATATTTGGACTCATCAATACGACCTACTTGGCCCTTCTGCCCCAACAAGGGCAAAACGCCAATGGCGCCTCGTTTGCCTACCGTGGATACCACGAGACCGCTTGGATCATAAATCGTTTCGCCCATGTCGCAAGGAAGCATCAACTACCAGAAGTTTGTATCAGCCAACTTAGCAGGATCTATACACTGCCAAACATTGAGATCCAAGAAGCTTTCTTGAAACTGAGAGAACAAGCGAAGTGTCATTACCAAGATTCGAACGAATTGAACCAGGGATTAGATGTCATTAACAACACCAATCTGAACTATTTCGGCCCGCAACAGAAAGCAGAGTTCTACACTCTGAAGGGAATGTTCCTCGAGAAGCTTAGCCAGAAGAGCGAGGCTGAAGAGGCCTTTGGCATGGCGTTATTCTTTGATATCAAGCTATCGAAGGCATGGGCCGAATGGGGCTACTACAATGACCGACAATTTAAGGAAACCCCAACAAATTATGAGTTTGCCAAGAACGCCCTTAGCTGCTACCTTGAAGCTGCCGGTTTGTTCAAGAATGCAAAGTCTCGGAAGTTGCTTACTCGCATACTCTGGCTACTGAGTCTCGACGATGCGAACGGAACGCTAGCAGAAACTTTCGACGCATATAAGGGCGAAACACCAGTTTGGTATTGGATAACGTTCATTCCTCAATTACTGACTGGACTCGGGCACAAGGAAGCAGCGAAAGCACACAGCCTTCTCGCAAAGATCGCCAAATCTTACCCACAGGCGCTTTACTTCCAACTGCGTACCAACCGTGAGGATATGCTTGCAATCAAGAAGAGCCAGGAGAGCAAAGAGCTACGCGAGAGGAACGCAAGAGCTGCCAAGCAAAATGCTAGACAAACTCCAGTGGGAGATGCTATCAAGCAAAGCGGCTCGCCGACCCAGGCACGTTCGGTGACGCCTTCAGTGAGGCCAGACAGTTCGGCTGGATCAAGACCTGGGACTGCCAATGGCGTTGTTAATGCCGCCCTTAATGTAGAGGGCAGTGCAGTTAAGCCCGAGCCAGCTGAAGCCAGCAACAATCCGAATGCTGCCACAAGCGTCCCAAATGTGCAAGGGCAGCCATCGACCACACCAGCCCCAGCCGCTGCTCCACCCACTAAGAAGCCACCGTGGGAACACACAGAAGAGATACTTTTGGTGCTCAAAACAGCATTCCCACTTTTGGCACTTTCTATGGAAACAATGGTCGACCAAATCCAGAAGCATTTCAAGTGCCCACCCGATGAGGATGCATACAGGCTCATCGTGGCACTTCTCAACGACGGCCTTTCATATGTCACTCGCATGCCTAACTCTTACGCTCTCGATGTGAAGCTCCCATCCGCCACCGAAACGAACATCACCCGGTTTGCGGAGACTATTCTGCCAGCCCACATTCGAAAGTCGTTTGAAGCTGATTTCGTTGATAAAAAGCCAACAATGCACGAGTACATCCAAAAGCTCCGCCGTTGGCGCGACAAGTTCGAGTCCAAGCTGGATCGGCGCCCGTTGCATCAAAATCTCGAGACTTACAGCACACATCTCAGCGAGTTCCGATTCGGTAAATTCGATGAGGTGGAAGTTCCTGGTCAATATTTGCAGCATAAGGATAAGAACCAAGATTTTATCCGAATTGATCGGTTCCTCCCCGACGTTGACTTGGTGCGCGCCATTGGTGTCTGCCATCGTCGCCTCAAAATTCGTGGCCACGATGGATCCGTTCATCCCTTCGCTGTGCAGCATCCTGCTGCTAGGCATTGCAGACGTGAAGAGCGGATATTGCAACTCTTCAGGCATTTCAATGCCACACTGAGCAAGCGCAAAGAGTCACGTCGGCGAAATCTCAATTTCCATCTGCCGCTCATGATTCCGCTTGCGCCCCATATTCGGATGGTTCAAGATGATACGTCGTATATATCCCTGCAAGGGATCTTCGAGGACCATTGCCGTAAGAGTGGACTGCTAAAGGACGATCCAATTCTGTTTACGATGGACAAATTAAGGATCCTGGCCGAGGCGAAGACAGCCGTAAGTTCCAAAATTCTAGTCTCGATGACTTCCAATGCTAACATACTAATTAGAAACACCCTGATCACGCTCTCAATGCCCGCATGGAAATATTTTCAGCTATTCAAGACAAATGGGTTCCACATACGATTGCTCTCGACTTCTTCAAAGCTTCGTATCCAGCATATGCCGACTTCTGGTTGTTCCGCAGGCACTTTTCATACCAATATGCCGCGTTAACATTCATGACTTACATTTTGTTCATGAACGGCCGTTACCCACACAAGCTCAATATCGCGCGAGCCACAGGAAATATCTGGGGTTCGGAACTGATTGCCTCGATGGCAGCTGGCAAGCCTACCTTCCACAACCCGGAGCCAGTGCCGTTCCGCCTTACGCCCAATATACAAACTCTCATGGGTCCCATGGCCACCGAGGGCATCTTCACTTGCGCCATTATGGCCATTGCGCGATGCCTTACGGAACCCGAGTTTGACCTGGAGCAACAGTTGAGCTTGTTCGTGCGAGACGAGATGATCTTCTGGTTCACCAGTAGCCACCGCGCAGGATCAATGGGAGAAGGTCAGCTGAGGGAGACGGTTCAAGTTAACAGCGAGATCATTGTCAAGAGGACTTTGAGTTTAGCCCAGGCGCCGATGGGAATGCTACCTGCGAACCAGACAATCATTGACTTGGTGGCCAAGGCGGTCAATCCTATGAACCTGGCCCAGGCCGATGCTCTGTGGATGCCCTACCTATAGGGAGGGCTTTTTTTTCTTTGTATGATACAGGATAGCCACTTAAAGTGAGCTGGATATGGGGTGGGGGGGGGAAGAAATTGGGTTACATGTGATCGGAGTTTCGCGAGCGAGGCGTTAGGCGGAGGATATCATGGGTTGTAAGGATGATGTAATTTGGTATGGACTGGGCAGGACTGGGCGGGGGATGCTACTATATATTAATGAATAAGCTATTCAGCTACATGCTTTTCTTCCATTACACTACTATATGTGTAGCAAGTGACACGCCTTTCAAGCTGAACCATTGCCCATGTCGCATAAACATGTGTTGGAAAATACGAATAATTATCTGTTGTGATTGGGAGTTGGTCAGATACTGAGGAGTTTGATCAGAGGAGCTCTATCATCTGCAGTTGCAGTGGCCAGTTCTCAACGACGCACAATCCTGAGCCTTACGAACACATGACGTTTATCCTCTCCTCCTCCACATGGCGCTTATTTGCTGATGTAGCTAAGATAGCAGTTCCAAAAAATCGACAAGCCGTTGATAAAAAGCAATCTGTAATCAAGCGGAACAACTGAGAAATTGACAACCTGTACAAATGGCCAGACCATCCAGTTGCTCTGTAAAGCTCCAGTATATGTCTTAGTCAACTTCTCCTGGGGGCTTACCCCCTCTAGGATGGACATGGTACTCAGAAACACGAACAGGTTCGTTGGAGCAAATAGAAGCTGATCGACACCAACTCGCGCACAGATCTCTAATTTCTTGTTTGGTAACACAATTTTAGTCTGTAGAAACTTGAACCATTTTGTTGCTGCCGGCCCAAAAAATCGCTATATAGCTCAGCATAATCCCTACCAGATATACCGATTGCCACCAAATCTTACCTCCACCATATAATGCCATACGAGCTGTACGGACGAATTCATGCTTCTCGATTCCTCTGTGCTCTACGGCTTGTTGCGCCATAATATCTCCAGTCGCGAATAATATTGCCGTGGTCACACTCTGCGTCAACATTGGGCGCGCCGCCACCTCATACCATTGAAGCATAACTGCAACTTTGGCCTCTCACGAAATGGCTTTATGGCTGGAATATCAAAATATTCAGATCCTATATCCAGTACCTCGACCCTATTTCACAACCAAATTACCGTTTGTTATGCTTGATTTCGAGAGAGGCCAAAGTTGCAGTTATGTTTGATGTGAACCTTTTCTGCCAGAAATAACCACACCGCCTTCACCACAATCGCTTTTCTGCCACGGATAGCTTCACCGCCCCCTTCCCACAGTTGCCCTCAAGCCCAAATATTCCAACCCCGCAGCTTCCTGTGTACCACTCTCAACAGATACAATGGCGAAATCCAAATCCGCAAAGCGCAAGCACAATGGTGCACAAAATGTACCGAATAAACTCCAGAAGACCTCTCTGCCGACGGCAGCAGGTGCTGTCACCCCACCATCGACAGACACCGACGCTTCTCTTATCGAACCGAAGAACATCGCCAGTATAGTTTCCGAAGATGAGCTTGAAATCACAATCGAGACGCTGCAGGCCCTCAGCAAGTATCCGAATCTGATCAAAAGTAAAGCATGCAAAGATCTTCGTGTTGCCATCTACGATTTTAAACAGGCTTCTACAACTGGCCTGCTCACGGCGGCGGATGCAAACTTGACGAGCCGGATTAGCGCGGCTCTTGTAGACGGGAAGTTGACAGAGGCGAGGGTATTATTGGCAGAGATGAGGGTTAAGGGGCAACAACCCAAGCTGGGTGCTCTGTGCCGATGGGTTCGGGACTTAGACGTTCTGTCTGGGTTGAGTGGGCGCGTGGATGGGATGAGCGCAGTCGGCGAGAGGAGTGACAGCGAGATTGAGCTGTTGAAAGTTATGGATGCGATACTGAGGGTTACAGGGCCGACAGATCTCAACTTAAAAATTGAGAGTGGGGAAAACCCGATCAGTGTCCAGGAGGTATGGAACATGAGGAAAGGGGATGTTCCAGAAGCGGTTTATGCAAAGGTTCTGGATAGGAGCTTGATACCACAGCCAGAGGCTATTATGGCCAAGTTCAAGATCCTCGAGACGATTCCTGGCCCCGAGAGGAAGCCGCCAAATCACCATCCTGCAATCCTATACACCTCGGAGGACAACGCGGTCCATCTCACATCTCCTGGACCCTCACGAAGTCGACATTCTCATCCCATTGTCCCAAATCTAGGACTCATAAAAGACGTCTTATCGCCAACAGAATGCAAGGATATCATTGCAGCCGGAGAGGCAGTTGAGTTTATTCCCGATGCACCAGTGAGAGACGATGGTGGAGAAGTAAGCGTTTTGGCGCATAACTTTTATTGGGTCATTGATCAAGCATTTCATGATCGGCTGTGGGAGAGAGTGAGAGAGTATGTACCAGAAAATGTTGGTGGAAAGAGAGTGAGAGGTTTGAATAGGAGGTTCAGGGTGTACAGATATGTTCCTGGCGCGGAATACAGATGCCATATCGGTAAGCATTTCTCACTTTCTTCTTGGTTTTGGTGTGGTAAGAAACTGACTTTAATAAGATGGAGCATGGCCACCCTCGGGAATTTCGCCAGCCGGGGTATATCAGTATGATTCATCGCCTCCCACTAAGAGGCAATCGTCACTCTTCACCTTCTTAATATATTTGAATGACGACTTCGAAGGCGGAGAAACTACGTTCTTCCTCCCAAGTGTCAAGGAAGGGACAATGAATGCGTATCCAATGAAGCCAGTCATGGGTAGCGTAGCCGTTTTTCCGCACGGAGAGACGAATGGGGCATTGCTACATGAAGGAACTGGGGTCAGGAAGGGTGCAAAATATGTGATACGGACAGATGTGGAATATGATGTCGATGCTTAATGCGGTGGCGAAATATATTTGGGAAAAAAGCATTTTAAGCGGTATTTTATAATTTGTTGGGGAGTCGTCAAGGAAGTGTTGGGCTTGGCAGGAAGAGACGATTTATGATCTATGAGAAGCGGCAGAGGCTGCATTTAGGTGGAGGGGTTTTTCGAGTTGAAAATAGATTTTGATGTGTACAGTAGAACATTTAAAGGCCTTCACAACATAATACATAACAAATAGGAATTGACTTTCAAGTCTAAAATTTTATATAAGTCTAAACAGTATCTAAAAATAAAAATATCTGAGCTATCTGCATCTGTTTGTATTGATTTATTGATCTCAGGGTCATTCCTTAAATTTGTTGTAAATTTACTAGGCTCACGTGAAGTAGTGTGATGAGTAATCGATGACCCCCACTTCCCATAAACCATCGATTTGATAGACTTCAAACTTGGGACTGTCAGGCTGCAGCTACCAATGGGAAGGACTTTTAGATTCAAGAGCATCGTAGTAACCAGTGCCTTATGCACCACGGTGCTAATGCTATCATGAATCGTTACGCGGTATGTTGAGATGGGATGGGATGGGCGCTTCTATGGTTCCTTTCAACCATTCCATCATCCCCCGCCAAGTAATAATCGCTGACTTTTGTATAGTGCGAAGAATGCCGCCATCGCAAATTTAGGGTAATTTCTGTGCAATTTTAATAATGTGCTAAAGTTTAACATTCACCAGTGCTCTAAAGAAAGGCCATCATGTGCCTATTGTCGGAGAGAGCGTAGGCCCTGTGTCTATTCGGCGAAGATCCAGAGAAGCCCGCTGACTCGCGAGTAAGTGTTTTTCCTATTTCAACGGACGTCTTTTGTAACAGGTGCCGCAGATATGTTACTTCGCTTGAAAACCGGTTGCAGAAGCTAGAAGCGAAATGTGCAGAGTTAATACCTGGCGTTGATATTGAGAAATTGGCTCCACAGACGCCAGGAATTCCCGGGTCTAGCACCTGGGAACTTCCCACTAACCCATGGGCTTCTACTACTTCGGATGCTCCATCCCATCCAAGTTATACTGATTCATTTCCCCGGATATCAACAGGATTTGAATGGAGTGAACAGGGGGATGCCCTAAACCAGCTAGCGGATGGTATGGCATTCTTGTCCGTGAATCCAGAAGGAGCCGGTTATCTTGGAACATCTGCAAATGTGGCTTTGCTACGATCCCTTCACCATAATGGGTGGACCATCGATTCCTCCGTATCGAGGGTTATTGACTCGTCCAGGACCGTCAAACCCTCACTCCGGGAAGCTTGGGCCTGGAGCGAGATGACACATGACGCAGACCTGGACCAGCTTATTAGCACGCTGATCGATTCCTATTTTCGGAATTTCCACACGAGATACCCTATAGTTCACGAGGCTACTTTTAGAGCTCAGACCGAGGATCTCGCTCCAAAACCGGACCCAGAGTCATGGTTGCTGTTGCGGCATGTAATCCTCGCTATTGGCGGGTGGTGTATGGGATATGACACCAAGGGATTCGATGAGCTACTGGGTGCAAAAACCCAGGGATGGAGCAGAAACACATCCATTCTGTCATCTGGGAGTCTAACGTTGGTCCAAGCTGTTGCACTGAAGGGCCATTTCACGCAAAGACAGAACAACCCAAACACCGGCTGGAACTTCTCTGGGCTGGCCGTTCGAATAGCCATAAGCCTTGGGCTGCATCGAGAATTTCCGGCGTGGAATATAAGCGTTTTTGATCGTGAGATGCGACGACGAGTTGGATGGTGCGTTTTCGTCATGGATGCTGGGACGGCCATAACGTTTGGGCGCCCAATATTATGGCCAACCGATGGTATGATGGATATAAAGGAGCCAATGAATGTTGACGACGAAAAGTTAACCTCGACAACACTTGTCGCCCCTGAAGAGTCCACTGGGTCAACCATTTATTCTCATCTAATCTGGCAGATTCAATTTCACCAACTCACCAATTCAATGTACACTCGCCGTATGGCTAGCTTTGATTTGCCTGCCGAAGAAATCCTCGAAATGGATTCAAAGATCACCGTCTGGGAAAAAACCCTTCCAGCATACTTCAAATATGGCCATACCGATCCCACCGAGCCAGAATACATAACGACGGCCCGTTGTCGCCTCCTTTGGAGGTTAGCATGCTTCAGGATAATGTTGCATACACCCCTACTACTCAGATGGGCGACTGAGAAATCCGTTGGCGTCTTGTCGCCGCAGGCGGACACGGAAGCTGCAAGACGATGCCGTGAGCTCTGTCTTGAATATGCACACCTCACCGTGAAGTACACCGAAGAATACTTTTCCCTCCACATCTTCAGTCCAATGCATGACTGGTATGCGATGTAAGTTTGCCAGTTCTTTGATTATATATCGGACACTAACCCGCGCCAGATATTACCTCTTCCAGTCAAGCTTGATCCCGGTTTTCTGTATCACAACCGAGCCAACCTCACCAGATGCGGCGGCATGGGGAGCCGATATTGAGGCAGCGAAACGAATCCTGGAGACTGTAAATACACATTCCGACAAAGCCAGGAGGTTTTTGGACGTGTTGAACCGCCTATACTCAAGTTTGGATGAGATGGAAGGCTTTATGGAAACAATGCAGCAAGAGGGTGGTGATATAATGGGGATGGTATATGGACAGATGCAAGGAGCGCCAGAGAGTGCTCAACAAACTGGACATAGCATCCATCCGACTGGGTTCTAGAACCCCAGGGGCATATATTGGACATAGTAATGTTTTTAATTCTTTGGTACTTTGTTACATGCATAATAGACGATATTTACAATTCAAACAATTAGCAAGCGCGCCCCAAAATGAATTCGCTAGAGCTTTCGCCTGTTATAACAACAAAGCCACTGATTCGAACCCCAAAATATATGACTACAGAGCCCACCACTCTAAAAGAGGAAGAAAAAACAAGTCTAGAGCAAAAAAAGACAAAAGAACCAGATCGTCTACTCTCTACAGGAGCTAACCGTAGGAGTACATGACCAGTAACCAAACCCCACGCATCGTCGTGATAGGGTCCCGGGGGTTAGCCGGGCGTCTATCACCACGATCCGAGGCAGTTTCATATTATCAAGCCCACAACTGAGAGTTGCTACCACTCAGCCATGGAGCCGGACGTGATTCTTCTTCGCTTGATCTAATATATATATATACCTGCCTTTGTGTGGTGGTAGCTAAGGCCTCCATTGGCCGCGCTTAGGTTAGGCGGTGCACGCGCAAATACGCCCAGTCCCGCTCTCTTTATGCGTGGTGTTGTAAAGACAAACTGCAAACTAGAGAGGGTCAGAGAGGAGATGAGCAATTTATATTTGTGGTGCTCCCTTGAAAGGGTATATTCACAAACATTTGAGGCTGGCTTGGAACAATCCGTGAATTACATCACAAGGAGACATGTTTAGCAATCTCGAACAAGGATCTCCTTTCCCCTAAGCACTTTCAAGATTTCTAGAAGTGGAAAATGGCTGAAACAATCACCCAACGCGCGCCACCCATTGCTATTATTCTTGAATGAAAATTTGGGAAAACTACCGGCATTTCAATCTTTGATGTTGACTATTGACCCTCTGCAGCACTGGAATATTCCATCCCGCCGTGCAAATATTTTATTATGGATGCTACCATATATACATTATAAATAATCATCTCTCATCTATCGTCAACTACCGCCTTAAATAGAACGAACATGGCAAAATTCTACGTATCCAAAATCAAAGCCATAATCGATCTAAAATCGAAGAGAAGAATTAAACAGCGTTGGCCTTCTTGAAAGCCGCAACCTCAGAATCAATATACTTGATGAACGTCTCGTGGTTCTGGCCGATCTGTCCAAAGACTTCTCTTAGTCTTGTCCCCTCACACTCATCGCGGTGGGCGTGGCTTTCCTCGTCACGCTTAGATATGTTCAATCCCGGCTTCAGTACGTCGCAGTTGTACTGCGACTCTGCAGCTCGGGCCATGCAGATCTGCTCGGCTCTGCATGCAGCGTCACAAGCCTCAACATTGAAACCACGGCTTTTGCGCGCGAAGAAATCCTTGAAGGCTGCCTCGTTCGTCTCAAAGAGGGTAGTGACATCGTGCCAGAAGGCAGGGGTAAGCTCGGCAGCAGCGTCGGTGACAGGAGGGGTGAGTAGGGAACCGTAAGCCTCCTTAGCGGAGTAGTACTTGGTCCAGGAGAGCTTGTCTGCTGTGATGTCGGTGGTATAGTCGATGAAGTCGAGAACACCATAGGTCACTGGGTCAACAGTGTAGACGCGGAATGTAGGAGAGCCAGACGTGGGAGTCATGGAAGGGGCGATGTACGACATGGCAACAGCAGTGTCAGCGTTTCGGTTGGCGTAATCAGAGTATGAGATCTCAAACTCGTCGACGTGGGTGTGTCCGTAAAACATGGCAGCGATGGTGGCGTCATAGCGGTTGACGATTTTGTTGAAGGTGTTGGAGAAGCTGTGGAAGAAATCGGAGGATCCGGGAGGGATGTGGGAGATGATGTAAACGTTGTCTCCGGCATCCTCGGCGCTTTGTAGCTCCTTGATAAGCCAAGTGAACTGACCGTTGGGGTCGTTCTGCATGGGCTCCTCGTACAGCCAGAAGTTGAGGGTATAGTAGAAGACAGAGTTCAGCGAAATGACGCGGAGCTTCCCTCCGGGATATTTCACAGAGTAGGCGCCATACTCATTAGCGGTATTAGCTTCTCCCGAGGTGCTGATCCAGCCATTCCAGTAACTTGCAAGAGTATCATATGCCCATTGAACACCTAAGGTGGTAGATATGGTGGTTGGAGGAATGCAGTTGACTGGCACCACGTCGTGGTTGCCGATGACGGGGTAAACAAGATCAAGGTTGGAGAGGATAGAGTAGGTCGAGTTGAGGTCAGTAAGAACCTCGGCCTTGTCGACAGACCAGAGATCGTGTGCAACGACATCGCCAGTGAAGACTGTGAATGCAGCATCAGGCGCAATGGCCTTAATGGCCTGAACCATGCTTTCCTGGAGCGTGACCGGAGGATCGCAGAGGGGATTACCGAATTCGCCAGCAGGATATGAGTTGTGTCCTGGCGCATCATTGGGCGTGTATGAGCGACAGCAGATTGGCTTCGTGCAGTTGTAATTCGCACCAACCTCATAGGAGAGATCAACGTGAGTATCACTAATGTGAACAACTTGAATCGGCGCCTGTCCGCTAGAAACCGGGCGCTTGGTGGCTGGCTTTGGCTTTGGGAAAGGTATGGCGTACGGCTTCACGTCCGGGAATGGGCAAAGTCCGATGAGGGAGGCACAAAGGGTCTTGGAGGTAGCAGACCCAATTTTAATCCCTCTCATGTCATGTGCAATCACTGGTCCCTCTGCGGCAATGAGGCCCTCACAGACATCGTCATCCTCAACCTGGGCCATGTTAGTAGATATTTCTTTGGTTAATGAAGTTACATGCCTTGGCAAGCTTGCAAATGTCTGTAAGAACGTTTACGAAAGGTTTATTGCCCAAGTGTGCAAGACCCTTCAGGGCAATTAAAACTGCCTGGCACGCTGTTAGCTATCTGGGTTGAAAAACTGGAGTTGTAATATTCAATCTCATACCTCGCATGCGGCGCAAGTTGCTGCATTCTCAATATCTTTAAGGATATCTGAGGCGACGCTTTCCTTGACCAGCGCGGGAGTCTCAGAAACGGCAGCCAAGACAACCTGAGCCCCCACAACACCAGTGACAATAGCCTGGAAGAACTTCATTGTTTCTAAAGGCGCGCTAGAATTTAAGGATAGGCAAGGAGTGTAAGAATTGGGGAATCCTTCGGCCTTCTATAACATCTCGAGCCTGTACCCCCGCAGCAAACAACATGATTCACGTGAAATATCCAAAGAAGCGGCGGAGTACACCGCACCTTCCTCGTTGGAGTAAACTCAAGGGATATCACGCAGTATGCCGAGCTGCGTTCAAGGCTGCATGAAGTGGGTCTATTATTCTCCCGCCCCATGCTTTCTGTTCATGGTGTGCAATAAGAAAACACGGGGGGGCTGGCTATAGGCGTTCGCGAATGGCAACGACTGAGCTTAACCGTCAGTTATCAGCCAGCCATGACCTATAGATTTGGCACTGAGGCCTACTTTGGGCGAAGTGCACAGGGAGCTACAGCTGGCGGAGAGGGGCGGGCGCAGACAGAATAGATTAATTGTCCTATTAGTGCCCTAAGCTTTACTTTCTAGGTAGGTGCATGTTTAGGTCTCCGCCAACATGATTGGGGCTTGTGAACACAACCCCTGGGATGACCCGCCCCCAGCATCAAGTAACGGCCCCTCGGCACTGTTCCACCTCGCTACCAGCGCTCATCCAATGTGAGAATAGGGATCTAGCGCGTGGCGTTGCTACAACCCACCAGAAGAGTACTGGCACCTGGAGAATGACAGGGAAAGCAATTATTAACTCGCGTGATATAAATGTCGATCATATATCGAAGATTTTCACCGAGGTCAATCGTGCAAATTTCACTCGAATGTGTAGCTAGCTGAGGCGAGGCCTCGTGTCTTGTCTCAGGGAGCCTGATGATCCGGCGCCAGCCGGACGCGCGGTCGGCTTCTTTCCGGAGCTTCTTCGCAATCAAACTTCTCTCGACGGGAGCTTCCACAAACTGTCGTTCATCAAGAATGGCCTCAAGTCAATTTCTGGGATACTTTGAGCTAAGCGTCTCGGAGAAATGACAAAAAAAGCAGTGGTCGATTTGAAGTTGGAACAACAGAGTTCGTCGCGATATTTCAAGCCTCATAGACCATCACCAACAGCATAACATGGAAACTGACAGACACTACAGCAAGTGCTGCCTCCACTTTAATTATGCATTTCCCGTGAAGTTATTCGGAACGTATATTCTATATATCTGCCCTGCAAAATAACTCTTTGCAAGTCTGGAGATCCAAAGGTAGGCTCTCTCCGTTTATCGACATCACGTAATCAGACAACAGGCGCGTGCACAGCCTACCTACTAATTCCGAGCTGAATAAAACGCCATGAATCCAAACTCCAACCCTACAACTGGACATGGCTCCATACAAAAACATTGAGGACACTATGGCCCTACTTAATCTCCCTAACGAACTCATCCTTTCCATCGCAAACTGTTTAGACCAGAGTGAATCACTCTCCCGCTTCGCCCGTACAAATCGACATGTTTATAGTCTAGTCATGCCGCTCCTTTACCAGCACAACATCACATATGGCGGGTGCTCTGGTATCAAAGTGCAGCTAACTCCTCTAGAAACAAAAGACTTCACCTCGTGGTACTTCACTCAGCTTGATGAGGACCTAGAAGAATATAACAACCCTTCCAATCCCACCACACCAGAGGGTCTCCCAACCCCAGTGACAGACAAGATACGGACCCGTGATGTTGTGATCAGTCGATTTGTCGAGTATGGTGCCAATATAGATAGCATTCGTCTAGATGAATTCGACCAAAGACAAGAAGAATACGACCAAGAAGAATACGAAGAACAAGAAAAGACTCTCCTGAATTACCACGCAACATTGCGAAACTCCCTGGCGGTGTTCCTCATAGTGAAGCATGGCGCGGACGTACATATAAGTAGTGGTTATGAAGCACGTACGGCGTTGCACCAGGCCGCGATTGGGGGTCGCCCGAAGATCATTCGATTCCTGATTCAAAAAGGGGTGGATGTGAACGCGCGGGACTGGGAGGGGAGGACACCGCTCCACTTCGCAGCAGACAATGGCCATGTCGCTGCTATTCGACTCCTATGTGAAAATGGCGCTGATATCGACGCACAAGACGAGTTGGGATACACTCCGCTCCATCTCTTGGTGATGAAGAGAAAACCGGCCCCGGATTCATGGTATATCCAGGCGCTGAAGGCAATGCTTGAGCTCGGCCCTAATACCGAAATTGGAGTGTTTGAGGATAACAAGACGCCGCTACACATCGCAATCCTGAACCGACGAGATAAGGACTTCGTGGAAATTCTAATAGAATCGGGGATGTATCTCAATTCTCGGACGGTAGTAGGACAGACACCTCTATCATGTTGCGTGGAGAGAGGAAGCATGGCCATATTCATGATGTTGGTCAAAGCGGGCGCCGATATTCACACGAGGGACGAAGACGGACACTCCATTCTCCAGAATGCACTAGAAAATGGAGGTCGCGCGTATGATTGCTTGCCAACGCTCCTAGAAACTGGCCTGTTTGCCCTAGATTCCGATGCAGGGTATGGAAAGACGCTGGTGCAGGTCTTGAGAGATCTAGACTGGTTGTATATGCTTGAAAATCGGGTGAACGGTGTGCCTGAGGTAGATGAGCTTTTTGAACCTTCCAGAAACGTGCTTTAAGGATACAGGATAGAGCCAGGTTATAGAGCCAGGTTGTCAGAATATTCTACAAGGCTAATATCTTGGTTTCACGTGGTATAATGGGATGCTGCCTCTGTGGACCCAAATGTCGATGTAATAATGAGAGGCTAGACCGACGCTGGTACTGAAACAAGTCTTAGAAAAAATATATCCGTTAAACGCCCGCTTAATCGAGGTAATCCGCCAGCCTCTTTGCGCGCCGCACATGCCATAATAACTCTGCCCCCACGCTACCTGGACTTCATCATCTCCAGAGCTTGCTGAGCCGAAATTCGCTCGGACGGCCTAAACTTCATCAGCCCCTGAATAACAGGGAGGAGGGGCTGCAGCTCGGCTTCATGGATCTGATGTTTGAATTTGTATTCGAGCCCTCGGTCAACACGAAGGTCACCCTCTATTGTTATGGCTCTGTTAGATACTGTCCGAATCGCCCAATAAGAGTAAAACTTGAATGGATTGCCCACTATATTAGGCAAGGGGCTGAAACATACTGACCTAGCAGAGGCTGTCTTTTGAAGTCAATCCTCAAGTGATCAAAGCTGGGCTTCCACTCTTGTGGAAGGTCTCCGATAAATTCAATCATCTGGATAACAAGGTTGTCTCTGTCCCCGATGCAATAGAATGGGAGTCCTCCGAACACAAACGAGTAGATCTACCATCAACGTGTGAGCATGGTTCCCGGAGAATTATCGAAACGGTAAATCTTACCACAATGCCAACACGCCACAGGTCTACTCTGTAGTCATACCCTTCCGTGAGAACAGTTTCGGGTGGCATTAATCCCCCAGGCTGGGTGATAATCTCAGGTTCCCTTCCGAGAACAAAACATTCTCCAAAGTCAAGAAGCCGAAAGTCCTCGTCACATTCGCTAACCCATCCATCCCAGGTTGCGCTTCCTACGAGGTAGTGGGGTATTCCATCTGCGAGTGGTTGCCCATCGACGCGAGCCACGTTCCCAACGGAGGGAGCTCCAAGGACCTCGAAGAGCTTTTCTTTTGTCATCTTTGACAGATACTCGGCCTTAAATGCCATATTTTTGGTGCTTATATCTGTCGCAGGTCAGGTGCCCAGTCACAACGTGGTAGGAGGTTTCGAACTGGTTCAGAGACCAGCCGATAGTGGACCATACCTCCATGTGCAAATCCACTCTGGTGGATAAATTCAAGCGCTTTGAGCACATGTTCTGTCATTTTCAGGATGGTTGTCGGATCAACCTCTGCGCGATTGTGGTACTCGGTTTTGACAATTGATCTGAGATTGGGACCCATAAGCTCAAATGCCAGGGCCAAATGCGCACCATTTGGCCCTTCGATAATGAAATGATCCAGTAATCGGACAATGTACTTAGAGTATAGGCTGTCTGGGCGCCATGCCCCCAACGCATCGTACCACCTGAGTTCTCGAGATGTCTCGGTGATTGCAGCAGTCATGATTTTGAGAGCCACCCATTGATGAAGGCTACTTCTTGTCAGTATCACTCGAAAAGAATTTGCTTGGTTATAGAACTAACATATCGTCATATGCAACCCATACCGTAGAAAACCCCCCATAGCCAAGTTTATGGACGACAGTATAGCGGCCTTGTTTAAAGGAATTGCCAAGAGCAATAGGGTGAAATCCACCTGGTCGGTACCTGGATATCTTCTCTTCTGCTTTAATCGTCTCAGTAGCGATGTATTCATTCATGTCCGCCATTTTGGCGGTTGCGATGGCGTGACGAACGAAGGCAGGTTATTATCAAAAGCAATAAAATGCGATGCCTAAGGGGAGTCTGTATGTGTACTATCAATAGATGATATAACGAACAACACAACCTGGAAGTGGATAACTGACGCGCGCCATACAAGAGTCGCCCCTTCCCAACAACTCCATTTTAAGTAAACCATACTCCAAAATATATGGCCTATCAACAGAAATCAGGCCACAATTAGAACAGCCGAGCCAATTATTTAAACGATCTGTAAATACTATAATCTACGTCACAAATCTATCAGGAACAGAGCCCAAAAAATACTGGTAGACATCTCAAACTCTAACTTTCAAACAGCTGATTTATATTAAATTACATTAGATTAATTATAGCAAGTTCGGATCCGTGAGTGGCACATAGGAAACCCCGTACATCTGCTTCTTCTTCACAACACCATTTACGTCCTTGTCCACGAGCCAAATATGTTGCCCAATCCCAGTTGTAGCATCATCAACAGGGATGAACATTCTACTCATTTATTAGCACTTCATATCCTCCACCATCGCATCTCAAACGTACCTTCCCGGTCGCCTCAGCTGCGCAACCAACTCTTCGTGAAGATGGGCTGCCCCAGCCCCAACATGAATAGCATCCCACCCCTTCTCATCCCACGTGTCCTGCCCGATATTTTTCTTCCCAATATCCGGCTCCACCCACCCCTTCCTCCCATCCCCAACAACAAATCTCACCCTCCCACTCTCCAACATCGCAGCTCCCTCAGCACTCTTCTCCATATTCTCCCTCCCCAACTCAGCAAGCTCCTTGATATGCTCGATTCCCACCACCTTACCATCCTCGCCGGCGAGCTCAGCCATCACGTGAGTGAGATACCCAGACCCAGACCCGACGTCGAGGACGCGCATGGGTCGGTCGGCGGGGTAGCCAGTGACGGCGGAACGGGTCGAGGGGAAGAGAGACTCGAGAGCTGAGGCGTGCATGTGTGGGGCGGAAATTGTGGCGCGCCATCCGATGGCCTGTGGGCTGTCTGCATAGGCGGAGGCGTGGCCGGGGCAGTATTGCCCGCGGTCAACCTGGGTGGATGGATGTGTTAGCTAGCTTGTTTCTCCAAGGTTGGGGGTAGAGGGATAAGATGGAGAGTATGTGGGTTTATTACCTTGAGCATGGCCTCTTTCACACGGGTTGTCTGGATAATCCTATTTCTGAAGAGGTTCTCGACGAGCTCGGCGTTTGTCGTGCCGCTGCATCGCCAAGCCATGGTGGAATAGAGCAGGTATTGCGGGTGAAAGATGAAAGATTTGAGTTTGGATAATATGGACTTCACGAGCATATAGACGTGTTAATATTGAAAGGTGGCAAGTTCTGGATAGATGTTGTATTTGTTTGCTAATCTAAAGTTTTGTGGTAAGTTAAATCAGCTCGTGGTGACGTTGTGGTGGTGTGTTTGATTGTCTCATTGGGGGATGGTGCGGGGTAATTTGGAGATGAGATAAGACTGTAGGACGATGCAGTTGAATAGTATATGTAGCAAAATAATCAGTTATATATTTATGGCTCGCGCTCTATGTCGGTTTATAATGCTATCTAGTACAAAAATCGTCCCCGACGCGTAAATATGTGCATATCGTTACTGGCATCATCTCATTCGTGGCCTCAGACCTCATTACTCAACCCGAACACCGTTTTCCCCCTATTTCCTCATCCTAGCCTCTTAGTTCCGATAAACCACCCTTGCCGGCCTCTCAGTCGTCTCGTAAGTGCTGTATGACCGGCTCACTGGTCGACCTCCAGCGCTCGAGTGCCTCCTGCGCCGCCTCCTTCCGTCGTATGGCCGCGACGAGGTCGCTACAGCGCCATGCTTGTACCCCTCATCGGTTGTGTTCCTCCGGAGTGCACTCCAGAGCCAGACGAAGAATAGTGTCCCTGCGATGCAGCCGATAACGATACCGGCGATCGAGCCACCGGACATGCAGTTAGGTTGAGGGCTCGCGGCTGCCGCATCTGCAGATGCTTGTCGCACCTCGAGGTTGGCAATGGGGATATACTGCCCGTTGTTAGTTTGATGAATGGTAAGACATTGCGGGGAGCCCGGAATCCAGGACCACCACCTGCTACCTGTGCGCGCGGATTTGGAGTCGACATACCATTTTGATTGCGCAATGAGAACCGTTGCTTATTTCAGGTATATATATATTTATGCAGGCGTATATTTTTGTACTCAAATATCAACGCCGAGACATCGTCAATGGTTTCATGGGCTAAAAGGATCAAAATTCAATGAATGCACAAGAGTGCAGCACATGGTTATATATGTGCATCAACCGCCCCAAAAGGATAAAGAGGACTTTCACATTCAAGCAAAACTACAGGATGACGTATGGGCGTAGAGGGGTCTTTCGCCGAGGACCCTTAGCTAGGATGGATGGAAAGTTATCATTTTCTAGCCAAGGGGGGCAATACAGGACTAGAAGGGCCATGATGGGCCATATTGTGGAGGGGAAGAAGCAGGGAAAAAACAGCTTTCTTGTCGAATCGCTCAGGTAAAGACGAGGTTGGGAAAGTGGGATGTGTGACGTCATAACGTTGTAGCGGGGATTGGCCAATCACATATCCCGATTAACGAGGGGTGCGCCGAGGCAACTCCCCTTTCGTTGGATAGATAAGTGGGATATATTCGACATATTGTGCAAATTTGCTTTTTTATTCTCTACCGCACCGGCTTTATGTCCTGAAAAGGTGGATGGAGTACGGTTGTCGGTGCTTTTTTGACACATTGGGTAGCCACAAGGTGGCTGGGAGGACCCGCACAAGGGATAACAGTAGTGTCTCCAACTGCGCTTGTGCTTGGCACACCCCGCCATTGAGGCATCTGGTGTGTTATTTTTCCCATGGTTAAATCCCCCAGCCTGGACGTGTCTCAGATTAGGCTTTCCTGCAGTTCAGCCTCATGGCCAGGAGGAAGACGCACAGGACATTCGTGAAGGATATCCTGGGAGGAGCTGATGCCGCATATCTCGGTGTAGCTATTCAGGCCGCTCCCGAGCGGAACCAAACTGATAAGAATTCTCGTCTCGGGAGTCTTGTGCTTCCTTCAGAACGATACATTCATGTGAGAAAGGCGTTCTGGGCCTTGTCTCTCACTGTTATTCCCCTTTGTCTTTAACGAATGGCTTGCTCCGTATATCCCATGAGAGTTGAAGAACTGGTGCTCCAGCGCCTTGAAGCCTTTGAGGTGGAAGAAGGGCGGACGGGCGTTGACTTCGCTTACAAAGTAACCAACCCCCCTCGCCCGGAGATCAAGATGCAGCAACATGAGTGTTGCACGGTGCCGACTGTGATATTTAACGGCATTATCCAGACTAAAGTGGTCTCTAGGACCGAAGCCTTGGACACAGTCGAGTCGACTTACGTAAGGGTATGTAGCCTCGAAGACGAAGGTGCGTAGACCAGTGCAAGAAGAAAGGAGTCCTTCAAGGTCCTTCTCATTGAGTCTGTTGTGTGTGATACGTACGGTCTTGAGTTTTGGAAAGGTCGGGATAGGGGCTCCGTGCTGAATGCCACCGCACATGTGGAGGTTGAGTTTCTCTAGGTTGGTAGTTTGATCAAGGATGGCGCCCGCACAGCTATACAAGTTGAATAGGGACATAGAAACAGGCGCGTTTGATGTGGCATACGTGTTGATGTCTATAGTCGTAAGAGGCAGAACAGAAGTACCTAAAGCCCGTAGGTATGAGGAGCTGAGGTACCCAACGGGGTTCGTCACCGTTTGGAGGCTGAAGTGTTTTAGGTCAGGCAGTTAGGCAGTTAAGCAGTTTGGCAGTTTGGTGAGTGAAATTGTAACCAGCTCGCCACTCGGCCACTTTTTGATCCCTAATGCAAGTGCAGCTTGGTGAGCCTCATTCTTATTCTCCTTGTCGTCAACGGATTTCAGTAGGTTCGAGTGAATATAGATCCTTTTTACTAACGCGGCAAGGTCTGGGCGTCGTGCTACGGTTTGCAGGAAAGAAGTGAGTCGGGCATCTCATGAGTACAGGGTTGACTTCCAAGAGTCGCCATATCCGGGACGAACTCGTTGTAGAGGATGGGCTGCGCAATATCGCAAAATCGCTTAGAAACAAGGGATAGCGAGAACAGCACATGGCATTGTATCGAGTGCCAGGACCGCTCGTCGCTTTTCTCCTACGTTCCACGAAAGTACGCATCAGGTGCTATTGACTGGTGTATTAAAAACGTGCTAAAGATCAGTTCCAGAGTCTCATTTGGGAGGCTGGTGAGTGTCACAGGGGCTGTTTTGGCCTCTCTCTTGGCTTGCGATCGAGTGCGCATGATAGATAAGATGAAAGATGTTGATGAAACCACGGGTGGGCTGACAACACTAAATGTAAACTGTGGCCAGAGTTGACGAGTAGGGTGATGACCATGAAAGTAAAATAACAAATAGGGCTCAGTTATTTACATCTCCATACAGGTCATTCCTATATGCTTTTATACAATACATTCACTTTCTCCTTGGCGGTGTGGTCCTGTGGAGATCGCGATCGTTGGCAACAACGGGAATAAAGATAGGGGATGGAGATCCCCCTAGTGGCGCTAGCCTACGGCATTTAGGCCGCGCCACTAGCGTGACAGTTGCAGCAGCCTAATTCCCCGCAACGATCTGATCTCATACCTATATTTGGAAGTAGCGGCAAGGAACATGTATGCGCGTCAACATCAGCCTTGAGAATCCAGAATTTAGATAAAAGGTTATGCCGCATACCAGATATAATATTCACAGACCCAACGTTGAATTGACGCGACCCTAAGAATAATAAACCAACCCCTGCAATGAAAGTCCTTATCGCCGGCGCCAGCGGCAGCATCGGCGGGGAGATCCTAAAACACCTCCTCCAGCAGAACGAAATCACCAAGATCATCGCGCTGACTCGGAAACCCATCCCCGATCTACCCTCCAAGGCTGAAAACATCCTTGTTCCCGACTTTGGTGACTTGGAGCACCTCGACGACGAAAAATGGGAGAAGATCCGCGATGCCGACGCAATGGTCTGGGCCATCGGCACCTATGACCTCAACGAAGACGTCAACACCCGCTATCCTCTCGCCTTCCAAGATGCCTTCGTGGCGCGTTTACCTGCTCCACAAAGTGGAAAGGCGTCCAAGTTCAGGTTTATTCTCCTCTCCGGCGCATTTGTCGAGCCTGATCAGACCCGCACGCTGTTTTTCTTGCCGCAGCAGCGGAAAGCCAAGGGCGTCACAGAGTCAAAAACCATTGAGTTTGCGGAGCAGCATAAAGAGGTGTGGGAGGCGCTTGTGATTCGCCCGAGTGGGATACTGATTGGCAAATCGCTCCAGAATAGCGTAGCATCGTTTGTGTTGGGGACCATGCTGGTTAAAGGCGAGGAGTTGGGTGCGTTTGTCGGGGAGTTAGTGGTGAAGGGATCAGAAGAAACTGTTATCAAAAATTCGATGATTGTAGCGCGCGGCAGAGAATTACTTCACGAGGCGGAGTAAATATGTATGGAATACGTGCTGTTGATTAATAGCGTGTTGGCTTCTACTCTTCATATTTTTATTTGCAATATGCCTTTTTTAAAGCCTTTTATTTAGATTTAGTGCTCAAGTTAGAATGCGAAGACTTAAGCTTCAGTTCCCCTTACTGCCAACTTTCACCACCCTGCATCCCCACTCATCACATTCGCCCTTCAAGTTCTAAGAAGGAATTGAAGAAACCGGGCAAGGCACTAGCAGGCCTTTGTACTCGGTCGCGCACCCTGTACGACATTTGCCATTGCATTCCGTTGCGGTGCTAATGCCGGTACAACTGCAGCCCAGGACAATCGAACTAATCGTGATACAGTCGGGTGATACGCAACCAGTGACCTGAGGGCAAGCTGGGTATTCCGAGGTCGTGACGACTGCACAGAGCTTGCCACTACAGGATGTTGCTGGGACCACAAAGGTGTGTGACTGGCATCCTTGACAGCCGCAAGGCTTCTGCACCGTTTTGGTGACAGCGGGAATGGGGCAGCCGCAAGGTTGGGTTACCTGAGTGGCGATTTCGGGACAGCCCATTGGTTTGCAGGTTTGTGGGGTATCACAGGGAGGGACGGTGGTGGTGGTGATCGTGACGCACGGGGTGGGGGCCTGAGCGACAACTGGGGCGATGAATAGGCTGTAGTATATTGTCAAAAACCTGGGCTGATTTGATTTGAAGTAATACTCACGGTATAGCAAGGCAGAGCGCCGATGTGAGACCGAATCGCGAGATGGCCATTGAATAGAATTGGAAAATTGCAGCTGTAAAAATTGAAGATGTATTTGCAGTTATTGAATTTTTGTAAGATCTAATTTGCCTTTTTGAGTCCGAGAATATAATACGCTGAGGTATTGAAGGACATTCAGCACTCTTATATCTTCCGGTATGGCACCTGGGGTCTTCGTATTAGATCCTACCATGACAGGGGCTGTTATCATTCCCGCAAACAAGATTCGAGGCATTGAGTCACATACATCCTGGGCAGATCTTAGCATGATTACTTCCTAATCCTGGGGAAGGCCGCTGTTCTCAGTCCTTTACTGCCGACACCCCTGTACTGGCCTTGTCAACAGGCTAAACCAGCTAACCCCGCAGTCTGTAAACAGACTACAGGCATGGTAACAAGCTAGAGAAAGCCTAATAGTGCCTTCCTTCAGGCTATCTGCACCTGATCGTTTCTTCCGAAAATACGGAAAGTCGTACTCCGCTCGTAGAGGCGTGGACCATCCCCACACCATGTATTTCCCGCCAATGCAGCTACGCAACTACGTTAAGCATAAATGTCGACTTTATGACGATCATTTGGATACCAGGCTGCCCTACCAACTAGGCATTTCTGGGAATTGTCGGAGCTGTACGAGTCCACATCGTCCTAGTTTACAACATAAATATGCCACGTCCTTCGTTAACTGACGATTAAAGAGTTCACCGATCTATCAAGTTCCTAGACGGCCCAACGGAGCATTCATACCGCCGGCTTATAGCACGGAAATATACCACGAGAAAAATGATTCGCTACAGGTATGTAGGCTCCTGGTGCCTTCAATCTCACGGAACAGCTGGGGTGTCTCATGCACCCCAGCGATCATATAAAAGCAATTTATACCTCATAACGAAGGGTGTCCGATCCAACCCTGTGGCGCAACCTGTATGGAGTCGAACCAATTGCTCCGTGCACCACAAACTCATGTCAGCTTGGGCTGAAGAATGCGCATCTTTTCGTTGCGCAGTGGCAGTCGAAGATCCAGGAAAAGACGAGATCCACGTAGCCATCGACGAAGCCGTCCGCGCCCTCCTGCATGGATCGATTCTTTCGGTCAATACAGTCTGGGACCAATGGCGGGGTATGATGAGCAAAGGCTTCGAGCTCATCGACCACTCGCCTTTGATCGATGTACTCACGCAGGTCTATTATAAGAAGTTTCCCTCACCACCTTTTATTGGCTCGCATTGTATTGGTTGACGGATCTCATCGATATTTGTGATTGGTAGCTTCTTGTTACACCAATCCCATTGAGCCACAGAATTCTAATTTCTTAAAACCCAATTCTAACACACAGATAGCAGCTTCACCACACATTTTCCTTTCGCTATAGCTACAATATATATCTATAGCCAAATGTTCCCTCGTTTTCGATAGCAAGAGTCGGTTCTTTCTCATCGCCTCCGGCCGCCTGGGTTACCCCTCGTTCTTCTTCCTCAAGCTTCTTATTCTGTCTCTGAAGCAATGTCCTCAACACAAGGGCCAGAAAGCCGTTGAAAAACATGAATGCAGCACAAATTGACATTCCTTTTGTATAGAATGGACCTTCAGATTTTGGATAAATCCGAGTGCCCAACAACGGGCCGCATTGCCCTATAATATTTAGCAATGCCATGCCAGCGCCGCGTTTTGAGTCTGTGCCTTGATTGTTTAAAACCCAGGGCAAGATATTAGCTATTGCAGGGAAGATTCCTGCTGCGGCGAGAAATATGGCGAAGTATCGGACTCCGGTTGAAGTCACTGTTGCGAGAATGATATAACCTGTTCCGCCAATCACAGAAAGGCCAATGATCATTAGGCCACGCTGCTGTGTCTTGTCGGCGATCCATGTGCTGGAGATTAACACTAGGAATGATAAGAAGTAGGGCGGGGCAGAGAGTCCCTGCGCATTGATTGACTTGTAGCCCATTCCCTCAAGGATTGTGGGGAGGAAGACAGGGAGCGACGAGAAGCTGACATTGCATGAGAAGTACATGAGCTATACAGAAATTAGCACTGCCGGATAAAGAACCACAGGCAAGACGTCGGATAGCTTACAGCAGTGAGCCAGTTCCTAATATCCATGAGCGCTAATCCAACCTCTTTGAGGTTGATAGAGCCCACTCGAGTAGCGCCCTCTTGGCCAACCTGGCGAATTGCACGCGCCCTAGCGGCCTCTTTTTCTTCCTCGTTCAAGAACCTTGCTTTTTCAGGGGAGTCTGGCATGAAATAGAAGGCGACAAAAGCTATCGCGATTGATGGCAGTCCTTCCACCAAGAATAGCAGCCTCCAATTATCGAGTGCAGCATGGCCTGAAGTGATTCCATAGGCAAGAGCTCCCGCAAAGCAGGTTGCTAACGGGGCAGCAGCGAAGTATATGCCGCAGCGTAAGCCGAGCTCATTTCGCATATAGTAAAATGAGAGGAGGTACGGGATGCCGGGTGCATAACCTGCCTCTGCTATCGCAAGAAAGAACCTGCAAACCATCATGCCAGACCAGTTAAAGGCCGCTGCCTGAAGGGTAGAAGCAAGGCCCCTATTAAAATTTAAATGAGCTTTGGACAGATTAAATAGAATTGGGGTTGCAGCATACCAAGTAAAAACGGTTATGAAAGCCCATATATGTGGCGGGATAAGCTTCCACATCAAAGCTAGCCATTCAAATGTAATATACGGAATGTAAAAGATTGTGAGGAGCCATTGGTATTCGCCATCACTCAAGCCTAGGGATTTACCCATGCCTGCTGTTTGAGCATTGCCAATATTTGACCGATCAAGGAAGGCGAGGAGATCTGAATCTCAATTAGTTACGCTCTCAACTATGAGCAACTTAACTTACATAGACACAAAACTAGGGGCATTAAGTTCATATCTATTTTCCGCACAAGTTGTTTTTGGATCTCGGGCTTTAAATGAACCGTCTGGTTTTCCTCGGCCAGGTCATTCTCAGTTAGGCCGGCTTCGGGGTTCTTCTCAACTGTAGCCATCATTGCCAACAAATAATTCCTTCCGAGGCAATTATTTGAAATCCTTCTGGCACAGCTCTTTATACGGAGCGACTGCGGAATTTACGCGCAATTGCCCTCTGCAGCCAAGTCGGAAGTGAGGCACGCGCCGTGCCCCCTATAACGGAGACCGACCGAAAACGCGGGGTAGCGGTGCTAGGTATAGATGCCGAAGGTGGAGACAACTATCTAAAGCTCCAAAAACGAGTCGCGAAATGTCCGGGCTGTTGTTGTCGATGGCTTCAAGAACACCGAGGGACTGATTCGAAAGCAATATTCGCGGCTTAAATCTCCAGGATTAATGAGACATCATGGATTATTAGTCACCAATGCATGTTCAGAACTTTACCCACATTTTCTTTCGTAGGATTTGAAGCCCACGCAGGATCATTTGATGTGGTTTGGTGGTCTCGCTGATCTCGTGGGATCGGCGCCGATAATTGCTCGTTTTCGGAACACAGATTTGGATTTTGCCAGCACTGTGCGTCGCCTGCACCGGAGAGTATCCTGCACTACCACTCTCGGGAGCTGAAACATGGTCGATCAGACTCTATTCAGAAAAATAATTGTGTAGTGATCAATGCTAACATGTATGATCTCTGATGAAAATAGACGTAAATAAAAGGAGTTGGATACTTTGATTCATTCATTCGTCTAAATATATATCAGTCTATCTTCTACAAGTTTTCCTACCTTGTGCCGCGACATATTTTCATATTCCATGACGCCCTTCTTCCTCCTCTCGCTTTTCTTCTATTGCTTCCCTCTTCAATTTTCTCTCATTCCTCCATCCCGGACCTTTAACCACAACAGCCCACAACAAGAGGCAGGACACCGCATACACAAGTGCCAATAACGTGCCCGTCAAACCCCTCCCAATTTTGTCAAACAATGGCACGGCAATGGCCACAGCCCCCGCAGCAAGCAGGCACCGCAGCACATTATTCGCCGCCGACACCGCCGCGGGACTGTCGGGGTGACAGTCGATCAGCAGCACCGTTATCGTCTGCATCAGCCCTGATGCCGAGAACGCGAAGAGAAAGAGAAGCACGATAACCGCTCCAAGCGGCGGATGTTCAAGTCCCATCACCCAACCGTACGGGACGACTCCCACGCACGCCATGATAACCAGCGGCACCGAGACTTCCAGCCGGGCGCGCTCGACTGGGAAATCATCAATCTCCTGCTGCTGGGACTTGATGATCTCGACGCCCTGGATGCGGCAGTGGCGGCGGAAATTCCAGTCGATGGCCCGGCCAACGACCGTTTTGGCGCAGATGGCTGCGGCGCCTATGGGGATGTAGCAGAGGCCGACTTGGATGGAGTTGTAGTTGTAGGTGGAGCTGAGTTGGGAAGGGAGACTGGCAGTTATCATGCTGAAGCCGGCGAAGTATAAGGCGCAGAATATCATGAGGAGGCAGGCCTCTTTTTCGACGAGGATGGAGAGGGATGCGAGAAGGCTCGGTCTCTTCTTGTTCTGGATTGTGTTGTGCGCCACGGGGACGTTGTTCTTGCGGAGCTTTCGCTGGGTCAGGTAGGTCATGAGGGAGACGTTCCATTTTTGCGAGGGAACGGAGCCGTTGCCGACGATGTTGCGGCAGGTTTCAGGCATGAAGAGGAGAATAGAGCAGAGCATGACCCCGGCGTAAATGTCTAAGAACCAAAAGATAGATCTCCAGCCCAGAAAGTGCGTCAAGAGACCGCCGATGATGGGACCAAGTGCAGGGCCAAGCGACTGTCCCATCGCTGCCAGACTCACGTAACTGCCACGTTCAGCCCTCGTGGCTACGTCTGAGACTACCCCATTGGAAATTGAAATTGTACCGCTGCAGCCACTACTCTGGATGCAGCGAAGGACAAGTAAGGCAGCGAAACTGTGCTGCAACGCGAGACCCGTGTTGGCGGCAATGTAGACGACGAAGCAGGTCAGTAATGCAGGCCTTCGGCCGTATTTGTCGGAAATACCACCAACAATAGTCGGTGCAATGCCTTGAAAGATCTATATTGCATGGTTAGATAGGTCTTCAAATTGTCGTGTGAGGGGTCGCACCAGGTAGGTAGTAATTGTCAAATTTATCTTGGTGGCTGTGGTATTAAGATCCTCTGCCAGGAGATTTAGGGCCGGATAGTAGATAGTAGAAGAGACTGGACCGGAAAAAGCAGCTAAAGACGCAGACCATGCATATAGTCGCTTTTCAAACTCTGAAAATATAGAAAAAGGCTGGTCGTCTACAACGGCAACATTGTCATTCTCGACTTCTGTGGCGACAACTGGGCCATTTGAGGTCGCTGACAGCAGATCTGATTGATCTGGCAACTTTGGCTCATTGTTCATGTCTGATTTTGCTATGGGCGCATCTGTAACCCAAGGTAAATTGAAAATCAACCATTTTGACTTTTAGGGCGGTATGTATTCTATTTATTGTATTGCGCCTTACAAGATTTGCGGTTCTTACATGGTTGTCGGAGCGAAACCGCTCCATCGGCGTTCGGCGGCCCGGCCAGCATGCCACTTGAGGATTGGATCTCGGATTTTACTTTTATCTCCTGATTCCAGCTTCGGTGAAGAAAACACGTCGATCCCCTACCTATATAATATATAAAAGGTGTTCTTCTCATTGAGACATTCAAAGAGAACGATTTTTTACAGTAAAGTGTTCAAATCTATCACCACCAACATTACCCCCACCACAATTCTCACATACCAACCCCCCCTCAAACCTCATCAACACCCCCTCACAAACAAAAATGTCCAAAACCGCCCTCCTAATAATGGACCTCCAAAACGGCATCCTCGACCGCGTCCCCACCGCCTCCTCCCTCCTCCCCCTCTACGCCACCACCATCGCCTCCGCCCGCGCCTCCTCCATCCCCATAATCTACATCAAACTCGGATTCCGCCCGCAGCACCCCGACGTCTCCCCCCTTAACAAGATGTTCGAGCGCATCAAGCCGTTCGGTGGCTTCATTGAAGGCAGCGACGCCACCGCTGTGCACCCCTCCATCGCGCCTATCGAGGGGGATATAATCGTCACGAAGCGCCGGGTGTCTGCGTTCGCAAGCACGGATTTGGAGCTAGTGTTGAGGAGTTTGGGGGTGCAGAGGGTGGTGGTGGCGGGGGTGTCGACGAGTGGGGTGGTGTTGTCGACGGTGAGGGAGGCGGCGGATAGGGATTATGGAGTTACGGTGTTGAGGGATTTGTGCTTTGATGGGGATGAGGAGGTGCATAGGGTGTTGGTGGAGAAGGTGTTTCCGAAGCAGGCGGATGTGGTGACGGCTGGGGAGTGGGCGGCGGGGTTGAAGGGGGTGGAGGAGGTGAAAGAGGAGTGAGTGTGTTGGGTTGGAAGCTATAGACGATACAAGAGTTGTGCTGGGTGTGTCGACTACGGATTTTTGTAGATATTGCTAGTTGAGACTAGATAGGACTAGAACTATTGTTTGGGTATCTTTTTATACATACATTATACCAGCTCTAGGTGATAAAATCAGCCAAGCTAGTCGAAAAATCATCATCCCAGATATAGCTCGGATTCGGATAATCCTGCCAATAATCCATAATACAATCCTCCATCAACCCCGCCTCCCCCCCATCCCCTCCCCCCCCATCACCACCAGCTGGCGTCGGTAATCCTATACACACACACAAATCAGCACAAAACTCATCCCCCACAAAATACAAGCAATCAACATACCCTTATCAGCAGCGGCAGCATTCACCCCCCCCTTATGACAGGTACTAAATACATGCCTCCTCAAAAAAGTATCATACGTCAAACTCGCCGCCATCCTCGCCTTAATCCTAATCCTCGGTTCCCCCGGCTGTCTCTTATACGCCACCTCACACGCCCCCCACATCTCCGCCATAACACACGCCCCCTTCTCCGGGCCATCACCCTCTCTAATCGACATCCTGCGCATCGCGAACACCGCGCTGTTAAACAGCAATTTCCCCGCCGCAGCGTCGAGGTACTCGGAGTATGTGGAGTTGATGGTTGTGATGAGCACGATGCACGCGGTGCAGAGGAGGCGGAAGGTGTGAAGCGGGGCGTAGAGGAGGCGGTCGTACCAGCCGTTGCTGTCGGGGTGGCTGGTTATGAGACGTGTGATGAGGGTGCTGGCGGCGTGGTGGGCTTTGAGGATGCCGTTGCGGCGGGGCTCGGTGAGGGTGGAGTCGAGGAAGTGGTAGAGGTTTAGGTAGAGGCGGGCTTCGCAGTGGCGGAGGTGGTTGATTTCTGGGAGGGGGGAACGGGGGTTAGTTGTGTTTTATCTGGGGAATGGGGGCGGACTCACCGGAGAGTTGGCTTCCGAGTTGCTGCTCGATGACGTTTAATTCCTCTTCTAGCAGCATTAGTTGGAGATACCTGTCATGCTCGAGTGGAAGACCGGTGCTATTCGCGCCCGTCATCATCGCTTTAGTAACCCGATAGCAAAACCGCTGAATAATAAGACAATGCCTAATCTCATCAGGCAGGCTAAAGGTTCCAAGCCCATTATCACACGCCTGATCAATCGCCCAGTCAAAACAAGGCCCAGCCGACCCATGCCCGAAATCCGCCGTAATCCTACCACCAGTTAGAAAAATCAAACCGTAACAAAAAAAAAAAAGGAAGGTGGAAATCTCACGACTGGCTAATAATATTACAAGCCGCCCATGTCCTCATCCTCTCGCTCGTCTCGCTCTCATTAACCACAAAATCTACATACTGCCTACTCGGCCTCGCCAGAAACTCCTTAGGATGCTCAGGTCTATGGAGTCCAATCTGGATTGCAGACGTAACAGCGATGTTGCTCAGCATAAACGATGGATCAGTCCATACGCGATTTGATGGCAGCGGCCAGGTGCACAGTATGATGAACGCTTGGACGGGCCAGAGGTTCATCAGTTCCGCTGCCGATATCTGCACCGTCTTCCATAGGAGAGTCGATACTGGACCAGTTAGACTCTCTAGGAGACGGGGGTAATCGCGGTGTCGACGCGCGGCAATAGTTATAATCGCCCAAAACAACAGGGTCGAAGATTCGTAATACTGGTCTGGAGACCGCGCTGGGTCTAGTAGGGGGAGAAACGGGTGGAAACGCGCGAAATACCTGGGACGTTAGAAAATTGAACTCTACGATCGCTTGTAATGGGGGTATACTCACAGTCTGAACAACGAATCAATCTGACCCGCGCTAACCTCAACCCCTTCAAGAACCCGAGCTGTCGTACCCTCCGGACCGGGTGTGACACCCTCAATCCTCTCGGCCGTCACAGGTCGCTCAACAGCTCGCGGTACACCCGCACTTCTCTCCCCAGGCCCTTCACTCTCCCTCCCTCTCACTCCCACAGCACTACCCTCCTCCCCGCCCATAGTCCTAGGTGTCGCCGGCGCCCCCTCCTCAACCCCCATACTCCCCCCCATCGGCGCCATAGACCCCCTCAGCGACCTTAACTCAGCACCCCCCCCCTGCTCCGCAGCTTCCAACAACCTCTCCACCTGTCTCTCAAGCGCTTCAACTTTACTAATTCCCCCATTAGCCCATCTACCACCTCCCAAAACAACCCTCCCTAAGGTATAAGAAAGCTAAAGCTCACCTCCGTTTATTCGACCTCCGAAACCCCTTATCAGTCCGACACTCCACCCCCAACCTCTCGCAGCGCGCACATCGATCAGAGGGCCCAACACAGCGAACTTTCGATTCACGACATAATGTACACGCAATCCGTTTCCGCTTCGTCGCTGTGCCTGGGGAGCCACCAGCGGCGGAGGTGGCTGCAGGGGGTGCGGGTGGCGCCGCGCTTGCAGTCGGGGTAGGTGTGGAAGCTTGGCGCGTGGTGGAATTTATATTTGCAGCATCCATGACTGCGGGGGGTGGGAATAGAGTAGTGTATTATTTGTGCGATGTATGGGGAGCTAGGAAGCTGGATGGAGGTTGTGGTGATGCTGTGGACGGTGGTGTTGGGGGATGTGAGAGCGGACCGATGGACGCCGAGGGATGCCGTGTTCGCTCCGATGTGGCGGGTGATGACTAAGCGATTTGGGCTTTAGTGCTGGGGGTGAACGGAAATAACGGCAACTACGGAGGGCTGGGATGGAGGAGGCGCTCAGATGTGAGGGGGTGGGGTATGATTGAATTTCAATAATAGGCTAGTAAGTTGGAAATAGTCCCGAAGAGGCAGGTTCTAAGAGGCCAAAATTGTTTTGCCAGCACTAACCCTCAAGCTCCTATTTTTGGACTTGGGGTAGATGTACGGAGTACAGGTAGATGATTCATGAGGTTACATCACACACACGACACAGCATAAATCACAATCAAAAAGGGTCAAAATATACAGTTATATCTCTTAGTAAAGAGTCGCACATAGATTTGCTTTCCAACTATCTTGTAAGTTATATATTATCATACAGCCCAAGTCCCAACCCTCACCCAGTGAGTCTTAGGACGGGCGAAAAGCTAAATCCAAAAAGAAAAAATCCAACTTTCCCATCATCATCATCCCACCCATCTACTGCTTCGGGGTCATGCCGAACTCCTCGTTCGCGGCAATCGCCGGGGGCTGGTTGACGCTCTTGTTCTGGGAGTTCTCCTCGACGACGTTGGCGGTTCCCTCGAGGGTGAGGTGGTAATCGCCGTTCTGGGAGAGGGTGTACTCCTCGGTGTTCATGTGCTTGAAGGTGAACCAGAAGACGACGGTGAGGACGCAGCCGACGATGGCTGGTCCGCCGAAATCCCAGGTCAGGTAGGGGTCGCGGATGACGGAGGAGCAGGCGAGGCCGATGGCGTAGGCGACGGCGGTGTTGAAGAGGTTGATCGCCGAGACGAGACCCCTCATGTTCTTGGGGGCGCGCGAGTAGGCGATGCCGTAGGCGGGGACGTTGACGAACAGCTCGGAAATACCGCCGATGGCGAAGGGGATGGCCATGTACCAGATGCTGATGGGGGCGACCTGGGAGACTCCGTTGGCGTCAACGCAGTTGTCCGAACCGAACTTTCCGCACGGGCCGAGCTTGTAGGCGTAGTAGTTGAGCACGGTGTAGCCGATACCAGCCATGGAGGACATGGCGAGACCGGTGGTGATGCGGGCAATGGGGCCGAAGTGGATGTTGCGCTTGCGGAGGAAGGGGTAGAGACCGTAGTTCAGGATAGGAGCGCAAACGATAATGGAGAGAGAGTTGAAGTTGTTGATGACGTCGTTGGGGACACCGTTGGTGACCAACATGGTCGACAAGAAACTGGCCGCGGAACCGATACCATTGTCGTTAAGGTACTGGATTGGGAAGAAGCAGAAGATACCGGTGGCCTGGAAAGCACGGCGGACATCCTCGACGAACTGGTCGTTCCACTGCACAGGAATAATCCTGCCAGAGGCGGCGATGACGGAAGGCTTTGCCGGCTCCCAGAAGCCGTGGCGACCGATTCTCTTCCATCCACCACGCGAGAAGCAGATACTCAGAACACGGAAGACGTTGGGCAAATCAGATCCTGCCGGTGGGTGGAGAACGAGGCGCTTGCTGAGGTACCACAGGAGGAGGGGAAGAGGAAGGTAGAGGATGAGCGGGAGGAGGAAGCCCAGCCAGAAGCCAATGTACTTCTCAGCGTAGGTAGTAGCGACCTGCACGAATCCACCGATGTTGATGAGGAGGTAAAACCAGAGCATGACTCTCTCGGTCGTGGACTCGGGGTCAACAATGACTCTCTCGCCCGACTTCAGGGTCTTGACCTTGGGGACGGTGTCTGGCATTTGATCGAGGAGCAGGGGAGACACATTCGGCTTGAACATGGCTAAAAAAAATGTTAGCAAATGCGCTCCAGAGAAATCCTCGAGAATCGAATTTACTCACCACCACCAATAGCAAGAATGTAGACCGAGATAAAGTAAGGCGCCTTTGCGTTTCCGCTCTCCAAGAGCGGCTTCGCAGAAGCACCAACCATGAGCACGTGAGAGATACCGAAGACAACAACACCCCAGCAAATGAGCTTGAAGCGACCAGTGCGGGCATCAGCTAGGTAACCGAAGAGAAGAGGAAGAGCGTAAATCAACATGTTGAACGACTGGTTGACGGCGTTGGCCTTGACGGTACCCATGCCGAGCGCACCAGCGGTCTGCTGGGTGCCCCTGGGGGGAGCGCCCCAACCGTTACCGCCCTTGGGCAGCGGGCGGTTGACGAAGTTGTTGATGAGACCCACGACACCGTAGTACGAGGCACGCTCGCAGAACTCGACGGCGCAGATCAGGTAGGCGACAGCGGGGAGGGAGCCGGGCACACGGCGCAGAGTCGCCTTCTCCTCATCGGTAGGCTTGTTCTCATAGTCGTCGTCGATGGCGAGCTTCTCCTCAGAGACATTGGTAATGGCATGACGGTCGATCGAGTCGGTTCTGATTCCCTTCTCGTCGGTAACGTCAATGGACTGGTCGATTTCCCTGGTTGCTGCATTCGAGTAGAGTTAGCATGCGATCTTGATCCTCATGGCTTGTGATTGCCTTTTATTGCAATGGTGAATGCATACCCATCTTGAATACCTTTGGTGTGAAGCGCACACACGACTAGGAATAGGCCAAAGGGTTAGAGATAGGAAAAGAAGAAGAAGCGGGAGACGCGACGAGGGTTTTATTGTTTCTCCAGGGAGGGAGGGAGCTTGGAGAGGGAGGGGGGGGGTCGGGATGAATTGGACTAGGTGGGGTCGTTTTTGGGGGTGGGTGGATGTTGGACGGAAGCAGGGGAGCAGGGGAGCAAGGATAGCAGGGATTAGAAGGTGTGAGCAGGGATTTGGTAAGGACGGACAGGGGTGGGGGGAAAGAGAGGACAAGGGTGGAGAAGGGTGTGGCAGGGGTGGGAAAGGGACAGGGGATCGCATGGGGAAGGAAAGTAAAGACAAGCGTGATGGCGTGTGCGTGTCTGTGTGTAGGAGGAGTACAGTACGAGGAGTACAGTACGAGGGAGGGAGGAGAAGGAGCTAATCACGAGTAATCGGGGAATGGGGGAAGGAGTGGGAGTGGGAGTGGGAGTGGGAGTGTGGGAGTACATGATGGTACTTGGTAGAGTCTAGATAGATAGAGTCTAGATAGAGTCTAGATAGAGTAGGTAGATAGAAGATGATTTGAGTTACTGGATTGGATTGGATACTGGATTGGATACTAGAGACTGGATACTGGGGAAGACGTGGTTGAGTACAGTTAGATTACAGTAGTGCATACATTTACATGACATTCCCCAGTTCTCCCTCGTGTCAGTCCCGTGTCAGTCCCGTGGCTCCTCGGATGTAATTGATTCAGGGTCAATTGGGGGTTGGGGGACGGTGGCGGATGGGTGGTGATGAGTGGTGATGGGTGATGGGCGATGTGCGATGGGAGGCGATGGGAAATGATTATCGGCGCTTGACTTGAGGGGAGGCGAGAAAGAAAGGGTACCGGGAATTGCCATGGGCCAAGGGCCACAGTTAGTGCCAAGATAGGGAAAAGTGGTGCCAAGGTGGCGCCAAGATAGCGGGTGCGAGGTGCAAGAGGGCGGAAGGTGGGAAGGTGGGAAGGTGGGAAGGGGGAGAGAGAGATGGGGAGGCCGAGAGCGTGATTGACGTGCGAGGAGAGGGGTGTGATTGGTTGGGAGGGCGGAGGGAGGAGTGGGGAGGAGTGGAGGAGGAGTGGTGGGAGGGTGGTGGAGTGGGAGAGGGAGATATGGATGATGGGATGATGATTGATGGATAGGGAGATAAGTGTCGAGTCGTGTTGAGGATGGGATGCTGAGTAGATAGGGTAGAGTAAGTAAAACAGTATATACAGATAGATACAACTAATACAATTGATAGAATTGATACTATTGATAGAATTGATGCTATTGCCAACAATTTCCAACAGTTTCACTACTATTGTCGTCATACAGTCAACTGACTTCAGGTACAGCACGGGATAGAACTGCGCGCAGAGATACCTCCTCCATTCGGCTCGACTACTACCCTCTCCCTCGGAGAATTAACACCATTAACACCACCAGTAATGGTAATCACGGGATTCGTCGATTCGGCTTGTGGCAATTGGGAATTGGTAGCTGGGGGGGCTGGCTGGCTGATGATGATGATGATGATGATGAGGATGGTTGACCACCTTCCCTTCTTTCTCCTTCCTACCCACTCCCACTCTCCCCCATACCCATCCTAAACCCATCCCCCATTTCCCCCATTTCCCATCACCTCCCTGTTCCAACTGCCAGAGCGATACCTAGCACTACAAACACCACTACAAAAGAATACAACAGTACAAACCGCACCAGGGACCACGAGGGTCCTTCCCACCCAAGACACCAGGGACACCAGGGACTCCCCCATCCCCCCCAAAAACGCCAACAGGGCACCCACCACACAAATCCCCGCCATCCCCAATCCGGCAGGAGCAACGGGGACGTCCGAGCTTGCAACGTTGCGATCTGCCGGGCAACCCCTGCCCACACCAGACGCCACCACCAAAACCCCCCGCTAACGCACCATCCCAGAATAGGAAGGTGCTTATCTCCTCCCCCATCCGTATCTAGCGCCTGCATTAGCGAGCTGCCAGCAAAGCTTAAGCGATGGGCGCGCCGGGGGGGCGTCGCAGCGGGTTTACGGGCGTCGCAAATGGCTGCGAGTCGTGGGTCGCGCCATCGCACTGATGGGGACTAGTGGCTGAGAGGGAACCCGGACTAGGCTACTAGGTCCGTTGAGAGTTTGACCGAGATGGGTGCTGATATTGCGCCGTGGGGCCAATCAGGACAGGGGGTTTGCAAACAGGAAGGTGGATAGGGAGACATTTTTAGGGAGGGAGGGTCGTGTGCCCAAGTATGCAATGCAGATGAACTTGTCCCCGGTATGGTATACGTGCTAAGGCTGTTAGGTATCGTAGGTATCGTAAGTGCCGTATAGGGATTAGTGGGATGTCCGCACCGAGCTTCAAGTGTTCGGCGTTGCGGGCGCTGTTTGGTCGGCTTTACACCTGCTGTGCGTGCGCGAGTGCGCGAGTGCGCCGGCTGTACGATGTACGACGACGTGATGCGATCCTGCTGTGTACTCCGGAGTAGTGCGTTACGGAGAACGGGGTACGGGGTATGCTATGCTATGCTATGGGATGGCGATGACAGTATTGCGAGACACGATGATGTACTATCCTCTCCATCACGTTCTTCACTCAAACAGTGGTGCGCACCATAATCGCCTCCCCTCGCCCCCAGATGCAACCCTCCTCCCCATCCCCCAATCCCCCAATCGCCGACATGATGAAGTGACGATCACCGCACATCTCCCCGGGGCAAACCCGCGTGGCAATCCATCAATCCATCCATCCAGCAAGGCAGCGGCAAGCATGCCGTCTCGCATCACAACCTCGGCCATCCACCACCACCCCACGCCCACGAGGCAAAACTGACACTGACACCTCCTCCATCCCCAACACGCGCATAGAAAAGGCTTGAACCGGGCGTGCGCGTGCGCGGACCCAACACCGCCGTCACGTCCCCGCGGCTTGGCCTGCCTCATCTCACCCCCTTCCTTTTGCAACTTCTCAATGCGGACATCTGTAAATAATCTGCTTATCGATCAGGATCCATCGCGGACTTCCTGGGTGATGTCAACCTTCCCTCTCGGTGTAGCGCCTACGTAGCGGGAAAGGGGAGGAGGAGGAGAGACGCGTGGTCGAGACTGGACTGGCTGGACGTGGGGAAACTGGGGGGGGATTGATTATTGATCCCGCGCTCCTTCCTTCCTTCCTCCTTCCTGCTGCTGTGATGTGGTGCTGCTGATCCAATTTTGATAACCCACGTAACTACACTACACTACACAAAACCCGTCTCATTAAAGCCTAGTTACCCACCTTCACATCTGGGAGAATAGGGAAGCTCGACCCCATTCCTCTCCACACACCAACCATGCAGCCGCTCGCTGGTATCGCTATTGCCCATGCCTCCCCCATCCCTGCGACCACGCCGCGCGCGCACGACGCTTCGACTACCCATCCCCCCAGCCGCTGTTCCCGAGCTTCCAGAACGAGCAGGCGCTGCAGCAGGACCGGCGGTTGGGAAGGGTGTGAGTGGGTCGGGGGGGGGGGCGTTGTTAGACCAGAACAAGACAATTCACAGCGAGCGACCAACGACTGGAAAAAGGCACTATGAGGAGGAGGAAATAGGGACTATTGGAATCCTCCGTCGTGAGTGTGTCCCAAGTTCTAAAGCGGACGGCATATTCCTATGGAAAAATTGTTAAGATCTTGGCTGGGGTGGAGTTTTTTCGCCTTCCAGCCCTGGATTGGATTGGCATCCTGTGTTTAAAATAGGAAGTTCTTGGGCGGGCGGGGGGGCGTGTTTGGCGGTAGGCTACTGGGCGTGATAATGGGCAATTATCAGACGCCGAGCCCCTACCAAGGAGGGAGCCAGTGAAGTTTTTCGCGGTAACGCGCTAGTACCGTGCCAATGCCAGAGAGGTTTACAGTATCAAACACCGAAAGGGCGTAAAAAAAAAAAAAAAAAAAGCTTACACATACCATACTGACTTGAACTTGTATACGATGAACGGGCGAACGTCCCTCTTCGCGCCCCATCGGATCTTATCAAGCCTTTACTAAGGAACAAGGAACACGCCCACGGCAACTATCCTGCCGTCTTGTAGAGTAATCAACACCCACCACCAGCCGCGCGACGGCGACAGCGACCGCGCGCGCGCGACGACGAGATTACCCCCCCACCGCCATCACATGTTCCAGGCGCTTACCTCCGAGTCTCCGGGTCTCCCACTCCCTACCTCCCCACCTACTGCGCTCCCCACCCCACCTACGTATCTGTCTCGCCCGCCCCGGCCCCGTCTCCTTGTCCAAATTGCAATATGCGCGGAGCGCGGTCACGGCAAAGCTGTCAGGCAGGCCAAATTCCATTGCACGAGATAGTGGGCCGAAGTCGTGATTTAGCTGCCCTTTTTTCTCCCTCGGTCCTCGCCTATGGTCCAGGCGCGCTGAAACAGCTACGAGGGGGCCCTTATCTCCGTACATTAATTCGGCATCCCCGTTCGGTTCGCCACTTGTGGCGGAGGCGGCGGCGAGATAATATGCGATTGGGAAGTGTTAACTCCGTTACTGGATATTTTGTAGCGCCGAGAGGGGCGCGCCGGAACTCCTATCTGCTCTATCTCTATCTACCCCATACCCATAAAAATCTCCATTCCTGTTGAGAGAGACGTAAGCCTGGGAGGGAGAGATAACGTGCGTTGCCGAGGTCTCCCGCGGATACGAGGCGATCGGGAAATTGGACGTGTGTCTGTGTGTGTGTGTGTGGTTAGTTCCCCAGCCAACGGTTTTCAAGTACAATGTAGAAGACGGGATCAACGGCGGGCCAAGTTCCTTGGTTCTGTGACTTGTTCTGGATGCAGCGGGTGGTGTTCTACGGGCTTTTTCTTGGGAGCTTGGGAGGCGGTGCTTGGGGTGCTTGGGGTGCTTGGTTGTTTTTGTGGTTTCTTTGTGGCTGCAGATGGCTTTGGGAGGCGTGGTACAGAGTTGGGGGGGGTTGTGTGTGTGGCGTTCATGTGCCGTGTTGATGTGGCTTGGTGGGTGGTGTGGCTGATGTGTTTCTTTCAGAGGACGTTATAATCATTGTAGCGTAAACCAGTAGATCTCTCTAAAGGGCTTTTTTTATCGTGGGGGAGATTGGAAATGCAGTAAGTCTGTATTGACTGGCCCTGGTTTGGCTGGGGGGAAGTATTTAGAAACGATACCCTTACATGCGTACAGAGAGCTAACTTGGCGCCTTGAGGGGAATGGAATCAAGAGTGAGAAACACCGCTTTCAATCCAATCGTGGATAAGAAGGGTAAATTAAGTCACAACCATTCCGCTGGCTCTATCTATTGGTATCGTCATTAGTAATTACATCTTCGGTGGAACTGTAACAATGCGCCTTTATGTCCTACTCAATTTGCACAGCTCACTCATTCGAAAACAGGCCATCTGTCAAGCATATTCTTACAAATATGTCTGTTCTTTGAGTAGCAGTTTACGTCGCGCCACCTATTATTGTCCTTGGCTCTGACGGAAAATACCAAGAAGGCCGGGTTTGGTCTTCGATTTCATGGACTCTGATGTACTCCTCGGCGGAAGCTGTCCACGTTGTTACTCCGATCACGAAGCAGCAAACCCTCGAGTTGATAGAATGGATTAAGAAGATTGCACTAGATCGTAAGCTTCCATACGTCTACATTGCCCACGCTCGTGGGGGACTGCAGCCACACTACCATTAATTCATACATAGTCAGGGGCCTTACTCCTCTAAGAACGATCTCTTTAGGCAATAGAATGGCTTCTTCCCTAAGTCTGAAATTAACAATGATAGCTGTAGAGTGAAGGAACTTAGATCTAGGCCATTAATTGCATTACTATATAAAAAATCTATTCTTAAATTACCTAGGTCTTCACTAATCATGATATTCTCTTAGAGGAATAAAAGTAGAAATATGTATAATTTTTTTTAAAAAGTAACAATATTACAAACCAAGTTAATAATGATGCTATAATTATTAAGTATAGCAAGCAGCGTGATTTTAGTAAAATAATTAAAATAATTCAGTTCTACGTTAAGCACATGCTAAATGGGCTTTTTTCCCTAGGTAGGAGGCTGTTCTTTGCTTGCTTTCTAACAAGCCATTTTTATTGCCTATAGAGATTTCTAGCTACATGTTTTCTTAAGTCTTCCATGTTATAGCTAGTACGTAGTAATCTCCCTTTCAATACGGAACTGGCTCATTCGTCTCAATCCACTGTTTCAAAACCTCCGGGTGATCCATAGGGGGAATCATGCCATTGATCCTCCAATTATCACGAGGGTGGTCGTAGACGTTGAACTCCCACTTCATGCACTTCTCTCCCAGAACCGGCCGCATAATCCCATCCACCCTATCAACGAACATCAAGCGCGCCTCCTCGGATTGTGGTTTTCGAGCTGCGTGATCGATGTGGAAGAAGACCGAGTTGTGGTTGGCTTTGCCACCAGCGTAGAAGCCGCCGACGGAGTGCTCGTGGAAGAAGACGTTAACCCAGAACGCGGGGAGTCCCAGGTCGGTATACAGTTGGGTTACTTTTTCGGCGATTTGGTCCTTGTCGTCGCGCGAAATGGCGCCGGCGGGGTAGTGAATGGTCCAGCGGGGCATTTTGAGATGGTCGTCTCGTGGTGTAATGGATTGAGGCTTGGTGTGGGAAATAGACGTGCGTCTTGAAGATGGTTTGATCGGTTTGAAGCACGACTGATTTGGCAAACCAGACATCTTCATTTATATCTAGAAGCTCAAAATACAATATAAGGAGTCAAGCTCGGCTTCGATGATTACTGATCTAGGCGTAGCCGGCTACCTGAAGCTACCCCACGGCTACCCCGCGACTACCCCGCGAACGAGTGATTCAATTGCCTGTAGTGATAATCTCTCCTCACTTAGCTCACAATCCAATATCTAATATAGTAGAGTGAAGCTCGGCTCCGATGATTACTGATATTAGTTGTAAGCCCACCTCGGCTTGAAGTGTAAAGAAAGTGAAATACATGATGATATATTATATCTCAAACCACGTACTTAAGATGCAACACCCACCAAGCCACTCTTCTCGATCCAACAATCACTTTCCTTGACCCTAAGATGACTTCCATACTTCGTGCAGACGTTCACGTCTCAAGCAGACTTCCGCTCGCCATCACGCGAATGGGCGAGTCGAGCGCATTCTCTCCAATCTCCTGCACACTGATCCATGGCGACCGCGAAGCCGTTCTCGTCGACACACCGCTCTCCATCTCTCAGACGGAATCTCTCATCAAATGGATCGAAAATGTCATGCCAAACAAGGAGCTAGCTTATGTCTATATTACGCATGGCCATGGTGATCATTGGTTTGGAATTCCACTTCTCAAGAAGCGGTGGCCGAATCTCAAAGCTGTCGCTACCAAGGCGACTGTCGAACATATGAAGCGCCAATTAACCCCGGAGTATTTGGATAACCGCTGGCTCAAAATGTTCCCCGGAGGCCAGATCTTTCAACCGCAAGAGGTGGCCCAGCCGATGGAGACTGATACATTCATGATCGAGGGTCACACTTTCCGTGCTATCGAGGTAGGACACACAGACACTGTTGATACTACTATATTACACGTTCCCGACATCCATCTCGTCGTTGCAGGAGATGTAGTTTATGGCGACGTTCACCAGTTTTTCGGCGAAGCAAACACCACAGCTAAACGGGAAGAATGGTTGAGAGCAATTGAGACCATCGAGTCCTTGAATCCGCACACGGTAGTCGCGGGACACAAACGGGAGGGTTCTGTCGATGGGATATATAATATAGCGGCAACTAAGGAATACATCCGAGCATTCGAGAGTGCGACGAAGACGTGCAAGAGTGCGGAAGAATTATACGAGCACATGCAGCAGTTGTATCCCAACCGCATCAATCCTCATGCGATTTTAGCCGGAGCTACCGCTGCTTTCAAGGACGAGGCTTCTAAATAATGTAGAAGCATTTGTTCATCCACCTGCTGATCTCTCCTTCTGTCCGTGACGAATAATTACAAGCGTGGACTCCTGATATAACCAAGGGATGTAAATGGAAAGTTAATACAAGCCTCCTAGCCCTACGAACTTTTAGGCACTCAAGTGTAGAAATTATTTTAGGATACTAGATATGAAAATGGTAATATGAAATGTTTTAAATTACCCTATAAAGTGCTCTACTATCATGAAATCATCGCCTGCAGAATACTGTCATTGCGGCATTTTCTGTTGTAGCTTTCGCAGCACATTTATTCATAAGCAGAGCATTATCTCTGCTTGGGAGAGAATGAGGCGGCGACGAGATAATTAACATACACATCCCCATAATTTTACGTGACACAAGTAATCTTACAACAATAAGGGTATCACCTTGAACCAGCCAAGATCATCCAAACACCGCCTCACAACACACCCTCGTCGACACTCTCCGCAAACCACGGATGCTCCAGCGCCTGCGCCGCCGTGATCCTCCCCGCCGGATCCAAAACCGTCATCTTGCCGACCAGATCCCGGAACCCAGCATCAACAAAATGCCATGTCGCAAACGGTTTCCTGGGTTCCGCCGCGTTGAAGGTGCCCGCGAGGGTGATGAGACGCTCAAAGAATGGGTTTTCCTCGCCGATCCATTGTAACAGGCCCTGGAAGCCATCTTCTTCGCCGAAGAAGGATATATGGCGTCTGAGGATGTAGCGCCACGAGTTGCTGGCGGCTAGCTCGGAGTCGCTGACGCGGAAAAACATGTTGTTTAGCATCACGAAGATACACTGGATGATGCGTGAGCTCTTTCGGGAAAGTCGGATGAAAGGTAAGGATATACGTACCACGATTCCGAAGGAGAAGATGTCAGATGGGGTGCCTTGGGCGGCGCGGCGGGCCCAGGACTCGGGACTCCTCCACAACTGGTTGCCGCAGAGCCCGTCCCTTAGGTATTTCCCGAGGGGGAGAATGAGCGCATCCTCCAGGTCCGAGATCTGGACTTTCGTAACGCTGAAAGTGTCACCTGTCTTCTCATAATCCAAGAGAATGTTGTTTGGCTTTATATCTGTCGATAATAGTTAGCGCGTGAATGCAATGGACTCCACCAAGGAAATATACGGGAATATGCCGAACCTACCATTGTGAGCAATGTTTTTCTCATGAAGAGCAGCCAGACCAGCAAGAGCACTCTTCAGCATGCCCTTCCTCGTCGCTACAGATAAGCTCTTCTGGCTGAACTGAAGAAAGTTGGTTTCCAAAAATGGATAGATGGACAACTCAGGGTTGGGAAGGCCATCTACCACGGTTCGCAAGTTGGGACACGAGGCCACGGACTTCTGCAAGTCTTGTTGATACTCATATTCGCCTGGTATCATATTTTTGATAACAAAGCTCTGTCCTTCAGCGCTTGTTCTTGTCAGCACTGTGTGACGGCTCCTGATCACGAGATTTGGGTCATACCTGGCGCGGTAGACACATAGCAATGGATCCCGCCGTTCAGCAAGCACCCCATATATAGTGTAAGTTCGCCCTGACTGGCCACGGAGTGTTGCGCCTTGTGTGAAAGGCTCCTTGGGCACTGGGACCTGAGATGATATGGTTCGACGTGAAGACGCGACATGATTCTGCAAACGCCAATTCCCGGGAACTAGAATGGCCCATGGGGAAGTGCGTGCAATTATTCGACGTGTACAAAAAGAAGTTACGGGTTGTAAGATAAGGTACCATGTTGATATGCTGCAATTAAACACGTTCGTTGGCCTGCATATGAGGCATTTAGGAACGCTGTAATATGTGACAAACAGACTAGGATAATGAGAGTAAATTAAAAAGAAATACTGCCTTGGGCTCTATATAATATTTAGAGTTACTCGAGTATTATTATCCAAGAAGAGTGACTGTCGTGACATATTCGAGTGCTAACAGCCTTATGGGATAAGTTCGTCGTCACTGCCCGAGCTTAAGTTCCCCACCCAGAAGATATTCCGGCCCGCTCGAGGCACGCCGCAGAAGCGAAATAAGCTTGGTGGGGTAGTTGGGACCGCAAAATTCTTTTGCCCTGAACTCGTCACGATTGGCGATCCGACGACGACGTGCGCAAAAACATTCGAACTGCGACATACACAACCTATTGAGCTTCAGATCGAGAAGCAACACTGTATGTAACATTCTGTGTCCCCAGTTACTGTCCGCTGTTGTCGCGCCCACAGTTACCCTCACATGGATTGACTGACATATTTAACGCTTCAGAATTTTAGCCTTCTTTCCGACCTTGGCGGTGCGCAACGATCTTGGGTGCTTCAACATTATTAAAACACCCTACCAGCCATATGCGCTGAATATATATCTATACCCGAAATTACCCAGTGCTCAAAGTGAGCCTTATCTCGACATCAGAGCCGACTCAGCTACGTCTTGCCTGGCGGTTGACCGAGCTTGTATAACGATTTTACCCCGCCATCAAGAGCCCCCGTTCTATGAGCACCAGGGTCCTCCTGCGATTCCTCTCCAAGCCCGCAAAGTATGTTATAGCTTCCTTCCCAAATACACAGTACTGCCCGATGCTGCGAATGGCTGCATGCGGCGCTGCGACTACTACTGTCAGCGCCCAACCAATCGAGACATCCGACACTCTCCGTTATCGCGTGCCTCACAGCAGCTTCGCACAAGACCCTATAGGTGTCGAGAGATTGCTAACATATCATACGAAGGCCTAGATAACGCAAGCCAAACCCCAATTCGAACAGCAAGACTTCACTTTAGAAGCTGTTCTGATAGACCCGATACTCCAACCCAGTATCGGACTACAGAACTAGCGGCGCAACCAGCGACCATTCCATCCTCAATACTCTGCCACATTGCTGAGTGCACCCGCCCTCCTTAACGTCTATTCAGGAGACGTTTTCACAAATACCCACTTGCTGCTGGCTCCGCCAGCACTCACCCGACACCCACGGTTCTGTGGGCCTATACTACTCAAGCGGACACCGCAGGGTTCGTTTGAGCGGTAGATAGTGCTCCACAGTGCTTGTTCAGCACATAATATCCTATAACCAGTTCGATCTTGCTGAGAGCCTGTCGGTTCCAACACACAGCGGCGATGGTAGATATTCCTCGTCCACCCACCAACACAGTCGCAGTATCGGAAGGTACACCGCAACTGACCATCAACCATGATGCTGTTGTCGATCTAGACTCTAGCAATGCATTTGAAGGCCCAGAAAAGTTGCTTGAAGTCTGGTTTGCTCCTTCGGCGGACACTCTTCCGCCAGGAGCACACAGGGATGGATTGAAAGCCGTGTCACCAGAAGTATGGAAGGAGATGCTCGATGTTGTGAACTGCAAGGTTCTCTCAATCGTCGAATCCGACCATGTCGATGCATACCTTCTTTCCGAGTCGAGCATGTTCGTGTTCAGCCACAAGCTCATCCTGAAGACATGCGGCACAACAACTCTTCTCTGGGGGCTCCCTCACATTTTGGATATTGCCGCTGCCAAAGCCGGATTCGCCCACCACCGCGGCAGCAACGTCAAGGGAACAGAGACGGCGGCAACGCCCTACCGCGTGTTCTACAGCCGGAAGAACTTCCTATTCCCCGATCGCCAGCGCGGACCCCATCGCAGCTGGAACGACGAGGTCACGTACCTCGACAAGATGTTCTGGGGCGGAAGCGCATACATGGTCGGCAAGATGAACGGGGACCACTGGTACCTCTACCTCACGAGCCCAAACACCGACATCACCCCACCCCGGACTCCCGAATCTGAAAAGGCCACGGAGACGAAAGTCCTCAGCTTCCCCGGCGAAGAAACCCCTCGCCCCAACAACGCCACCGGCAACGACGACGAGACCCTCGAAGTCCTCATGACGGACCTCGACGTCGAAAAAGCCAAACAATTCTACCTCGAAAACGCCAGCGCCCTCGCCGAGAGCAACTTCCACAAGCAGCAAAAACTCGCCAACCAAGAGAGCACCCCCGATGCCCTCCCAATCCCCTCGGAACTCACAACCGAAGGCCACGCCCTCGGCACCGTCGTCTCCGAGTCCTGCGGCCTCTCAGCCCTCTACCCTCCCTCCCGCTACCCCGACGCCCGTGTCGACGCTTACCTTTTCACTCCCTGCGGATTCAGTGCCAACGGTGTCATTCCTGCGCCTGATGCGCCAGGCGTGGGGGCGGCGACGCATTACTTCACTGTGCACGTGACGCCGGAGCCGCAGTGCTCGTATGCGAGCTTCGAGACGAATGTGCCTGGGCAGCAGACAGGTGGGGAGACAGCAGAGGTGATTGAGCATGTTGTTGGGATTTTTGCGCCGGGGAGGTTCAGTGTTACGTTGTTTGAGGGGAAGGAGTGTGAAGGGGATCTGAAGGCGTTGGATGAGAGGGTTGAGGGTGTTGCTGTGGTGGGGGGTGGGAATGGGGTTGTGAATGGAGAGGTGAAGGGGAAGAGGAGGGGGAGAATGGATGCGATTAGAGGGTATAGACGGGTGGAGAGGATTGTGCATGAGTTTGATGGGTATGATCTCGTCTTCCACTACTACGAGAGGGATGATTGGAAGGGAGGCGCCCCGGTGGTGGGGGAGGTGATGTAGGTGGCATTGGCGGATGAGAATATCTACGTAGCAGAGCTGGACACGTCGTCCTGGCTGGAGATGGGCGGATTCAGCATTTACGCTGATCCTCAAGAGGCGGTGGGTGAGATGGCAGCAGCAGCATTTTTTTTAGTTTTTTAGAAAAAACGGTGGAGGGTGATGGGGGGGCGTGTTACCACCTCTTGGTTCATAGCATTCGTAGCTGGCTTGGAGGTGCATAATGTTACACATGACTGGATGATGGCTGCTTATGTGCTTCGCCACGGCCGGTCGGGGGCGTGGCGACCTGATTATGATGCAGTGGGTGCTGTTGGTGCAGACCGGTGATGTGAGGCGGATGGTGTACGATGAGGGATTCAATCAATGGCATAGCCATAGCCATCGCGCTCAACTCCCTCCAACCTTACCATCCGTCCGATCAAGACCCTCCCTTATCTTTGGGATACCTCTATTGAAACCCATCCTGCCGCCCACATTGAAACACCGAGCTCCCCCATCCCCAATCCGTCGCACGACACCAGGTGAGCGAGTCAGGGAGTACAGCGCTGCAGAGAGACGGAGGAGCCAACGACCACGACATACGCTGCTGCAGAGATATGGCCGAGCCAACAGTCACGACATCCTCGCTGAATTTCTTCACATGTCGTGTTTAAGGACGTGATTCGGCCGCCGATGCATTGGTAAAGGGGGGGCCGCCAGTGTGACGGCCACCCGCGAGGGGCATGAAGGGTGGATGTGTGGGTGGGTTGGTGGGTAAGAGGCTAGCTGAAGAGTTGGCGTGCGTGGTGGAGGAGCTGTGCTGTGCAGTAATTGTTGGTGAAAGATAGTAGATAATTGACAATTTACGACAGCTCTGATGGAGAACTGGAGATTGGCATCTAACACATTCGCCGTTTGCGTCAGGGGGAGTCAAACAGTTTTGTTCATCTGGTAATTTTAGTGAGTCGTGGTGGTGATGAGACACGGCGGCGGTGGGGACGTCCCGAAGCGGCACCCGGAAGGGAACGAACCCTTCACGTAGAAGTTTGGTCGTGAGCGCGCCGTGCCGCGTTGAAGTGGGAAGAGCGAGAGTGAAGGGATGACGGCGGCCATTGAATTGAACAACCTCACGTAGTAAAACTCTCTCCTGCTTCTTCTTCTTCTTACTCCTACATATGCTCCAGTTTCATCGCGTACAAAAAGGCCACGGATACTGGATTTCCGTGCGCATATCTATACCATCTATACCATACTAGACCACTCTATATAAAAAACTCAAACCCAATCCCCAATCGCCCCCACCTCTTTCGCGCCGTGGTCGCGTTGGTTAATTGAAATTCGGTCCATCCGGTCCCCTATAACGCGTCGCTCGGCCGCTCCTTCCTTCGCGACGTTACAGCCGTAGCACCGCCTTGTACCGCCAGAAACACCGCCTAGCACCAAACGAGCGTCTTCCCCACGCACCGAGCCACTTACACCACTCAGCGCCCGTGGAGTCCCCGTCCGTCTCCGACTCCTAAATTGCGCTGATGCACGGCTTCTGCACGTCGTTCCTGCTCTGCCTTGGTTAAGTCCAGGTAGGTGCAGGTAAGTGCAGGTACCTTACCTATAGTGTGCCAATAGACCACTTTAGCTGTGAGGAAACTTTCTCCCGTGCGTGCGTCGGCGGGTAAGCTGCCGCGACTTCATTGGTAAGGACGCGTCGAACACGCTCTCCAGCTCTCCAACGCGATCAGGGAAAAGAGGGCTAATTTCTTCTAACCCAGACATCAGCCAGACACCAAGACGCTGCTTTGAGCGTGCTGAGGCAGAGCGACGCGAGACATACCCCCTCTTCTCTCCTTCCTTGGTACAAAGCACGAACACTGTACGGTGGAACCAGTATACTTCCTGTGTGAGGGGCCGCAATAATAGGTGACAATCCCCCCAACTCTTGTTCTTCTTCTCCTCACTTCATCAATCATTACACTCATTCATCTTGTGTTGTGGTCGTGGATTGATATACTCGGATTGTTTGTTGACAAGAACAACAGCCAGCAATAACACACATACAATCAATATCTTGTCCATCGAACTTGTTCGTCCTGTCGTTACACTTGAATCCGTCAATCAATCCTTCGTGATGGCTTCTACACTCTACCAACCCGCCGTCGGTGCTGTCCGCCAGCCCTTCGCACCCCTCAACAGCTCGCGTCTCCAGACTCTTACGAGCCTCAAGAACCGCCAAAATGGTAATTCCCTCCTCTCCCCACGCCCACTCTGCCTTCACCGCATCTAACACCCCAAAAGCCCTCCCCCAATCCCTCGCCTCCTCCACAAAACGCAAGGCAGCTTCCTACGACGATGACATCGACGCCGAGAACATCGACCCCACCCTCTCCACCAAGCGCTCCAAAGGCAGCAGCGACTCCTCCATCTCCAAACCCTCCGCCTTCATCCTCACCACAAAATCCCCTCTCGAATACAACACCCCCGCCTCGCCCACCACACGCACAACCCTAACCCCCAAATCCCCCGCCCGCTTCCACACCTCCTCCCCCCACCCCGCCCTCTCGACCCCAGCCGGGCGCTCGCCGACACGGAAACGCATCGGGCTTCTCAACCGCCGCAAGACTGGCTCCGCGGGGTTCACTCGCGTCGACCCACCTAACTTCTCGTCATCCGCGTCGTCATCGTCCCTCCCATTCTCCCTCGCCACAGCACTTAGCGGCACAACACCCCTCTCGCGTCCTACACTCCCGCCGCTGGCGAGGCCATCTTACAAGCCGAGCTGGGAATTCGCGATCCATGAGGACACGCAGGAGGAGACCCTGACGAACTTGATGGAGCACAGCACGTACACCCTGGACATCAGCAGTGATGAGGAGAGCGCTACGCGTCCCCGCGACGAGGGGAGGGGAAAGGAGAACGTCCCCCCCACCGAGGAGGAGGGAGTTGCACCTCGCCCACAGCAGGTTTCGGCACAGGGTGTTGAGGGGAAGACACGCCTTGGACGTCGTAAGAGGGAGGAGAGCGAGATCGAGGTCGATAGACAGGTGTTGGGCGAGGTCCCGATCGGGGATCTGTATGCGGAGGATGCGGCGGGCGAGGTTATTGTGCCGGCTGATGATGTGGTTGAGCTTGGGCCGTCGCCGTTGAGCGCGCCGGAGTTTCAGTTCAGCTCTAGTATTGTGGTGGAAGAGGAGGTTGTCGAGGAGAAGAAGGAGGAGGTGGATGTTGTGGCTGCTGCGGAGGAGCTCATGACTGAGGTGCTGGCGCCTCAGTCGGCGGCGCTGCTGGAGCCTATTGAGAAGGCTGAGGAGGGGTGGTCGGTGTGGGAGAGTGGGAGTGTTGGTGGTGATGAGTAAGGGTGTGTCTGTCTGTTGCGGGTTGGGATAACCTTGGCCTCCGTCCTCGGGGTCTAGGATGGAGGGTGGGTGGTATATATTGTCTGGCGTTTTTGTTTTTGGGGTTTGGGTATACCAAGGCGGGCGTTTTAAGTTTTTACTTTTTGATCTGGCTTTGATCTTGGGGGATGCAAATGTATGTTGCTGTTGCTGTTATTTGTTGTTGTTTTTTGTGCTCGAAGATGTGTTTGCTCTGATTTGACTTGCTGTACTTTGCTGTACTTTGTGCTGTCCTGGCTTTTTGTCTAATCTTCCCTGGCATATAGCTTAAAATTGAAGTGCTTTTTTGAGGAGATTGATCTGTATCGAGTCGAGTGATGAATAAATGGGTGCACCTTGTCCCTGAAAATAAACAAATGCACTTCCGTCAAGCACCCATCTGATACGTAAAGCAAAGCTTGTCGAAAGCCCAAAACAGGATGTATATACGTAAATTCTCGTCCCTCGCCTCATAATGCCTTCTCTCTTTTAACGCCATAAACTCCCCACAAGCCCACATAACACCCCTATACCTCCTCCTTCCCCTTCCCCTTCCCAACACTCAACCCCTCAACCGCCTCCTTCAACCCCTCCATCCCCTCCACGCCCTCGCCCTCCGCACCCTCCGCACCCATCTCCTCATCCCCCTCCCCCCCCGCCGCCTCCCCCAACTCCTCCAACCCCTCCCCCCCCTCCTTCAACATCCAATCCACCGCCTCCTTCCTATCATTCACCTCCGCCTCATAGATGGCGTCATGTCCGACTCCATTCTGTATATACGGATCCGCGCCTGCCTCGACGAGGACCTGGACGGCGGAGAGGTGGCCGTTGAGCGCTGCCCAGTGGAGGGGGGTGTTGCCGGCGGAGTTGCGGGTGTTGAGGAGGGTGGGGAGGGTGGTGGTGGAGGAGAGGGTTGTGAGGAGGTGTTTGAGAATTTCTGTGGGGGGGTGTTAGCTGTGTGTTCATCTCATCCTTCAAACCTCCGTCATCCACCATCTATCCTAGTCTCCGGGCAAGACCAAAACACCGACGACGGGGGCAGAGCAGGGGAAGGGGAGAAGACTAACCACTATGCCCATTCGCAGCCGCCATATGCAACACCCCATTCCCCGACTCCCCATCCACAGCCACCGCCAGAACCTCCTCAACCTCACACCCCTCACGCTTGCAGAGCGCCTCGATCGACTCGCGGAAATCCGCCAGCTCGCCCGCGCGCGCAAAGTAGATCAGGTCATCGGTTTCGTCTTCGGAGAGGGTGGGCGCCATTGCGTATGTCTGAGGGGTTGTCTGTTTTGTTTATAGAGGTAGGGGGAGGAGAAAGTAGGTTGGAAAGATGCTCGCGGGAGGTTTCGCGGGGTTGCTAGTGGGGTTTTTTTTGGTGGTGGGTTTGGTATTTATTTTTTGGGGGACTGCTTATCGCTTATCGGGAGGGATTCAGGGGCGGGGATTGTTGATGGGAGGAACATGGAAAATGCAGTAAAGTATGTATGAAGTTTGATATTTGTTATATTTAATTATATATATTGGTTTGGTAGTATGTTACATATGTTCATTTAAAGCGCCAAATATCCTTGTTGGCCTCAACTAAATACCCTAGGAGTGAGTCCTGCGCGGATAGCTTCTCCCTCGACACCATAACTACTACTTCTGAGGTCCACCACATCAACGAAGCATATATGAGAGGTCCGGTAGACCGTTAATAATGTCCCTAACAATCTTATCCTGTTCCAATTCCGCCTTGGACTTCCGGCCAGCAGCTAGAGCAGATGGAATCTGTGGCGATGTGGATTCGCCCGACTTCGTATTCAATGCCTGAGTAGCATGCCTTGCCACAGGAGTGGGTTTCGATGCAAATGGAAGTGGCTTCGATGCATACGATGGCGGCTTGGATGCTGGTACGCTCGTAGGCGCAGTACTTGGAGACTCAAAAAAGGAGAAGTCTGCGTTTGCCCAGGGATCTCCAGAGCTAGACGTCAACTTCGACAGATCCCCTAGACTTGATCTATTTGATGCTTTTGGAACGAAATCGTCCATGTCAAACGGTTTAGGAGGGGTAGACCCGTTGGCTTGGTTTCCGAGTGAGGAATTCCTGAAGTGTTTCCTGACGTGATTGTTGCTCATACCAACATGACTCAAGTGCGGTGTAGTCGTTGACGGCGCGTTGACTTGAATTGGAGATGGAAAGCCAGGAAGGCTTGGGAAGTTTGGAGTAGCAGGGGACGCCACCATCTCGCCCCATTCGTCGTCGTCATCATTTGATTTTGGAATAACGTCCTTATGTTGTTCGGGTGCAGGCGGCGCAGCTGGTTTAGGTTTTAACGGCTCTATTGGAACGGGCACAGGGCTGGGCGATTCAAACGCCTTCGAAATAGGGGGCATAACTGGCTCCTGGCGGAAACTCTCAGAATGAGATTCGCTGGATGCCGAGGTAATGGCCGTAGCTACGTCAGGAGATGCAGGTTGCGCAGCGCTCCAACTGAAACGCGGGCTCTGTTCCACTGGTGAACTCACGATGCTCTTGATAGAGCCCACGGAGCTCTTTTGCCGTTTGTGGACAGGCTTGACATCGGGTGCAGACTGTCGGGGAGGTGAAATAGGCAAGGCTGGTTGTCTTGCCTTACTAGACTGCGAGGCTTTGCGAGCTATATGGAGGGCTTCGGTATTTGGAGCTTGTCCGGGCTTACCCCAGCTGAACATCGCTTCGACCCTCCCGACTCCACCAAGAGCCATGCCAGAACCTAGGCGACCCTCCTCCATCCATTTGTGCACTATATCAAGTGTCTTTTCTCGAACCTTGGAATCCTGCCAGCCCATTCTCACATAGGCATCATCGTCCCCAGAATTGTGTTTTCGCATCGTCCCGTATCGAGATATTCGATACCATACCTTTCGCTGCTCGACTGTTAACAGCGAGTCAGTTATCGGGATATCAACATCTGACGGCCCATAATTGGTAGACTCTGGCAATGCCTCTTTGTCCGAATAGAGCTGATCCACAATAGACTTGTCGATGTCAAATTTTATCGACCCGCGTTCAAAAGTCCTTCGCTCTTCTGGTCGTGAAATAATAGCCTTTTCTGGAGTCTTTGACGACTGCACTGGAGTCGGAGCATCCGTCGAAACTTCTGGCTCGTCAGAATCTGCACTAGCACTGACAAAGGAGACACCGTCCTCAAAATCGCCAAACTCGTCTTCCGTTTCTGCGGGAGAAGGTTCCTCGAGCGTCGACTCTGATGAAGCCAAAGGCAAATCTTCATTGCTGCGACCATCGGGGGTGCTTGGAGATTCTACAGCTAAGCCATCGAATAGCTGAACTAACTCCTTGACCTTTGAAGTGTCTTTAGTTCCAACCGTTATGGGGTTTGATTCGCCATCAGGTGGCGTATGTGGAGAGCCATTGATCTCTTCATGGTGGTGGCTATGTTCCGAGAGTGACAAGGACGGCCGAGAAGACTGGGTCGCATCCTTATCTGGGGTCTCTGAGCCTGGAGGCTGGGGGATGTTATCCCCTGCATCGGACTCTTTATGGCCGGGTGATTCTATAACGGGGGATTTATTGCCACTATCTGGGGACGGAAATGTTTCGGGTTGGATAGAGTCCTTGACGGGGGGCTCAAGCTGGTGTTCTTCTTGTGGAGGAACATCATCTGCGATCTTGCCAAGCTCCTGGCGGGAGTGGTATGGGTCCGCATCGATCTTTTTAGCTGGCTCTTGAGCTTGTTGTGTCAAATTCGGCGATAGCTCCGCTTCTGTTTGAACATCTGCTTGTGCCCAGGGGTCGTCAAAACTCTGTTCTCCTCTTCCTCTTTGTAGATCTTGTTTTGGAGATTCTCCTGCCTCATGTGAGAGCGGGACCCAGGGCGATCCAGCCCCCGTCGTAGCCGCCTCATCCCTCCTAAGAGGCTCGCGTGCGTTGCTCTGATGGTAGCTCCAGCCCTCATCCGCATTCTGTATTATCGACGTGCGCTGTGACTGGACTACATTATCAAGATTCGCCGACCACTCTTCATCATCCCCATCATCATCCCAAGGCGATCTTGGCCCCGAGTCGAACGGGAGCTCCTTTTGCGTAGCTATCACAATCGGCTTCGGCCTCGCCTCATCTAATTTCTTAGCTGTCCCTGGCGCCTCATCTGCCCATGGCGAGCCCCAGGGATCATCCATTGCGGCTCGAAGGTAAGCGCGACTTTCATCGTGACCCGAGCTTGCGAATTGTTGCTCGGATGGCAAAACCACAGCGCCTGGCAGTTACCTGGATTTGAAATTTGGGGGCGGCTGCAGGATGCGCGTCTACCTACGTCGATAGTCGATGATGCAGGGGTGCTGCTCGGAACATCCGGAAGCCGCAAAAACGTGGTGCCGATCGGGTGGGGCCGCGGACGTTGCTTGCTAATCTGCAGCAAGGTATCGATAACATAAACCCCAGGGTCTCTGAATTTATTTCTATGGATCACCATGATATGACTGAACGTCAAATAATATAACAGAGGATTTCTGGCGAGAACAGCGGCATAATACACAATGTCTCTAGACAAGATTAAAAATATTGTCCTTGTAAGTTACATTTATCACCAAAATGGATCCAAGAACCCCACTAAACTGTTGTGTTACAGGTCCTCTCAGGCAAAGGAGGGGTTGGCAAATCCTCGATCACAACTCAACTTGCGCTCTCCCTCTCCCTCGCCGGACACTCTGTCGGAGTACTAGATATCGATCTTACCGGCCCATCTATACCCCGCCTATTCGGCATCGAGTCCGCGAAAGTCACACAAGCCCCAGGCGGATGGGTACCAGTCCCAGTCCACGCCGCGGACCCTGAGGCCGGCATCGGCGAGCTGCGATGTATGAGCTTGGGCTTCCTACTCAGAGAAAGAGGTGATGCAGTCGTATGGAGAGGGCCGAAGAAGACGGCTATGGTGCGCCAGTTTTTGACCGATGTGCTGTGGGGCGAGGTTGACTACCTCTTGATCGACACGCCACCCGGAACTTCTGATGAGCATATAAGCTTGGCGGAGACACTGATGAAGGATGCAGCGCCGGGACAAGTCAAGGGGGCTGTTGTTGTCACCACTCCACAAGCTGTGGCCACAGCGGATGTGAAGAAGGAGCTAAACTTCTGCGTGAAGACGGCGATCAACGTGATTGGCGTGGTGGAGAACATGAGCGGATTTGTGTGCCCCAGTTGCTCGGAATGCACAAACGTGTTCAGCTCCGGAGGCGGCGAGGTGATGGCGGAAGAATTCAACGTTAAATTCCTCGGGAGTGTTCCGATTGATCCCCAGTTTGTCATGCTGGTGGAGGCGGGCAGGACACCTTCGTATCCGGCGGGCACATCGATCAATGGCCAGGCTATGGAGAGCGCAGATGGGCAACCAACAAATAATGAGACTAAAGAGTCGGGGCAGCTGGTTGCGAAGTACCCGAAATGCTCGCTATCCCCAATCTTTAAGGATATTACGGCACAGGTTATCGCGGCTTGTGAAGCGCGCTGATGGCCGTACGAGATTTGAAGTTATTGCACATAGTTATAAAGGGGCATAGCGAAGGCGTTCATGGTATAAAAATGTCGCTCTTATAGCGCAAATATAGAGCACACAGTTAAATATAGTGTCACGATTGACGATTCTCCCCTTTATCCAGAGTTAATCCAAATCTTTGAACATACAATATCTATATTCTAATTTACAATACTCGAACATCCAGACGCCAATAAATGCTCATAAAATGTATAATACACAACCGCTCCGCCTATAACAGTCCCAAAGGCTTCAGGACCTTCTCTCTCGCGACCTGGCCGGCGTATTCGCCGCCCTTCTGTAATGCCAGTGCTCCAATTATAGCGTACACGGAAGTCGTCAGAACGACATCGACACCAGATGCTCCTAGTCTCAGCGGCTATCGGGAGTTAGATTGGATTTGTTCAAGGTCATAGGGAGGTTATAATGAGGGACATACGTTTCTCGGCTTCCACCTTGTGACCTGGTCGATGCCATATGAGCGCGCGAGTTGTCCAACTCTCTGCTTGGACAACACATCCCCAAGGTCGACTGCCTGGACCTTGGCAAGGCCCTCGAGGGATGGGTGGTTGAAGGGTTCGCGGTTATAAGCATCTGTCGAAGCAGGAGGTGGTGCCTGGGACGTAAGCAGCACCGTCGTTCCCTGAAGCACAAGGATCCGTTTCCCTATAATCCCGTTAGCCCCAGTTCCCCAATCAAGCCCGCCGCCATCACCAGCCATTACGCGTGACATCACGTACCCAAGAAAGCCAGCTTATCATTAAACCCTCTCCTCCCCTGATCAAAGCTCTTATGCGTAACCGCAAGCCACTTGACCTCATCCGTGAGCGCATTCTCCCCACCCACCCCCAAAAACTTAGTATACACAGCATCCAACAGCGCCGGGTCCTCATTGACCGAAAACGCCATCTGCGGGTTCTTCACACGCGGCTGGAACGGCGCCTTCATCTTCTCAGGCGTATACGACCATCGCGGCCTCTCGCTCAGCTCCTCCGCGCGCGCGACGCTCGTGGAGAACAGCTTCTGTGCTTGTGCTGGGGCGACACGGGCGGCGAGGGAGGAGAGAGGGGCGGAGGCGCTGCAGAGGGAAGGGCGTGCGGCAATCGCCTGGAGGGAACGGAGGGGCGCTTTGGTGGCCATTGTGTGTGGTGGAAGGGGGCGGCACTCGTTTGGGTGGTTTGGGGCAGGTCGTTCCTGGTTGATGAGGGTGTGGAATTGGTGGTTGTCGAAATTCTGGAGTTTGAATTGGCACTAGGCGATTTTGGGACATGGGTGGCCGGGGCGCGTCACTTGGGGGACAACCTTATCTGGGTGAGCTCCAACAGCGGCGCCCGCGAAGAACAAAGACGGTTTTATTTCAAGCAGTTTCTTAGGAGTATGAGGTTATTTTTGGTTTATTGCTATACTTATGGCGGCGCATAATGGCTTACTTTCTGGAGGGAAGGATAGGAGAAAGTCGCTGGAGCAATTGCTGAGTGAAGCCTTGCCAAAGGACACAAGCTTCAAGGTATACCATCTATCCACGCCACCAACGTCCACTTCGGCGATCTACTCTGCTCCTCCAGGAAAGCGACCCAACAAGACATACTGCGAAAGTCATTTCCTGTCCGTGTCGATAAATTCGAATGGCAAGGCCACATCAGGTTCACCAGGCGAAGTGCTCGTCTACGCTATCGAGATCCTCATTTATTCGACCGCGCACTCCACCACGCTATTCGTATCGAAAGCCGATTCCAGCGGATATCTACACCTACTAGACCTCCCCAAAGGCAGTCCGTCACCGCTGAAGGAGATCAGCTCGGCGTTTTTGTCATACCTGGTGGAGCGACGTAGGAGGCCTGGCATCCAAACCATCGTTTCGCTGTTCGCCCGGGCGCAGGACCAATATCTATTTGCGAGGAGCATTGATAATAAAGGGAAGCATGTCTTAGATGACAGAGGCTTGGTGAAGTGGTGGTGTCGGGTGCTGAACCCGTTACTGGCCAACGAGAAAGAGGGAGGATGGCATAACATTCATGGATATCTGACAGTGCCGGGTTTGGATACGTATGAGACGAGGGCATTCCTACCACCAAAGCACGCAGAGACGAAGACATGGACGGTTGGCCACCCACTACGAGAGATCGCGCTTTTCCCGGATGCGCCTCCTCGGTGCCTCATCCCTCACTTCCCGGACGACCCAAAGTCGAGGTATCTTGACGAGTTGGATGACGAGCTTTCTGGGTCTCAGGGGAAGGATAACGGGCGGTGGAAGAGTGTGAAGGACTTGGATATGTTTTGGGAAATGATGGCTTTCCGTCAAGAATGCAGTGCGGGCCGTCTGGTGGGGTTCATATGGGTTGTCTTTGCGCCGACTCCTCCGTCGGAGTCGGCGGAAGCAGAAGACACAGCTAGCAGCCAGGCATTGACGAGTCAAGCGAGCTTTGCAAGTAGTTTCACGGAGCCAGATGATAGTCCCGTCAAATCGCAACGAACGTCTAGACTGCCGAATCGGACTGTCGAAACTCTCAAAGACGAGACCAGATCTCCATCCCGTACAAGACGCCGGAAGGCGAAGAAGGCGCCCACTCTCTCTGGACCCATTGTTTCCCGAAAACCCCGAGTTAAAGAAAACAGCAATAGCCACCAGCCATCAAGGCCCGAGAGAACGCCGTACTACATATGGCCAGCCGACAGTAGAGGACAAGTTGTGCTCGAGGAGAAAGACTACCACCGCTTCCACGAACTCCTCCTATCGCTAGACTTCGCGAATATCGAACTAGCGTGCGCAGCCACGAAGCGATGGACTGGCGAGGTCCCGGGAGGCTCTCCCGTTGAGACGCTCGGCTGGGGAACTACAGTTGTTGGCACGAAGGCTTTTGAGGCGAGAAACTTGCCGGGTCGCGATAACGTCACGACGCTGAATGTTGGGCTTGTGAGGAAGAAGAGACGGGCTGGCGATGATGGAGGGGTCTCTGCCGAGGCGCCACCTCAGGAGAGTGTGCAAGCCCCTGAAGTCAATGTTCTGGGTGCTGGGATGATTCGGAAGAAGGCAAAGCCGTGAAGGATGGTGTCGGGGCGGTTGGTGTGGGGGGTTTTTTTATAGGGCATTTACTGGTGTTTTGCAAGGCGCGGGGTAGGCGGGACCGGGGCCGGGGCAGGGAGTTAACGTTTGCAATGGTATTCTTGCCGCTCAAAAGTCTGAAGAGGGACTGTGGATGACAGCATTGATCACTGCAACTATAATTAAAGACAAGACTCTTCGTTACTGAAGGGTATAATTGTCGTAATAGTTACTTATGAATACAGCGGTGATTACAGCAACTGTAACTGAAATAAAGACTCCTAGTTACTGAGGGCTAATATTGTCATATCTGTTACTGGACAACAGGGCATCATTCCCCGTAGTAGCATGTGTCACCTCAGGAGCGAACTACCTTATTTCTGCGCACATCGAAGCCTTATATATAAACTAGAGATGATGCTGTAAATGACGCCGTAAATGACGCTGTAAATGATGTTGTTCGAGTAAATCGCGATGATCCCCTCGTATATATTACACACTCCACCAGAAGCGTGTGTCTCGTATACTCGAGACGGACTGCCGTTGTTGTCCTTTGGTGTCCTTTGTGTCCCTTCGGAGTACGCCAACGGCTCAACGCTAAACCCAATATAGCAAGTAACCATGCAAATGGCTGTCAAATGGCCGTCAATTCCACTAAATTCCACTAAATACCACTAAATACCACTAAATACCGCTAAATCCCATTAAATGCCACTAAAAATCACTTAATGCCAGTCAAAGGTCCCCTTAATCTCGGGTACGTCAGGAACATAGACTCTCTCATTGGCTGCTCACCCTCCAATCCTCCCCAATGAACCCTGGGGTCCCCCGTTCGCCGTCATCCCAAGATACCGTACATCCCATACTCCATACCGCCCGGATACCGCCCAGATATTGCCCAGCACCCCCCTCTCCTCAGACCCGTTTCGAACTTCACCTTGCCTCGTTTGAGATCTTACCCATTCTACTCCTCCTCTCAACCCTCAACACACTCCCTTGATACTATCATGACTTCCAGTCAAACAAACACTCTCCTTCATTGTTGACCTTTCGCTCTGTCAATCCCGTCGTGTACATACATATCAGACGAATACGCGATACCTCATCCACATGCGATACAGCGCAATCTACCAACACACATAGGAGTTGATCTCTGAACCACTCACTCTCTGAACCTCATGCTTTCTTCCTGCGCTCTTTAGCAATATACCCTCGTTTTTTTCCTGCTTCAATGCGTGTTTGATACCGCAACGACCGAAGCCAAATATCTCGACGCTGCGACACCAGCAAACACATTACACCTTCTCTCAATAATCTATCTCGATTGACCGATTTTACACACCGATCAACCACCACACTCTCTATCCGCCATGTTACCCAATCTACGTGGCCTCGCCGGCCTCTCCCTCGTCGCTCTTCTTGGCCTCGCGACAGCCCAAACATTCACAGACTGCGATCCTACGACAAAGGAGTGTCCCGAAGAGGCTGCGCTGGGTATGAAATACAACTTCGATTTCACCCAGGAATCCAACGGCTCAACCTGGAACGTGGAGGCAGGCAATGCCAATTATCAGAAAGACGGCGTTCTTCTTCCCATCAATGCAAAGAAGCAGGCGCCGACGCTCGTATCGCAGTTCACCATCATGTTTGGCAGAGTCGAGGTCCACATGAAGGCGGCCCGTGGAAAGGGAATCGTATCGTCCATCGTCTTGCTTTCCAAGGATCGCGATGAGATTGACTGGGAATTAATCGGTGGCAACGAAACCCACGTCCAATCGAACTACTTCGGTAAAGGAAACGAGACATTATTCGACAGGGCTTTCTGGCATCCTCTCAACAAGCCCATGGACGAGTTCCACAACTACACGCTTCTATGGACCGCGAAACAATTGGACTTCTTCGTCGACACTGAGAAAGTCCGCACTCTGATGTACGAAGATGCCCTCGGTGGCAAGAACTACCCCCAGACACCTATGACCGTCAAACTCGGCGTCTGGGCAGGCGGTGACCCTGACAACAGCAAAGGCGTCATCGAATGGGCAGGCGGCGAGACCAATTACGACAATGTGCCCTTCCACATGTATGTGAAGAGCGCCGAAATTGAAGATTTCACCACCGGCGCCAAAGCATACAAGTACGGCGACCTCACCGGAAGCTGGGAGAGCATCCAATCCATCCCGTAAGTCCATCCCCCACCCTTTATAACCCACCAAAGCAACCCCTAACCCCAACACCAGCGGCAACTCCACCCAGCGCCTCCTCCTCCTCGACATCAAGCCCCCCCCAGCACCCACCATAAGCGACAAATTCAACGCCCTCCCCTCCTCCTCCAAAATCGCCATCTACGGCGGCGCTGGCGGCGCCGCCTTCCTCCTTGCTGCCGCCTGCCTCTTCTCGTGCTGCCGCAAACGCCGCCAGGGCGCCCGCGAGGCCAAGGCCTTCCGCGCTAAGCAAGAAGCCATGGACCGCGAAGACGAGGCTTATCAGATCGAACTCAAAGCCGCGGGGATCAGCCCCGACGCGCTAGGTCCCAGCGGTATGACGGCCCAGGAATTCGCTAGCGGTGGCGTCGTAAAGTCACCTGGACTTGACCGCTCGATGGACCCGCCTATGCCTACCGTACCAGCTGCGTATCAAGGTGCAGGCGCGTCTATCAAATCACCCACTGGCTCCCTCCGCCCCGGCGCTGCGCCCTACGGCGACGCAGCCGGTCTGCGCAGTCCCGCGCTCGCGTCCCCCGGTTACGCAGGCGGTGGGCAGTTCAATAGCCCCCGCTCTCCTGGTCCGGGGGGGTACTCGGTGAACTCGCGCAATGTGAGCGGGGGCGGGTATGTGCCAGCGGCGGCGCCGAATAATTCGACCGAATACTTTGCGCCGCAGCCCAGGACCAATACACAGGGCTCGTGGAATAGTGCGGCGGCGGAGAATATGGGCAGGTCGGGAAGCTCGAATTCGCAGAGGCCCAGGGGGAATGGGGGGTATGGCGGGGGTGCGTTTTAAGGTGTCTAGGGTGCCTGAAGCGTCTGGGCCGCAGGGCTGGCGGTTATGAAGTTTGGGGGTGTGGAGGATTAATGACTGGCGTTGGGATGTGATCTTCTTTTTGTAGGACTGATGGGTTAGGTGGTCGTGGGGTTTAGTACTCCAGGGGCCAGGTGATAGATACCAGACGTGTAGACGTTCGTTCTTGAGTGCCTCGATTAGGCGATGATGGATATTTTTCTCGTCCATATTTGAAAATGGAGACTTTTATCTCAACGGTAGTAAATTACTTCTAAACCGTGACAATTTCTTTCTATTGGGTTGTGGTAGCCCAAGAAGCACGAACTCTCACATTACTTACAACAGTTCACCACATGGAAAGCCTCACCACATCCAAACAACGCAATAACAACCAACCCTATCTTAAATCCCCCATGTCCATCACACATAACCCCCTCATCCTTCTACTCCCGCATCCCAGCCTTACCCCGCCCGCCCACAACCCATGATCCAACACCCAAAACGGCTACCCGCCCCCACCGCGCCACGGGCCCAACCGCGGACCGCGGTGGGAGTGGCACCAACAACACCAACAGTGGTGGGGTAGCGCCAACGACAGGTGCTGGCGAGGTGCATGTAGCGCCAACAACGAGGCAGACTTGATGGATGATAGGCAGGCATTGGATGGGGAGGTAGAAACGTGGAACGGGGTTATTTGATTTTCGGCGGGTAGCTGGAGCCTCGTTTGTATGAGGGGCCTGGGGTATAGATAGTGGTTGTGCCATTTCTATCTTACGAGAAACCGCACATACACCCTTCCTACAAGCAAACCAACCCAAAAAATGGGCGCCTACCTCTCAACCCTCCTGAACCGCCTCGTCGGCACCACCACTGTCCGACACACACAACAAACCCACACCTACCACGACCTCAAAGCACCCCTCCCATCCAGCCACCAGTCATTCGACGAAAAGTTCCCCCTCCTCACAACCACATCCGCCGCTTCACCTTCTACCAACTTCCTAGTCCCAGGCGTCCCAAAAACCGACGCACAACTCGCCGACGAATTCAGCGGCCTGATTCTCTTCTCCCGCACCCCCACCATCTTCCGCCATCGCCTTTCCACCACCTTCCCCCCTCCACCTACTACTGCTTCCGATGTCAGCACCACATCGTGGACATCGTCCCTCGCCCTCGCAATCCTCCACTCCATCACCGCCGCCATCGAAGCCGGTGTCCCGCTTGGGGCTGCGAAGGAGGTTGTGGAGACGGCGAACAGGGATGTAGAGGGGTGGATTGGGGAACATCCGGTTATGGCGGGGGTGGTGGCGATGGTTGTTGCCCTTGGGGTGTTGGTGGTGGTTGCGCCGTGGGTGGTGGAGGGGTTGGGGTTTGGGGGGGTGGGGGTTAGATTGGGTGAGTGATGGCCTCCTTTTTTTGTCCCTTGCTGTTTGGTTTTCTTTGGGTTGGTTTGGTTTGGGGGTTAGGGGTGATAGGGGCTAACATGGCTGATGTGTAGGTTCGTTCGCGGCGAGATGGCAGAGTATGTATGGTGGTGCGACGCCGGGGGGAAGTCTGTTTGCGTTTTTGCAGCGGATGGGAATGGTTGGGTGGTGATAGGGGGAGGTTTGAAGGAATCAGGGGTTGGAATTTTTGAGAATGAGTGCTTTTTTGGGAGTGGTGAAGGGGACGAGATCTAGAGGGGACTAAGAGTTTGATTTTGGAAGGCGATTCGCGGAGTTTAGATACCGATAGCGAGAATAAGGGGTAGGATGAGGATCGTAGAACGGCGAGCAATATTGGATCTTGCCTCAAAACTACTTCGATGATGTGAGAGAACTTGCCACACTTGTGAAGAATATTGTCCGAAACCTTTGACACCAGAAAAGCGGTGGCTTCGTAAACTTATAGGCTCATAAACTGGTGTAGTTTAGTTTTTGCGCAGACTCAGCTCCATTTAAATGGATATGCGCAGAGACACCAAATCGACTTGATAAATGCGAATTGACGAAAGCGAATTAACAAGAGCGACTTGACAAATGCGACTTTAGCAGCCTTTTGCGCAAATCTAACTTATTATACATGAATATGCGCACAAACTTCGTAAAACTTGCCTAAATCGACGGTGTCGATTTTAGAATATAGCGCACATCTGTCTAAATTTAGGTTAATTTGCGCTAAATCACGAAACAAAGTAGGCTTGCTTAATGACATCAAATAAAGGCAGCTTAACGAAATGAAAGGAAGGCACGAAGGAAAGGAAGGCACGAAGGAAAGGAAGGCACGAAGGAAACGGATGCGGCTTAAGGATGTAATATCAACCTAACGATCAACGTAACAATGCCATCGCCATTGCATGCTTCCATAAGAGCTCACCCTGACTTCTTCTATTTGAACCCTCTGACTTCTATAGAGGCTTCCATAGGATTTATTCTTTTGCGTAAATCCAGCCCATTCTACTCAGATATGAGTAAATTATAGTGATCTCGCGAGATCTCGCGGGATTTGGCGTTTTGCGCATATTTAGACCCATCTAGATGAGAATGCGCAATAAATCTATGAGTCGGTCCTCTCGTTTGGCTTCTTCGATTCTCTCGTTTGGCTTCTTCGATTCTCTCGTTTGGCTCTTTGGTCCACTCGTTTAGCCTCTACGCAAATTCAACCATGTGAAGTTGAGTATGGGCAAAAGATCTATAAATCGATCCCCTCGATCCTGCTTCTTCGACCCTGTCATACTAGCTTTTAACTTCAACCAACCTTTAACTATGTCATGATAGTAGCTTCGATTGTGCCGACCTTAACCTTGTCATACTAACAGATCCGATAGCGCTGGCTTAATTATGTAGTAACAGTAAATTCGACCGTGCAAACCTTAAACCATGTTATCATATTAGCAGGCTCAATCGCCCATGCCGATCTTGGCCGTGGCATAGTAGCAGGTTTGACCGCGTCATAGACGCCATTAGGATCATTGACGCCATTAGGATCGACCATGACGACCTTGATCATGTTAATTAAGATGCTAGATGTTTCCGCAAATCTAGACCCTTCTTACTAAATTTGCGCCAAAAAGCTTTGCAAAGCTTCGGCATGATCGAGATTCGTATGCACAACGAAGGCTTCGCAGGTATCATGAAAGCTTTGCAGGCATTACAAAGCTATCAAAGCAAGCCTCTAATGACATGAGGCCGCCTGCCATCAAAGCCTCTTGCAGCACGGAAGCCCTTTGCAGCCCTTTGCGAGCCTTTTTATGGCACGGAGCAAGCTATCGAAGCTATTAAAGCCCCTTGCGACACGGCCTCATGACACGAAGCTTCTTATGGAGCCGAAGCCTCTTGCGGTAGAAGGCATACAAGTTTTGCAACCGGAAGCCTTATGCGGCAGGGAACGAACCGACTTATGGAACGCATCCCTCTTATAACAAGGGGGAGGCCATCGAAACCTCCTGCTATCGAAGCCGCTTGCGGCACGGAACATCGTACCGCACGGAAGCGTCTCGTAGTAGAAGACGTCTTACGTACAACCTCTTACGATACAGAAGCTTCTTGCATCATAGAAGCCTTCCATTACAGAAGCCTCTTGCTATCGAAGCCATCGAAGCTATCGATGCCTCTTGCAGATGAACGGAAATTTGCGCAAATTCAACTGTTTCTTAACGAATATGCGCAAAATGATTTCCGCGGGACTTCGCAGTGCTTTCAACTTCAGCGCAAATTCGATTATTTCTTAATGAATATGCGCAAAGAATACTTCCCGCGGGGCTTCGCGGTGTTTTGGTTTCCAGCGCATATTCGATAGCTTCTAAACGAAAATGCGCAATAATGCAATACCATAGGCTTCTATAGCGTTATGTTATGACATGTATGTGTGCAATGATATGGGCAGTGATATGGGCCTCTTGCACCATGAAGCAAGCTATGGAGGCTATCGAATCGAAGCCTCTTGCAACACGATGCAATCGATCGAGGCTATCGAATCGAAGCCTCGTGCAACACGATGCAAGCGATCGAAGCTATGAATGAGACATAGGATGATATAAGGAGTAATGAGACGAGCAATAACAGAAGCGTATGATACAAGGAATGATAGAAGCGTAAGATAGAAGGGGTGATAGAAGCGTATGATAGAAGCGCAATTATAGAAGCGCAATGGTAGAAGCGTAATGATGATAGGAGCAACCTTTAGGAAGAGCGATGAGACGTAATGAGACATGATGCGAAATGAGATGCGAAATGAAGTGTGTAATGACATGAGTAATGAAAGAGTGAAAATGGAAGGTTGGTTACTCGTTGCGTCCTGCTCATTGCTTAATGCTCGATTCTAGATACGCGGTGCAGTTTGCTGCCTGTTGAAACTTCCTCAATGCATGGCACATCCACCGTGCGAACACTATAGTATACCATACCAGAAGACGACATAAGCAGCTCAACCGATCTCGGAGCCCTCAAACCCAGAGTTATCGCGAGTTGTTGAGTGTTGAGCATTTCGCCGCGATTGCCCTCGCCCCTACCCGATCAGGCTTCCCTCACACCCTCACCTGACCTGCAACAAACTGATAAAATCCCATGAAACAACCAACAGATGCGATGCACACGACAACAGAGCAACACACATGGGGGATGCATACAACATCAAACGGATATTACTATATTTATAGGGCTAACATCTCACACATACCTTGGCACATCCCAATTAACCTCGCCTTATCCCATCCTTCCCGAATGGCACAAGTGGACCAGCCAGGGCCCTTTTTTATGGGATCGACGCGGCGGCGACGGAGAGGCGATAGTTGATCAGCGCTATGAGCTCTCGCGTACTTTGGTACAGTACATAACCGCCCCGGCACTCGAAGCTGGATGCGGGCAAGACGAGCGAAGAAGGGGCTAGAGCCTCGCACTCCTTTCTTCATGGAGCAGAGGCGTGCGGCGCGGGAGGGACGTGGCCGAGGAGCGGTGGGGGTGAGAAGCGCGCAGGAATGTGGGTGTTTTGGGTCCGATGACCGATACTGGGGATGTGGGATGGGGGAGGAAAGATGGGGATGGCCGGCGGTGTGGCGGATGAAGTCCGGGAGAGGGAGGAGTGGTGAGAAAGAAGGAGGAGTGTGGGTGAGATCTCGGGGAGTTCGGGGAGTTATTTTTGGGGGGGGAGAGAGAAGGGGGGGTAAAAGAGAGGGGAAGAAGGCACGGAGACGCCACTTCACGATGTGACGGGCGAAGCGACACGATGGGAGCGAACCACACCGCACCAAGCAATGTCGTGATGGGGAGGATGGGCATGTAAAAAGCGGGTTTAAAATAGGGTCCTGTGCGTAGCTTTTTATGGCATTTGCAATCTTTTCACTTCTTTTCGCTTTTCGCTTTTTTCTTTCTTCTAACTGCCCACATATAAACATGATTTTCACGGATGTACAGATACTCCACGGGAATAATTCCCCACATCAGCTCTCCACTCTGTTTTCCGTTTTGTTCTATACGTACTCTGTACGTACTAGATTCGTAACGGACCCTATGGCCCCTATTCTCCGTGGCCGGTCCGTGGACGCGGTAGGTGGGAAAGGGTAACGCGATGGGGTAGCGATGGGCAAAGATGGATACGGATAGATAGAGATGGCCAAGAGAGGGACGCTGAGGGTTTGTGTGAAGTACATTACTGCACGTTGGTGGAGGTGATGCACAGCGGTGGAGAGGATGCGCGGTGGTGCTCACCGGCAAATCAGTTGCGGAACCCCCGTGTCATGCAAGGCTGTGGCAGGATTGAGCCATTAGGAAGGGAAAGAAAGGGTAGGAGGGAGACAACAGAGGGGGACCGGTGGGGGGATGATGGGAAACAGAGAGGACAGCGAAGAAGTGGTGGAGAGCTGGTGGAGAGATGGACACTTGGCAGCCGCAGTAGCGTGAGTACGTCGCTGATTACTGTGCTGTAACGCTGACTCTAGCGCAAGGCTGAGAAGGGCTATCACAGCACTATCACAGTACTACCCAGCACCCAACAAGACCTAACAAGACCTACCAAGACCTAAGAAGGAATACTTTTTTGAAACTGTGGAGAATCGAAGAAGTCATGCGCGCCTTCCCTGTTGCCCTTTTTGTTCCTTCTGCATACCAAGAAGTAGAATCCTAGTAATCCCAGTAATCCCATCAATCCCAGCACGCCTAGGAAGGCTAAGTGCTGCTAAACAACACCTCCGTAACTGCTAAAAACTGCTAAATCGCTGCACAAGTGGTGGTCTAGAAGTCTAGAAGTGGCCTAGATCTAGTGGCGCGCCCTATTGCTCTGTTCCTTCTTCCTCGTCCGCCTCCTCCGCCGCCTCCGCCTCCATCCAACCATCCCCTCACTATCGCCCAGCCCATTCCCCTCCTTTCTCCATCTTTGCCCACAGTACAACCAAGACTCCTAAGAGTTCCAGAGTCCACTTAACATTACACGCCATTACATCAATCCAGGTACCTGACATTTCTGTGACAGATACATACACTCGCCGAGTACTCATGTACGTACACGGCACTGCTCCCGCCTAAGAATCGTAGTACCATAGTATGTACCTCCCCTCGTCCCCCCTCTTCCCCCTCCTCCCTCCCTCAACTCCGCGCCCGCTCTCAGCTTTTGGCTGACGAAGGATCGTGAAAAGGAAGAGAGAAAAAAAAGGAGATTGTTCTGCCGGAGTACTCTACCTGATTGAGTAATGTATGTGTTTGTATGACTGGACACAACCTGCGAGCCATCCATACAAGACACGAGGACACGAGGACACGAGGGCACCACTACCACCACCAGTCCTCATTCAATAAAGTGGTCTGCGGGTGAATCCAAATAAGAATATATAACCACTTCCCCCCCCTCCTCCCCTCTCTCTTTTTCTCTTTCATCCTAATCACTCAATCGCTCAATCTCTCACTCTTGTCTCCGTTCAATCGTTGAATCTATCTTCACACTCGATACCCAATCCATTTCCCACCTTGCTCTCGTTCTTACCACAAACCTCCCACCACCAACCCCCCCCAAACCACAAATATGCAGTCAGTATTCCACCGGACCCTCCGACGCTCCCCAGGCGCATCCCCCCAATTTACCTCCCTCCTGGACTCCGGGCGCCCGTGTTCCAATCCCCAGAGGACCCTTCTCCAATCGCGACCCTCCGCGCAGCTAAGATCCCAAACTCACCGTTATTTTTCCTCCAGACTCCCCACCGCTACAAGGCCCACCACTTTCAAGAAAACCCGCGACCTCTTCCGCCTCGATGGCAAAGTCTACGTCGTCACCGGAGGCGGCCGCGGCCTCGGATTAACTATGGCCGAAGCCCTCGCCGAAGCCGGCGGAACCGGTAAGTTCTCCCGAAGAGCCCCTCACCCCGCCACCAAAAACCCGCCCCACAATTAAACTAACGCGGCGAAACTACAGTCCACTGCCTCGACTGCCGCCCTGAAGCCGGCCCCGATTTCCTCGAGGCACAGGCCCGCGCGGCCGCTGACACCGAGTGCGTCGGCTCGCTGCACTACTCGCAGGTCGATGTGCGCGATGTTCCCCAGATGGAGGCCACATTCGCTACCATCGCGGCCCAGAACTCCCGCCTGGACGGCCTCATCGCCGCCGCGGGCATCCAGCGCGTGCAGCCTGCGATCGACTACTCGCAGGAGCACATGCGCGAGATGATGGACGTTAACTACGGCGGTGTGATGTTCGCGGCTGCCGCGGCTGCTCGCCAGATGATCGCCCACAAGACCCCTGGAAACATCATGCTCGTTGCTAGCATGTCGGGGAAGATCGCGAACAAGGGGCTCATTTCGTCCGTCTACAACTCCAGCAAGGCCGCTGTTATCCAGCTCGGCAAGAACTTGGCTATGGAGTGGGCACCACACGGAATCCGCGTTAACAGCTTGTCCCCGGGTCACATTGTGACACCGATGGTGCAGCAGAACTTCGATGACGAGCCACATCTCGAGGCCCTGTGGGCGCGCGAGAACATGATGGGCCGTCTCAGCTCCCCGGAGGAGTTCAAGGGCGCGGCACTGTTCTTGCTCAGTGATGCGAGCACCTTCATGACGGGCAGCGAGCTCGTCATTGATGGTGGACACACCGCGTGGTGAGGGATAATGATGGGGTGCGCCTTGGCTCCTACTAGGGGGGTCGTTGGCGGGGGGAAAGTAATGCGTTTGGATGAGGCGTCGTGGGGACGGGGCGATGGCGATCGCGGGGTGCATTTGCGGCTGCGGTGGCAGCCTTGGGTTTTAGATCGTGCTTGTGCTACGTGCAATGATAATGTTTGGCGTTTTCGGATACCCCATCAAATTGTGCCACAAACATGCAGTGCGGTGATGTGAAGCGTGAATATTGTGTTGCAAGCCACTACTGACTAACCCCTTACCCCTATTTATGGTATATGCATCCTCAGGAGCCAAACACTAAACACTGCCTCGCGGAACTAAGGCCCTTCCCTACAAGACGACAACTGCTCCGCGAGGCTCCGCGAAACGACGCGCGCATATCTGTCTAAAACCTTGCGAATTTGCGCAAAAACCCAAAGACCTGTTCGGTCGACATGTTGAGTTCGACATGCGAGTCGCGCCTTTGCAAGACTAAACGTGTCCTGCAAGGCCAGACGCGATTTATGCGATGCCAAACGCACCTTCCTTCGCAATGCCAAACGTGGCTGCCTTCGCAAGGTCAAACGCACTTTGTTTACATGGCCGAATGCACTTTCCTCCGCAGTGCCAAACGCACCTTCCTTCGCAGGGCTAAGAGTACATTCCTTAGTAAAGGCCGAACATGTTCTGCAAAGCTAGACGTGTTCTGAAAACCAGATGTGTTCCGCATGACCGGACGTGTTCTACTACAAGACCAGAAGTCGTCTGATGGGTTTTGTTTAAGAGGCTTATGCTAGGTTCAATGTCGTATCGAGTTAATGGCACCGTATCGAGGCCAACCCCGTATCGAGGTTAATGCCGTATCGAGGACAATGCCCTATCGGGTTTAATGCCGCCGAGTTCAATGCCATCGAGTTATCGCATAGTATTTGCGCGTATCTACTTCGAAGTAATAGATTTTATACGGAGAGATATACTAAAGCGCATGTTGTATAAAATCGACCTCATTAAAATAAGCAAGTTAACCTGGTTATGTAAAACAAGACAGTCCATAGGTTGCCTATGGCTGCTTAATTCCCATCAATATGTACGCTGTATACATATGCACAGATAGCTTTTCGGCTCCATCACCCCCGACCTAAGCAATGCCAAACCAAGCAAGGTCGACCGCCTCATGGACAGGAACAGTGTGTCCCACGCCCTGGCCAGAGTATCCAACAAGCGTAGTACCATAAACCGACTGCGTGTAGCCAGCATCGGGGGTGTTCTGGTTCGTCGCCGTCTGCGAGACGCCCAGAACATTGGACCACTGCTTCAGAGCTTCGGCGTAGTTGGGGTAAGCAAGCGTGGTGTCAGCAGTTCCGTGCCAGCTACATGAAAAGGTCAACCCCGCCATTTCATACAAACTCTTGTGGGGAAAAGGGGGACTTACATCAACATCTTGGGGTACGACCCGGTGTATCCTGGGTAGTAGCTGCGAACCTGGTCACCCCACTCCTGCGCGGACTTGATCAAGGTGCCGCCCGAGCACTGGCTGTTCCAGCCTGGGGTATCCTGGCCCGGCTGCGCGCCTGCAACGTAGAAGCATCCATCCGGAACGCCCGAGTAGGAAGATCCGGCCTTGAAGACATCCGGGTAGGCGCCGGCAAGGACATTGGTCATCATAGCGCCAGAGCTGGAGCCGGTGGCGTACACGCGGTCCGCATCACCGCCGAAGTTGGCCACAGCGTACTTAACCATGTTGACGATAGTCAAGCTGTCACCGCCACCATTGTGGGTGAGCGAGGCAGTCGAGGCGACGTCCCAGCAGCCGCCGGAGGAGGGCGCGTTGGGGTAGATCACGATGAAGCCGTGGGTGTCAGCTAGATTGGCGTATTGGGTGTTGCTGAAGTAGGCATTGGCAGTGCCGGTGCAGTAGTGGATTGCTACTATGATGGGCGCAGGTCCGGACACGCCGCTCGGCACGTAAACGTACATGCCGGCTTTAGTAGGTCCATCGTTGAAGGCTGTGACCTGCTGAAGGGAGGAGGAGAGCGCACTGGCGAGGCTGGCCAGGGTGGCCGATACGGCGAGGGTCGTTGGGGAGAAGCGCATGTTGGGCCCTTTGTTTTGCTAGTCGGTTCCGGAGAGCAAATCTGGGGATGATGCCGTGGTGATCGCAGATAAGAGGGGAAGGGAGCTTCCATTTTAAAGAATCTCTGACAGCGGTCCGACGAAACGGCTTTATGGTGGCTAAGCCTTGTGGAGCGGGTTATCTGGGGGGAAATAGGCACTTAGATTAGGCAGTTACGCCTCCGTAGATCTGTTACCCAAGAGCTTCAGATATGTGGTTAGTATGACGAGTTTAAACAAGTTTAGAGAGCTAGATCCTTCGTGGTGTCAGATAGATATTATGCGGGGCCCCGTGTTGTGACCCCCATCAGTCAACGGATAAAAGTGTTTCCCTGCGCTTGGTCCAATTGATGGCCAAAAACCTGGAGTACTCAAACCGAGACGTTGACCCACCTGGCGATCCTCACTCTGTTTGCTCGCTCGCTATATCTGCCTATATTATATGTTGCGTTAAACAGGCCATTGCCCTCATCATGCCCCACCTACATACTTAATTTCTGTCCTCCATATGCCCGTGAAAATACGTAGACCCTTGAGCCCTATACTTATAGCTCGGCACTGGGCTTAGCATGAATTCCAGGCATGATTACTGAGGGGTAAACGTGGCAGCGCTCGGTAGTTGTAATGTAATAAATGGAGTTTAGGGCTTGAAAATAGAATATTATATCGTGGGAGTAATGTGGCCATTTAGGAGTTGAGACATGCGACTGTGATCTAGGGAGGCTTGTGTCACTTTTCAACGGAAAGTTGACACATGATGTTATAGAGTAGAGTGCTGAGCGGTTGTTGCCTCCATGGATTTATGCATGTTCATCGTTTCGGAACGATGCTATTATTTCAGAACAGCTCGGAGAGACATATTCATCAGGCAATGCATGTGGTATAAGCACCTCAAATGCATTAATTACTCAGCTAGCTTGGCTGTCTTGGCCCCTCATATAATTTCCTGATTGGGAATACGAACTTAGACGACTGTACAATAAGGAGATGTAGTTTTTGAGACTACTGCATTTGATTATGGATTTTTCACTAGAAATCGCTCTGATAAACTGATTATGAAAGCATGGCGGCACAGGGCGCTTATTTTAGTTGCTTCACCATCGACAACTCCCAAGGAGCTGTTTATATACCCGGAAATGGATGAGATAGCCAGCAGATCCGGGAAAGGAAGGCCCATATTAAGTCAAAATCAGGATGTAGTAATTGCAAAGCGCTCAGGGTCAAGGCATGATGAAGTTTGGCCGACGTTGATATCCAACTACTTACGGGCGAAGTGCGACCTGAACCAGGGTGATCGCATGCACTGACACAGCATCCTTGGCCTCCTGTTGTGTGGCTGACGGCGGTCCGACGACAACTTCCCTTCCTGGAAGGCTTCTATCATCAATCATCCCGTTCCCGCCTTTGACCCTTTTTCAGGGTAATTCTCACATACGACCATAGACTCAAGAGAACTGGGCATCCCGTCCGCTCTGCCATACATAAACTTGAGATCGGTGGATTAGTAGTCTCAATCGTGCCAATAGGCTTAGTGTAGAATGCAGGTCCCTGCCGCCTAAAGGGTGATCTGAAAGTGAGCCGGGGCTGAGCAGGGTGACTGGGGTGAGCGGGGTGAGGCGAAATACGTTTTCGTGTCAATTTCGCGTCATTTTCGCGCATTAGGACTGAAGTTTTGGCGTGGTAGCGTACGCAACATAGCAAGGGCACCTTGCTCTTATTTTCCAGATGATTTGCCATACGTCAGTCATATTTATGAGCCACTTATCTAGGCCCCGAAACTTGGGTTTACTGAGGTTCATTCTCACTGGTTGTAGAATTTGATACTGAGAGGAATATGGATTTGACAAGGTGGAATTCGAGTGACGCTTGTGGAGTGTCACTCATTGATGGTTTGTGGGAGCTCAGTTACGAAAGGAAGTATAGCCCGCTCAGATTGTCGAAGGAGGCGTCTGGACTCGGATAGTCTCCTTACCTGCTCCGCTACCCCTTCCTCTCTCTTACAAGGGTTTATTTATATTAACTCACGTTGGGAAATTCAATGCAACGTAACAGTTTAATATGCTGCATACAAGGAGCATTTGGCGAGTTTTCTACCTAACGTTTCTTCCAGGGGTCCCCAGGAGGCAGGATGTTAGGATACGAGAAGTAAGGTGCTCCGCTACAGCGTGGCCCAGCCTATATGTAGCGGTAAGCTGGCTTCCTCTAGAAGCCAACGATTAGTTTATTAGTGAATCCATTGCCATTGCCGCCATACTACGTATATCCCTAAACAGAATCACTTGCAGAATGACCCTGCATATGCAAGGCCAGCGATACTATTTGAACTGGTGAATGAGCGCCACTAACGGGAATCTGGCGGGATGCGGACCGCTGCCGATGCCAAGATGAGGGGCTGAAAAAAACGCCTTCTGTCGATTGGCTCGGTAAGTGAGCTCAGTTGCAAACCAGTCCGTGCACCGGAATGTGATGATGCCAAGCATGCGAAGCATGGCCAGTATCACCAGTTCCGGGCTAGCGTTTGAGCCTCAAAACGCTGTTCTGGGCACTTAACGCAAGGCCCGAGCCAGACTTACTTCCAGCCTACAAATAGTACGTAGGCCACACTAGATATATTAGTTATTCAATTGATTATATTACTGTATTCTACGGTTCTATATACTATGCTACTAGTGGCCCCATTCCAACTGTTCCAAAGTGATATTCTAGTCGCGCTCTCGGAAACCCTACCCAACTACGATCGGTTCCCCGAGTATACATACCCTGTTATGTACTGTACTGCAGGCATACTAATCCCTAAAGACCAACAAAATGTAGTACAGTACATATTGATCCTTCAAACCAACCAACATTTACGTAAAGAAACTCCCGCGATAACGGCAGATCGAGGACAGCCCGGAACTTGAAGGTAGCAATGGCGACGTAGGCCAGAATACCTATAAAACCGTCTCATACCCTCAACATTCTGCTGCCTACCTCATCAACCAACACTCAGTCTAAACAATCACTCAGAGCAACTTTCACCAGCAACTAGCATCCAGCATTCAACTCAAGATACAAACCCCCTTATACCGCCACAATGCAATTTACACTTCTTGCTGCAGCTCTCGCTGTTTTCGCCACTGGCGCAATTGCGGACAACTGCAAGCCTGGTCTTTTCTACTGTGGAAGCACTCTCGTTAGCAAAGGTAAGAACGTACTCCCACACTTCTTTCCTAAAACCAAAACTAACCAAGACGTTTCTAGGGAAATACCAGGCCCAAATCGACCAAGCTATCCACGATGCTGGCCAGCAAGAAATTGACAATGGCAAGGATGATCTCTTCTATTGTGTAGGAGGCAATCAGGGTGTTATTGATTGGCAGAAACGCTGTGCTGGTGGGTGTATTGATGCTGGAACTGACAAGAGTGACCACTGTTAGAAGTTGTCAGATCTCACGGTGGGCCTTGCAGCATCGAGAGTCAGAATAGGTAGAATAGTAATACCAACGGAATACATACCTAATTTCCCGCCTCAAGAAGGACTCCAATTCGGCCATCTACTTTTCTGCCGCCTGATTCTTTACTAGGTCTTCACTGTCGTGCACTAAAATCCCTCTCCCATCTATCTCCATCACCTGCTGTGAGTAAATGGATAGCTGGTCCACGTGCTTTCTCGTTTCCTTTTAGCGCCCGCTGGTACATCTCCTCCGCCTCAGCTAGCTTTCCCTGATCTGCGTAGAGGTTGCCTAAGTTGTTGACTGTGCGGAGTGTTGATGTGTGCTCAGCTCCAAGTGCCTTCTCCTTTCCTTTTAGCGCCCGCTGGTACATCTCCTCCGCCTCAGCCAGCTTTCCCTGATCCGAGCATAGGTTTCCTAGCATTTTAAGACTATCTAGATATGCAACCGTATCCAAATCATCGTTAACATCGGTGACATAGCTCTAGTATTGTAGTAATTGGATAACATGCGGTAAAATCCGGCGTTGTACGGTTGCAGAATCTCTTGCAATTTGTTCTGGAACTGCAAGGCCGATAGTAGTTATTGCTGTCTGTAAAAGGCCTTCATCTTTCCTCATGTCGATGGATGCTTGGATCCAATCATGGACCACTGCGTGCATTGAATATGTCTCGCTGTTGTCATTCCGTTCAATAAGTGAGTAACCCAAAAGAGTGTCGACGGTTGCCAAGAAGCTGATCTCAGTAGCTATGATTTGCTAGAGCTAGCCCGGAGCAGCGTTCTTCCATCTCGGCCATAGTAACAGCTGAAACCAAAGCTCTTAATTGTCAATGTAGCCCTACAATCGCAACAGTTTTGCGGCTCCTTCATCTCTAATCTTTATCTCATCAAACGAGATTTGCCATGTCGTTATAATTGTCCGTTCACTATAATCGTTCCGCTTCTTCATTTGCCCGTGGAGCTCTGCCTATGATTTGTTGTACAGTTCGAGATACTTTACGATTGTCGTCTTGAAGAAAGCATGTTAGAAGACTTGGATTTAACGAGTCTACCAATTGCCGAATCTGTGATGTCCGGCTCGAACATCGGATTCATTTTCAAATTCACGCAGAGGAATTTCACGGAACTGTCTTGCAGTTCTGCAGCTAGATGGAATCAAAGTGTGCAGTATGGTTTGCCCTGATTATGTAAATAGAGGAATTAATTAAGTAGGAAAGAGGCAAAAAGTGGCATCGTTAAATGTTTTTAATCTAATTTTCCCATTATGGTCCATATTCGTCCACGCATTCAGGAAAGTGACGCAAATGATTCTTCATTCTCTTTCGTCCCTAAGAATACCCCCTACTCCATGTCTGCCAGACGCCGTGTCCTTGCTACTCTGGCTTCAGTAGAGGATTGTGCTATGAGCCCTAGGAAGGCTTTGCACAGATTCATCTGACATTTGTCCACTGTTAAAGGATGTGTAGTCCCCGACTTTGATATCTTTCCCATAAACTTCTTCCCCTTTAGTTGAAACCATAGCAATCGCACAACCTTTTCCGATTTCGACATTTTCAAATCTAACTCCTCTATAGTTTTCAACCTTTGCGCCTTGTTTCTCCATTAATGCTTTTTGGCACGCTTGATTAGGCATTTGTTGGGACTGATCAAATATATAACCAAGCCACTGTACAGTTCGAGCCCAAACGCTGACTCTCTTAGCCGAGGCCCGATCTCCCCGCATCGAGGCAGTGACTAGGTGAACAGCCTCTTTCGTGTTTACGTCTTCAAAGACAACACGCTGAATTTGGGCTATTTGACTAGATACGAGAGCATCGTCTCTCCGCATTCGCTGCTGCTGGGTTGCGTTGTCAGCTGACATGCTTGCTCTGTTCGGGGAAGTATTATGTTAGAAGTTATTTAGTTTATGTTTCTGAGGAGATCAAGCCTGACGATCTTACGGTCTTACATACAGTACATTAGTCACCTTCAAAGCTTCTAAGGTCAAGATTTGTTCATTTCATTAAAGGACAAACTTCTACCAGATGTTGTCACATGCGGCACTACCCATATCATGACGTATGCTCACAATCTCAACTTTGGTAACCTCTAATCTCTTGCAGTAGGCTCCCTATGTCCATGCACCTAAGAGTGATCCATAGTATCATGTCAAGATGGAGAAAGCACTTCCCAACTTCACATCAGAGTATACGCCGTGGTCCATGTTGCAAGAACCCTACATTCAGTTTCTCTAGCACCTTGTTAGTAGCAAAATGCGTAGAGGTTGACAGAGCATCCACTTTATTATGTGAGAGTGTCTGTAGGGACTCGTCAGACATCTGACCAAGCCACTTGGAAGTTCGATTCCTAGTGGTGATATTCCTAGCTGTAATCGGATTTCCGGGCGTCGCAGTTGAGACAATGACAAGGTGGGCGCCTTCACCGGTGTTCAAATCTTCAAAAATAAGGCGTTGAGCTTCGTCCGTTTGCCCAGATACAGCCCGTTCTGCATCTTTATCTGTCTGTTGCATTCGCTCCTGCTGGGCTGCGTCGTTGGCTAACATAGTATGTTCTGAGGAGTATTGTCTTGGAGATTGGCGCTCTGTGTTTCCGATGGGATCAAGCCCAATGCTCCCTATATAACTCTCTATATTCCAGTGGGATACTTCTGAAATCAGCTTTGAACCTATCCCTATACAGTTGGACTTACGCTCGCAATGGCCTTTCACTGACGTTGGGTAATCTATATCTTGAACAACTATCATCGCAATTAGTGGTTGGTTCCTATAAGGCGCTTTTATTACTTCAAGATCTTCTAAGCACTTACACACGATAATTTGTTACCTTTAAAGGTTCCAAATTCAAAAGAGTTGTCACTTCATTTAAAGGGTCGGGTGTTGTCAAATGAGCGATTAAGGCGGCAATATCCATACTATGACGTATACATCCCAAGAGCTAGTCTCTTGTAGAGAGAATCTTATGGAGTCGAAAATCCCTAAGATGGATGTTATGTATAGGAACGAAGAGGTTCAGTTCACCTAAACTTGCCGATCCTAATGATCCCTAACAAGTGTGCAACTGAGAAGCCGATGTCCAATCAAGAAAAGGCACAAGTAGCCAAAGAACCTTGTAATAACATACAATTAAAGTAACCGAGGTGGAAACCTTAAACCCTAACGGTTGATTTTAGCGGTTAGCCTCATATATGGATAGACCGATTACCCCTGTTATCCACAGTTCGAAACAACTCGGCAAGAGGACGCCAGCTTAGCAAGTGACGCTTCCAAGTCTAGCTTGTTACAGCTCATCATATTTTCTCTTAGCAGAAGTTGCAGTGGAAAGCTGCGAGCTGCCGTCGCCAACCACCAGCCGCCATCCCTCCTTCCGCCAGAGAAGACAGCCGCAATCAGCCGCTCGGCATAGCGTCGACTGTGGCACACCCAGCATACAGCAAAGCATACTTGCTGACAGTGGAGTATTGCTATCCAAGCGGTTCAACCCAAGGATTCCAACATCGTGAAAGCCAATAGAGCGAATGGATTTCTTGTTGGTCTCGAAAAAATCCTTGATGACCTTTTCAGGAGCCACCACTCCACACATGTCAAGCTGATGCAGATCAAATGCGCAGCGAGACAGAAGCTCCAGTACACTGTCGTCAACCCCATGCAGGCGTAGGACCTTGATGTTCCCCAGCAGCTGTCTTAGAGATTCGGATAGTGGGCGTAGATTAGGTTGTTCCCATGAATGGTAGTATGGAAGCTCAAAGTGCAACAAGCTAACGGTATGAATGGCAACGCCTACGCTTCTGGCACTCTGAATGGCGCTCGATACGACTTGTAGATGGTGCTTGTAAAACTCTTCGTTTATGATCATGTCTGAGGTCAACAGGCAGTCGTCATCTTCCAGCACCTCACAGCAATGCGGGCATTGCGTAAAGGTAAATGATACCTGCACTGCATCTACTGCTAAATTGTCAAGAGGTTTGGCACTACGGGATCTGAAGAACGGCTCGGAAGCCCAACAGTGTCTGCGCCAGCCACCGCACAACGAACACGCCCAAACCGCCTCGATCAATCTCCAGCACCTAGTGCTACTTCATCACCTTGAGAATCATACCTACAAGACATTTGTTATGGATCCGAAATCGTGGAAGAGATGATAGTACTGTTGGATCTCGAAGTTTGAGTATTCGATCCGTCACACCTAGACTCAGAAGCTGATCAGGTGCAGCATCTCTTGGTATGCAAGCTATGTTTCTGGTCATGGCATTACATCTTAGGCGTTTTCAGCCACATGATAGCTGCCATAACATCATGGTATTGTTGCAATCCTCCCAAGCTCCCCCAAGCTTCTCCAAGCTTTTGCACAGCCTTTGATACCCCGTTAAGCAACGAACCTGAAACCAAAGATACTTTTTTGGCCTGTTCCAATTTCGTGGAAATCCGCACACCGGTTAACTAAGATACTTACATTGAGGATACCGAAAGGCTGACGATACTTTACCACGGCCTATCAGTGTAGAGGTAAACCCCCGACGACACGAAAACAAAGCATGCATCAGCTCAGACCTTCGTCGTCGTAGCAAAAGATGTATTGCAATCGCCGTTGCTCTCAAGCTGACCAACCTATCAATTTATAGGCGTCTCGTCATCGCCGTTACACCATACCAAAGCCCACATTACTATTGGCTAGTAGGATCAAAGTTGTAGATCTGAGCTTGGACGACCCGTTGAATGTCAGAATTCTGACATTCGCTAGCGCCATTTCTGACAATGCGGCTGTATTCTGACTTTCGGGATCGGGCTGTAGAGTGCCGATACCTCCGATGGGGAATGTCAAAGTAATGATTATGTGGCGGATGCGTGACCAGGGTTGTTACTTAGTAGAGGGCTATAGGGGTATGGAGTGTATGGTTTGGTGGCGGCGGTGGTGATGATGGTGGCGGTAGGGTGGTAGACGACAAATAGATGAGGATTGCGGGGCTGCGATGCCTCGGCCGAGCTGCCGCAGTATTGGAAATGATGGGGATTGCCCTTGATTGATAATACAGGATGGAGGGGGATTACGACATGGGAGTGCCTCATTGAGGAGGAAAAGAGCAACGCGTAACGGGCTACGCCCGAGTGCCTGAAGGGGAGGGGGGGAGGGGTATTTAGCTCTGGGCTTTATAAAGACCACGAAAACGCCCTTTGTAGATGCCACAGTTTTCTCTCTAATATACGAATCGATCCAACTTCCTATCCAGAAACAATACGGCTTCTCTCCGCAAGTCAATCTCTAGCAGCACCACAGTCTCCCTCTAACCCAACTCGCATTCTCACCCCGAAACACCCACCATGTCCGCCACCACCACCACCAAACCAACTATCCTCATAGTTCCCGGCTCCTTCTCGGCCGCCTCCCACTACGACACCCTCATCAATTCCTTACAAGCCCTCTCATACCCCGCTGTTGTTTCCGACCTCCCTTCGGCCAGCAGACTTCCCCCCGCCCCCGCTGCCTCAATGGCCGACGATGCAGCGCACTTCCATGGCATCGCCGAATCACTTGCGGATGAAGGCCGCGATATCGTGATCCTCACGCACTCGTACGGCGGAGTCCCTGGGACGGAAGCGGCCAAGGGGCTTGCAAAGGCGGACCGCGAGGCGGAAGGGAAGAAAGGGGGAGTTGTAAGGCTGGTGTACTTGACCTCGATCGTACCCCCTCTTGGGGGTTCGCTAATATCGACCATGGGGGAGGTGTCTGAGGCGATCACTATTAATGTTTGTGTCTCTGCGATTCTCATACTAATCCCCCTGCTAGCATCGTAGACTCCAACGGGCAAAGGAAAGAGTGCTAACTAGTATCGAACAGGGCGATTATATGACACTCGACCCGGCCGTCATCGGCCCCGCCACCTTTTCCGATCTGTCACCCGATCTTGCTCTCGAATGGGGAAAGAAGCTGACGACGCACTCGCTCCCCAGCTTCAGCGGCAAGATCACATATCCAGCGTACCGCCACATCCCCACGTCGTTCATCTTTTGCGAGCGCGACCTGATCATATCGCCGGATCTTCAGCGAGCGACGATCTCGTTTTTGGAGAGCGAGAGGGGAGGGGAGGGGAGCGTGAGCGTTGTCAAGCTTGACACTGGGCATTGTCCCAATGTGAGTGTGCCCGAGGAAACGGCGGCGGGGATCGCGAAGGCGATTGAAGGCGTTAGTGTGTGAGCTGACCACGCCATTGTCGGGCTCCGGTGCTGTCGCAGCCGTGTGTAGAACGAGGAAGAGGTGGAGCTGAGAGCAGGAATCGAGAGAGAAGGGGGGGAAGAATCAGTTAGCCACCGATCAATCCAATACTTCAAATAAACATCGTTAGCAAAACAACCAACCCCATTTCTCTTGAAACCTCTTCCCTATAGTCCAATCCGCACTATCCCACGCCTGGCCCCCTTCCCTAATTACAAAACTCTCCATGCAAAACAGATCCCCTATAAACGCCTCCTGGTCTAGTACTCTCAAACTTGCTGCTCCGACCCCTTCCTCCTCCCCCACCGTCATTAATATAAAATTATCCCGCATCCGCGGAAACGGAAATCGATCAATCCATCGCGCATGTGGCGTCGATAGTTGCAATGCCGTCGGCTGCAAATCGGGGGGCGCATCCGGGTAGGGCGGGGAGCATGAGGGAAGCGGGGAGGCGTAGGCGCAAGGGAGGGATAGGATAACGCCATTGGTGAAGAGCGCTGCGTAGACGGTGGTAGGGATGTCTTGATGAAGATCCAGCGCGGGATCAAGTGCTGAGTTGGGTGTTAAGGGGACCACGACGCGCGTAGAGGGTATGACTTGGCGCGCTGCCGCCCCGAGGGCGCTGCTCTCTTGTGTAGACGTATGGCAATTGGCACCGGTGGTCGGGGAGCTGGCGGCATGGTGCTGCACGGCGAGTCGTTGTCCTAGGTGTGTTAGCGCTAATCTGGCGGCTGGTATGGGGGATGTGACCCACGACGTGCACGCTGAGCTAGACGGTCCTGGATCTGTTTCCGCTTCCTAGGGTCGGTGACACTCTGCCAGCAATTCTCGGAGTCGTGGGTGCGGGGTCGTGGCATGGTGCGTGTTGTGGTTCTTTGTGAGTTGAGTTGGTCGGTGATGGGTGGGTGGCCTTGAGGGGTACTCTCGGCACAGTTGTCAATTACTCAGCTCTGACCCGAAGGATTTTAAGTTCTGACCTACCCCTCCACCACCAAAATGATACAAACCCCATACCTCCCACAGCTTAGTACACAACTTCGTACTTCTTACCAATTAAATAGTAATGATCACGTGGATGTTTAACTTGCAGGAGGATGCTTCATTACTAGATCCTTGCTTGTCTTCAATTATCCCTCGACTTCACCCTTGGTAAGTGATTCTTCCAAAAAATCATTCGAGTTTGCCAATAGCTTTTAGACACGGGGTCTATAATACGGGTTTAACAGACGATAACAGCCAGAAATGCTCGCTCACAAACCGCTTCTTGGGTTTTATAGACGAATGCTATGGGGCCTAAGTTTATTTGAGTTGTGTTCTGGGCTATTTTGCTGGCATTTATCTGGCAACTGGAGTGACTGCACAAACATACGGCTCCTTTGTTCGGGGCTTCGTAAAGTAGCAACAAATGGGAGCTGAAATCAGCATTCTTCTTGCTGTTGTCACCTACCTATTCTAGATTTAGCCTTGAATCCTGCGTATGCAACCTGCCCGAAGTGAGAAGCAGTGTATTGTCCCCTTGAACGCGCAATACAAAGAGTCAGATCGAGCAATTATTTCAAGTCTATAGTATGGATTAGGCGTTCAAATCAAGCTTTTTGGGTTTGGTATAGATTTCCGCGGCGATGCTTCGTTTCTCAAAGTCAACTACCTGCTGGGGTTGTTGTCACACAGATGATGATACGACAATCGCTTAGCTGACCCGCATATATAGGATGGAGACCGAGTCTAGGATGCCGAACCAAGTATCTGGAGTCTATCTATAAGACGCAGGAAAGTTCCCATGTTGATTCTTTTCCTAGCCAAGCAAGTAGTTCACTTGTCGCCTGGAACTTAGCCACAAGCAATATATTATCACAATGCATGCATCAGCGTACTTCGCCCTTCAAACCATAGCTACCCTAGGCACCCTCCCAGCTATCTTTGCCAAAAATGTAGTCCTTCCAATCCCTGGAGGACCCCTCCAACTGGGCACTGCTACCGCCGTACTGACTGATCACTCTCGCCCGAGCTGGGCAAACGACACCAGGCCCCGCGCCCTGCCCATATCAGTATTCTATCCTGTCGGCTACGCTCCCTGCTCCGGCGGATATCTCTCCGAATATGTCCCCCAAATCGTCTCCGACTTTGAAAACAAATATTTCGAGCTCTACGGCGTCCTAGCAAAAATTGACTATGCTGCTTTCAAGAGCCAGATGTATCACACATGCTCTGGAGGAAAGCATCACAACGAATATCCTCTCCTTATTTTCTCACCTGGATACGAGCGCACGAGGCTCTTGTACGGAGCTCTTGCCCAGGCAGTTGCTAAGGCTGGGTATGTGGTAGTTACAATCGATCATCCATATGATGCAGATATCATACAGTATCCAAATGGGGAAGTCATTACAACTGATCATGAAACCAATCTCACCGATGCAGAACTTGTGGAGATCCGGGTTGAGGACGTGTCTTTCGTCTTGAACCAGCTAAGCGACAAGAAGATTGCAAGAAAACTTGTGCCGTATGATATTGATACGTCAAAGGTTGGCATGTATGGGTAAGCATCCCCCAAACTCATAAACCACAGACTTGGAGGTTAATTGTCTACAGGCACTCTGCTGGAGGTGCAGCAGCAGCAAATGCCTTAATTTCTGAGCCTCGTCTCATCGGTGGCCTCAACCTTGACGGAGACGTCACCGAACCTGTCACCCTCGTAGGAAATGGCAAACCATTCCTCCAGTTTGACCACGGAACTCATACGCACTTTAACAGCGAGAGTCTAAGCCAGATGTGGCCACTGCTCCGTGGTTGGCACGAGGAGTTATCGTTTAATGGTACAACGCACTCGACGTTTGGTGATCTCGCGCTATTGGTTAATCTCTGGGGACAGGGGAATTCGGGGAATGAAAGTCAAGTTGTGAGCCATCTTGATGGGAAAAGGGTTACCGAAGTCCTACGGGTTGTTGTGACAGACTTTTTCAAGTTTTTGTTCACGGGGAAGGAGAGTAAGTTGCTTAAATGCCATAACGAGGGGTATCCGGAGATCACCTGTGCAATAACATGTACACCGAGCCCAGAGGTCGACTGTGTACCGGAATGAACACCTGGTATTACTTGCTAGAATTAGTATAGCACTCCAGGACTCTGATGCTATCATTGAAATCCGCTAATGTCATGCATAGATAGTTAACCATGATTACAATTGTACATTCGTGCCTACATATATATTTTGATTCACCATAAGGGAGAATGCCCCACCAGGAGACCTGTATTGCTTGTAAAGTCAGATGCTTGAAAGGGTATAAGTCGGTTCCTAAAAACACTCTCGAATAAACAATGACAGTCCTGACCTCCCCTAGCATTTCACCTCCATTCCACTTATGCCCTACAGAATATACCTAAACCCTCTATTATCCAACTCGGTGACATCCAGCATCCCTCTCTCAATAGCCTCCCTTTCTTCGTCATCACTCGCCGCACCCCGCTCCGCTTGTTCCTGGTCCCTTTTCTTATTGCTGGTATACATATATGCGTACAATAAGAAGACCATGGAGAGCTTAACACTGTACCCAACGAGCATCGCTATATAGGCGCTATGGTATCCGGCTAGGAAGGTGGATGTTAGTCGGTGATTAGGGGGGAAAGGGGGGAATAGAGAGACTTACGTTTTTCGGCGTCAATGAATGTCTGTGGGCCGATGATATTCCCAACACAATACCCAGTAAACAAAATAGCCCCCGTAAGCTGCTTCTTGGTATACCCAGCCACATTGCTACTCACCATTGTGAGACTAAGACTAAATCCCAAACTCTGAAAATAGCATAACCACAACGCAACCAGACGCCCCCATTTATTATCGCTTGGAAGTCCTACTAGTAGTCCAGCGCCGATGATGCAAATCGTGTTTGCCACAACCATTGTCGCACAGCGGGTGTTGGTCGGCCACCGAGTACAGATATATCCTCCAGTAATCAACGCCACAAATTGGATTGCTCCGCCGGGGATTTGAAGGTATTGTGTCCCGAGGGTATCAAAACCGAACGAGCCGACAACAATACTTGTGAAGGATGTAAGAGCGGAATTAGGGACCTGTGCGCCGACGGCCATAACAAACAGAATGTAAGTCTTCGGATCCTGGAATGTCTGGATGGCTTGGTGGCGAGAGAAATGGTGGTTCTTGACGCCCTGGCGGTTCGCAGCGACGCGGTTGACGGCAATAAGACGTTCACGTTCTGTGAGGAATTTTGCTGTGCTTGGTAGATCTGGCAGGACGAGGAGAGAAACAACGCCCCACACGATCGATATAGACCCGAAGATTAGGAACACGTACATCCACTTCTGCAGCCCACTCTTGATATGGCCGACTGCGTACCCGATCAGACCGCCAAACATGGTCGCCACGCCATTTGTGGAGTAGTATATTTCCAGGCGAAGCGGTTGCTCTGCAGATGTATACCAGATGCTCATCATGAGGACGAAGCCTGGGTTAACGGTTGCTTCAAGCGCACCAAGAAGGAAACGGTTTGTTGCCATGCCCGCAAAACTGCTGCAGGCGGGGGTGGTGATGAGGATTATGCCCCAGCATATTGTAGCAATGGATAGGAATTTCCCTATCGGGAGGCGTTGGAGGAGGTAGCCGGAGGGGAATTGGGAGAAGAGGTAGCCGAAGTAGAATATTGAGCCTTTTGATTTTGTAAGTTCAAAGCTGGGTGAGGAGAGGAGAGGGGGAAGTTACCAAGCCAGGCGTAGTCTTGTCCCTCTAAATGAGTTCCGTCTTTGAGGCCGTAGACACTAGCGAAGTTGATGGAGTTTTTGTCGAGGTATTGCAGCATGTATGTTATGACCAGGATTGGGACGATTCTGTAGTCGACTTTTCGAAGAACTCGTTTGGCTTCTGCGGGGTCGGTTTCGAGATCTCGCGAGGCTTTGTACAGTTCATAGTTGTCATCTCGATGTTTGGTTGCTGCTGATATTTCGTCAAGACTGTTTGAAGCTAGCTGAACTGGGCTTTGGACAACATGTTTCTCTGGGTCCGAGGAAGACATTTTAAAAATTAGTTCAGTAATGTAGATGCTAGCTTCTAGATTACATGTGCATGTAAATATATGATGCCTCTCAACCTCGAAACCACCCAGAAACCAGGAATTAAACCATAATAAATACCACAAAAAAGATAATAATTACAACATCCAACAATCCCTACCTATATGCTCCCTTACCCCGCACATTAAAATGATAACAGCGTTGGGGAATGTTATGCCGATATTACAGTTTGAAGTGATGTTGTGATTAAAGTCGTGATTGAAGTGGGGATTGTCGTGATAGGTGAGGTTCCCTAGGGATTTATGAAGGGATAGTAAGGGCTGGGCGTGGGGGTGACATTTTGTGAGAGCGGAATTAAGACTATCGACCTGTCAAGAAAATTTAAGATTGTCGGAAAGTAGCTTACAAGAAGCTTACAATTATCATTGTAAGCTGGTTGTCACCCAAACTGACAGCCACATGTAAGGCGCAATGTAAACCTTAATAGGTGGGTAATTCAGGACGCTTTGAGACACATGCGTCTAATGTGGCGTGGTGGTACGGAGTCTGATGGCGTGAAGCACATCCTTGCAGCCGTTGTTGTCGCCTTTTCAGGCGGAGAGATCTCGTATACTCTTCGAAAATGGTAGACCAAGCGCCTTTGAGAGACCATAGTACGCGGCTTCCTCTCTACTTCCATCCGTTGGCATGGGTGAGGATGATAGTGCCAAGGAGTTCTTAGTATCACTCATCCATGTGTATGGCAGGCAGAGCGGACGAGATGCCTGTCTCTTGCGTGTATGGTCATATGTAGAATATGTTGTATTATCGTGCGGTTTAAGAGCCTGGGCAATCGTCGTTTTTGAGACGTCCCCTGCCCCTTAGTGTGTTCCCGGGAAAATCCCAATAGTATATCTCCCCTAAAATTTCCCAATAACATCTCAGCCCTCCTTATCAAACGGATAGTAGTTACTCTTATCCAGTGATAATAACTGCCTGATTTCTTCACTTCCACTCTTCATCACACGATCTAAAACAGTACCGAATCCCGCCACCGTTGCATTTACGTCAGCTCCGTAACTCAATAAAATCCTGGCCACTTTTGGATCTTCCCTGGCCACAGCCATGTAGAGCGCGGTCGGAAACCCAGCCGGCGTCCAATCGACCTTGGCACCTTTCTTCAAGAGCAGCTCCATCGACACCGTATCTCCTTTGGCAGCAGAACTGTACAAAGGCGTCTGCCCTCCGGGAGGTTTTGAATTCGGGTCCGCACCGTGATCCAGAAGCAGTTTTACTGCATTCACATTACTATGATCGACGGCAACATTGAGTGAGTTACCAGTGCTTGCGTTGGCTCCAAATTCAAGTAGGACCTTGGCAGTTTCAAGATCCTCCCGGTGTATCGCCATATATAACGCACTAGGAAACCCAGGCGGCGACTCATCCAGGTTCGCACCCTTTTCTAAGAGTAGCCGCAGCAACACCACTTCTCCTCTACTAGCCACGAGAAACAGTGGCGACTGTCCAGTTAGAGGCTTTATGTTCACATCGGCACCGTTATCCAGTAAGAGGTGTACCATTTCAAGATTATCACGATAGATAGCTGAGCCGAGGGCAGTTTCGCCCATGGTAGGGGTCGCATTAATGTCGGCACCTTTGGAAATTAGGGCCTGTACGGTATTCATGTCGCCTTGTGCTGCAGCAAGATGGACACATGGCTGCCCAGTCCAGGGTCGGTAGTTCGGATCCGCCTCATAGTCGAGGAGCAGTTGGATCACAGTAGTATCGCGCCTCTGGATGGCATAGTATAAAGCGGAATGCCCTCCTGTATTGGCATAATTTGGATTTGCCCCATAGGCAAGAAGAAGCTTTAATACTGGAATGTCGCCACGGCCTGCAGCGTCAAATAGAGGAGAATTTCCAGTCCAGTTCTTGTGGTTGGGGTTGGCACCATACTTCAGCAGAGTTGCAAGTGTCCGCGCATTGCCCTGCGAGGCGACCAGGTGAGTGGTTGAAGGTTTCGTATCTACCTTTGCGCCATGTTGGATCAGTAGATTTACTACCGAAGGATGTCTGTTGGCTGCCGCGTCATACAAGGCGGACGAGTCAGGGTCAGCACCTTGCAGGAGAAGGCCCTCGACCACTTTAAAATCTCCTCTGGCAGCAGCTTTGGCAATAATCGTTCCTCCAAATATAGAACGCGAATTGAGATCTCCAAGCTTGGATGATAACGGGACGGAAGTTTTTGCAATCACCAACAGACCTCGGGGTTCGAAGAATCCAGAATTCCACTCTTTGACTACCTTGTGAATGTTTGACCGGCGCACGTAATCTTTCTCAGAGTCTCCGTCCTTTGGCCCTGTTGTAGAATTTGATAATCCTAGATTACCAAGGCCGTTGGCGTTTTTGCTGGATGGATAAAGTGGCTGTTTCTCATCTAACTCATATGATGTGCCCCCTTTCTGATTATTCCCAGCTAAGACATGGTCTGGAAAGAGATGGTTGCAAAAAGTGAACCAGTCCTGTTCATCAACGCCGCGCTCCGAGAACAGTGGGGGGAGTTCAATCTCGTCCCGGCTTGAGTCAGGTTCGAGTACTATTCGATGGGAAATGATCCTACTTGGAGGTGTCTGATCTGGAGGCCTTGAAGCAAAATGGGAATTTGCTCCTATCGATGATGCGCTCAAGTCATTGCTTTCTTGCGGAACCAAGCCTACTGAGTCCGCTAAAATTTGGCTTGACGTATCGTGAGGGTTGTGAACAGAATACGGTGGCGGTGGAAGTTGGTCGTCCATGCTCGAATGAGGTTATTTTTCTTGTGTGGAATTATTTCTTTGGATGGTAGCCTGAATCTTCTTCGACCTGGTAGGAGGAGATGAACAAAGCAGTTTGAATACGAAGACGTAGGTCTGAAGAGTCAGACTTCAAGTTATTAGGTGACTCCTCGCCCAATATTAAAATCTTTTTGATTTTGACGTGCAACGAAAGTGTGATATGAAAGACGACGACTGGTCTCCCAAGGTGACGTGGCCCATCCTCATCCAACTCTCTACTCGTTGGTTGTGCTGACAGGTCTGTTAATGCTGTACGTGCAGGGATTATCCAGCACCAGACCCACTTTTACCAGTGGCCAGTTAGAGCCATCTTACTACCTCCGCGATGAAGAACTTCACCAGGTGCGATACACGGCTGGTGACATAAAGCAGCGCCATACTCCACTGAATTCATCAGCCCAAACGCCACTACGAGATAGGCTCTCTATGGCAATAACTTGTCTCCTTCTGTTTCTAAGTATGGTTTCCTATAGCTTCCCAGCGCTACAGGAATACCAGTCGAATAGCCCACATCACCGTGGGCAGTCTCCAGCTTCTTTGTAATCTTCCCCACCAATCTTGCTATCCACCGATCGTTAACCACCCCACTCACTACTGCCTTCTTGAAGCCCTCTTTCGCAGACCTATTCAGAGCCTTCGTGAAGTCTTTTAGTCCTGACACCTCGTTGTCCATCCCAGTACGCTCACTTTCCATTTCAATTACTTTGGTAACCTTCACCAGCGCTGCAATGCAGTCGAGCAGCTCTTGATCAAAGACTGCAGGTAAGCGGACGCGCGCAGAAAGCTTAACGTTCGCCTCATCTCTGTGGGCTTGTTCGAGATCATATTCTCCCTGGACCCTTTTCGGCTTGCTACTTGCGTAATCGATGTTTGTTTTTAAGTCATACCTCTCTTTATTTGACGAAATAGGGGGTATAATATGCTCGTGATGTGGAAGTAAGAACGATGGAACGTTGAACGTAGCATCTGCACCTCCGAGTTGAATGACTCGATTCAGATTCGCCTCTCTTGGTAATGTGCGATAGGCCATGAGGTCCTTGAAATCTAGCTGACATATAATGTCATAGGACGACATAATAGGGACCTGAGCCAGCCCAGTGAAGCTGCCGAGTTCGACGGTGAAATTCGCGTCGGTGAGCCAGAGGGAAATGCGCTCTTTAAGATTTCTAATTTCGTTGTCATGTTCCCAATAGCCTTGGAATATCTCCTTTTCGAGCATCGCACTAATCCACCTCCCTGAAGCGGTTGCGGTGATGGACGAAATTGTGACAGGGTGAAAGTAACTTAAAATATTGAGAAGGGAACGTAAAAGCAAAGGAAGTCTATGCAGGAATCTCCTGGCGGGTGGCGGAAGACTGTTTTGTAGGGTTGTAACCTTAATAGACCTCCTCGGTGGATGGGGAACAGATGGCATTTGGTGAAGCTCTGAACAGATGGATGCTCGAAGAGCATTCGCGTCAATAATATCGCAACCCTTTTCAGTATACCTGTTGGACGTTGTGCTAAGTTTGTGGATATATGCCCGAGATTCCTGAACTGAGCTTGTCTCTCGGATAAATTGTAAGACTTTGCGGTAACGTTCCGCGGCTTCTTCATTGTCGAGAGGTAACTTTTCCATGGACTCGAAGCCAGATCCGATAGATGCATCGTCCGGCGCATGGTTGTTAGTCAAGTCCTTGGTCATCTTAGTTATAGAACGCCCTCTCCAGCCCCCACTTTGAGATGCAGCTCTAAGTAGAGGAGTATCCTCGACGAAAATAGCATTTCCCTGTGCATCATGCGTATTTCCCGGTATGCAGCCAAAAGTCATTTCATATTGACCACCTTTCACATTCGCAAAGCAGTCTCCGATGTCAATCCTCCTAAACAGCGAGACAGTAACCTTCTCTGTTTGGATTGCCAACTCCATATCGTCGGACAGCTTGATCCCAACCTCGACACCATGAACGGTAAAACTCAGGGTCGATAGTGAAAACGTGATGCCTCGCAAAACCATAAGTCCATCAACGTCCGTGTCGATCTCTAAAGCTGGAATATTGAAGAATGCGATCTTATCATCAATGAAATGTAGTTGCTTCAGCAAAAACCTCGATTTCTTCCTAACAAAATCTCCAACCACCTGGTACTGCAAAAGGCACGTGAGAAATATGCACTGGTAGCAAAGCAGAGCAAAGACCCAGTATAGAAGCCAAGACGTCGAGGCAATGGCGTAGATCAGATGCAATGTTGTAAACATCGGCCATAGACCGGTCAAAGGCAGGATGCGGTGGCCTCGAGAGTTTCCATGGAGAATAAAGAATTGAAGAACTGGGGCACCAGAAAGCAGCCATCGCCGCGGCCATTGCTGTAGAGCGACGAGCAATGCCGTTCCTGCAGCAAAGCGAAGTGGCGATAATAGTCCTAGCCCTGACTCCTCCATTGAGGCGGCTGGGGTTGAAGTTCTTTGCTGACTGCTCGATCCCAGGTCAGACAATTGTGGCTCTCCTATGGTGGTGGACTTCCTTTCAGGACATGACTGAAGAGGAAGATAGACATCAAGATACCATATAAATCTTCATTTTGAATTTTTGGTGGAGATTACCCTGACGATTGTGTGATGACGTAACGTAACACAAACCATCGCTGAAAGATGCTGTTTAGCAGCAAAAACACCACTACAAGACTAAAGTTGTAGAATAAAGTTTAAGAGTACTACATGTATGCATTAAGTAGGCTGCGTCATGGGGGACCGAACCCGTCGGACCGACCCCAGACCAGACCACGGGTCGGCTTGGGTCCATCACTCCAGATCGGACCGTGGTTTCCGTTGAGCTCTAAAAGTGCCAACAGTTTCTTGGCACACTGGAGCCACATAGCCTAAAAAGTACCTTTACACCTATTTTATATGTAAATATACTTATCATGTGACTTTTTCAATATAAAACGTACCTGTTATAAACATATAATAGCATAGTAAAGCAACTAAATGGATATAGAAGGTATATAGCCTCTATCCCTCTAACTTCTCATTCCCCCCTCATCTACGTTGCCTGTGTTGTTACTGGTATGGTCTCTAGCACATGTCTGAGTATATCAGAATTACGAAGATTACGAGCATATTTGTACTCGAGAATAAATATACTCGAGCACATGTCTACTCATACCGGACTCTGTAATGGAACGTCAAGCAATTTCGGTAGTCAAACTTTATTTATAGTTGATTGCCGTGAAATGACGATTTTGTGAGCTCGTTGTATGCATATTTATATTCGTCATGCATAACTCTTGCACAATTGACTCCGTATCAAAGAGTCAAGGCTTGGCACTCTCATATTCATACCACCCCACACAACGTACTCCTAGATTTCGTGTCAATTGTTCAATACGATAATCCAAGTATAGTTTGAATTACCCCGCAATTTCATCATGTCGCATCTGACTCCATAGCATAGTGTTTATTAAATGCGGCCCTCGGCGAGCCATTGCCACATGCATTTACCCCAAGTCCTATATTATATCACTTTCCCTGGACTGGCAACTCTGGTTTAACATCGCCATCATCATCATTATCATTTCAAATATTTTTATTCTATTGCTATTTGATACTCACCGATAACTGCAGAGACGAAAATGTCTAACACTGCTAAAGCGCTCCCTGTCAACGGCGAACTTCACGATTGCTGGGGATATAAGTTCCGCTGGACAGAACTTCACCAGACTGAAGATCAGCTCAAGCCGCTACTTTACACATATGACACCCTTGGCTCTGAAGTGTTAGAGCAGATACAAAAACACAAAACTGCCAGCGGCAAGGCCACGACCGGACCAGCTTCGAGGGATGATCTATTCACGACTGTCAAGGAACTGGCCTTGAGCGGAGAAGACGAAGTCATAAACAAGTTTTGGAAGGAGGTGAATACCATCCCAGACTGGGTTGATTGGGATCAAATTAAGCGTGGACAAGATGTAAAATCCATGAATCCTTTCTCTATGGGAACTTACTAACATATCTAAGGTCTTCTACAGATACGGAGAGGCTTTCCTCATCGGAGGAACGTTCTCAAGTTTGGTAGCAGGAATGGTGAGATACTCTATGGATGAATGAGTGTGGTCTCGAGAGATATGCTAACTAGCCAAGGGTGCTGCTCGAATTGCTGAAACCTTGGCAAGGACAGGAGGGTTCGCCCCCAAAGTTGGCCGAAAGCGAATGTAAGCAAGATCAACATCCATGTTCCCATATGATATTGGCTAATATCCTATCTAGGTTCGAAACCACCCAGCATCTGTTGAATGTCACAAAGACGTTAGAGTCTATCCAGCCAGGTGGCCAGGGATGGCTTGACTCCGTGCGTGTGCGCCTTCTCCACGCCTCTGTTCGCAGCAGGATTCTCGGCATGGCCAAGACTAGGCCGTCATACTACGATGTCGAAAGCTTTGGAGTCCCTATCAATGACCAGGATACGATAGCCACGATTGCAACATATTCATCTCAGGCCCTCTGGCTTGCACTGCCGTCGCAGGGGATCTACTTGAAACAACAGGAAATCGAAGACTACATCCAGCTATGGCGTCTTGTGGGTTACTATATGGGCACTCCAACTGATGTGTTCAAGACGGCAGTGACTTCCAAGGCCTATTTTGATAGTGTCCTGGAGGCGGATGTTAAGCCGACTGAGATCAGCAAGGTCCTTGCGAACAACATCATCACCTCACTGGCAGACCAGCCTCCGCACTACCCCTCCAAAGATTTTCTTCACGCTCAATCGCGCGTGTACAATGGAGAAGAGCTCTGCGATGCCCTGGCCATTCCCAAAGCCTCTTACCTTGGATATGTAAAGGCATATCTGCAGGTTGTTCTTCTCATGACCGTTGCGTACGTTTTTAGGTCCTTCTCATTCTTGGACAAGTGGAGAATTCAACACAACAGGAAGAGCTTTTGGGAGATGGTTATTACGGGTATTCACGGCCTTGGCGGTGAGACGAGTTTCAAAATGCAGTATGAGCCCGAGTTTGATGCGATTTCCAAGCTGGAGAAGGTGGGTCGGGGAGCAAGCGTTGCGACAAAGAATATCATAACGATGCTAGCAGTTGTGATTCCAATGGGGGCAGTTGGAGCTATGTATGCGTTTGCAAAGTAGCCAGTCAGTATATAGAGTTGTACATTGTTATATAGCTATTGATGTATTATTTTCGCTTTAAGTTGGTTGTAGATGCTTCCGTGATTTCAAGAATCCTACATCCGAGAAGCTCTGACCTTCGTGGACGCTCGACGAATCCACCGCCTTATATTCACAGAAGACCCCCTAGTGGTGCCCACCCATCCCCCGAATTAGGTGCCTCTTGATACTAAAATCATGTTCTTGAACACCTGCACCCGTCTTGGGGGGTCCGATGAACACCATGGGCCGGGCGTGTGTGTGTCAGCCCTCGTAGGGGGCTATCACCGGTTCGGTCACATTATCCCTCCACGAAGAACAAACTTGGTTCATTCATTGGATCATGTCAGGATCATGTCGGGATCAAAACATCACTCCAGTCGGGCTCGGTATTGTTCCGTGCCCCTTGTTCTTGCTCAAAGTGTCCTTGATCTAAGAATCCGCCGAGAACCCTTCCTGGGCCTGGGTTGTGTATTGGAATATAACCGATCATCTGCGGACACATTACAAAAAAGTCGGAATCCAACATCCAACTTCGGATATCTTCAAATTGTCTGCAGAAGGTGTCGGAAAATGCGTAGAGACCAGAGTGTGGATTCTTTGTAAAGGAGTCGCACAGGTCATATGGCCATTGGAACCGTATACTCTTAACGAAGATGGAAACGAACTTCACAACATCTGCACTTTTCATGCTTTTGTACGGAGACAGTATAAGGAGGTCTCGTAGATCTGGCCTATATGTTATTAATATATAAATTGGATTATATAGCAGTCTTGGGAGGAGGTCGTACCACACAAAATAATCAACCATGGTCGGATGTTGGATTAGGTTTTGAGTTGGCCTAATGGAACGTCAGCTAACATAAAACATGATTTACGATCAGTCTGTGCAAACCTCGGATGCATAAACGTTGGAAGTCGCTCAAGATTTTCGTTCGTGGGATCAACTACATGCTTCAGCCCGTATTGTTAGCAAGCCTAAATTCAATAAAAGGGGGATACATACTCGTAATTTTAGTCTCATAACTTGCAGGATAGCTAGCCTCTCGATAAGGCCACAGGAGATGAAAGCTTGCTGGTCTACCTTGCTAATCGACTCCCAGCCGTCGTCCAAGGAGTCCGTGTGCTTTACGGAATTCCAACCATTCAGAACTGCTCGAATGGCGATATCTGTATCTTCGTCCGGTTGAGTAGATAAAACGGTAAACAACTCAGCCTTGGAAAGTATATTATTTACAGATTCAGCTGTACTTTCGGTGGGCATCTCTGGGGCGGGAAATGGCCTTGGTACTGTGTGGAGAGTTTGAATAGGACTTTGTGCCTGTATCGGCGAATTCGGGTTTGGCAGCAACGGATCTATGGAGGATAGCACGGGGTTGATAGGCACCTGGTGCATTCCCTCCATTTCACTCAAGCCAATCTGATGCCACCAAGGTTCAGGTTGGCCCTCATGTGGTGGAAAAGAAGGCCTCATATCTGTTGCGGCGGTTCCGGTGTGAAGTGGTTGCTGGTGGAGACCAGGTTCCATGGATGCCTTGAAGGCGACACCTGGTGAACTGCCTGACCGTGCCCGAGTCTCATCGGGGTGCTCTATGCTTTTGCATAACCTGCCGATATTGGATATCACCGACATTAGTTGCTCATTCTGCCCACGGAGCTCTTGGCATTGCTCCATGAGTGCCCCCAGTCTGTCATTATCCTCCGTCTTCTGTAAAGACTCGACTAGCTTCTCTAAGTGGCGTATATGATTCTTCGTTCTCTCACGGCCTGCTCTCTGTGATTCCCGGTCTGCCATCCTCCTCTTCTCCAGATGGGCCGCCGACAAGTTCTGTCGCGAGGACCCAGCCCCTTCGGCCTTGCCACGTGACGACCGCGACGCCTTCTCCGACATAGTTGAGGCCTCCTGGGACAGAGGTACCCTGTGTGAATAGATGGTGATAACAACAGTAGTAGCGGCGATAGTTGGTAAGGTAGAGTTGATAGGGTCGAAATACAGATGGACGTTAGCGATTAGCGATGATGAAGATAGGCATAGACAAGCGGGATTCACGTGTCGCCAGAAACCTCCAGATCAATTGAAGCTGGGGTTGTGGGGATGGTTGAGATGAAGTGCGGGGGGAAGTGTGGGGGACAAGACGCAGCGATCCACCCGAACTAAGCTGTCCCGTTCCTCGGTTATCAACAACGAATCTAGAACCAGGTATTAATCACCCACATGTTTGGGCGGCCAAAACCTGCTCCGTATGATCATAATATCCATTCTTTGACAGCCAGTTTACAGTAATCGACAAGTGAAACACTCTAGATTGCTTTCCATAGCTATGGCCAAAATCCACTAGAAATTCGCCCGGCGAAAGCCGCTACTAGCCCCTACCCATCACCCGCTTACCCACTCGCAGGCGGCAACTGCCAAGTCGTCAACGACTCTTTATACACCTTCCCACTCCACGTCTCCCCTCCCTTGAACTTCACAGTAAGGAAAACCTCGTTTCCAAAATTATTCTGCACAACCACCGTTCTCGATCCATCTGGTTCCACAAACGACATCGCTTCAAACTTCTGTCCGCCGCCGTAGTCCGTACTTCCCGTCGTCGCTAGCGCCGTCGCGCCACGGGGCACGAAGCGCGAGAACTGCCCCATGAGGTAGTAGTCTAGAGTCTTGGAATACGTGCCTGCGCTGGTATCGACGACGACAAGTCCGCGGCAGGCACCGCAGCCGCCAGGGAGGTGAGGACCGTTGTTGGTGTCACTGCCGAGGGTCCATGCGATGGAACCAGATGCCCAGTTTTGCATCGGTCTGGAAGATTAGAGTTAGAGATGTAATAAAAGGAGGAGGCGGTTGGCTTACCCCATGACGAAGTCAATGGTGCTATACCAGGTGTTTGTAGGCGATGTCCAGCATTCGGTCTGATACTGGGCTACATTGGGGTTCTTCTCGTGGAACTGAGTCAGGACCCCCCAGTCATTGTTTTCGGCATAGCAATGCCAGGCAACCGTGTTGACGAAGGAGCCCGCGCCGTCGAGAACGGCCTGCGGGTACGCCGGCACATCTTGGATGATTAGTTATATGGCTGGCTCTGTTACGTAGGGTCGAATTTACCAGTGTTGTGATCATAGGCCCAGATCTCCGTCGTAAGCCCCGCGGATTTTAACGCCGGCCCAATGTTATTCTGGATAAGCGACGTCGATTCATCCGCCGCGACGTACATGGTAGGGTACCCAGCCTGGCTATTCAGTGGCTCGTTCTGGATCGTTATCGCATCGACATCAACGCCGCCAGATTTGAAGGCCTGGATATACTTTACAAAGTACTGTGCAAACTGACTAGCATACTTGTGATCGAGGTTGTTGTTCGTAGTCGTCCCATCCATGACACCGTTCAGCTTCATCCACCCTGGCGGGCTCCACACGGACCCGACGACTTTGATGGCCGAGTTTATGGATTTAAACTGGGAAAGCCAGGAGACCATGTCTTTACCTTCCGTCTTCAAATTGAAGTTGGCGAGGTCGGGATCTACCTCATCAGAGTAAGCATAGACATTCCCCGATAAGTCAGATGCGGCGATGGTGTGGCGGAATAGGCTGAAGGCGACGCCGTCGTCAGTGGAGGTGGTTAAGAGGTCAGCCAGCAATGCTGTTTTCTGCGACTCCGACAGGGCTGAGAAAGAAGAGACGGTGGCATCGGTTACAGCAGCTATGAGATGTTAGTAAATCCTAAAGGCCGGGACGAGTCTAGATAGGTTACCTCCAAAGCCAGTAATAGATTGCTTGTGTCCACTTGAAGTATCATCAACTTGGAGTTCCCAGGTCGAGCCGCTGCCTGGGTTTCCTGCGCCCTTAACTGGTGTCTCAAAAGATGAGAGCTTATAAACTCCATCTGACGATGTAGCCCAGGACGCTGGTGAGCTCACGCCCACAACACCAGTTGAAAAGACAAAAGTCAGTAGTTCAGCTACCAGAATCCCTTGATACTTCATCTTAACGCTATAATGATATAAAAGTAGCAGATGCTAGGAAGAATAAACTGAAAAAAGGGAATCATAACGACAGGAGAAACGCGGACTTATATAGCTCTTCCCAACAAAGTCTCAGGGGTAAAGCATCTCAGCTCAAGCCCCAGGTCCTCCACAGGAAACCAAACATATACCAGAGGGTATAGAAAAACAACTCACAGCTTCACTTCCCTTAATTGTGACACCAAACTATAAGCCCCGCAGCATTTCGGGCCGTTTCTATCACTCGCCCTGTAACCGCAGACATATAGTTACTACTATCACTACAGAGCTTCCTGACTCGGCCCGTTGCCCGAAGACACCTTTAGCTAGCGTCAAGTAGTCGTCGGCGGCGCATCCAAAAGACGGCATTTCTCGTATAGCGGCCACTTTTGCCAGTATGCACTGCTCGGAAACTGAGCTGGGCTTTTGGTTATTGAGGGATGTTGTTTCAGCGCTTCCCCGCTTACTGTATTCAGGCACCCTTTTAGCTTGAAGCTTAATTATACAGGCTACGATCGACGTGTCCAGCACACGTGCCATATGAGATGCATGGACAGGGTGATGATTCTAATTTGCATTTTGTCTCTCGCCATTCGCTACTCGGCGAAATGGTCATCTTTTAGTGGTGACTCGTAATGCCGAGGCCGAATAGCTTCGCCGAAGAGCAACTACCGTTGATGGCAAACGTCACCACACCTGCCAGTACGCTCTAATCGTAGAATTTTAGCGCTAATAATAGGGTTTTTAGTTATAATGCATGTTTCTTCCAGCAAGTTACTCTGCGGAGTGGTGGAAATACCAAGACGCCGGACTGTTTAGTCGCGGGGGTTTGTTGCCGAAACATGTAGCCGCGGAATTCCGGAGCTAATATAATACGCACTATTTGTAAAATTTTAAGACTTATCTTGAGGATTTTAATTTCATCTTACTATTCCGATATCGAAGGTTACCATGCAATACTCAACAGATGTGATGTGCGTGGCATCACGAACGCAGAAGTGGTTAACGGCTTGCCGGGAATCACCAAACGTTAACCGGATATACCCGCCGCCGTAAAGCTGATAGCTGACTCGCCATATCTCTATTATATACGACCTGACGGAATTTCTTGAAATATCCATCATCATATCATCGACCAACAAGTAATGGCCTGAAAATGCCTGGAAATCATAAAGCTATGATACAATACTCAAGCCGGCGAACAATTTCGTAGGGGCATCACCGAACATTAACCAGATACTCGCCATGATGTCGCCTTACTGCCGCATCTTCAGTCGAGCAAGACCGGACAGAATTTCACGAAATATCTATCAGCATACCATTGGCCGAAAAGTAAAGGTTTAAAATGTCTGCAAGCCAGAAAGTTACGATATCGAGCCCAAGCCGGCGACCACTTTCGTGAGGGATCACGTATTACCATATTCGGACAAAGCCAATCTAGCAAAACTAGGCCTAACAGTTATGCTTCCACAATTCCACGGATGGAGAGGCATTATGAGGATAATTCAAGGGTTATACCTTACTACCCATGATGCACAACTTTGACAATTCCCAAAACCGCACTCGAGGGTTGCTATCATCAAACGCGGGAGATAAACGCACAACATAAAAGTTCACGATCTACATACTACGATACACATACCCTCCAGCAGCCACCGAGGCGGAGACAATACTGATTGTTGATAGACAGGGATTGTGCAACAATTCGCCCTCGACTCCCGTCGAATTCCCTGGCCGCGGAAATGCAATGATCTAAGGAATCGCATTGGGCCTAAAAGCAGGCCTGGATTAGATCCCGTACGATGTTTGCACAGACCTCGTGGTCTTGGACCGTTATTTGAAATCAACAAGCCGCTCATCTGAATCCAGACCTAGAAACAGCCCGTGCTTTCAATGGCAAAGGCGAAACCAAGGGCTTATACCTGCAGCTGAGGTACCACAACACTGGAAGCCCACAACGCCTCCAGAGAGCCTCATCGAAGACAAGTTTCTAGACTATACGGAATCGACTCAAAGTCTGGTCGGCGTGGCCGAACCCCACAAAACTTTCTCCAACAACCGGTTGTCAATTCGGTCGAAAGGATGCGGTTGGAGGATCCATCGTTGGCTTGGCGCCTCTTATGTTGAGCAATTGGCAATATTACATGCGCAAAGACGGTAGAGATCGGTTGTGGCGTCGAAAAAGCTGGCTTGGGGGCACGTCAAAGGGCGCCAGACGGTCGCCGAGAAAAAGCTTCACGACGGCGGATCGGAAGCTACCAGCCATAAGATCCCGATCACTACCAACATTTTATGGCCCCTGACTTGAAGTGCGGGGTAAACAAGATCGTATCCCCGCGGCCGTCATAAATCCCCGCACGGAGGTCCTTAGCGCCTGTTCGTCGGCCAATTGGCTTCAAGGTCCGTTGTGAACTGGCTTGACTAGCCAAGATCGACCAAAATTGCTTATTCACCACTGCCGGCAACTACATTTCCAGCCCATAGGGAGAAACACTCGCTGCCGTCAGTGAACGCGGTATATTCCCACCGACAAGAGAGAGCCTGGCTGAACATGCTGCAGTGTACCAGCACCCTATGCATGATGGTAGTTTCTGTAGGACGTGTGCCCCGTAACGTACGATGTGGCCTGCACACTCATTATTTTCTCATGAAAGACGGGATTGTACCGCACTCTCATTGCGCTATCCCCTGGTCCGTACTGAACATCCACATTCCATGCCGCGTTGATACTGTGATCATCACTCTTGCCGCTGCACAGCACAAAGAACTCCTCCACATCATAGAGTCCTCCCCACAAAGATCTGCACAGATGCGGAAGGAGCAAAGGCGGTTCGAATTCGCTTACCGCATCCTTTGAGGTATTTAGAAGTCGCGGGGCCCCGGACTTGCGGCGATTGTTTTGCTGTAGCCGTAGCTGAACCTTACTTTGTGCTCCCCGCATTGTCGACGCCGGATAGAACTTTATAATACACGCCGTTCTCCCTACGTGCCGACAACTCTACTCAGCCTCTACCCTATCTGCCCTGAGTGACTAACACTGAAAAACGCGACGATGAGGAACCACATGGCTGCGGGGTGGTTCTAGTTCGTTGCTCTTAACTATGTCGCATTTGCAGTACTGACACACGCGACAGCTCCCCAAGCCAAATAGGCCGCTACATTATAACGCGCCCAACGAGTCTAAAGCCACCGATGACCAAGCTCAGGAACCCGATCACCATCCTACGCGAACTCGATTCTCACCAGTGGTTGATGTTCATCGTCGGATTTATATCATGGACCTGGGACGCGTTTGACTTCTTTACCGTCTCGCTGACTATCACCGATATCTCAAAAGCCTTTGGAGTGACGAAGGCGGATGTGTCTTGGGGAATTGTATGCTTCCCACTTGCCACGCTTTGAGCCTTCTAACAGTGACTTCAGACTATTACACTGATGCTGCGATCCGTGGGCGCGTTAATCTTCGGTGTTATATCCGACCGCTATGGTCGCAAGTGGCCCATGCTGATCAATCTATTCCTGTTCATCGTCCTCGAGCTCGCCACCGGCTTCTGCAATACTCTGCCGCAGTTCCTAGGCGTCCGCGCTCTATATGGCATTGCCATGGGCGGTAAGACCCCTGAACTCAGCTTTGATTAAAATAGATTACTAACATATCCAGGACTTGTCGGCCCCGCAGCTGCAACGGCTCTGGAAGATCTCCCCTATGACGCCCGTGGAGTCCTATCAGGTATCTTCTTATCCGGTTACGCCATCGGCTACCTCCTCGCGGCCGTCTTCACTCGTGCGCTCGTACCGACTACAGCAAATGGCTGGAGGAGCCTGTTCTGGTTCGGTGCCGGTCCGCCCATCCTCATCATCGCATTGCGATGGTACGCACCCGAGACCAACGCCTTCCAGGTCATAAAGGCAGAGCGCGAGGCTAAGCATAGCACTGGCTCCAATGGCGGCGAGTCGAAGTTCGCTGCTCTCCGCACATATGGGAAGGAAGCCAAGATTGCGCTCGCGAATAACGTAAGTCTCATTACCATGGTTTATCTCTTGGAGAGTGCTAATAGTGTGTCCTAGTGGTTCCTAATCATCTATATGGTGGTCCTTATGTCAGGCCTCAACGCCACCACTCATGGCAGCCAGGACTTCTTCCCCACCTTCCTAAAGTCGCAGCTCGGCATGAGCCCCAACGACATCACAATCGTCACCGTCGTAGGCCAGCTCGGCGCCGCGATCGGCGCATCTGTCCTCGGATACGTTAGCACCTTTGCCGGTCGTCGCCTCACCATGATGACCGCAGCCGTGATGGGCGGTGCCATTCTCCCCGCTTATATCCTTCCACACACCAGGAGCCATCTTGCCGCTTCCGCATTTTTCGAACAGTTCTTCGTGCTAGGCATCTGGGGTAAGTCTCATTCCTTCCCCATACACACGGCTTAGACACTAACCCCCTTAACAGGCCCGGTAGCAATCCATCTTATGGAGCTCTCCCCCCCGGCACTGCGCTCTCTCCTTGTCGGCCTCACATATCAGCTTGGCAACCTCGTCTCCTCTGCTAGTGCCACTATCCAAGCCATCATCGGACAACGCTATCCCCTTCCGCCCAGCCCGACCGAGGCCTCGCGCTTCGATTACGCAAAGGTCATTGGCATCTTCATGGGTGCAGTGTGGGCGTACGACGCGTTTATGTTGTTTATTGGCCCGGAGATGAGCCAGGCGGAGAGGGAAGAGGAGGCTGAGGCGTCGTTGGAGTTTGAGAGGCTTAGACGGGGAGGGATGAGCTTGGCAGAGGTAGGAGCGAGGAGAGGGAATGGAAAGTTAGAGCAAGAGATGGCAGATAGGGAGATTACAGATAAGGAGATGGCAGACGAGAGGAGAGTGGAGGATGCGACGGCGGCGGGGGAAGCTAAGGAAGTGGGGAATTCGACTGTGTGATGTGCAGTAGTGCTCTAAGTGGAAGATAGTTGGCGCAGTAACGAATTATAAAAATATATTATCACTGATCTAAATATTCATATTTATTTCAATTTCCACTCCCTCTAGAACGCGCGGGGGATAGGCATCGTCTTGGGAGCGGCATTGTTCTTGCTCTTCTGGAAAAGATGGTCAAACGATGGGGATGCCTCAACACGGGGAGTGAATGGCTCAAAGTCCCAAAGGTAACCAAGGGTGCGCAGCACCGAGGTGGCGCTGTAGACCTCAGTCTTGCCAGCGCTGTTGACGCCCTCGTGCTCAACGTGTCCCTTCGCAAGGTAAGGGGAAACGATCCAGGTTGGGATGCGGCCACCGTAGCGGTCGAAGTTGAGGGTGTATGTGCTTCCGTCGGGGGTAGCCTCAGTGTAGGTCAGGTTGTCAGGGCGGACTGCCTTAGGTGGGGCGCTGTGGTCGTAGAAACCACCGGCCTCGTCAAAGGTGATGACGAGGAGCATGTTGTCCCACTGTGGGGACGCGCGGACAGCGTCGTAGATCTGCTTAAGGAAAACCTCGCCGGTGGAGATGGGACCGGTAGGGTGCATGGAGTTGGTGTCGAGGCCGCAGCACGAAGGGTTGATGAAGGTGTATTGTGGGAGCTTTCCGAGGTAGGCGTCCTGGAAGAAGCTCTCGAGGGGCCTGACATTGGTCTTGTCCTTGCCATTGGCAATGGTCCATTGGTAGAACTTGGCGTCAGAGTTGAAGGCTCCGTTCGTGCCATCGTAGTTCATCCAGGTGATGTTCTGGGAAGAGAGCTGCTCGAAGAGACTCCGCTCAGTGATGGTTGACTGGTCAAAGGTCTTGTCGTTTGTGCCGCGGCCACCGGAAGTACCGGTGTGGATGCACATGCGGTTGGGGTTGGTTGGCTATCTTTCACATTAGCAAGTCCAAGCTTGTTCGATTAAAGATAATTATCACATACGCCTGGGACGCAAGAGTGCCACTTGTCGAAGGTGACGAACTCCTTGCAGAGCTCAGTAACGACAGGCACCTGATCCTGAGTGTAATACGCCATCACTTCTCTGGCAGCGTAATCCGGATCAGTGAGCTTGGGGTGGGAACGCAGATGCTGCTCAAGGTAGCCCGCGTTGTTAGCAATCAGCTTTCCTGACTCAACATCCGCGTTATTCGGGTGGAATGTGCCGTATAACTGGAAGTTGTTGCCGTGGACAGAGTGATCCGGGTCATCCTTGATCGAATCGAAATCCCTGGGCCGGGTGCAGAAGGTCTTGGAGTGAGGATCCGTAGTGTTGACCTTGTTGCAGAAGGGGCCGTTGTTGGCAGGAGTGTCAATGTCCTTGGTGAAGGTCTGGCCACCAACCAAGTTGTCAAAGGAGCGGTTCTCCATGACGATGTGGACAACATTCTTGACCTTCTCCTTGAGGTTCTTGATGGACGCAGGAGATCCAGGTCCATTCTTGGAAGGTGCAGCAAGGCCCAAAGCCGCGAAGATCGCAACGCTCAAGACTGTAGTTGATCGCATCTTGGAGGAGTTATGTGGGATTGGAGGCAACAAAGGGGCTACTCTTACTGATCAGAGAGGTGAGTGGTGGCAAAGCTTCTTATATTCCCTCTTCCTTGGCAACTCTTCTGTTATATTTTTCTACGTTGTCTCTCGGAGCTTTGCCGTCTTGTTGAGTCCCTTCAAGGTTCGATTGCAGCTTCCACAAAGCAGTCTAGTCCGGCTTCCACGGCTTCCACCCCGGCATGCGTTGCCTTTCACATCACCACGAGGAAACCACACGTTGCCGATCAATGGAGACACGAGGTTGGGTCGAAGACAATCATTTGCCAAATCACGCACCCGTCACGGCAGCAACACTGTCTCTCCGAGTTCTCCTGCGGGGGGTTTACAACGGACCTGCCTCGACTGGCACCAAAGCAACCGACGATCGCATCTTACTGTACATACGATCTGCAGCTTCCAGGACTAGGAATTGGAACGAGCGCGGCGCAAGTAAGAAAAACGTCAAGGTGGGGTAGCTTAGCACGAAAATCAACGATAACCTCAATGATGTATGCTTCTCCGCACGGAAAGTGCTGGTGGGGGGTAAGAATGGATATGACACCCCACGTGTGCACAGCAGCGGTCTGCCACCGATTCACCGTCCAGGAACAACCGGGTTACAGGAACTCCTAAGGGTTAGACCAGGCTGTTTTCGACGCCAATCAGCGCCAACTTTCTGTTCTTCCAAGAGATCGCCGTTTGCATTTGCCGTCTTAGCGATGTTAGCGATAAGCCTAAGTGGCCCCCGTCGTCGCTGGACAAGAGATGCTTGTTCCTGGTGGTCCCTGCAACTAAAATCGCCAAAATACACTAAAAGACACTTAAAGACACTAAAGGTCACTAAAATCACTAAAATCACTAAAAATGCGGCTTGGCGACACACGTTCCCCTTGCGCCCAGCTTATTGGCAGGTATTGGCAGGGCGGGTGGCGGAAGGAACGGCAGAACCTAGCACCGAACAACTTCAAATGTCAGCAACCAGCACCAACGGAACGATTGTTGCTTCCAACCAGCCCTAACATCCCGCTTTCGGTGTATTCCATGCGTTTAATGCTGGGGCAATGTAACGTACACTGAACGCCATCGCTGCTAGGTGCATATTTCGTATTTCCTTATTTCCTAGCTACTAGCTATAGCTCCAATGTGGTTCCTCCTCGGCCAATCCCAGGTGTTGGATTGATACACATGGGATGTGCTGTCTCAACAGAAAATGTTGGACTTAACGAAGCTATTACAGTATGTGCACGGTGGCACAACGAGGCAAGGAAGCCAGTGGAACTTTGAAATGCCATGACGCAGATTGGCTGGATGGCGCGGGGTGTTCGGAGTTCCAAGCAACGATAGGCTAATCAGTCGTGTGCTGTTGCAATTGATGTTGTTCTACCTCGCCCCGACTCTTTTTTCTAGATTCGATTATGACCGTCCTTGCTTCCAGTGTTTCAGTGTTTAAGGGCAGTTTATAACTCTCGTCTTCGCAAACGCTCGCTTTCTCGTCACCAAACTCCATCATGTCCTTCTTCAAGCGCAGCTCCTCCAAAGAACGCTCGGAATCTCGCTGGTTCACTAACTCGGATAGTGCCGCTTTCAAGCCTATCCCAAACGATGAAATGGCAGAGTTCAAGGGCGAGTCATCACGGGGCAGTGACGATTTGGAGATGATGTGGCCAACTCCTGCGGCAAGTCAACCTCTCATGGGACCCAACTTCAAAATAGATCCCAGAATCATATCGGATGCCATTATTGGCTTGTCTGATGGTCTCACGGTTCCGTTTGCCCTCACGGCTGGCTTATCGACGTTGGGCACAAGGACGGTGATCTTTGCTGGTATGGCAGAATTGATCGCTGGTGCCATCTCAATGGGACTCGGTGGGTACCTGGGTGCAGTGAGTGAAGGGTAAGCAATACTCTCGTCTTTCCAATTCCATAGAGGTATTAATTCTTCGTGCAGAGAATCATATGAGGCTACTGTCGAACAGACACAAGCTCGCATAGCAAAGAACCCAGAAAACGTCGCCGAAACAGTATCCGATATCTTCACCGCCTATGACATCCCCACGCCCCTCATTGACAGTCTCGCTGTTCACCTCGCCGACTCCCCCAAGCTCGTCGACTTCCTAATGGCTTTCGAACACACGCAGCCGGAACCGCCGAGCTCGCGTGCAATCACATGCGCTATTACCATCGCCACATGCTACTTCGCAGGCGGCTTCCTACCTCTTCTGCCTTACATGTTTGTTGCCGAGGATGAGGTTATGAAGGGCCTCATGTGGTCAATTGGCGTCATGATCGTAGCTCTGTTTGTGTTTGGATATTCTAAAACGTGCTTTGTGTGCGGGTGGCGTGGAAAACGTAATGTGAAGAAGGGCCTATGGGGAGCGGGACAGATGGTGTTGGTGGGTAGCGCAGCAGCGGGAGCAGCGATGGGTCTGGTCAGATTATTTGACAAGTTAAGCAGCTAGATCATCTTGAGTTTTTCAGGCGCAAATTATGGGAATTGGTAGGGGGTGGGTCGGCAAGCTGGCATGCTTCGGAGGTATTGGATCGATTTAATGGGCGGGATTTTCCAAACTGCTATAATCAGCCACACATATTTGAACTATGAGCGCGCGTTGCATTATCTATTGGTATAAATATTATCTATGGATATAAAGTGATCATGTGTTATTTTGGTGATAGTTTAAGCCTTGTGGCGGAAGTGACTTACTCCACTGCCAAGCAAGGAGCCAAGTGGCTAACGCACGAGCCGGCCGATGACAGAGATCATTTGATGATGTGAAACAAATATATAATCAGTTGGCGCAACGGTTATGCAGGTGAGTTTACCCTTGCCTCGAGATCTCGGCCGATCTCTGGCTACGAGGAAATTTTGTTTGTTTTCATTTATAAGAACGTTTCCACGCGTACAACTCGACAATTCAGTGGACACATCCACTGCGATATTCACTCAACCGAGTGCCACAAGAGTAATTAACGTATACGCGAGTAAGCTGAAGTTGGACAGGGGCAGCGCGAACACTGTACCTGGCAGAAAATATAGGTCTGACAGACGTTAGAGGACAAATCCAGAAGTTGAAGCAAGGGAAGCAGGAGCCAAGGCCCAGATCGACAACGACATCGCGATGGCGATAACCTAGCATCCCATCAACTTGCCTAGGCAATATAATACGGTAAGATCAAACCATCGCATCTCTAGAATCCATCCGAGGGAATCAATCCCTCCAGTTGATCTCGATATCTCCACATCCAACCATGGTATATGTGGAATACCAAGGCCCTAAAGGGGGCGGATCGACGGCACGCCCCGCTTAAGTTCTTCCCGCCACTAGAACCCCCAAACCCCGATCGTGCCCTTGGTCTAACCCAAAATGGATGCTCGATCCTTCGCGACTCCGAGGTTGGCAGGCAGTATGGAACGTTGAGACACTGTGCACCCCCAGCGGGGCAATCCTTCGTAAGCTGGCGAGCAGTCGCTCAGTTCGAATATCTCCGGCTCGATCAGTCCCATTTGCGATCCAGCTACGAAAGATTGATGAAATCGCAACGAGATCCGCAGCAAACAAGTCATTCGCAGCGAAAACAAGCAAGTCACTCAGCACCCAGTAAGCCGAAAAAATCAACATGGGCAGTACCAGCACCGCGGAAGAATATGACCTCGTAGTCATCGGGGCGGGTAATACCTCCTTTCTCCTCTCTCGACGAGACAAAAGTTAACAAAAACAGGATTATTCGGCCTCGCAATGGCCAAGACCTATCTACAAGTCAATCCTTCCACGCGACTACTTGTTCTTGACAGCGGCAAGAGCCTTGGCGGTACGTGGTGCGCCGAGCGCATATACGATGATCTCTATACCAATAACCTTGTGGGCACACTCGAGTTCGGGGATTTTCCTATGGACTTTGAGACATTTGGTGTGCCGCCCGACGCTCACGTTCCAGGATTGGTGATGCATAGGTACTTTACAGCGTATGCGCAGCACTTTGGTGTTTATGAGAGAATCAAACTCCGTTCTACGGTGACATCTGCTGAGCTTCTGCAAGGAGGCGAGTGGCATATCAAGTACGATGTTGCGCATGGTGCCGACGGAGAGGGGACAGAGCAACACGAGCTCATTGCGAAGAGGATGGTTCTGGCAACTGGCGCTACCTCAACGCCAAATATTCCAAATATAAAGGGAAGTGATGAATTTGGAGGCCATGCTTTCCATTTTAAAGATCTGAGTAAGCATGCGAACGATTTGAGTGAAGCAGACAATGTTGTCGTCTTCGGCGGCTCAAAATCTGCTGTCGATGCAGTCTACCACAATGCCTCAAAGGGTAGACACGTCGACTGGGTAATTAGAGGTGAGCACCCACCGTTGAATATTCAAGTCACTATCTGAACCATTAAAAGACTCCGGTCGCGGCCCAGCTTGGCTGCTCCACTCTTACGTCTCTCCCTTAAAACTACAATTTGAAAAACTCGCCACAACACGGTTCATGACATTTCTCAGTCCATGCATATATGACGACGGTTACCCCATGATCCGTCGACTACTCCACGACACCAGGATTGGAAGAGCACTCCTACGTTTCATCTTCGGAAAAATAGACCACGGTTCCGTCGAGGAGACGAAATACAATGACCACCCCGAAACCAAAAAGCTGATCCCCCATGGCAGCGTCGTATGGATAGGCACCAACGTTGGCATCCTCAACCACCCCACCGATTTCTTCTCTCTCATCCACAAAGACCTCGTCCACGTCCATATCTCCGACATAACCTCCCTTTCCAAATCCAGCGTCCACCTCTCCAACAACACCACCCTCCCCGCCGATGCTCTCATATACGGCACGGGCTGGTCCCACGCCCCCTCCTTCCCCATCCTCCCCGCCTCTTTAGCCCCCAAACTCGCCGTCGGGCCCGCCCCTCCCACCGACCCCACCATCGCCGCCGCAGACGCCGAAATCATGCGCCGCTTCCCCGAACTCAAGGACCAGCCCCCCCATGGCACCAGCATAGACCGCGAGCGTGCCAACGAGCCTGCTTACCGCGCCTACCGCCATGCCATACCTCCTGCTTTCCTGTCGTCGCGGAACCTCGCATACTGCGGGCTTGCAGCTATCGGTCTGCGAGGCTTCTGGATTGCAGAGATGCACGCACTATGGATCACGGCATTTTTCGCGGACAAGTTAAGTGTGAAATTGCCCGGTGAGGAAGAGGCAGCGAGGCAGGCGCTGCTGGAGAGTCGGTTCTTTAGGTATAGGGCGTCGAATGGGTTGGGCGCTAAGTCGGCGGATATGGTGTTTGAGATTGTGCCGTTTATTGATACGCTGTGTCGGGATTTGGGGATCGAGACGAAGAGAAAGGGGGGATGGAGGGAGATCTTTGAGTACTATGGGGTGCATGACTATAGTGGTGTTGTGGGGGAGTGGATGAAGAAGGAAAATCTGAGTGGGGTTGGGGAGCTGTGAGGGGTGATTCGTATAAGAAAGGCATCCGTAGCTGGAAAGGGAAAAGATGGTTCTTCATCAAGCCCAACTTATTGATTTATTGCTCAGTTCATTTTACTCGACAGTACAACGTCGATATGATAGCTGCAATTAATGTTACTAAAAAAATCCCCTTTCCTTCATTGTTAAATAACTAGTCTGCTAAAATGACAATAACGTATTCTAGATTATTTATTTACTCTGTTTTATTTAAATAATCTGAGCAACAACAGGAAGTGCAAACTATTTCGAACTTCTAGATGCATGTTATCCTCGATCTATACTTCAGACTTTTAACCGGCGCAAATGTCATTTTATCATCCGTTGGTTGTGATTTTCAATATCTGCACTTCACCAAAGCCCACTCCCAGAGAGCGCTTATCATTCCACATTATCCCCCTTAACCTGCGTCGCCCTATTGACCACCAAACTGTGCCCAGCAAACTTACTTTTCTGCCTGACGGTCTTCCCATACTTCATAAACAACAGTGCTGCTCCGCAAAAACATGTCGCCACGGCTGCCAACACAGTCGATGCCAAGTTCTGACCCATCGCGCTATACATCCTCGGCGCAAATAACGGAAAGACTCCTGCCAGTATGGCTCGCAAAAATGCCAGCGCTGCAAACGCAGACGAGGCGTAGATAGTGTAGCTATCTGCCAGATACCCCGACAGCGTACACGCAAATTCGTTGGTGGCGAAACCGACGAGGACGAGACCAATCATAGAGACAGCCCAATGTAGGTGAGGTACGGCAGGGGGAACGGTCCAGGCGAAGATCCAGAGGCCGACTGCAAGAGCTGGGGCGGCAATGACAAATCCAGTGAGTTTCTGTTCGGGATTTAGAGCGAGATTGGCGCATTCGCGGCGACCTAGAACGCGCTGATCGTGGATGCGGAAAAGGATACTGAGAGGGATGCCGAGAAGGAGAGGAATGAATGCCAGGGAGGTAGAGGGGCCCGTGAAACCGAGAGAAGCGTAGACAGAGGGAAGTGACTCGGCGAAAAGGTAGATGAGTGCCCAGGAGACGGCCATCATAAGGGAACAAACGAAGACGATAGGTTCGGTGAAGAAGAGGCGGAGTGGACGGATAAGCGCTATTCTGCTGAAGGTGGCGAGGTTGGGAGTAGCATCGGCACTGTGGATGGGATAGGAGAGCCCCTTTTCGTGTTGGAGCCTGGCTGCTTGTTGGGCAAGGAGACGTGAGGGTCGGCTTTCGCGTATGAAAAGGAGGAGGAGCGTGAAGACGCCGGTCACTATGGCTCCTGTGAAAAGAACCCATTTCCTGTTAGATCTCCAGTTAATAACCGTGTCGACGTCGTCTGTAGGATAAGATACGTACCACCCACAGTATGCAGATATATATGCACCATAAATTGGCCCCAGTACGAGTCCTGCTGTCGTTGCACAGGCCCATAAGAAGATGATCCATACCCGAGATTTCATGTTGAAGAGGTCCTCGATGCTTCCCTCAACCACTACTGAGGGAACAGCAGACATTATCCCGCAGATAAATCGCCCCACACAGACTCCTGTCATTGTCGGCACTTCAGCTGTAAGTACACATGCGAGACAGTATATCAACGTAGTCGCGATGTACACGGCCTTTCTACCGAAGCATTCGGAATATGGCGGGAAAACAACTCCGCCGAGAGCTTGCCCAAATTGATACCTACAGCTGAATATTAGAATGGTATTTGTATGGGGGTTGAGCAACCAACATGGAACTGAACGCTATTAGCGACTTGATGTGACCCAAATCCATCTCTTTCATGGCGGCTTGGGCCATGGACGGCTATAATAGGTGCGAGTCAGACCCCTCCTTTAAAAACCTTAAACTATAAGAGCATACCCCGGATGTACTGATGGCAGTTCTGCAATTATGATATGAGCTACTAGAGACACCAATCATATACCCAGTACCAGTTGATTTGAGAACTTACGTGTAAAGATCCAAAGCAAGAAGAACCGAAGTATTAAAAGCCCTCCTCGAGACGCTCCAATTCCTCGGATGCGCAGAGGCATCCATTTGCCAATTCAAGCACCCATCGCTTTCGAGTCTGAGGCCGAACTTCTTCAGAGTTTCCTCCAACTCGAGGTCTAGTTCGACTTCGACTATAGTAGATTTTGTAATCGTCGACTTGTCATCGCTGACGATGCCGAGTCCTGATAATGCCTCAATGTCCTTGTCATCACCTTTTTCCAAGAGGTTCATCTTGGCCAAAAAGAGAAGATTCAAAACGTAAGTGATTGCACAAGAATTAAAGTTTGAAAATATTGGCTACTCGCAGAGCATGGCAAGCACAGTATATGCAATAATTGGTTACACTGCATGACGATCGTAGTAAATTCAGTGACACAGTAATCAACGATGATTGTAAATCTATAGTTTGTGTCTTGCGACATCTAAAAATGAAAGGGGCTGAATTGAGGGACTGTCATGTCAGCGCCTAGGCTTTCGGGTGAGACGGTGTGAGTGCTCCACCACATACATCCACTTAGAAATTTATCGTATATGCACTCACTTTTTCCGTCACCGCCAAAACTGTTACGTTCGATATTAACCTGTGGGGTACGTTTCCTATGAAATTTAGCCATGGTTCAGTATTTGAAATAAAAAATTGGTTATTCCCGAAAGACTCGAAGGATTCAGTATATTTGCGGATCACTACCGAGTGCGCCAACATGACGCCAGCAACGGGCTGTGAGTGGCCCTGATCCCCAGAAACGCTAATATGCGTTTTTAGTTGCGGGTGGCTTTCCGGCTTTAGTATGGCGCAACCAAGAATCTCTCCCCAAGCAGGAGCCTTCATCCCGTATAACGCATGTGATAAGCGGTGATTTGGTAGAGCTTTGTGACCTATGAGCGAACCGGACCAAATAGGTTGCATTCTCCGTCTCGTATCAGATTCTCAGCTTACTGCGTACCACCTCATTTTACTATTAATCTTACAACGGGCGATTTTATATGCCCAGGCACCAAGAGCGCCATCCTATTTGCGTGATATCCGGACAGACGTAGGAATATGCAACCAAAAGTCCGGAGTGTGGCAGTGAGACGTAAATGCCTGCCCCCCTAAGTACAAAAGTGAACCGAGTGGACTTAGATGCTCCATACGAAGAATTTCTCTACAATAGCAGTTATGAACAGGACAATATTAATCCAGCTTCGGCGGCAAGCTCTGCCCGTGTCGACGAAGCCGCTGTTATGCTTCCCGCGGCAATACATGAGCACAGCCGCATATGCAGATGCTAGAGTGCTATCTGAACAACCACATGAGGATGCAGTTACACAAGCACTGCGTATCCTACAAACAGCCCCCATCGCATGGAGCAGCTCCGGATCCGCTGCATTTGATTTTCGCAGTGAGCACTTTCTCCCACATCATGTTCCCAACCCAAACTCTCAGTAACACCTCGCAGGCGACGTAGTCACCAAGCCAACGCTCTCCACGCTCGAGGCTATAATTCGATGCTCTCTTGATGACGATGTCTATCGCGAGGATGCTGCTACACTTTCTCTCGAGTCTCACATGGCCTCCCTCACTGGCTTTTCAGGTGCAATCTTTGTCAACTCAGGCACGATGGCTAACCAGCTCGCCCTGCGCACGCACCTGACTCAACCGCCCCATGCAATTCTCGCAGACTCTCGATCACACATTCTGCATTGGGAAGCTGGTGGGATTGCGAGTCTCACCGGCGCAATGGTTCAAACTGCGCGACCATCCAATGGGGAGTTCTTGACTGTCGAAGATATCAAGAAAAAGGTGGTGCTGTCAGACGACGTGCATAAGTGCCCTACGCGCGTCATCTCGCTTGAGAATACAATAGGTGGAATTGTGCAGCCCCTGGAAGAAACGCGTAAGATTTCGGCCTGGGCACGCGAAAATGGGCTGAAGCTGCATCTTGATGGTGCACGGCTGTGGGAGGCCATCGCAGCTGGAAGGGGCAACCTACGGGAATATGCGAGCTGTTTTGATAGCGTCGGGCTGGATTTCTCAAAGGGTCTTGGCGCGCCGATGGGGGCGGTTATTGTCGGTGGGGCCGACTTTGTGGCGAGGGCCAGGAGGATTCGGAAGGGAATGGGAGGCGCGATGCGACAAGTGGGTGTGCTGAGCAGTGCAGCCAGGGAGTCCATGGAAAGCATATTTGGACCTGGGCCATCGGGGTACAAAGATGGTGGGCTACTGCGACGATCCCATCGTTTGGCCTCGAGGGTGGCGGGGATGTGGATTGAAAAAGGCGGGAGATTGTCGAGGCGGACAGAAACGAACATAGTCTGGGTCGACCTCAAGGCTGCCAAGGTGGAGGAAGAGCTATTTAATGAGATGGGGGCTGAGTATGGGCTCCGTCTTGACGGTTCGAGGGTGGTGTTACATTATCAAATCTGCGAAGATGCCATCGGAAAGCTGGAGATGTTGTTTAGCCGCATTCTAGGTAGGGTTTCTCGGGGATAGGTTCCTAGCAAAATTCAATGTGATATTGTTGATATACGTACCAAATCCATATAAAATATACACCAAAATACAAAGAGGGGTTACTTAGTGTGATACATTGCAATTTGAGACCTTTCAAGTTCATTTATTGAAGTTAAGTTACCAGCCGTTGGGTAAGGTTGAATGTTGTCGCTACTGCAAGGTACAGTGCATTGCATCGCAGATAAAGGCTGTGTACTGTACGCTCTCTATGGGTGATCGATGCAAAAGGTAATTGACGATGTATTGAAAGAGGCAATGTCATTTACCAGCTACAAAACAAGCGTTGTGTTCATTTGAGCTGTACAGTAATTACGTGTATAGTACATGACAGTACGTCAGTTTAGAGTAAAAAAGGGTAAAGAGGTAAAATCCTACGAGGCTCAGGAATCCTCCGACATACCAAACTAAAATAGATAAATAGGGGCCCAAAAATAGGGGCCTGACACCACAATAATCCTACGCCAAGCGAGCCAGCCAATGCCAATTACTAGAACCAATGAAAATAATCAATAATGTCTTATCTATCACGTACAAAACATCATCTTTACGCCACCATATTGCATGTGCGTTGCTTAGACGCAACAAGGGAGCTGATGCCCTCTCAAGAATGCCAAGTTATGTGGGAGGGTAAGTCCGACGACGGCCAAGTAATTGATTCGGAAATCGGTCAGGACAACGACAAGATATTCTGTGGGAATATATTTGTCATTGCAATTTTCCCGACTGGCCCTCCTGATTATTAAATAAGATCAGTTCTCTCTCCGTAAAACAGTGCAAGTTTCAGGAACGAGGACGAAGAGAAACAAGATGCCCAAGAAGAAATTGAGAAAATGGTCTGCGAATGTCCGTGGCAGACATTTGCCCCATTGGCACCCGCAATAATTCGCCTAAATCTCCCTTGGTTTGGCACTCTCACCTCAATTATGAGACAGATGATACCTGGTTGATTGACTTTAGAGAGAGCTTCACAGACGGCTGGGTGGATGTGGAGTTGATGGAAATGGTTGGCGATAAAGAAGCGCTGAAAACAATTTCAAACGCGGGATTTGCGGCCATCAGCCAACCCATTGGGCAGTGACAAAGAACTTGACCGAGGATAACAGGTTTATAGAGTAACTGTGACGTCTTCGATAGCGAATGCGATTTAAAGGGCTTGAGTATGGGATCTAGATGTAGTTAAGCTGTCTCTGTATCAGAGGATCCGAATTTTACAAGCAAATGGGTTGGATGAGTATTTCTTTCATCTCTTGGTTCAGAATAGTCCAGACATAGCACAGTAACTCTCGCCGCCCTTTTAATACACTTATCATACGCCGCTCCGACAAGTGATGCCCACCTCTCTTGCCATCCACTCACAGCCCAACACAGACAAAAGGCAGAAATAATCTTAATTTGTCTTCTCACTTCAACCGTGAAAACTTGGATCATATATTAAATTGGACCGAAAGGTATCTTGGTATATAAATTTGCCACAAATGCCATATTCTAGTATAATACAAACGCCCCGGATCAGCCTTTCTAACCACTCAAGTTCGCCTCACATCCCACTCCTGCTTGACCTTTATGTTCGACGTAACGAGCTCCGCCTCGCTCTGTGAGCTCTTCTGACTCTCCATGTCATAAAACGGGCCCCGTCCCTCTGTGACATATGTGCGGTTCTCGGAAAAGTCCGGTCGCATCGGATCCAAGGGGTATTCATCAATGCGCTGGAAGTTCTTCGGCGCCAAACCGCTGTTACTGGTCGGGTTAGTGTTGCTGAGGCCAGTGTTTCCTTGCTGGGTATTGTCTGGGAAGATCTTGGAGAAGACGGGTCGCATGATGGGGATCGAGGCAAGGGTGAGGCCGAGGGAAGGCTCGAGCATGCTCCAGATAAGCGCATCAGGAACCGAATAGGTAATATCTTCGTAGGAGACCGTGATGAGGGATTTCAGGCGGATGATACTGATGATAAAGATGCTAATGCGAGATGGGATGTCAGCGGCCATGGAATTAGATGCTTAGCCGGAGGGTTGGGATGGGGTATGCCTACAAAAATCCAATTGTGAAGATGCCTGTCAGAGCAATCTTGCTCCGCAAGTTTATCTTCAGCCTCCAGATCATGGGCATCGGAAGCCCGAGTACAAGAGCATCGGTGACAATGTTAAGAGCTCCCGTAATAATGTAGGATTTGATCTGGTCTCCGCAAGATCCCTCGATGGATTGATCCCAGTTGTATTCGAAGGGCCGGCACAATAAGAAGCCGCATAAAATGACGCTGAGAGCCCAAAGGACGACGAGAACTGCAACCGCTATCGATGCCATGATGAATGGTTTAACGTTAAAGATTCGTATGTAGAAACAGAGAATAGAAAGTTTGATGAACATGAGACTGGTGGCCCAGAGCATCTGAATGGCCACTAGGTCCTGTGAATTTTTTATCGTCAGTCAAGTCCAGAGGTGCCCGGTTGCGATGAAGTTGATAGACTGATGGTATAACAGGCATATAATACAAACCTTGAGGAATGCCACCAGAACCTGGGGACCATCTTCGGCGATAATATCTGCAGCATGGCGGCCGACACCTCCATGGGTAACCCCTTCAAGAATCGTTAGATCATTCCGTCAAGACATCAATGCAGCGACTTACCGATAATATCGCACGTTATTAGCCCAAGGACAAAGACCTAAGAAGATGTTAACTAGTAGATCGTGTCGTTAAAGTCGTTGATATTACCAAGGCAACAAAAATCAAATAGTCCTCCGCCTGGAGGGCAATATTCTTAATCCGCCTCCCAGCAACTCGCAGGACAACAGAAGCTACCGTGATAACAATAAATGCGGCACAGACGACGAGCGGGGCGATTTGGCCACGGGATTTGATTTCGACCATAATTTTCAGTTCTCCTAATCCACGGACGACAATGACGACCGGCGTTGACTCTCGAAGAGTTCGGCAGGTCGAGGGCTATATGTTAAAACTCCAACATCAAGGCCCCCGTGAACCGAAAACAATCAAATTCTGATGATCAGCGAGTCCACACATACTTGTCTGGGGCGCCTCGTCGACTGAAGATCCCCAGGATCGAGACCGCACAAGAAGAACTGAGGATTGTCTGGGAAATGGAGACATGGTATAAGGAGACTAAACACCGGTAGGGTAGTCCTCACGCACAAGAGTGGGCCTGGCAATATACAGACAGTATCAGAGCAGCACTCTCTTTTTCAATTCCCCAAGTGGGTACAGGGTATCGTCCTTCGGCATACTCCCCAATCAGCAATTGTAACATTGCTTTTTCCCCGTATCTCAAGGCATGAATGGCTACAAGCATGGCAGTGCATCGGGAAAGTCCTCCCCTTCGTGGAGCGCCCACGACAGAATGTGATAAGAATGCAACTACAGCTGTTGCTCTCTCCCTGTCCCCGACGAAAAATGTCCAAGGAAAAGGGGAACAGGCATGGGGGTGCCTCGTTCAGCCTTCCCGCGGATGCGGAACTCCACCTGCCGGCATCAATCTGTCAAAAACAAGTGTGTTCGCAGGCACTTCGGCAGGACGTGCGAATTGCGGGAGGTCGGGCAATAGCCATCTACCCAGACCGGCTATTGATCTTTGTCCCCGCACGCCAGCGTGTGGGGACAAAGATTAATTTTCTACCACTTGTCGTGCACGAAGTACGAATGCATAGAGAGACTTGAACAGAAAGATGCCTATTGTGGCATCTGGCGTGGTGATCGCGACGAGAGTGCCCTGAGCCGCCTTTATGGAGACGAATGGCCAACGACAAATACAAAGTGAAACGGTAATAAAAGGAGCAAGTGTCACTGAAGGATCAGTGGTGGAGCAGCTGTGGAGAAAGAGTATTGATTATTGGGGTTGGTGCGTTTTTTGTATTCGAGGAGCACGAATAGGGAGCCGAGAATGCACCAAGAAGACCCTAGCTATGGAGCTATGGCACGACCCGGAATCCCGCCGGGTAAGAAGGCAAGCGTCGAGTGCCCCGGGTCCAACTGTGGGATGCCCCACAGTTGGATGCAACGTGGATTTGGGAGGTTGATGAGGAAGTGTTGGCTGCCATACTCTACAGCAGCCAATAGCATTGTGGTCATTGGATACGCCCTGAGCTACTTCCTACGGGAACTACCTTTATGACGGCAGTTAGTATCCCCACAACGCCTGTCTTTACACAAACGCTGCATATCGAAACGGGTGCTTCACCAGTCTGCGATCATACTTTGGTATAGTGGTATAGTTCAGTACGTAACGCTTTGCTTGGCTCACATGCGTCGTTGCTCAAGAAAACCAGGATAGGCTCCCGTTGGAACCCCCAAAATAGCTCGTACATCTCTTTCTTTTGGTCTCTTCGTTCTGCTCCAATAACCGAGAATAACTGAGAGAATCCCGTTTGTTCTCAGCTTCAATGGTTCAAATTCTTGGGCCATTCGCCTTGGAGTTGGGGGTGGGTACATATGCAGTCTTTTTATTTGCTGCGTACGTCGTGAGCGTTGCTGTTCGCCGACGATACTTCTCCGCTATCAGTGATATTCCAGGACCTTTTTTGGCCTCATTCTCGACCTTGTGGGAGATATGGGAGGTCATAGCAGGGCATATCGAGGTAACAGTGATTGCGCTGCATGAAAAGCATGGTGAGGTTTCGTGAACATGGCATTGATGCTCTGTCCTAATTTGACCCGTCATAGGACATTTTGTCCGTATCAGCCATGAAGAAGTCAGCGTCAGCCATCCCGATGCCATACGTGCTATCCTCTTAACCCCCCTCGCCAAAGTAAGTACAGTTGCTCAGAAGCAGCACCTAGACCCATCTTCTGACGTATGTGAACTTGTAGATCGATTGGTACAAGGTTATGGCGCTGCCAGACCACCGTTTCCAGACCCCAATGTCAGAAGTCAACCCCAAACGCCGCGTTGAACGAGCGAAGAATGTTGCCGCCGGGTACACACTCTCAAGCATCATCAAATCCGAGCCTCAAATCAACGATGCAATCGAACTTCTCGAGAAGCGCCTGGATGAACTTGCAGAGGCCGGTCAACCCGTTGATTTTGACAGGTGGTTCAACTACCTTGCTTTCGATGTCATAGGCGAGGTCACTTTCTCGCGTGCCTTCGGCTTCCTCGAGACTGCAAGCGACATTGGCGGTTCAATTGCAAACAGCAGAGCCCTGACCCTTTACGTTGCCATTGCCGGCTTCTTCCTGACGGTGCATGACGCAACTCTTGGGAACCCGTGGATGGGAAAGCTCGGTCTAACCCCATCACAGCATATCTTTGATACTGTTTCACGCGCCGTCGCTTCCAGGAAGAAGAATACAGAGGCAAGGACGGATATGATGGAGCATTGGATGCAGGCTCAGGCAGCGCACCCAGAACGTTTCGGAGAGACGGAAATCCAAGCTGTGGCTTCGGCAACTGTTGGCGCTGGAGCTGATACTGTCAGCGCAACTCTCCAAGCATTCTGGTATTATTTGTTAAGGAGTCCAGAGGACCTCGCAAGGGTGCGGGCAGAGATAGACAAGGCCAGCGAGAAGGGGAAGCTATCCAGGGTCGTCAGCTACGCGGAGGCGCGAGAACTACCATTCCTTCAAGCCTGTGTAAGGCCTCACTGAGCTTATATATTGTTTACTCCGCTGACTTAGCATTTCTCAGGTCAAAGAGACATTTAGATTCCATCCGGCCGTGGCACATGGCCTCGCACGGGTAGTTCCAGAGGAGGGGTTGACGATTGGCGACCGCGTCTTTTCTCAGGGGGTGGGTCTTCCTGGAGATATGCTCCTCAACAGGGTCCAATGCTAACAATTTGTTAGACTCATCTGAGTGTCAATCCATGGGTCATCCACAGGAGCACTGAGATGTTTGGTGCCGACGCAAATACGTTTAACCCCCAGAGATGGCTCGAGCCGAGAGCAAAGGATATGGAGAAGTATATGGTACAAGTGAGTACTCCGAACCGGTGTCAGCAGCTGGCGAATCCTAACCTCTCTATTCTCGTAGTTCGGTGCTGGCTACAACTCATGCCCTGGCCAAAACTTGGCCCGCATGGAAGTCTCAAAGGTCACGGCGACTTTGGTGCGAGATTTTGATATTCGACAGGTAGACCCAAAGCACGAGTGGTCATTTAAATCCCATTTCACGGCAGTGCCGTACGACTGGCCATGTCATGTCACTCGGCGCAAGGCGTAAGTGTGCGCTTTACGTGTTGCTGGGTGCTACCCTTGGTAGTGAAGGAAATAAAAACTATACCCTACAAATCAATCGAGATAAATATTATATAAAATAAATATGGAGATTAAACCTCAGATGTGTGGCAGAGATCGCACTGCTTTCAAAATTCTAATGGCCGAATTTTTATAAACTCAACTATAAATGGTAATAGTCTTAGTTAACTGGTGGGCGGGATAAAATAAATTGACGAAGGCATCGACGACGAGGCGTGGCTTTCGCTTCGCAGGCAGTCACGGACGCGTTCCCGTTCCCGGCGTTAGAGAGATAAAGTCCGACGACGTCACCCCACTTACATATAAATATAGGGCTTGTTTTCTTTCAAACAAACAACGTCAAATTGGTTTCTGCCGTATCAAACAACTAGAAACTAACGACAAACCAAAACAGCCTGCTGTCCAATCTGCAAAGCAGTTTTACCTCCAGAAAGCACAAGATGGTGGGGCTTGATCTTGTTCACGCTTCCAATGCCCAACTTCGAGAGCTTGGCCCTGGCTTAGTAGCTCTTTTCGGTAAGTAATATCACTATATGTTGTTTATTTTCGCCTTGAAAATTTAGCTAACATATACTAGTTGGTGCCACGTCTGGCATTGGGGAACACACAGCCAAAGCCTTCGTTAAGAACGCGCTATCCCCTCGAGTCTACATTGTAGGCCGAAGCGAGTCTGCTGCAGAGCGCATCATCAATGAATGCAAAGAGCTCAACAAGGATGGTAAAGTTGAGTTTTTAAAGGCAGATGTGTCAGAGCTGGCGGAGGTCGACCGAGTATGCGCAGAGATTACCAAGAAGGAACCGCATATCAACCTCATAGTGCAGAGCCAGGGGAACATGAACTTACGAGGCCGTGATGGTAAGCATATGAAAGCCTTCACAAATCCTTTCGTTGCTGACTTCTATTAGAATCCCACGAAGGAATCGACCGCAAGTTCACGCTTAACTACTACTCCAGAATGCGCTTCATCTCAAATCTTCTCCCTCTCCTCCAAACTGCTGCCACTAAGCCGCCCCATTTCTCACGAACACTGAGCATACTCAGCGCAGGGTCGGAAGGCAAGCTAGACTTTGAAGACTTGGAGTTGAAGAATACTTTCACGCGCCCCAAGTGCGCAACACATACGACTACGATGAACAGTCTCATGACAGAGGAATTCTCAAAGCGCCAGCCTGCGACGACCTTTTCACACTCGTATCCTTCAGCTGTTAATACCGGTCTCATGAGGGAATTGCCCGTATGGGCTCGTGCGGCTGCGAAGGTTCTATCTCCGCTCATAGCGGTATTCTCTGTCAGTCAAGAAGAGACGGGTGCCAGGCAGCTTTTTATCGCTACCAGTGGCGTTTACCCACCAGCTAAGCCCCTCACGAATGATACGCTGGCAACCGGTGTCCCTGCCCCCAAGGGCTTGCATACGCCTATGTTGGGTGCCAATACGATCGCGGGTAGCGGTGCGTATCTCGTCAATTGGAATGGCGAAGCAACGGGCAAACAGAAGTTACTAAATGAATATCGAGCGGAAAATGTCGGAGCGACGGTTTGGGAGCATACGATGGGTATATTTGAGAGAGTTGCAAAGATTAACCAGGCTCGACAATAACTGTATGTTATAAGTGGTACCAATTGGAGCGCAAAGGGCGACGGGGGGCTATGTACAATAGTTGGTGTTTTATTTCAATCAGAGGTGCTCCATCATTTATAGCTATTATCAATACGCTAGTTACTCACAAGAAGGGCTGAAGAGATAAATGCCATGGGCTTAAATTGCTCATATCAACCCTCAGACATGACGGTCCCTCTTCATGGGACTTTACTCCCCACACAGTGTCTTAATAAGCCTACGCAAAACTCCAGTCAGTTTCACACTCAACAAGCCTCCATACAGCTATTTAACTCACCGTCTCACCCCTTCCTCTACCTTGCCCTTCTCGTGTGAGAAGATCAATCTGAACCAACCTGGCCTCTCTGCCCATTCAGCCCCCGGGTTTAGAAAAACACCACCTTCCAGCAACTTTCCAGCAAGCATCTTCTCCCTCTCGGTATCTCTTTGAGTCCCCTCTGGCGGCGGCAAAAACCTGAACAAATCGATCCACAGGAAGAATCCGGCCCTGCCACCTTTCCAGTATGCAATCCCTGCTTTATCCAGCATGCGGGTCACCAGCTCGTAGTTTTCCGCCAGTCTGATGCGGGACAATTTAATAGTATCTTCCACGAAATTATCATCCTCTAACATCGCAAGCACAATTGCGCAGCTCGGCCCACCAGGTGCATGGAGCAGACCAATCGCTTCAAATGCCTGCTGGACTTCATCATTTCTGGTCACTAGGGCCGCTATATGAAGGCCAGGGGCACCAAAATCTTTGCTGAAACCATATCCGACGTGTAGATATCTCGGGTCGATGATTCCAATAGTATCGATCTCGAGAACAGAGGTGAAGGGCGCGCTTGAAGGATCAGCTGTTTTAAAGGCGGTCAGAGCATACACTTCGTCGGAGATTAGATGTAGATTGTGCCGGGCACAGAATTTCATGAGCGCAATAAGGGTAGCTTTGGGATAGCACCGGCCAGAGGGATTGTGCGGGTTGCAGATTAGGAGGGCCCGAGTATTGGTACCATCTGCTTTGGCTTGAGCAAGACGGAGAGCGTACTTCTCTACCACAGCCTCTGAAAATGGATCCGTATCACCCATGTTGGCATACAGCGTTTTGCATCTAATATCATTAGCTTAACAAATGAAAAAAGCTGGGAGGGATATATACTGAGCAACGATCGTCAAGTCATTTTCAAATTTCCCATAAATTGGCCGCATGAGTAGGATGCCATCTCCTACATCTCCCAACATAAAAGCCAACATTGAACAGATTGCCGTAACGCCATTTGCAATACCGACTTCCTTCATACCCACAGGCACGGTAGGATTGAAATACTTGTTGATATGCTTTGCTACGGCTCTCCTCAGACCGACACCTCCAATAGTTGTTCCTGTATATGTTGTAGCAGTGAATTCATCGATTTTAAACTGGAGACAAGTTTTAGCCTTAAATAGAGCGGCTCTAGCTATACGGTGCAATTGAGCTTATGTTACTTACATGCTTATTGATAAAATCAACAACGTTTCCGTGGATTAAGTGCTTAAGATTCCTGTCAGCTATGGATTCTGAAAGAATCAAAGCGTCATATCATTAAAACTTACGTTTTCAGATAAACCAAGAGATATCACTCCTGATGGATTTGACTTCCCATCATAGACATTGTCGGTGATTTCCGGGATGCTGACGTCGTAAGCTGAAAAGGAGCGTTGGCCACGTCCTGATAATGTAGTGGCCATTGTAAATTGTAAATTATCCCGGGAGATGATGAAGGGTTGATTGGTAGCAGTATACGAGATGTAAGAAGGTTAGCTGGGAAGGTCGAAAGTTGGTGCCTTGGGTGTTGAATATGTTCCCCTCCGAGGGAATACGATCTAACCAGGCACGATGCCGTGACCATGGAAAGATGATCGATTATTCCAGAATATTTCCTGGGGCTGCTCTGGATGAGGTCTCGCAAGATAATCGCGATGAAACTTGTGCAAGTTATGATATAATTGAAGTTCGAGGCTCGGGTGGGGTATTTATGGAGCTAAATCGTGGCCAAGTGGATACCTCTTTGGAGAGCTTCGGCAGCCGATCATGACCCCGCTCCTTCGCCCCATGAATACTTGTTATCAAGTGAGGGGTGCAGCAGGCACCGAAATAAAGCATTGTTGCTGTCGGTATTTATCTATCTGCGGAGCTCGTCTAGAATGTACCGCAAATAAAACAGGCTTCCAGTGGGTCGGACATGTCAGGCAGCAATTGCCTACTATATAACTACTGTCTGTATCCTCCTCTCTGCATTGCCACCATAAGCCATATATTCGACAGTATCCAAAATGGCTGTTACAGAGATCGGCTGCATGGGCGTCAAGCCCGGCCTTAATGTTATGGACGAATCTACTCAAGAAGGCCAGGTCTTGATGGGAGCCTGGAAAGCAGTCACTTCTGCGCCAGGAGGTCCACACCAGGTTTATTGGGGACTAGAAGTTGAGGATCCCTCAAAGCTCTGGGCCTTCTTTGACTGGGACTCCGTCGAAGACCACGAGAACTTTGCCAAATCGTAAGCGGCTAAATCCCATATTCTTTCTAGTGATATAAACTGAAATTATCCACCAGGTCTGGCAGAGACGCAGTAAAGGATCTGCCGACCATCTTGAGCCATGGTGAATTCACGAAGCATGTTGCTGTCACGCCGTCCCCGCCATTAGCCTTACAGGCGCCCGTGACGGAAATCATGCTCGCTTACTTCTCCTCCGATATCTCGCAAGCCCAAAAAGACGCAGCTTCCGCGAATGTCCGGGAGTTTTCAGATAAGGGCCTTAACAAATGCTCTGATATCAGGGGTGTTAGCTTCGGCTGGGGTGTGGAGAACGACTTCCCAGTGAAGGGAGGAGAAGAAGGACAGACAGGGTCGATCCTTGCGGCGTTCATCGGCTGGACTAGCATTGACGCGCACATGAAGTTTCGGGAGACGGATGCTTTTAAGGATAATGTCGGCTTGCTCAGGAGCTTGGAGGGGGTTGTGAAGTTGGCAATGTTCCACGTTAGTTGCCAAAGTCTTAAAAAGACAGCGGAATAGGCATAACTACGAGGGCGACAGTGAAACGAACCTAGAGATTCAAGTAGCAAAGGTGAATACAATAGATCGAGTACTGATATAGCAGCTGTGTTTCTTTTCTAACTCCTATCCGAAAACAGGTCTTTCCCAATGCTCCTTCCTCCAATGCTCCTTCCTCAAGCTCCTTCGTTCCCGGGTGCTCTAATACCAAATAAGTTAGCCCAAACACATGTAGATGGCAGTTAGCATTAATAAATCTGCGAGCGCATAAATAGTTTTATGTTAATGGTGTAGATAAGCCCATTCATTTCAACCTTATATCTATGAGATGTCTAAGTTACAAATTCGGCAACTTCATGACACTATCCGTCACATAATTGTCACCATTCAAAAATCCAGCACTCATGATTAACAAGTAATCCGGGTCATCCATGACTCTCAGGTGTCTTGTGTAGGCTCTTGACTGGGGGGTAGCGTACTTGACCCAAGAATCTGCATCACCCAGGTTCGTGTTTATAAAGATCTCGGCGTGGCTATTAGCGCTTACAATGATGCTTCCATTCGGACCTCCCGAGGGACTCCAGACAACATATGGGGACGACGTTGGAACGGTCCCCCCGGCATTGAGGATTTGACCTGGTGCCGAGTCGAATGTGAGAGGACTGGAGCTAATACGATAGTAGATGGGGAAAGTTCCGCTGCCCGCAGGATTGGGGCCCAATCCGTATTCATAAGTCATGATATATTGACCGTTGGGCAGAGCTGCGACGGTCGGCATTCCTGGGCGTTGTTCATAGGTTGAGTACGCAATATCGTTCACCACGGGGCCCCAAGTTATACCATCGGCGCTGACTTGGTGGACCATCTTTTGGCCATGTGCAGGGTCGCGTTGGTCGGAGTAGTACATGACAAGCTGGTTGTCGTAGACCATCATGAATGGCTCCCATATTGGGGTCTCGCCATTGTTCGGCAAGGCAACTCCTCCAGATGCGACAGTAGAGACAAATGACCATGTCTTTCCGCCGTTCACAGATGCATAGACATCGATCTTAGTCTGGCTAAGATCCGTAGGGATAGAATTCGCCGAACAAATAATTGTCCCCTTCGGAAGATCGCCGATAGCCTGTGGTAGAAGATACAGATCCGGCTGGTAGCGCAGCCCCCAGCCATTCACCTGGTCTGTGACATTAGAGAAAGGAGCCCAGGTCTCGCCCTTATCGGTACTTTTGTATATAGGGAAGTAAACCAAAGGCGGTTCGGGGGAGTAGTTTTCCCTTGAAAAGCATGTTAGTTAAGCTCAACACTGGACTCATACCGGAAAGAAGTCATTGATACTTACCATGTTGCCAGAAGAGTCCCATCCTCCAGTTGAACTGTGCGCCCATAAAGAGTTTTTGGAGTATTGTAGTTCGACGGTGGAACATAGATTGTTTTAAAGGTCACCTCGTGGTCTGCAACCTCACACTCTTTGACAGCTGCACTCGGTGCAGAATAGACCGAAGAGATGGACAAGGCCCATGTTAGGGATGCGGCGATAGCTTTACGGCCGCGCATTGTGAGAAATGATAAAGCGGGAAATATGTGAGATTTATGACTAGGAATCTATTGACCAACAATTTTAAGAAATAGGCAATGGTTGTCTTCATATACTTTCCTAGGTAAGTAGAGACGCATCAAAAACCGAGAAACACTGAAAGTGCGGAGATTGGTTTGCCCGTGCATCTTGTTGTTTATTTCTGGGTTCCCCGCGAATTACCCGTCGTCTTTTGTTTCCCCTCTGTCTATCGTTCAAGCGTTGGTTGTGATTGGTGCGTAAGTTGATAAAGAAGATCTGCTATACCGACAGGATGCATGTGCCCCATATAGCTTCGTGAAAGGATTCGCCGCAACCCACCGGAGTATTTAAAGATTTAGCCCTGGACCGGTAGATTTTCTCCGACCAGTCAGGCCCTCATATTTGATCGTTTGCCGGGCGCCCATTTTTGGCCCAAAACCTTGTATCTTCAAGCGGGCTATTGGCTATGAGTTATATTTACATCCTGGGTGCTGTATAAAGCTAACTTCGTATTAGCCGCACCAGTTATCATTATCCGGATGTTGTTGATACGGGTGCCGTTGAAAAAGCCAAGAAAGGGACCACGCATGTGATATTAGCTCCTTTTGCCGAATTTGTAAGAAACTGGCTAATAAAACAGCTTCAGTATGATAATTTCAACCTAAGATGATTAATAGCCTATATTTTATTCGTAATTGCTGTAAATACTGAAAGCGAAAACGAGTTCTTCGAGTTCCTGTTCGCGAGGCTCCTTGGGCTTGAACTGTTTGGAAAGCTTACGTAACATCGGCCACGGTCAGCCTCGCTAAGGGACAGCCTCGCCCCACCTAGAAAATTATAATTTTGAGTCAACAACGCGTCATTGGAGCCCAATACAGTACTCTCAGACCCCGCCTCTTAGTTTGCTTGAAGTTATCCGAAAGTGACAGTACAAGACGAAAGATGCTCACTGCCGCGACTGTCTTTGCCCTTCGAATCCGTGGAGCTGGCACTGTTCCCTAGATGCTCAACCTCTGGACGCACAGGAATCTATTGTCAAATTCATCGAGGATATACTTTCGCTCAAGAACACAAATCATATATTCCCTTCGCCATCACTGTGCAATGCATTCTCAAGCCACCATGGATCGACCTCACCAAAGCGAGTCTGCCTCAGGCAGAAGCTCCTTAAACCCCGTTCAAAATCAACCAAGTGTCAAACCAGATGGGTGTAGAGAGACAGTGGTTCTCAAGGTCGGCCCGCATAAATTCGGCGAGTTTCTACAGACGGCCGATGTAAGATCGAGACTCAAAACATGGACAGTGGATAGCGACAACTCCGACACTATGCGGCACATGGAGACTGCGGCAAAGGCTATACGTGATGGTAACTATCCAGTTGCCTTCCCAACAGAAACAGTATACGGCCTGGGCGCAAACGCAAGAGACGGCAGAGCAGTCCAAGGGATTTACAAAGCGAAAGGTAGGCCGTCAGATAATCCTCTGATTGTCCATATATCCGACCTTGACATGTACACGGAAATGGCGAAAGGCTTGATAATGTCACAAGAGACGAGCCTTTATGTGGCTCGCTACAACGAGCTTATAAATAAGTTCTGGCCGGGTCCGCTCACTCTACTTTTCCCGAAACCGCCGAATTACCTCGCTCCGGAAGTCACTGCTGGACTGGACACGGTTGGCCTACGTATGCCTGATTCTGCTCTTGCGCGGACCCTAATCAAGTTGTCTGGCGTTCCGGTCGCAGCTCCATCAGCAAACTCGTCAACTAAGCCGTCCCCGACTGCTGCGAAGCACGTATTCCATGACTTGAATGGGAAGATCCAGTATATCTTGGATGGCGGGCCTTGCAACATTGGTGTCGAGAGCACAGTGGTTGATGGACTTCGAGATCCACCGCTTATCCTTCGCCCCGGTGGACTCAGCATCGATGATATCAGAGAGTGCCCTGGGTGGGAGAACGTACAAAAAGGCTATAAAGATGAGAGCGAAATCGGAGGGTCTGCGCCCCGTGCTCCTGGTATGAAGTATAAGCATTATAGCCCGAACGCCACAGTTATATTGTGCGAAGACGGGTTTTCCCCAACTCCACAATCAACACCTGGCATGAAGTTTCTTGATCTAGGCCACATAAAGAAATCCGGTGACGAACAGCAGTCAGAAAAAGATGAATCCGCTACAGAGGCTCCACCCACTAACCTCAACGTTGGCATACTACGTACCAAGCACTGGAATAAATGGCTGGGTTGGGAAGGAAATCTGGGCGGAGAAGGCACCAGAATTTTAGAGCACTATAAGAACGGGACGGCCACAATCAATGGTCAGGCGGAATTGGACTACTCTACAGCTAAACTGTTTCACTGCGATGGTGCAGATTCTTTCTGTATCAAACTTGTGGATGTTCATCTTGGCCGCGATACCCAAACAATAGCAAGTGGATTGTTTGCCGCGCTTAGGGAGATGGACAAGCGCGGCGTGGATGTTATCTTTGTTGAAGGAATCGAAGAAGATGGCGGTGGTATCGCAGCGGCGGTTATGAATCGAGCGAGGAAGGCTGCGTCGGAGCGATGGGGGCAAAACGAGAAAGGAATAACGAAACATATTAACTGATTGGGATAGAATTGAGGATGCTCACATGGACATGATAGAGGATACGGCGTTGATTACATGCGGCTCATATTCTTGTTTTAGGAAGTCATTTGCACCTATGGGTGCTGGCGTTTTGAATGTTTTTAGATGATATCACTTGAAAATGTAATTGAGAGTCAAGTTGACAGAATTAAAATGTTGGCTACAATATAGGCCTGCCGATGATTAAAACCAAGCTTTGATATCGGGAAAACCATGAGCAAAATCCAACATTATCACGTTTCACACCATCAGCTTCTTAACTGGGGCCATCAAGATACGGTATCGAGTCTTAAATTCCACCAAAACGCCCCCATTTTCCAGTCTGGCTCCATGGTCGTGATAGAGCGCTCATGCGCTATCGTCTATGGCACTCTCTATGCTGCAATACGGCCAGTTGTGCCGAGGTTCACCTTTCATCTGAAATCATGTTCGCATCTTGACACCCATTACAGGCCCTGCCTTAACCAATCCCCTAACTTCGCCTTTCCGAACTGCGCCAGGTTGTTCATGCCCTGCTCACTGAGATCAATGCCCTTCAACTGCGCGACGTCTTGCGCCGGCGCCCTGCTGACACGGGTCGTGATGATAAGGGGATCGGTCTCGAGGATGATTCCGTCGTCAACAATCTCATCGATCGCGAGGGACACCAGGTCGTAGTTCTCGATGATTGTGCGCTTGTCGACAGATTGCCTGCGGGAGTTAGCTGGGGACACACAAGCGGCGGGGTGGGGATTCATACTTGAATAGCAAGTGTAGTGAGTCGCGGAGGGCCAAGACGACATTGTAGAGCATGATCTCGTTCTCTTCCATTCCTCCCACTACGTACATCATAATATCCGACTCGCACTTGTACAAGACTATTCTGTTGTCGTATAATATGATATCGGCTGTTTGCTTAGCTGTCTTCTCCAAGAGGCCCTTCTCGAATGCTTTTTGGGCCTTGACGTCGGGGTATGGGTTGGTCGACGGCGAGGCAGCTATGATTTTATTAGAAATCGTTTCGCAAATTGGTTATAAGACGCTCAGGAGAGCAGTCCATCGGATTACGCACATTGGCCATGTGAAGATGCGGTGTGATGAGGGGCATTGAAGTACTTGGCGAAGATGCGGTTTCCGTCCTCTGTTCCGAGGATAATTATCGCCTGGACAGAGAAGAGAGACATATTGGGCGCCATCGTGTCAGAGGTTTTGCGAAGCCAGGAGTAAAAAACAAGGCGAGGGAGGCGTTATAGCAACTGGCAGCTTGGTATTGCGGCTCTTTGGCAGTGAGGCCGTGTTTCTGTAATCTGGCACCGCCAAAGGCACGCTAAGCCTCAAATGGATGAACCCACCACTGGCTCGTTTGGGGAGCGCTAATGCAAGCTCTCTACGCGTCCAAACGCGACCCTTTTCGCGACGCGTCTTATTTCCCCCCATCACACCTTGGCCTCGACTCCAGTTCATCTCCAAACATCGACACAGGACTCTTTTCATTGACAACAACGCCGATATAAACAAAAGTAATTATCGCAATGTCGTCACCCGCAAAACGACGACAAAAGGCCTCCGCCGCTGGAACTCCGAAACGCTCATCACAACGCAGTTCCCAGGCCCCTCCCAGTAGTCCTCCAGACCCGTCTGCTGCGCAATTGCTGGGTGAAGCCGCCTCTTCTTCCCAGGCTAGCCGGGGCCATGGCACTCCTAGACGCCAAATAAAGTCATCATCGCCCATGAATTACCAATCTTCACCGGTCGCTGGGCGACAAGATGCCGCTTCCCCCTTCAGTCGGGGAACTCCAGATATTGCTATGACAGATGGCGATCGCACCCCTCGGGCCACTGGACAACTGATGAGAGGTGAGTAGTTTTTGATCTATTTTGATCTCACTGTCTAACGGTACTAGATTCATCTCCTATTCGATACGCTTCAACATCCAGTCCTGGCCGAGATTTGCGCCAACAATCCGATGCCCCAACGGAGAGCAGTGGACTCTTTCTTCGCTCTACGCAGTCCATACCGCCAAGTAGCTCCGGTTTGAATAGGTCTAGCCGCGGTGATATTAATCCCGACCGTAGCGCAGCTTCTGGAGTTCGAAAGCGTATTTTCCTCGATGAGAATGGGAATGTCGTCCACAATGTTCCTGACGGGTCAGATGCTCCGACATTCTCAAATAACGATCCTACAACTTCAGATGCTGACGCCCTTGGAGGGGGTTCCGGCAATATCTATAACACAGTCTGGGGTACAAACATCTCCGTTATTGATGCCTCAAAGACATTCGAAGGCTTTTTGCGTAATTTCACCAAAAAGTATCGGATGTGGGCGGACGGTATGACTGTGGCAGAAACCCAAGAGGACGAAACATCGGAGTCGAAAGTATACATGGACAAGATGAAGGACCTGCTAGAGCTTGCACACTCCAGCTTACACATAGACTTTATGGATCTCAAAGCATACCCTCCTACCCTGAAGCTTCATCATCAGGCCCAGGCCTATCCACAAGAAATGATCCCATTGATGGATCAAGTGGTTCACAATATCATGGTACAGCTTGCAGAGGAGGAAGTCAAGCGAGAGAGAGCCGCAGAGTCTCAAAGCACGAACGGCCTATCCCAAGCGCACCACATTCCTAGCTCGGATATGCCAATCCCAAGCTCCGACAGGGGTGACATGGAGATGACGCCAGGGCCAACGCAACCAACTCAATCAAGGAAGAAACGCGATATCTTAGCTGAAGTGGACGAAGCAAAATATAAAGTTCGCCTGTTTGGAATTGAAAAAACTATCAATCTCAGAGACCTCGACCCCTCTGGTAGGTCTATGACTATTATCACCCAAGAACTGCCGCTGACCCCTTTTAGACATGGATAAGATGATCTCAGTCAAAGGCCTTGTCATCCGCACAACACCCATCATCCCCGACATGGCAGAGGCCTTTTTCCGCTGCCAAGCATGCAACCATACAGTTACGGTCGAAATCGAGCGTGGCAAGATTGCAGAGCCTACCCAGTGCCCTCGTACAGTCTGTAAATCACCGAACTCGATGCAGATTGTGCACAACAGGTCAAACTTTTGTAACAAACAAGTTATCAAGCTTCAAGAGACCCCCGATTCAGTCCCGGCTGGTCAGACGCCGCATTCCGTTTCTCTCTGCGCATACGATGACCTCGTTGATCTCTGCAAGGCTGGTGACCGAGTCGAAATCACTGGTATCTTCCGATGCAATCCGGTTCGGGTGAACCCCGCACAGCGCACGCTGAAGAATGTGTTCAAGACTTACGTGGATGTCGTCCACATCCAAAAGGTAGACAAGAAACGCATGGGCATCGACGTCTCTACTGTTGAAGGCGATGGCTCATCTACGGATGCAGATGGTGATGTCGAGGGGAAGAGAAAGATTTCAGACGAGGATATCGAAAAAATCAAGGTCACTGCGGCTAGGCCTGACATTTACGATCTTTTATCCCGCTCTCTTGCGCCAAGTATTTTTGAGATGGACGATGTAAAGAAGGGCATACTTCTGCAACTTTTCGGTGGCACAAACAAATCGTTCGAGAAAGGAGGTAGCCCGAAGTACCGTGGAGACATCAATATCCTCCTGTGCGGCGATCCGTCTACGTCAAAGTCTCAGATTCTTAAGTATGTACACCAAATCGCCCCGCGAGGTGTCTATACCAGTGGAAAGGGCTCTTCTGCCGTTGGTTTGACCGCCTATGTCACTCGTGACCAGGAGACGAAGCAACTCGTTCTTGAGTCTGGTGCTCTAGTCCTCTCTGATGGAGGAGTCTGCTGCATTGATGAATTTGACAAGATGTCCGAATCTACTCGATCGGTGCTGCACGAAGTCATGGAGCAACAGACAGTTTCCATTGCAAAGGCTGGCATCATCACCACACTGAACGCTAGAACCAGTATTCTCGCCTCTGCCAATCCTATTGGCAGCAAGTATAACCCCAACCTTCCTGTTCCTCAAAATATCGACCTTCCGCCTACTCTGCTATCCCGTTTTGATCTCGTCTATCTCATTCTTGACCGAATCGACGAGACCAATGACAGGAGGCTAGCGAGGCATTTACTCGGCATGTACTTGGAAGACACGCCACAGAGTGCCGGGAATATGGAGATTCTTGTAAGTCAAATCCTACAGATAGTTTGTGCTATACTAACAGGCAACTAGCCAATCGAGTTTCTCACATCATACATTTCCTACGCCCGCAACGTATGCCAGCCACGCATCACTGAAGAGGCTTCAAAGGAGCTTGTAAAGGCCTATGTCGACATGCGCAAGCTAGGCGAAGATGTCCGCTCCGCAGAACGCCGCATCACCGCGACGACAAGACAGCTCGAATCAATGATCCGTCTCTCCGAGGCCCATGCTAAGATGCGTCTCTCACTGGAAGTCACGCGTGACGATGTCCTCGAAGCTGTCCGTTTAATCAAATCGGCCCTGAAGCAGGCTGCTACGGATGCACGAACTGGACTTATTGACATGAGCCTGCTCACTGAGGGAACAAGCGCTAGTGAGAGGAGGAGAAGGGCTGATTTGAAGAATGCTTTGCTCCTCTTATTGGACAATATGGTTAGGCAAGGTCAAGCCGCTCGGTACAGCGAGGTTCAAAAAAGACTCAACGAGGAAAGTAGTATTCCAGTTGAGGCTCCGGAGTTTTCAGATACCATAAGATTACTTGAGCAGGAGGGTTCCATAATGGTGGTTGGCGAGGGGCCGAGAAAGAGCATCAGGAGAGTTGCCGGAGCTTAGTTGTTGGCAAAGTACATTGTGCTATGAGGTGGCGTTTGGGTTGGGTATGATGAACGACGTGATTGTGTTGGAATTATATATTCCGAGTTATGGTGTGCATGATATTAGAGGGTAGCTGTCTGGGAAGAAATGGAATGTTGGGGGTATGGCGACGGCACGGGAAGCTGGGTACTTTGATGAAAGCTAAACTAGAGCTCCATATGAGCCAAGACAGAAATGTATATGATGTTAAGACATGTGTCTAGGAGGTTTTGGAATTGAGTTGACTCGTCAAACGCGGCTTTAACTCGCATCAAAGGCTGAAACCTGAACGATCCATGCGCCAACGTCGACCGTTTTGTTCAGTTTGATCAGCGAAGCTTTCCCCAGCTTTCCCGTACCTTCTGACGCTGATTCCTGGGAAGATTCGAATCTTAGAACTATTTGAGTTTTAGTCATAATAACTGTTATGTATTTCGGATGTACGGTTGATACGAAGCTGCTGGCCCACAGACAATTTCTTCTGCGATTTGAAGAAAAGACACCATTCATCGAGACAACTCTCTACGAGTTTCGAGTTTACAATACTGCTATCACACTTCAAAAATTTAAATATGAAAATAGTAAATCCTCTGATCCTTCATATCTTTGATCGTCGCTGCTAGAAATCGTCTGTTCCCAATCCACATTGACAGCCCCCAACTCCATACAATAGAAGTTTCGGGCCGGCCTCCGCCACTAACTCATGCCACTCTATTTCGAAACAGCCAGTCACCCCAATAGCCCTGTCAATATGAGATGAAGTCATTTCTCAGTGCCCTTCTCCCATATTACCCAACACAGAACTTAACTCATGCACCTATTGCATGACATGTACGACCCCTTCCAAGCCGGGATCCGAGAAGGAAGGAAGCTTGGACATCGTCATCGCCGAGTTCACCATGCCGCCCCTGGTCGTGCCTGACTTGGCGGGCATTTCCATCTCTTCTTCTTTGTCTGTTGTTGTTATTGTTGTGCATTGTTCTCTTCGAAGTGGCTTCAATTGGCGTGCGTGAAGCTTTTGAGTCGCTATGTTGATGCCCTCGACTCTTTCCGCAGCGGCGGCTGCGCTGATGCTCGCTGCCACCGCACACGGCGATAACTTTACAATTATCAATGGCCAAATCTTTACACCTGGACTGGCGATCGTAGACGCGCCCCAGCCCAACACGCCTCTCGGCGGTGGTAAGTTCTCTATTTGCTTCACTCCAAAGGATATCCCATTCATCGCTCTCCATCCTTTCTCATATCACCCCCCCCCAATTCACATACCACAACCCGACTAACACCCCACCAGAAATCCTCCAAGTCGCCATCGACGTCTCCGGCAACGGCAAGCTTGGCCTCCCCCCCTACTCCGACTCCGCCCCCAGCCAACTGCACGCCCTAACCCTCTTCCTAACCTCCTACACCACGGGCCTCAACCTCACCATCGCCAACGGCACCGCCCTCCCCGCCACCTCCTCCAACAGCCCCGACGGCATCGTCATGACCCAAGAGCCCGGCAGCACCGTCAAGCACGTGAACTGGCTCTGGCCCGCCTGTCTTTCCGGCGACGGTCAGCCCAAGGCCACCGGTCTCGTGAGCGACGGGGGGAGCGCGAGGGGAGCGTATAATATCTCGATTCACCAGAGCTTTAGGCTTAATGATACGGAGTATTATACTGTTTTCAACCTGCCTATTGCGGTGACGAATCGCATTTCGGAGAGCGCGAATCAGTCGTCTTGTGAGAGTCTGACGAATCTGCTGCTGGGGTGGGGGGAGGTTGTGGGGGAGACGGTGGTGTTGACGCCGGATCAGTATCCGTGGACGGATGGGAGTGGGGTGCAGGTTTCTGTGCCCAGTGGTGATGGGAGCGACAACGGTGGGAGCAGTGATGGGAGTGATAAGGGTGATGGAATTGGTGGGAGCAAGCCGGATGCTAATGCGGGTGATGGGCTTGGAGGGGGTGCGGGGATGGTGGCTATGGATGGGAGGTTGACTGTTTTGGCGGTTATTTTCGCCTTGGGCTTGGTGGCTATGTAGAAGTAATATTTCCCGTGAGTTAGTTGTAATTAATTATATGGTAATCTTGCATTGCATGGAAGGGAGCTGCTACAGTTCCTTGTATCACCATATCATAAGTCATATTGCATCACAATCACAGTAGGAACCAAAATGAAACCGATCTTCTTAATCAATGCAATTCTCATAACATTTAAGGGTCCTTCGCAAGGAACCCCACGCAGGATTATACTATCCATTCCCCCTCATATGCCCCTCATGCAAAAACACATGCGAACTCCCCAACACCCCCTTTTAAAAAAAATTGGAATCTTCGCGGATGTCGATAACCGCCCACCATAAACGCCGTTTCCAGCGATGAGCAACAAAGGAATTCATACTCATACACCCAAATCCCAGAACGCCTCCTCCCTCCACGCTACCCCCATAGTCGCCGTAAGAAATGAACCCTCCCTGAAAGCAGCCATCTATGCATCAACAGAAACGAGTCCCCTCGCCTGCTCCAGGATCTGATCCATATCTCCCAGCTCCTCGGCGATCTCGCCACCAGCTTCCCTCTCGGCCCAGCTACCCCAGAGACCACGCTTGCCCCTCACGCGTATCGGTCCTCCGAGCTCGCCTTGGCTTTGCTCGACCTTGACCGCATCCTTGGTGGCGAGCACCAGGACCTCGAAGAACATCTTCGTTGCGTCCGCCTTGCTCGTGCCACGTTCCGGAAGCAGGTCTTGGAACATTACGCTGGCCTTCTTGCGCTTCTCTGGGCTGTTGGCGGCTTCGGCTCCGAAGCGGTCGCGAAGCAGGTGCACGGCGTGGGTGGTGCCTAGGGAGACTGGGCCGGAGTCGGCGGGGTGGACGAGAGGCGCTCTGGTCTCGTCGAAGTTTTGCTCGGGGTCCTCGCTGCCATCTCTTTCGCGTTCGCTGCCGCGGGAGTCTGGACGTCCGAAGTTGTCGTCATCATCATTCATTGGTACGAATCCATCATCAGCGGGGATCTCAAGGATCGTGCCGTTTGCTTGCGACTCAGCGCCGAATCCGGCTGCGGCGCTGATGTTGCCGAAGGCGTCTTCCTCGCCGAGATCGAGGTCTAGCTGCAAACGCGGTGACTTGGCTGCGTGCTCGTCCTCATCGCCGGACATATCTGCGATGCCGCTATCGCGCTTGCGCTTCTGGGCTCGCGAAGATAGGATGGCGTCGAGGGAGAGGATGCCACGGAGTTCGGGTGCCCAGCCAGCAGATCGGCCGTCTCTGAGGATGTTGCTGACGAAACCGCCGTTGCGCTGCATCTCAACCAAGGCAAAGAGAGTAGGATCTCTTGGCAGGAAAGACTCGGGACGCAGGATCTTAGATCGATCTTGTTGCTGGGCCTTGATAACTGCTGAAGGGATGATAGTGTCTTCGTCGGGTTTGAGAAGCTTGAGCTTTCGGGCACGTTGAGCGGGTTCCCTGAAAATAGATGTCTCCGTCTCCTCGATTGGCTCAAAAAGAGCAGATTCTTCGTTGCGCGCATGTTCTTCTAGCATCTCACGCTCCTGTTCGGGGTCGATATCGGAGAGCGGTGACTCTGAAATGCGTTCACGGCCAGGAAGAGCGGTCATGTGAAGACTCTCATCGCCGAGGGGGAAGTTGTCCGCATCGCCCATGTTGATATCTCCATCGTCGCCTTGGAAGTGGAATCCATCGTCGTCACCCGCAATGCTGACTTGAACGGATTGCTGTCGATCACGGCCGAGAAGGGTGGTGTCTTTGCCGAAGATATCAAGTTGGGTGTCTCCGATATCATCACCGAGTTCGCGCTCTGCAGGGGCGTCACGACCCATTTCAAGGCTTCCGTCGGCGCGTAGATCGATGTCCTCTCCGAAATCTAGGTCCAGATCGAGGTCATCCGCCATGATAACTTCATCGTCTGGGTATTTTTGTGATTCGACCATGCTGTTTTGGAGGTATTGGCTTTGGTTGAAATCTTCAAGTAGGTTGATACTTCCTGCGCGACGCTTGCGTGGTGTATTCAGAGTGTCATCCTCCATTTGCGATAATAAGAAGGATGCATCCGGCAGTGGCGGCATCTCGAGGTTATCACCTTCAGTCAGGACATCGGGAAGCAGAAGCGTGTCGCGCGAAGGCATATGAAGTCCAGCGGGTATATCGTTGTTGCTGGAGATTCTGAATGCCTGGGAGGTGTCAGTAGGTGTCGTTTAGATAACTGGAGGTACCAAGACATACCATCTTAATCTTCATTAATGCCTCATTACAGTCATCGAGAAGATAGCGCGCCTTCCTGCTGTAAATTCGCACCACGCCGAGAAGAAGCTGGCCGCTGAGACGCAAGGCCATTGGCGCCTGGCCGGGGTTAACGATAGCATCTACGCTGTCCTTGACGCTTGATTGCAGAATGTGTGTTTTCGAAAGTTTGCGTTCGAGGTTGGCCGACAGCCAGACGCGAGCCAGAGGCCCCGTCTTCGACAGGAGAGCCTCCGAATAAAACATTACTGTTGTCGGTATATGCTATGGGCTATAGATGTCTTGAGCAATGGGTGGTAGCACCCTCGGGATGTCGGGATGATATGTGGAGTTGGCTAGACGCGACAGTTTGTTGTTTTCATTTGCAAGCGCGTCGCGGACGATGACGGATCCCAGGAAGCGACGAGTGTATGCAGTCGCGACGAAGATAGTGAAGCGATTGTCGCGCTCTCTTTGTTAGATACTGTATGCGACGACAGGTTCAGCAATAGCAAAAGTCGCAAGTTGTTGTTGGTGGTGATGTGGTTGGCGGTATGAAGGTGCGGTGGGTGTTGTGTCGGATTAGGCGCAACATCTGAATCTGGAGGGGGAGAATGCGAGAGGCTGGGCGGTTGGTTAATAAACTCCCTGTGGCTCAGGCATTGAGGAGTGGCTGGGGGTGTGCCCCAGATCAATGGCGTGGGTGTGAATCATAGACTAGCCGAATATGGCACTATTATAGAACTATTATAGAACTATTTCCTTATTTATGAGTAGTCTAGCTAAAACGAGATATTATAGATCCAAATTAGGGGTTTCCAGCATGTATTCCGCACCAAGTTACACATTAATTTACCTCCCGCCATATTTCCATCATCACTGTGCAATTGAATATGTGTCCGAAGGGTCTCGGTCCTGGCTTCCCATATATATAAATTTCTTGTGTACGAAGCAGCAACCATACTCGTAACACAGCCTCATTGTTGCTGTGTATTGTTTAACGTATCCTTATTTATTTTATTTTATTTTATTTTATACGCACATAACCGCGTTGTTGTGTTCTTCTTTCTTCTTACTATACACTACAGAAGCTACCCAACTAAGCAACCCCTTGGCTGGTAGTCACGTTCGAGGCGGATCTCTTTCTCCACGCCCCGTCCCCATGTCCATGTCGGTCTCTGATCGTCAGAACGACAAAGCTCCAAGTATTGTTTAGAAATTGTTGGAGTTGGCCACGTACCCTGCTCATGAGCCCAGGCCCACGATCACCTTCAACGACGACGTCAATCAATAGCCGAACATACTGGGACTGCAATTGATGTAGCATCAACATCCATTGACATCTCTCCCAATCCACCCAAGCTTTCTCCGCCACTCTGTCCCTCTCGATCCTACATACGGTTAAGGTGTCGCATGTCTTAGCACAAGGCTGCGGGCAACGACAGCAAGGCCTTGCTGGTCGCGCAACAGAAGAAGGATTGCCGGGTCATAGAAGATGTCCTGGGCACGACTACAGCGATCTGGGAGTCCAGGGGCGCCTCTACTCCCTCTCCAGAGCATCCCTATTATAAAGACAGAGGGCGATGACCCATACACTCCTTACCGAGAGCGCTCACAGCCAACACGCCACCACACTCGCTCTCCATCCTCGGTATTGAAGGTAGGTTGAGTCAGGACTAGGCGTCCGCACAGTACGAAGCTCAGAAGCTAATCAATTATAGACTATAGCAGACGATTATGCGACTTTAACGCCCGCCGAAACCGCCGCCAGGCTCCAGAGCAGCCTCACCCATGGCTTGCCCACTTCCGAAGCGTTCAGACGATTACAAGACCATGGACCAAACGAACTACCTCATGCGCCGCCGGAGCCATTATGGCTTCGGTTCGCCAAACAATTCATGGAGCCCATGATCGTGTTGCTTCTCTGCTCCGCGGGGCTGTCATTACTTGTCGGGAATAAGGACGATGCGCTGAGCATCAGCATTGCCGTGACGATTGTTGTTGCTGTAGCATTTGTACAAGAATACCGGTCCGAGAAGAGCATCGAAGCATTGAATCATTTGGTTCCCAACCATGCACATCTCATTCGGGCGGAGCAACCACGACAACAAACAGCTGCCTGGTCGCCCCTGAACGAGGGTGTCACAAACAACGGAATGGCGACGGATTTGCAGGATGAGACAGCTGTCGAACAGGCCTCCACGAAAGTAATGGCGTCAACTCTTGTGCCAGGAGATTTGGTGTTGTTCACGACTGGTGATCGCATACCAGCTGATATCAGGGTCACAAAAGCTTCAGATTTAACCATCGACGAGTCTAACCTTACTGGCGAGAACGAACCTGTCCGAGTTATGGCAGATGCGAAACGACCAGTCCCATCCAGGTCCCCTTCGAGGGCGAACAGCTACGGGTACAACCTACAACCAGCCACACAGCCTCACCCAAATGGCCCAGAAATCACAGATCCCGATACTCAGTCATCGAATCGTACAAACATTGCCTATATGGGAACACTTGTGAGGTCTGGATACGGGCAAGGAATCGTTTATGCGACTGGGGGGCAAACCCATTTCGGCGCAATCGCTGCCAGTGTCACTGAAACTGAAAGCCCTCGCACTCCCCTCCAGGTTTCCATGGATGCTTTAGGTGCCCAACTTAGCCAAGCATCCGGTGTGTTTATCGCGTTGATTGCAGTTGTTGGCTGGTTCCAGGGAAAGAAGATCCTTGATATCTTCACCATTTCCATATCGCTCGCTGTTGCAGCTATCCCTGAAGGCTTGCCCATCATTGTCACGGTGACATTGGCTCTAGGTGTTCATCGCATGGCTCGCCACAATGCCATTGTTAGAAGACTACCCAGTGTCGAGACCTTGGGTTCTGTCAACGTTGTTTGCAGTGATAAGACAGGTAAGGTTTCGTTCGCATAGCAATTGATTCTGACAACGGCTTACACGTAATAGGTACCCTAACTATGAATCATATGACTACCACAAAGATGTGGTATTTTGGCGCACGTAAAGTGTTGGACGTAGAGACGGACGATTCCGAGTCCTCGCCAGACTCTGTTGCTTTACACATTCTTCGCATTGGCAACATTGCAAATAATGCTCGAGTGACAAATCTGCATACGGCCTCGGTATCGGCGTCATCCAGAGCTGTTCTTTCGTCTACTCAAAGTAACCATTCGCCTTCAGACATTCTCCGGAGCCGATGGGTTGGTGCGCCCACGGATGTTGCCATGATGGACCTTGTGGACCGCTATAAAGAGTCTGATATCCGAGATGCTCTAGGGCACCGCCTCGGAGAAACTCCTTTCAGCTCTGAGAGAAAATGGATGGGCGTCACTCTTCCCGGCGACCGTGGCCGAGATGCAAATTCTTCCGAGCGAGAAGTCGCATATATGAAGGGGGCCATCGACAGAGTGCTTAGTCGATGTGACACGTACGTTACAAGTGAAGGTCGCGAAATCGTTTTGGATTCGGCACGAAGACAGGAGGCTTTAGAAGCTGCGGAGAAGCTGGCAGCGGAGGGCCTTCGGGTTTTGGCATTTGCAAGTGGTACAGTTGCGCGATCTGCTAGACTGTCCGCAACGTCTTCACGGAGCAACACACCAATGACCAAGACCGCGTCAGGACCTCACCCGCCTGCAACACACGATGATGATGTGTATAACGGGCTCACTTTTGCAGGAATTGTGGGCATGAGTGACCCCCCGAGGTACGGTGTGACTAAGTCTATTAGCACGCTCATGAAGGGCGGTGTTAGAGTCATTATGATCACAGGTGATGCTGAGGCAACGGCCGTGGCAATCGCAAAGAAGCTAGGAATGCCCGTTGCAGCTCCGAGGCATCACACTTCTAGCTCTGTTACTGTTAAGCCTGTCCTGACGGGCAATGAGATCGATGACATGACTGATGAAGAATTGAAAGGGGCAATTGGCAGCACTTCCATCTTTGCCAGGACGAGCCCGGATCACAAACTCAAGATTATTCGCGCGCTTCAAGCTCGCGGAGATATTGTTGCTATGACCGGTGACGGAGTCAATGATGCACCTGCGCTAAAGAAGGCCGACATTGGAATTTCCATGGGGCTACACGGCACGGATGTCGCTAAGGAGGCTGCGGATATGATTCTTACCGACGACGACTTCTCGACCATCCTTCATGCAATTGAGGAAGGAAAGGGCATATTTTCAAATGTTCAAAATTTCTTGACATTTCAACTGAGCACCAGCGCCGCGGCGCTGAGCTTGGTTTTTATCTGCACGTGTTTGGGGTATAGAACACCCCTAAACGCGATGCAGATTCTCTGGATAAGTCAGTATCCTCCGACCCTTACATTTGACACAATGCTAACAATGTCTTAGACATCATCATGGATGGTCCACCTGCTCAGTCATTGGGCGTTGAACCTGTCGATGCCGATGTGATGGCTCAACCACCACGGCGCAAAGGCGCGCCAGTCTTAACAAGGACTCTTATCCAGCGCGTCTTGACTTCTGCGTTTATCATCATGGCTGGCACTATGTTAGTCTACACTCACGAGATGCTCGACGGTGCCGTTTCGAAGCGCGACACCACCATGACATTTACCTGCTTTGTGCTCTTTGACATGTTCAACGCCCTCTCTTGCCGCTCGGAATCCAAATCGGTTCTGCGTGGCGAGATTGGCTTGTTCTCAAACACTCTATTTAACTGGGCTGTAAGCCTGTCACTGATCGGCCAGTTAATGGTTATCTACTTTCCGTGGCTGCAGGAAGTATTCCAGACCGAGGCACTCGGAATCTTTGACTTGATATCGCTGGTAATGGTAACCAGCAGTGTATTTTGGGTTGATGAAGGACGAAAGTGGTATAAGAGCCAAAAGAAGAGGGGGATTGGAGGATACAGCCAGCTTGTGTAGCTGGAGTTGTACGATCATAGCATTGGAAAATCTTGTATATATAACGTTAGAAAAGCGATATACCATTGAATGAACAATGCAGTAGATTCAAATGTGCGACTATTTATGAAATCTCTATGACTACAGGAGGAAAGGGGTTTGTTTACAGGAACTGTTCCTGTCAGCCTTGTGGGGTTTACCCCTCAGCCTCGTATATAGCCTCGCTTAAGCTTGAATTGACCACGACGTCCCTAACCTCTCGCGGAGCTCCCCTCACACCTCCCCACAGCTCCAATGTCTCCCCTCATCCTCACCAACGGCGACAGAGATGGCGCAGCCGAATCCCCCTCAGACGGCTCTCTCAAAGCACCCCCGAATCTCTACGAATCCTCCACCGTAGCCGAAATCCGAGCCTCCCTCGCCGCCCTTCACACCCGCGACTCCCATATCACCACGCAGCTGCGCACGCTGCTCAATTCGCAGGCGGATCTCTCGCGCGAACTCGGGCGTCTTGACCTTCTCCGCGCCCACCTTGGCACTCAAGTTGTCAATTCCCGCAGCATTAGCCATGGGATGCTTGACGGCGCTGCGCGCTCTGCAGCCGGGCTGAGCAGCAAGGTCAAGGCGCTGGACCTGGAGAAGACAAGAGTCGAGGAGACGCTGGGCGTCGTCGAGCAGGTCGCCGAGCTAAAGGCATGCGTTCAGGGCGTCATGGGTTCCATGGGCGCACCGCAGGATTGGGAGGCAGCCGCGTCGTATTTGGCTCGAGCGTCGAAGATTCCGGATCATATTATTACAGGGGCGTTCGCGGCGCGGATTGTGCCGAGCGTGGAGATTCCGGACCCGCCGGCGGTGACGCTTGAGAATGCTAAGGAGAGTCTGTGTGGGTTGTTCTTAAGGGAGTTTGAGAAGGCGGCGAAGGAGGGGGATGGGGGGAAGGTTACGAGGTTCTTTAAGCTGTTTCCGCTTATTGGGAGGGGAGAGAGGGGGTTGGATGTTTATGGGAAGTATGTCTGTGGTGGTGTTAGTGAGCGCGCGAGAGCGACGCTGAGGGAAGCTACTGGGAAACAGATTGATAGGGACCGCGCGGGTGAGGGCAAGGATGGCTTCTTCTATGCGAATGCGTTGACGAAATTGTTTGAGCATATCGCGCAGATTGTTGATGGGCATGGAGGTTTGGTTGAGAGGCATTACGGTGATGGCCGCATGGTGAGGGTTGTGGAGAGGCTCCAGCAAGAAGCGGATGTCCAGGGTGGCATTGTTTTAGATACATGGGGGGATGAGAGGGGTATTGAGAGGCGACTGACCGATGTGAAGAGTTACCCATTCTCGTTCCTGGTGCAAAGCTTCCTACCTAGCCACCGTGCGGCTATGGGCACGACGCGGACGGCGAGCCCTGGTGTTGGTGGAGATGCGAATCCGAGACGAAGCGAAGACGAGGGTGGTGTGGATATGAAGGAAATTGACGGGATTCTGAATGAGACGGGTATGATGCTTGGGCGATGGTCTTTATACTGCCGCTTCCTGGCGAGCAAAACTAAGGTATTTTCCCTCCCTACAGTTCTACCTCTACCCATCCCGCATTTCAGACTACTCACAACCAGCAGGAACCTGGCACTTCTGAAAACGCGCCACTGTCCATGCCGCCCTTTCTGACCAAGTCTGCCCTCTCCCGGAAAATCTCCTCCCGCCTCACAACTCCATTCGACATATTCAGCACTTTCTTCTTTCGCCGCTCTGTCGAGAAGGCATTCCAACTTGATGAGACCCCATCTGGATTATCTCTCAACCCTTCGAGACCGCTTCAAGGGCAGGCTCCATATATTATCTCCGCTGTTGATGATGTTATGTACATCGTGTCTACTGTCTTGCAGCGCAGCGTCAGCACAGCACAGCGCGACGTCATTGCGTCCGTTATCCCAACAGTCGGTCGAGTTCTAGGCAGCGACTTCGTAGGCATGGTACAAAGGAAAATGCGGGACGAATCCTACCCCAAACCAGCAGTCCAAGGCGGTCTCCCTCCGGAAGACAAAATAATCGCCTTCATAGTCCTCATCAATTCCCTTGATGTGAGCAACGAGTATATCTCGCGCATCATCGCAACCCAGCTCAAGCCCAGCGAGACAGGCCCCAATGAGGCACCTAAGACCGAAAGCAAGCTCCACGACCTCTTCCCCTTCGATCATGACTCGGTCTTCGTCGAGAACACTCTCCATAACCTCGAGACGACCTTCTCCAGCAAGACAACTGAGCTCCTCAACGAAGCCCTGACCGTCCTCTTCAACAATGTCGTCAAGCCGCGCCTGCGCCCCATCATCTCCGATACCTTCCGCGACATCGAGTACTCCCTTTCCCCCGGCGAGCTCGCCGACGTCGCCCTAGCCCACGATCTCGAAGTAGACGATGACGCATTCCGGCTCATGGTACCCCGCCGCTTCGAAGCAGGATGGGACGCGCTTATGCGCCCACTGCAGCGCCTGATGACCGAGGGCACATATGCACAGCTACTCGAGAGCACAGCAACGCACCTCGGCCGCGCGCTGGAGAAGCGCATAATGACTTACGCGGGCAAGGTGAATGGCGTGGGCGGCGTGAGGATGGAGCGCGATTACGCGGGCATTGTGTCGTGTGTGGCGAAGGGTGGAAGCTACGCGCTGCGCGATGGGTTTGCGAGGGGTGCGCAGGTGCTGATGGTTGCTAATATGGAGGAGGATGAGTGGGAGGAGGTGCTGGAGGCGGAGAGGGATGGGGAGGAGGGGATTACGTGGGTTATTGCGCCGGAGGAGAGGGCGAAGGCGAGGGGGATTGTGAGGGTTTAGATGGGGCTAGCCCATAAATAAAGTGGACTTGTGCATATTTTAGATGTAGATAGAAAAAAACCGGGGAAAGCTATAGACTGTGCCATCATGAACAGGCTTCAGTGACCGAGAGAATGCATCTTTCTTACAGTTACTGTAAACGGTGCTGTTGTGGTCAGTCACTAGCGATTATGAGCATCTATTTTACTAACAGTGATTATAACCGGCGACGTGACGGACAGTCACCACGCACACGAACATATGCCTTCCCGACGCCTCCTCATCCGCTATGCATCCACGCGTGCCGCCTCAAATCCGCTGCTGTCTTGCGCTCCTCCGGCACCCATACCAGCATGCCCTTCAGCAAGTTCACAAACGCCTCCACCTCGGGCCCCTCGAGGATATCGTCTATAGGGTTAGGCGTAATCTCTTTGCCACTCCATACACCTACCAGAGAGTCTAGTTAGCCTCGACGCATCACCCTAGAAACGCGCACTAGAGGGTAGTTGAGGGGATAGGGGGGACTATACTGACCATCCTCGTCGAAATATCGCGCACCTTCTCCTTCTTCTCAGCAGCGCTGCACGAAATCTGCTGGCGGCGTGCCGAGACATGCGATCATGGCTGCGAGCTGCTCATCCTCAGTGGTCCCGGTGAAAAGCTGGCATCCGAATGCGAGCTGCCACGTCTGCCACCGCGTTAGCTGCATCAGTAGCTATGCCTTGATAGGACATACCAGTGCGCCTAAATTCCAGATATCGGCCTCGGCGCCCCACTCGATTCCTAGGATTACCTCAGGCGCTTGGTAGGGCAGGGGCTAGATTACGGCGGTGTGCTTTTCTCCAGGCGAGCCTTTGATGGCGTGCCCGAAGTCGCAGAGGATTGGGTGCCCGGGTGGGAAGGTGTTGGGGAGGGCCCGAGAGGAGTAGATGCTGCGGCGCTCATCGATGACTTTGCGTGCTCTTGGATGTTCTATTTCGGCAGCCACGAAGTCTAGGACGGGGGAAGCAGATCCGAGGCCGAGGAGGATGTTCCGGGCTTGGATGTCAACCAGAGGTTAGAAGGGTCGGTAAATATATGTTATTTGTGGTTTTATGTAGGTGTCTGCCTTTATAGATTAGACGTACCTGTGTGGATGACGCCTGCCTCCGAGTGCAAGAAATCGAGGGCCATAAGGAGACAGCTTATGAGAGGTTTGAGAATTATAGGTGGATATTGACTGTCAGGAAAAGTTTCCTGGAACTCGTCGGCGCTCATCGCTAGAGGGTTATGAACGAGGCAGTAGTGCGGGCCAGGGAGCTCAAATGCTTCGAGTAGCTTCCTTACATGCTTGCATCCGACGTGCTGGGAGCCAAGAGCCTGAATGTGCTCATAAATCTCTGCTTCGCGGCGGCCGCCATTGTGTTTAGTAGCGATCTTAATCGTATAAAATGTATTGTCACTGTTTTTAATGGGAGACTTTCCAACACGTTAAATGGTGCAAAGAACAATAGAAATCCGATGTCTAGAGATTGTAAACTACCATACATACCTGAGCTCAAGGCAAAGCCACACAGTGGAATACCTCCCATAACCCAGCTTGCCGATGATTTTGTAGCCTGTGGTCGGAGACTTTATTATCTCCCCAATGTGCACTGGGTAAAACTGTTCCAACTCATAGTCTGCCAATGTTCCTTCCTCAGTAGCGTTTTTGATAGGAGCCATATTGAATTTATAGCGTCCTGGGTCTCAACTTGTGATTGCGATTGTAGAGTAGCTATGGCAATACTATGGCAGAGTGGCGAGGCGTGGTGTAGATGGTATGGTGTGGTTTAGTAGCGTGTGATAATTAATAGTGAGGCAACTATATTTATAAATATATCTATTTAAATTATAAATTAGTGGTAGAATAGGGTCTAAAAGATATGTTATAGTGTTAGTATTAGAAACTAACAGAGACTAGCACACCTAGCCAGTTGATTGTCGAAGCATATATATGACTGATGGGTGGCATGGTGTAGCACCCTTGAATAGTCCATCGTACGGGTAGTTTGTGATAGAAATCAATTATTAACAAAACATCTAATTGCAATTCTAAACAAGCCGCCTAAAAATCTGGAGAGGGACTATCCGTGATGGTACTGCTTATAGTAACTATAAGGAAAATAAATGTTATTAATTACTGGAGGAGGCAAACTAAGAGGCGCGGGAGTAGATGCAGTTAAATATTGCTCTGGTTCTGAATACCAATGCCATACATTTTATATGAAATCTGATTAGCATATGTGACATCAGTTCTGACACTTTGTTTTTAAGAAGATTTGTCAATTAATAACGCCTGTCTCAACCATCGCGGGCCTCCCCCATCCTTTCATCTACTCTGATTCAACCACAGCACCCGTAGTAATACGCCCAGAAGGCTCATAAGCCAGCATTTGCTTTAGAAGCTTTTCAAGAGATGCCATTTCTTCCCGGCTGAACTCACAGATCTCAGGGTCCTCCCACCGTCCCATAATACGCAATCGCTCGATTAGCGGTCTCGAGTATGGTGAGCGACTGCGATGCGTATCTTTCTTCCACGACCCATCCTCTAAGAAGAAGTCTGTCTTGTGCTCCCACAAACTCCACCAGCGTTTGGGGAGCTCTCCTAGGGTACTGACCATCTCAGCGAGCATATGGTCTTTGTCTGGCATGAATCCGTCAAATAGGGGACGTTCACCAAGGATCTCATAAAGAGTGCAACCGAGCATCCATACATCGATTGCTGGGCCTGCATAATCATCAGAAAATGTTTCAGGAGGGAGGAGAAGCTCCGGTGCATGTAGTTCTCTCCGTTTCTCATTTTGGAAGAATGCCTCGCCGAAGTCTGCAATGATGATTTGGCTGTCCAAAATCTCTTCGCTCGACTCAAAGATAAAGGCCGGTGGAACGCAATATTCTGGGACCTCTGGCCCATTGGGATTCTCATCGAGACGTTCTACGGGCAGCTTCTGAGGTTCCCTACACGAGAGTACAGCTCATCAATGCTGCACCAAGTAAAACTTGGGGATTTGAACAAGACATTGTTAGAGTGCAGATCTGTTTCATAACAGTTAGTGCGCTTAAAATAAACTGATTGTTTAGACTTACCTGCGTGTACTACGCCACAGGAGTGAATGTAATCCAATCCCAGAAGAGCCTGCGCGGATACAGCCCTCGCAACATTAGGTGGAAACTTCCAGGTTATCTCTAGCAAGCCACACGGTCGAGTAAGTCCCATGACCCAGTTTGTGGACGACATGATAGCGGCCGTCACAGTACTGATCGCCAATATGAGTTGGGTGGTAGCCGCCGCGACAATAGCCTTCGACATTCTCAACGCCCTCTTGCCATTGGTACTGTAGCTGGGAATGATCCGTACATAACTCAGTAGGCCCCATAAGACGATGATAGGCTGAGTAACAGATATTCCTTAGATTGTTTATATTTGAGTATCACTATTTATTTATCTACACGCCCAATTCCTTCCTTCTCATACACTTCTCCCTGCCAACCCCTCCAACTCCCCCCTCGTTACCGTCTTTAACAACGGACTTACCGACGCTGCATCACCCAAAGTCAATACCGACGCTCTCTGCGCTATACCCACCAGCGCCTCGTCGAGCTCTACTCCTTCCGCAAGCCCAGCAACCAAGACACCCAAAAACGTGTCCCCAGCTCCATTGACGCTGCTAACGCCACCGACACCTAACGCCTCGGCGGGGAAATGCCGCATATACACGCCGCCGACGAAGTCGGTGCCGTTGTTGCTCCTCGCGAGCACGTAGGGCGCATGTTCAGGGGCTGTGAGTTTGGGGGAGTCGGGGGTGAGGAGTTCGGTTAGTAGGCAGCCTGGGAGGTGTTAGTTATATTGCCACTATCCACTATGATACGTGCAAGGATGTGGAAAAATGATGGGAGGAGGGGCTCTTACCTCCGCTACCGAGTTTAGTAACAATCGAAGGAATGAATGGCAGTAACTGGACAGTCATCTGCGGCACGCCAGCGTCAACGAGAGCACGCGATGTTAGCTGCACGAAGCGGTCGCGGGCGCCGCTGCTGGGAATGCCGAGGGCGTCGACGACCTCCCACCAGTCTTGGCGCTCGAGGTAGGAGCGATCACGAGCGGCGGAGTGGAGAGCGGTTAGTTCGAGGGTGTTTGGGGTTGCAAGGTTGATTGCATTCTTGGGGAAGACTGGGAGGGGGAGGCTGGTATTGTTAGATTGTGCACGATTATTGGGCAAGGAAAAAGGGCCGTAAAGTGGATGAGGCTGGTGAGAGCATGGGTCAGGACTTACCCTGCAGTTGATGGTTCGGGAAAGAGAACCTGTGACTTGGCTGTTGAGACAGGCTCGAAGGCCACTTTGGCTCCAGCTGCGCTGGCCGCAGTAATCCATTGTTTGAATGCAGATGGGTGCCAGTTTGCGTCGACGACAACCCACTTCGGCTTCGCAGCATCGAGCTTACTCTGCCATTGTATTTGGAAGTCATCGCGTGCACCGCCAAGAATGTCCATATCTGCCATAGCGACGAATAAGTCGTTTCCTGTGGTGTTGACTGCCACATACTTTGCGGTCTTCGTGTTTGCATCCGCCGTGAGTGTAGTGATTCCGTCGCTTCTAAGGCCGAACTCATTCATTGTCGAGAGCGCGAGTTGGCCTGCAGTGTCCGTAGCTATGAGGCTGCATAGCTGCACAGAATTGGTCTTGCTGGCATACTGGGCTGCTGTGGCGACGTTGAAACCCACTCCTCCTGTGGTTTCTGTTATAGAAGCAGGGTTAGATGTGTGTATCAGGGGTTGCGAGTCAGCGGTCTTGTCGAATGGTTTGTAGTTGCACGATACGTCCACAGCAACAGCTCCCGCTACAAGTATGTCTACCTTCTCTTGTGGTGAAGCGGGCTTTGGAACTTTGGGGCTCGTTTGGACTGGCTCTGGCGTCGGAGCTCTAAGAGTTGTCTCTGGGGATTCGACTTCCACCCCATACAACGCGGCTTCTTTAGTGTATCGAAATTCATCGGGAGATATGACGGGAGTGTGCAATACAGATCTACGACTTGATTAATCGCTATCCCTACTGAAATCTATGGAAGAATAATCTCACGTGTGTGACTCGGCATTTCTTAGCTTTGCAAGCTCAGCAGCAACCCCTGTAGCTATAGCCACATTGGACTCGACCAAGGCTCTGTTCGCAGGCACACTCTTTCCTTCAGTAAGCTCCTTGATGCGAGACAGAATGAAGGGCGTGTTTCTGTGGCCGTGGAACCCCTTTTCGGCTGCCTCCGCAACAGCAGCTTCGATAGCCTGGTCTATTTTGGATTTTTCCAGCGCCCACTCTTTAGGGATAGGGTTTGCAAACAGCATGCCGTTGGCACGGAACAATTCCGACGCGTCTAAATGCTCAGTCAGATGTTATTTCACCGAAACGAGAAAAGAGAACACTCACGTATGATCGCGGCAGCTTCTTCCGCATTTTCGATAACCATTGGACTCCGAACACCGCTTTCACGTGTCCAAAACGCTGGGAAATCTATGTCACCTTTTCGGCCATCTGCAAACGTAGCGACGCAGACGCCCTGCGTTTCTAAATACTCCAAGGTGCGCGGAATGTCAAGGAAGCTCTTGCAGCCACTGCTAACAACTGTGACGTTTGTTCGACCGAGCTCTTGGAGGTCTGCAGATACGTCCATGGTGTTCTCTCCACCACGGTGAACTCCTCCAAGGCCCCCTGTTCCAAAGACGGAGATATTTGCTAGTTCCGCAAGGAGCATTGTGCCTGCGATTGTAGTACCACCATTTATCTTCCTCCCTGTTAGTCCCTGTGCGTATGTTAGTTCTTGAAAGGCCAGTAAATTCATTAGTGGCTTACAAGTCCCGCAATGAAAGGCAAATCTCTCCTGGAGACTTTCATGAGCTCGGTCTTGCTCGATGGGTTAACAAGCTCTGTTAGCTCTTCCTCACTGAGACCAACTCTGGCAACTCCGTTTAAAACCCCGATTGTTGCTGGTATCCCTCCGTTATGCCTCACAACGGACTCTAGGTGGGTTGCCAGCGCTACATTGTCTGGATAGGGAAAGCCATGGGTGTAAATAGTGGTCTCCAGTGCCACGACTGGCTTGCCAGTTTCGATGGCTTCCCGAACCTCATCTGAGACCTTGAAGATTTTGGAGTTGGCAGAAGCTCTTTTCTGGCTTTTCCTTGGCGCGTTCTGGTCACCCCTTTGTGATCTGGTAGGAGTCTGGTCATTCCATTGCGCTCTGGTAGAGAAAGGGCGATATGTCAACAGATTCTCGGTGTGTTTTGCCAGGTTTGGCCGGAGAGCTCCCAGCCGACACAGACGTGTTGGATACATGACGACGAATTGATAGAGAAAATTCAACAACCCAGCGATGGGTGTTCAAGATACAGATGACTCGGATTTATGTGGAATTCATGAATCTTCATGAATTGCTCACGTTCAAGCACTGTACTTGCGATTGATAATAGCTCACAAGCTGCGCGGGGTAACTTCGCATGTATACCACTAGTGATGTGGTCACAGAGTCCAAACGAGAGCTGGAAAATGAGGCAAGTTACTAGAAGATAAAGACGCTGAAAACAGTGCACACAGAAAAAAATATGATACAGAGATCTGGTGGATGTTGTAATATGACTGCTAAGAGATGTGGAGGAAGAGGTGGACGTTCCACTGAGCAAAGAGCTATGGAAGGTCATGTGACTAGACTGAGAATGGGCCTGTCAAACTGCTGACTATGAATAAATGGCACTAAACCTGTTCCGGAAGCTTGCCATGGACAATAACGATATGAACAGATCAAACCTAGCGTTTTGAGGATATAAAGGTCGCAGAAAAAGGAATAATAATATTGAAATAATATCAGAGTAGTATTTTAGAGGTTCATAGTGTTATATATTTGTTAGTAAAGGCAGTAACAGGCTATCAGGCTTTTCTGTGTGTCTAGACCATTAGAATCCGGAGATCGGAGGCACTATTAATCCAGGGTCTCACCACGTTTTCGGAGGGAGAATTTCTATTGGCCAATGCGATAGCTATTGACGTGGGAATGATGACAGGAAGCTTGGTTTACTGTGGTTCACTGCTCCTCACTACGCTTCGATATCCAAGGCCGATCTCGTTCTATGTACGACTCCACACATTGGTTGGAGGCACTATTTATTTATTTCTGCTCCATTTACTCTGTCCCTTACAAAGAGGGGTGATTGTCGTACTATAAGGCACAATCAATGCTGTGAAAGCTCGATGTATGTGCTATATTATTCCCTTGCTCGTTTCTGATCCGTGCCCACACTCCACTCTTGTCTCGGTGCTCATTATGACCCCCACCCCCACGAGCGAGCAAAAGCAAACGTTCATGAACTCTCGCACTTCTGACGCAATTCCACTCCAGATGGTCCTTATACATACCGTGGATTCCACATGCTGATTGTACACGACCTCCAGAACAAGTCTTCCAAGTGGGTATCGAACAGGCGCCAGGGAGGCTACAACTTTCGGCCAGGCCTCATCGTCATGAAGTTCGGCGAGCAGCTCCGCACGAGCGTGATCAGGGAATACCAGTGGTACTACATAGACTATGACGGCCTCAAGGCGCAATTGAAGACCGACACCTCTCCATCGACCGATGGCGGGAAAGGAAAGCGGGTAGAATGGACTACAGAGAACGAGGAGGAGTTCATAACCACTCTCTACCTTGAGCTGGAGAAGGTACACACAAAACAGAGGGTCAAGGCCAATGAGATTGGCCGACGCATTGCCGCCAGTGAGCGTGAGGTCACTGAGGTCGTGGCCAGACTCGACAACCAAGGACCAGTAACAGCCGAGGGCCACTCAGATGCACCGACAGAAGAAGAGTTCATGCTGCTGGAGGAGGACTTGAGCGATATTATTGCCGATGTGCATGACCTTGCCAAGTTTGTCCAGCTTAATTATACCGGCTTCCAGAAGATCATCAAGAAACATGATGTAAGTGCTAATGCGGTGTTGGGAGAAATTGGAGCCAAGCTAACAGTTGAGCGTAGAAACAAACAGGATGGCACCTTAAGCCGGCCTTCGCCACTCAGTTGAAAGCGAAGCCGTTTTTTACCGACAACTACGATGCCGACATTGTTAAACTCTCGAAGCTCTACGATATCGTAAGAACGAGAGGAAACCCAGTCAAGGGAGACAGCGCTGCTGGTGGGAGTCAAGCAAGCTTTATCCGTAACACGACGAAATACTGGGTTCATCCGGACAATATTACGGAACTGAAGCTCATTATTCTTAAGCATCTCCCAGTACTGGTATTTAATGCCGGCAAGGAATTTGACAAGGAGGACTCCGCCATTACATCGATCTATTACGACAACCCAGAATCATGGGATCTTTACGAAGGACGTCTAAAGAAGACTGAAGGCGCGGAGGCCATCCGTCTCAGATGGTATGGTGGAATGGCTACAGAGACGATATTCGTGGAAAGGAAGACCCATCGCGAAGACTGGACTGGCGAGAAGTCTGTCAAGGCTAGATTTGCCATGAAGGAAAAGAACGTTAACGCGTACATGAAAGGTGAATTACTTCCGCCAGCCATATTTGAAAAGGCTAGGAAGGATGGTAAGAAGCCAGAGAAAGTAATTGCGGAGGACGAGCGGCTCGCCAAGGAAATCCAGTACTCTGTGCTGAAGAAGGGTTACGTTCCTGTCTGTCGTTCGTTTTATAACCGTACGGCCTTCCAGTTGCCTGCCGATGCTCGTGTGCGTATTTCGCTGGACACGGAGTTGACAATGGTCCGAGAGGATAATATGGACGGCAGGAAACGATCGGGCAACAACTGGAGGAGAATGGATATTGGTATCGACTGGCCGTTCTCACAATTGCCTTCCGAAGACGTTGAGCGCTTTCCATATGCGGTCTTGGAAGTCAAGCTACAGACACAAAGCGGTCAGGAGCCTCCTGGATGGGTGCGCGAACTGATTTCGAGCCATCTGGTCGAAGCTGTTCCGAAATTCTCGAAATTCATTCACGGAACGGCAACGCTTTTCCCAACGCGCATCAACCTGCTTCCGTTCTGGATGCCGCAGATGGACGTTGATATCCGAAAGCCAGTCACCCACCATTTCGGTATTCGCAGACCAGGCCAGTCCGCAAACTCGTCAACGAGCGACGACGACCAAGACGATGAATCTGATGACGAGGATGGACATGAATTTGGGCATGCATCACAGGATTCCACCGTCCGGGATGACAACTCCGAGGAAACTGTGCGTCATATGCTTGAGGCACGGAATGTTTTGGAGCAGCAAGACCTCCGAAGGAGAGCCCAGATGTCGACTGGTAATACACTCGATGACGAGGAGCAGATTGCCAACCGCCCCTTAACGGATGCCTATGTTATCTATGAATCCGACGATGAGGATGGGCCAAATGATCTTGAAGAGGCAAGACGTGTTGGTGGCTGGCCATACTACTCTTCGTTGTTGAGGCATGAAGCTCGGGCTGTACGCGACAACACGGCCAAATTCGTGAAGAAGTTGGTGGCAAGGCCTGATATCTCGATGGACAACGCGATACAAAACAGACTTGGCCAGACTGTGACCGAGCGGATGTTCAAGGCGCCGAAGGGGAAGAAGATTCACGTCCCCGTCAGGGTAGAGCCGAAGGTCTACTTTGCCGCCGAGAGGACGTTCTTAGGCTGGGTAAGCCATTCCATATAACCCCTCGTTCTATGCCCGACCATGCTAACCTCTCTAGCTTGAATTCTCTATTTACATTGGAACTATTGCCGTTACATTACTCAATTTCGACGCGAAATTAAACAGCATGTCCTTCGTCGCCGCCGGCGCGTTCACGCTTGTAGCCGTCGCATCGTTGTTGTATTCCGTGGCGATCTACTTGTATCGTGCGCAGGCTATTAGGGAGAGAAAGGCGGTCCAGTACCATGATAGTTGGGGACCAAGTGTGCTCTGTGGGTGTGTGTTTATAGCTATTTTGTTGAATGGGTGGTTCGAGTTGAAGGAGAGACGGATTGTGTAGGTACTGAGGTGTGAGGGGGAAATCGTGGGGTAGTACATATTATTGTAACAACGATAGAATGGATCTTGAGTGGTAGCTAGGAGGTTCAAGAGGTCTGCACCGGAGGAGTTTTTCGATATGGGGTGCTTTTTGGGGGAGTTAAGGTTGTAGCAAAGCATGTTGCGTACAGGATTCTTCAGAGAATATATGCTACATATGTCCTATGTCTTAAATCCCTTGTTTCAGTCTCCAGTAAATCAGGCAGGGTCACTCAGATCCTCGTGTCGCCCAAAACTATGTAGATTGGCCATACGTAACAGTTTTATAGCATCTGCTGTTTAAGTAAAGGCGTTCAGTCACTAAAGGCCATATTCAAGAACCCAGTTACTCACATACGGAATTGCAAAGATAAATTTTATGGGTCTAAACTACTGATATTAATCCTGAGCCATACATGTCCCTCTTCAGACATTTGGGCTGCAGTACTGCACCGTTAACTAAAATGTCATCCAACCGCCGTGGTTTCCAAAATTGATGATGGGTAGTGACAAGCCAATACTTATGTGGAGATGTTGTTGACCAGGCAACAAGCAACATAGGGAAACATAAACATCGATGCCATCCCACCATCTAAATTCGCAACACCAAGGACGACAAACAACGACTACCTGGACGACACGACAAATCCACCAAGATGTCGGCTTCCGACGACCTAATCAACTTTGACATCATCGAAGCGCAAAAAGAAAATATCCAAGCCATCCCCAGCGGCCGCTCCGCCCGCGCCCTCGCAAACCTCTTCTCCGCCTCCCCCCTCCAACCCCTCGCTACACCCAACCCCTCCGACACCAAAAACGTCAACGACGCCGTGCGCGCCGACTTTGAAGCCGAGCTTGAACTCCTCGCCGAGTCCGATGACCCTCTAGACATCTACGACCGCTACGTGCGATGGACCATGGACGCGTACCCTTCCGCGCAAGCGACGCCGCAGTCACAGTTGCTCCCGCTGCTCGAGGCGGCCACCAAGGCCTTCCTCTCCTCCCCACAGTACAAGAATGACCCGCGCTACCTGAAGCTGTGGCTGTCGTACATCCGCTTCTTTTCCGATAGCCCGCGCGAGACATACGCGTTCCTGTCCCGCCATGGTGTCGGCGACGGGCTGGCTCTGTTCTACGAGGAGTTCGCGGCGTGGCTGGAGACTGCAGGGCGCTGGACGCAGGCTGAGGAGGTGTATAATATGGGGATAGAGAAGGATGCTAGGCCGGCGCCAAGGTTGCTGAGGAAGTATAATGAGTTCCAGCAGCGGTTTGCGGCACAGCCGGAGGAAAGCCGTGCGCCTTCTTCGCCGGCGCTGCCGACTGTGCGTCCAGCGCTGGCGGCGAAGATTGATCCGTATGCGTCTGCTGCGGCACCGCCGGCGGACCCACAAGCACCCCGCCCGAATTCGGGAGTTGGTGGCTCGCAGACATCGCGGAATGGCCGCCCGAAATTGGCGGTGTTCTCGGATGCAGATGAACCGGCGCCGGTAGTTGGTGGGAGTGGTGCCAAGGGCTGGGACTCGATTGGCTCCCTGGCAGAGAGGAGGAAGGAGAATGTGGTAGAGGCAAAGCCGTGGGCGGGGGAGACAATGAAGGCAGGTGCCAAGAAGAGCACTGCGCCCAAGATGGCGGTTTTCAAAGACCAGGTAAGATAATCATTTTCTCAACTCCCATATCTGTCACATGTTGATGATCATAGGACTAATAATTTGGCTGTTGTGGCGTTTTGTAATTTCAGTCTATACCAATTTCCAAACCTCAAATATCAAGTTCCGAGGCGCATTCAAATTCAATCATTGCGGTGAAGGAGCAGGTGACTATTAATGCTAAAGGCAGGAGTGAACGTATTTTTGCTGATCTCGAGGCGATGTACCCCACGCCCGAGATAGTCGGAAGTGAGCGGTGCTCTGAGGAATTAATGGCTGCGGAGAAGGGCTGGCTCGACATGAATTGGGAGCCAGAGGTTAGTCATGTGGTGGTCGATCAGGAAAATGAGAGGTTTGATGTCTTCGTCGGTGTTGAAGAGATGCTCCCGAAGCAAGAACCTTCTTTGGACAGATCTTTCCAGGAGAAGTTGGTGATAGCGAGAGATCCGCCTATGGTGGATGAGAATGGCGTGGCCATAGAGCCACCGAAACATGGCAGAGGTAGGAGGATAAAGACTATGGAAGTCAACGAAACGCAAATTAGTGAGTACTATATTCCCATCCATTTGTCTTTGGCTAATAAGGTGGCTAGTCAAAACCAAGCTCTCGTCTCCTACTGCTGCGAAGAAGGTCAAGCGGAGGGCCAACGCAGAACCCACCATGACTTTCCATACCAAGGCGGCCACTGACGACATATACGAGCTATTTAACCAGCCACTTCAGTCGGAGGAGGTGTCTGAAGAAGAGGAGGAGTCGGAAAGCGAAAGCGAGGATGATGAGACGGATGACGAATATACGACTGAGGCAGAGAGCACCGGTACTGGACGGCTTGTGACTACCAGTGAAGCTGGCGATGACGAGACTACATATACCAAGAGCGAGGTTGCTGCAGAAGATACATCAGATGTCAAGAGTGTGAGTGAATGGTCGGAGTTTACGGCCAGGAAGCACATCCCTGGTATGGAAGACGAGGATGACGATGATGATGATACGCGAGCATCTCATCTCTCCGAGGATGACCACGACGATTCCATTGTCGAGTCTAGCCAAGACCACGATGATGCCATTCTTGAGTCTAGTCAAGACCACGACGATGCTATTCTCGAATCCAGTCGAGAAGCCGACTCGACGTCTCATGACGACGAAGATGAAGCATTTGAGCAAGAAGAAGTCTCCACTCCCATATCCCCTGAACACCCAGAGTCAGCCGTTCGGACAATGTTCGTCCCCATACCACCGGAAGACTATGTAGCACCCACACGACCATTCCGCGATGCATCTCAAGTATCTCAAAACCGATTACCTTTCATGACTCCTATTGCCGAGAAGACCGAGTCATCTCTCGGTGCCTTCACGGCACGTGCTGAGAAGGAAGAGTTTATCTCCAAAACTCCGTCTAAAGCGAATGGTCAACAGGCTTCTTCCATCTTCCGCAGCAACGATAGGCTCGATTCAAGTCCATTCCAGGAGGTTGTCGATGAGCCATTGCCTCTCACTGAGAAAATCCCGCCTCCGGCTCTAGGTGTCGTAACCAAAAACAAGGCGGTCCCATCAACCAAGCCAACTACGAATGGAGCAGCTTTCTCAAGGGATATCGTGACCAAGGGGCCCATAATCCAAGACCAGCAATGTAACCCCGTCGATGACTATACACGAACCCAAATCTTTGCTGCCCTGCAACCTCCGTTGACAACGTACGACGGTTACTTTGACCACTCAGAAGAGACTCACGGCAAATCTGCAGAGCTAAAGAAGTTCGCCAAAGCCGTAGCAAAGATGAAGAAAAACGCCAGCGAAAAGACCACCACAAACATCGCCATGCCCCCCATGCTGCGCTTCCCCGGCGTAGAAAGGGAATACATGGTCAAGCGCGAGTTAGGCGCCGGCGCCTTCGCACCCGTCTACCTCATCGAAACTGTCTCGGACTCGGACGACACCACCGAGACCAACTCCAACGCTCCCATCATGGGCCGCGGCGCCTTCTCCCTGCACCACCGCCAACCCCTCGAAGCGCTCAAAATGGAAGACCCCCCCACCGCGTGGGAATTCTACATCATGCGCCAAGCCTCGCGCCGCCTCGGCGTCTCCCGCGCAGCCGACTCTCTCATCCACGCACACGAATTCCACCTCTACCGCGACGAATGCTACCTCATCGAGACGTACCGCGACCAAGGCACGCTCCTCGATCTGGTCAACATCGCGCGCGCAGACAGCCAGCAGGCAGGCGGCGTGATGGATGAGCTCCTCGCTATGTTCTTTGCTATTGAACTTATCCGTACCGTCGAGGCGCTGCACAAGAACGGGATTCTGCACGGCGATCTCAAGGCAGATAATGTGCTCGTGCGACTCGGCGCGGGCGGGGCGGGCTGGAGCACGCAGTACGCTGCTGATGGGTCAGCGGGGTGGTCGGAGCAGGGCGTCGCGCTGATTGATTTCGGGCGCGGCGTGGACATGAAAGTTTTCCGCCCCGACGTGCAGTTCATCGCGGACTGGAAGACGGGACCACAAGACTGTGCGGAGATGCGCGAGCTGAGGCCGTGGACGTACCAGATTGACTATCATGGCCTCGCGGGGATCCTGCACAGTATGCTCTTTGGGCGGTACATGGAGACGGTTGCGGATGCGAGGGCGGCGCTGCCGGGGCAGGGGGCGGGGAAGAGGTGGAGGTGTAGGGAAGGGATGAAGAGGTATTGGCAGGGGGAGATTTGGGGGGATTGTTTTGATTTGTTGTTGAATCCGACGGCGCATGTGGAGGGGGAGGAGGGGGGGAAAATGCCGGTGTTGAGGGGGTTGAGGGGGGTGAGGGAGAGGATGGAGGGGTGGGTGGGGGAGAATTGTGAGAGGGGCGTGGGGTTGCAGAGTATGTTGAGGAAGTTGGAGAATAGTATCCAGGGTAGGAAGTAGGAGGGTTGTGTCGTGTGTGTGGAGTTTTGGCTGGAGATACCCTGGGTGCATAGAGATGGAGTTGTGGCGTTTGAAGAGGCATTGGGAATGGATGATATTATGAGTTATTGTGGCATTTTCTATAATGACAACGAGTTCAACAGACTTTTGATTCTGGGTTTCTTATTACTAAATATATATCTATACACAGGCATCTTTCCAGATACCTTCCACCCAACGCCTTTCACCATTCACGGCCCCAGAGCATTGTGAAGTAGCCGATCAATGACTACACCCCCCCTCACTCTCATCATCCGTCTCAACCTTCACCTTCTTCTTCCCCTTTCCCTTCTTAAACATCCCATCCAACGTCTTCTGCGCCTTCCTCTCCACCTGCCCCCCACACCTCTCCCTCTCCTCCCTCCCCTCCTCCTGCAGCCTTTCCTCAGCCCCCATCTCTTTTTCCCCCCACTCCCCCCCCACCATCCCCTCCAACAACTTAATCTCCCTCGCCCACACCCCCCTATCCTCCCCCCCCACCTTCTTCCCCCCAACCATCTTCTCAATCGGCGTCTCCAGCACCATCGGTAGACCCTCAAAGCTGGGGTAGTTGACTACATTCCAGAATGCGCGGAGACCGAGGAAACCGGTTCCGATGTTGGCGTGCAGGTCGCGGCGGCTGCCGAGGGGGGTTTTGGAATCGTTGAGGTGGAGGGCGCGGAGGTAGGAGGCGCCGACGATGGAGTTGAATTCGTTCATTGTCTTTTCAAACGCCTCGGGGGTGCGGAGGTCGTAACCGGCGGCGAAGGCGTGGCAGGTGTCTATGCACACCCCCACGCGGGTTTTGTCGTCAACGAGTTTGATGATATCCCCCAAATCCTCAAACTGCGAACCAACTACATTCCCCGCCCCCGCCATATTCTCCAACAGCGTGACCACGGATTTCGTAGCCTTATGCGCCCTATTCAACATCCCCGCAATCCGTCCAATCGCCTCCCCCCTCGGCTGACCCCCCGTATTGCCCGGATGGAAATTATACAACCCAATCCCCAGGGCTTCGCACCTCGCCAAGTCGTCCAGGAAACATGTATACGCCTGCTCCGCCTTCTCCGGGTCCGATTGGGCTAGGTTGACGAGGTAGGAGCCGTGGGGGAGGATGTGCTTGGAGGGGTCATAGGAGTGTTGTTTGCTGAGGGAGAGGAATTCGGAGGTGGCCGAAGGGGCGAGGGGAGGGGATGTCCATTTTCGCTGTGATTTTAGGAAGAGGGCGAGGCTGTTGGCGCCGATGTGGAGGGCGTTGGGGAGGGAGTTTTGGACGCCTTCGGGGGGGGGTTAGCTGGGGGATCTTTATACTGGGAGGGGAATGTTTTTTGGGGGGGGGGAAGAAGTACCTCCTGCAGCGCTGATATGCGCACCGATGTACATCTTCCTCTTCAACGTCGCAACAGCAGTACGCGCAGCGACAGGCATAGCGTCGTTCTCAGCCTCTTCCTTCGTTTTCCGCTTCTTAACCGGTTTTTTCGCAGGTTTCTCAATGATCTTCTCTTCTTCGTCGTCTGAGTCTTCGTCTTTGATCTTCCTCTTTGTCGGCGGTGGCGAGATCTCGGCTTCTATCTTGCTCTTCGAGGCGGTGGGTTTACTGGTCTTTGAAGCGCCGGTCTTGCCGTTCGCCGCAGCAGCAGCAGGGCTCTCTTTCTTCACCGCGGCTGTCTTCCCCCCTCGTTTCTTAATCGCAGTCTCTTCGCTCACAGCCTCGTCAATCTCAATAACCCCCTTCTCAATCTCGCGATCCGGCGTCTCAGCGTACGAAGCAATAGCAGTTTTCCTGCTCGAGCGACGCGACATTATCTCCTTCCTCTTAATCAAAAGATTCGCTATCCGTACTTTGCGTGACGTATATGCTTTAGGTTTCTTAAATAGTCGTTTCGCCAATGGATGAGCTGAGCTGAGAGTGAGGAGGGTTTTGGTCGTGGGTATGAGGTCAGGGGAGGTTGGATTTGGGGGGGACGCGTTAGTAAGCTTCGCGAAAAGGCGCGGTGTCACGTGTTTTCTCTTAAGCTTTGCGCGGTTGGGAGCTGGGGGAAATGGGGTGGGGGGAAAGGTGAGCCTGTTATTTTATTTTATTTTGTGTAATTCGTGGTGTCTAGTGATATAAGAGAATTGTGGGGTTGTGTAATGAAGGTAATAAAATATGGATTTTTGTTATTGTTTGTTTGATTGTTATAAACTCGTAAGTAAATATCTAGCAAATAGTATCTAGGAAATAGTATCTGGAGAATAATATCTAGCAAATAGCTATTCTTAAACTAAATAAAGGCAGACAATTTTTGTAATAGCACTCAAAAAGAAGCTACAGTTTATACTCCCTGACGCATCTCAGGCACTGTAAAGCTAGTCATGTAGAAGAGCACACAATCCATAGTATATACGCCAACATAGCAGAAATCCTCAACTTTCATCACCAACTCCCCACCCCTCTCCAACGCCTCGTCCCCCTCTCACCCCCATCCACCTACCCCCTCCCTCCTCTCAACCCCCCTACACCCTCCCCCACCTCCCATCCGTCGCCCTATCCAAATTAAACGCCGCACTAATCAACGCCAAATGACTAAAAGCCTGCGGCGTATTCCCCAACTGCTCCCCACTCCTCGCGATCTCCTCCGAAAACATTCCCAAATGATTCGAAAAGCTCAGTATATTCTCAAAAACATTCACCGCCCTCGCCAAATACTTCTTATCATACACGCCCGCACGCGTCATCGCTTCAACCAGCCAGAATGTACACATGCTGAAGGCGCCTTCGTGGCCGCCGACGCCGTCGTCGGATTGCGCCGTGTTGTAGCGATAGACGAGGCCGGTGCTAGTGAGGCCGCCCTTCTCCGGGGTGAGCAGGATCCGGTCCATGGTGCGTAAGAAGCGGGGGTCGTTGGGGGAGATGAAGAAGACGAGGGGGGCGATGAGGATGGAGGAGTCGAGGGCGTCGCCGCTTTCGTAGGATTGGACGAAGCATTTTAGGGTGTGGCTGTAGCCTGTGGAATGGGGCATTAGTCTTGCTGGTTGTGGATAGGGGGAGGGGTGGGGGAAGAAGGGAGGCGAGGGGAAATATACCCTTCTCCATAATCTCCTCATAAATCTCGTCACGAGCCTTCATCCACGCCGCGCGATTCGGGCAGGGCAGACATCTCTTCTCTGACAGTCTAAGGCCGCGATCAAACGCGACCCAGAGCATGATCTTGCTGTACACGAAATTCTGCTTATTATTCCGCACTTCCCAAATGGACATATCGGGTTCTGTAGACTAGTTAGCGCGGTTCAGATGTCAGCAGGAGCTGTATGGCAGCTGGTTACCTTTCCAGATGGTGAGGACATAGTCGAGGATCTCTCGGACGGACACCCATTGGTCCCAAGTCACCGGCTTGCCGTATTTGTTGTACAAATAGATGCCGTCCATGAGCTCGCCGTAGATGTCGAATTGTTGGTGGAAGGCGGCGCCGTTGCCGATGCGGACGGGCGCGCTGCCTCTGTATCCTGAGAGATGGCTGTGTCGAGTTGTCAGTATTTGTAAATCCTAAAGTAAGGTTGAGGCTTACGATAGCTCCAACTCAGGGATATCAGTCTCGCCGCGGATAGTGAACATAATCGGCAGCGCTCCCTCCGGCGATCTCGACTTCCTAAACCGATCACTGATGAAATCCATATACGAATCCGCCTCCTCCGTAAACCCCATCCTGAGAAGAATGTAAATCGTAAAGCTCGAATCTCGGATCCAACAGAACCGATAATCCCAGTTCCTGCGCGACAGTTAGCAGGGAAAGCTCAGCACAAAGGCAAACCTCCAGAAAGAAGCTGTGACACTAACGAATGGAGGACATAGGAATTGTCGTGCTCCGAGCCTCTTTGGGCACTATCATATTCGGTGTGAGACATTCATGTTCAAGGAAAAGCTACACTACATGCATGCATGGTATGAAATACGAGAGGGAATGGTAGGAAAAATTAGCTCTAGAGCACTCACCGAACGCCTCCAATGGCTTCTGGGACGGAAAAGGTGGGCGAGGCTATGATAGCGCCAGTTGGTTCGTAGGTTAGCAGTTTCAGGATCATCAGACTCCGGTTAACGACCTCGCGCCAGCGGCCCTTGTACTTGGATTTCGAGATCCAGCTGTACCAAAACGCCTGGGTGTCATGCTGTTGCGTATCCAGCACTTCGGTGGTAACGTCCGGAGTGACATGATTGGGGATGTCGTCGCGGAGGACGAAGGAGATGGCCTGGCCCTCTTCGAGGTGGATGTGAGCTACAACTCCTTCGCCGAGCAGCTTGTCCTTCTTGACGGTGGTGAATTTTAGGAGTGGGCAGGTTATGGAATCCTCGTCTCCTTTATCGATGGTGACGTCGAGTTGCAACTTTAGGTCCTTGGAGGAGAAAGTTACGGTCTTGGATTCTGGCTCGGCGTGGCCGCGGGTTGGGATGTGGATTTCAACTGTGTGCTCGGCGCGGGCGTAATCGAATGCTGGGAAGATTTCAACATCTGTGTATGTATGTTAGCTTGAGCACATCTTCTTTGAATGAGGGGGATATACCAATATCAACAAATCCCCTAATACACTCCACACGTCTAACTAGCCACTTCTTCAGCTCATCCTGGACAATCACCGTCTCCCGGAACGGCATCTGCTTCTGCTTCGACAGGACACTCGTGTTCTTGGGACGCGGGAAGAAGTCAATCAAGTCCATGGCTCCCTCTTCGTGGATGTATCGGGTCTGGAGGATGTTGGACGAGGGGAGATATTGCTGCTTAGTCGTGTATTGGACGCCCTTGGTCGGGGAGATGTTGAAGTACCCGCCACGCTCCGCGTCGAGAAGGCGGCCAAATACGGTGGGGGAATCGAAGTCGGGCCTGTGGTCGTGTTAGTGGTGTGGTTTTATGAGACCGGATGGAGCGGGACTTGGGGGAGGGGATGGGATTGAGGGATAGATGAATATATATGTAGCTTGGTGAGGAATATGAGAATATGAGAATCTTACCAGCACATAAAGTCCAAACTCCCGTCGATTCCCACCAGGGCGCATGTTCTCATATTACCGATGAGGCCATAGTCTTCGATTGGGAGGTAGCCTATATAGAAGCAGGAGTCAGTCACATATTCACCAGAGGTTGGAGAAGCTGACCACCTGTCCCCGTTCTCCTCTCGCCCTCAGACAGCCCAGCTGAGGACATGATGGGAGTGCTTTTCAATGGTCACCGGAAGCGTGGGGATACTGGTGTGGTCTCGACGATGGGATTATGAGTATACAGAAGAGCAGAGGGATTGGAAATGAAGGGGAGAGTTCTCCTGGTTATATGCAGGAACTCTCTTTGTTATTGCTGGGGGTTTTTACGAGGAATGCATGAAGTTATTGGGAGGATGTCTGTGTATCGATGGGATTGGGGCTGAACAGAGTAGTAATGATGACGGTGCATGATCACATTGAGGGGAGCTTCGGGGCGGGGCCAATCAGAGGAACGGGGGGAGCTCGAGGTGGGGGAGTTGGGACGAGGGGCAAGATCTGGGCAGGGTGACGTACTATTCCCTTTAGGGCTTAGTTGAGCCGCATTAAGTTTGGATTGGGGTTCGGCTTCGTGGATTTGCTTACTAAGCGGTGGGTTTTGTGTGGTGTTGGAAGGGAATTTGGTGGTTAGAGGTGTTAAAGCTATCAAGATTGGTCGGTTCTCTGTGAAGCTAGTGATTACATACTCATGGTGCATACTGTGGTCACGTGCATAGAGATGCATATGTGAGTTGATACAGCTACAAATCACCATTGTTTGTCAGGATAGACTCACCGTTACTCGACTAGCATTTGTAATATAATTGTGCGTGTTTGAGCATATTGGAATTCATAGTCACGGACATGGCGTGATCTGGCCTGTCCAGTTTTGTATCCAATTTTGATCCAATTTTGCATCCATTTTCTGATCCAGTTTCTGCATCTCCATCACCTTTTACATCATACTCTTGTGCATCATCTCTCTGTCGGTATCTATCTGCATCTCCGTCGTCGTGGATCCCACTAAACACGGTCCAGTCCAGTCCGTCCGGGTGGTTGGTATGTACAAGCCCACATGTATGGGCGCAAGTAACAAATACAAGTACAGCCACAGCAGAGGTACGTACGTTACTTACTAAATGCCTTACAAAGTCTTTTTTCTATGGAGTTGCAGCCTTTTCAGTGGGCCCGGCAGTAGAAGAAGCTGGGAATTCAGAAGTTACGTTAATGGTTCATCCCATATCCCGTAGTAGTTCTGGGTTGTGGTGGTTGTGGGTGGTTTGTGGCGGTGTCCAGCTGTTCAGGAAGTGAAGACTAAAGAAGACTACGGCCGGCGACAAGAATACCCGAAAGGGAATCTGGCTGGGTTTGTGCCGGGGCCAAGGTCCTTGGAAGGTCTTGGCATTAGCGTCTGAAGCGACTCAAGCGACATCATCAAAACAATCCAGACTAACAGGTCACATGTCACAAATCACAAACCGACATTCGGCGCTATGTACCACGTACGGCTTCTTTTGCGTAGAAGGGGTGGAAGGGTACTTCTGTTCTTCAGCGCCAGATGGACCGTTGACATAATTGCTCCGCTGACATAATTTCTCTACTCTCTACTATAATCAATTTCACTATCCATACAAATATACTACTTACATACGCGGATAGACGAGGTACGAGATACGAGTACGGACTGACAGTGCTGGTGCTGGTGCTGTTAGTAAGTACTGTATGCGCAACTATTGTGGCTTGTACTGTAGAGTGGATTGTGGATTGTACAGTAGATCATATGGACCAGACCGGCCAGACCGACCAGACCGACCAGACCGACTTCAACTTCCTCCTCTCTGTATCCTCCTCCCCCAACTACCTCCTTCCATCAACATATACACACTTACACATATATATATACAGAACCCTCACGCAGGACCTCACCGTCGCTACGACTCATATACAACACAAAACTACAAGCACGAGCGAACACAGATACCCTATACCAACATATAGCTGCGACAAAGTACCACCGGGGCTCATGTCCCCTGTGGCTCCTCCTTCGCCGCCCGGTCCCCACTGAGACATCAAATCTCATCTCAAATCTCGCAACGCAAGCCTGACGACACAAGCCACAGACCCCCCCCAGTCAGCCCCGTCAGACCGTCAAGAGCCCGCCATAACCCGCCGAACTGCCCCTAACAACGCCAAACACCGCGCCAAGAGTAGAAAAAGGGGAGCACATGGCCTTAGGGTAGCAATAGTACCTCCACTATCCTTCCTCTTCCCTCCTCTCATACCTCGAATCCCTCCACAACGGCCCCAGTACAGCTGTACCCGCAAGTCTACTCCAGTACGAACGCTCCGTACTGTCCGAGTACTCCGTACTACTCCTGCACCTGCACCTCCCATACCTCCTGGATCCTGGCATCTTTTTCCCCCCGATCTGGTCCACAAGACCCGACCGAGGATCTGCTCCCCCATCTCCTCTCCCACCCCCCCCTTCCCTATCCTATCCTGGCCCTAGTCGATCATGGACGTCAACACAAATCAATTCAAGCTCGAGAGTCTCCCTTCAATATCTACCACGCCTGCGCCCTCTGCACGACCAACCATCCCCTACGCCCAGTTCCCCCGTCCGACCCTCCACGATCCGGACGCCAGCTTCGACGCCCCCGACCCCGATCACTTCGACTACGACTACGACTACGACGACCACTCGGATGCCAGCGCGGCCTCGAGCAGCACCCTTCGACGCGGCTCCTTCGCAGCCATGGACTCCACAACCACCTCCCAGCACCGGCGGCGGCGGAGCACGCTCACCAGCCTGCAGCCCCCCAACGCGAGGGGCCAGCGGTCAACACGCATACGGGATGGGCTCACCGAGGAGCTGAGCTGGTCACAGGAGGAGGAGCCGTGGTCGCAGGACGAGTCCAAGTCAAATAGCGACGAGGCGGGGGGTCATGGGAATAATAGCTCGGACGACGACAACCATCTGCAGGACGACGAGGAGACGGGGTTGACGGGGACGAGCCGGCGGCAGAAGCGGCGGCGGAGGAACACGTTGCTGGATCAGCGCGTCGCCAAGGAGTCGGAGATCACAAAAGAAGAGCGGAAAGAGGCAGACCAGACTGTGATCAAGGACATGGCCATCAATGGCCTATTCATCCTGTTATGGTATGCCCCCCCCCCCCCAATTCCCACCATGCGCCTGGACGCGTTGCTAATCTGACCACCCCTTCAGGTACATCTTCTCCCTTTCCATCTCCATCTACAACAAGTGGATGTTCTCGGGCGAGCACCTCAACTTCAAATTCCCCCTCTTCACAACATGCATGCACATGCTCGTGCAATTCTCCCTCGCCTCCCTAGTCCTCTACCTCTTCCCGCGCTTCCGGCCTCGGGCGGACTCCCTCACGCACCCAGACTCCGTCTACACGCCCGAGGAGCAGCGTAGACGCGATCTCGACACCGCGGAGCACAAGCCGCTCATGACGAATATGTTCTACCTGACGCGGTTGGGGCCCTGCGGTCTCTCCACCGGCCTCGACATTGGCCTCGGTAACATGTCACTACAGTTTATTTCCTTAACTTTTTACAGTACGTTTCCCCCCTGTCTACCCCGGATTTTACCGAACATGCAACTAACCCCTCCCCCCTAGCAATGTGTAAATCCTCCGCCCTAGCATTCGTCCTCATCTTCGCCTTCCTCTTTCGCCTCGAGACACCCTCCGTAAAGCTCATCGCCATCATCGCCACCATGACCATCGGCGTCGTCATGATGGTAGCGGGCGAGGTGGACTTCTCCCCCATCGGCTTCACCCTCGTCATCAGCGCGGCCTTCTTCTCCGGCTTCCGCTGGGCACTAACCCAGATCCTCCTCCTCCGCAACCCTGCAACTTCTAACCCCTTCGCATCCATCTTCTACCTCGCCCCTATAATGTTCGTCTCCCTCCTCGCCATCGCCATCCCCGTCGAAGGCCCCAGCAACCTCTTCGCAGGCCTCAAGATCCTCATCGACAGCAAGGGCCCCATCCTCGGCCCGACTATCCTCCTCGCCCCCGGCGCAATCGCATTCTGCATGACAGCGTCAGAATTCGCGCTCCTCCAGCGCACATCAGTAGTCACCCTCTCCATCGCGGGTATCTTCAAGGAAGTCGTCACCATCCTCGCCGCGGGACGCGTATTCTCCGATATCATGACCCCCGTCAACCTCGGCGGGCTAGCCATCACCATCGCCGCCATCGCGGGGTACAATTACGTCAAGATCATGAAGATGCGTCAGGATGCGCTGGCTTCGACGCACCTTGCTAATCTGGGTGTTGGAGGCCGCCATGAGCCGCTCTCTGCGGATGATGAGGATGATGATGGCGCGTATGGGATGGGTCAGCGCGAGGAGGGGAAGGCGCAGGAGAGTCAGGGGCTTCTTGCGCAGGGATCGGGAGCGCACTGATGCGCGTATGGCGCGTAGCTGGGTTGGGTTGGGTTGAAAAAGATGCGGTGCTGGGCGCTGCGGAAATGGGGCAAAAGGGGGGGGTGTGTTTTTGTGTTGGCATGTATGTATTGTATATTGGGAGTGAAACACTTGACTTGGGCAGATGGGGCGTGCATAGCGTGGATGTATGATGGGTTTAGATAATAGAGATGGGGCACCGGGAATGGGTGTTGACGAGCTGAACTACTCTTTTTTTCCTTTTCTATTATAAATGGATACCTTACCTACCTTACACCGTAACTATCTTACCTACTACTTACATTGATTTTGCTGATGATTTGGTGCGTGATATGTGGGGGGGGTATATGATTGGGAAGGCGCGAGTGAGTTGGTGGTACTTGATCGTTCTTTCCTCGTCTGTTAAAGTGTATGTGATTGGGGTTGTGTGGAAGGGAAGGTGCGAGTTGAGTGGCGGCCCTCGATCGTTCTTTCCTCGTCTGTCTGTCTGTCTGTCTGTCTGTCGGGATGCGCCACATAGGTCATCACTCACACCACCACCGCGAATAGGGGTCCTCGCCTCATCTAGGAGCGAGGTGACTTTAATTCATCGACGCCACTGAGATAATATAACATGTTTCTCGAGATTGTGAATTGATACAGTGGTTATCTCTATAATATCTCATATTCGCACATAACCGCTCTCTGCTATCATCTACTCTACCACACATATACCGCGCATCCACCACGTCACGTTAGCAAAACACCTGGCTGGTTAGTCCCTTGCTGCCCCTTTCTGTAGCTATTCTGCAGCTATTCTGCAGCTATTCTGCAGCTATCCGTAATCCTATATCCGCATACAAGGCTCTACCGCCATCCGCCATCCTCCACATTAGCCAAACCTACTCCGAAGCGGTGGCCGCTCTCTCTATTACAGCACATCTCTGTCCGTAGCCGCGGTTGCGGGCCATAACCCCCGGTCTAGAATCTACGGGCTCCTGTATATGCATGCGCCCACCCGCAAACAAATCCCAATAATGACTTCTATCACCTCCACTAACGCCATCGAGGAGGAGACATATGACGACTACGTAGCCGAAGAATTTTACCCCGCTCACATCGGGGAGGTAATTAAGTCGCCCAAGGCTGAGTATGAGATTATCGGGAAACTAGGGTATGGACGACATTCCACGGTTTGGTTGTGTCAAGAGAGAGGGTGTGTATAAATACCCCTCCCCCCCCCTCTTCTTCTTTCTCCCTCTCCCATCTTCATCAGAGTGTACACTAAACTGGGAAAAAGGGAAAAGACCTTCTCCACCCTCAAAATCACAATCTCCCACCCCCCCACCACCACCAACCGCGAAGCAGACATCTACACGCGCATCCAATCCCTCTCCTCTGCGCACGAGGGTAAGGGGTACGTGAGAGAGTTGCAGGAGGCTTTTGAGATTCAGGGGCCGGACGGGAGGCATTGGTGTCTTGTGCATGCGCCGCTGGGGGTGAGTTTGCAGGAGTGGCAGAGGGGGTGTGAGGGGGGGAGGTTGAGGGGGGAGGTGCTTAGGGGGGTGGTGAGGTGTTTGTTGGTGGCGTTGGAGTTTTTGCATGAGGAGGCGGGGGTTGTACATACTGGTAAGTTAGTTCTATTCTCCCTTTTCCTTTTCTTTTTCTACCTCGCTCAATTACTTGGTTTCTCAGATTGGTTAACAATTTGCTAACTTTTGTTTTAGACATCCAAGCCGCCAACATCCTTCTAACTCTCCCCACCACCACCCCCATCCACACCTTCCTCGCCGCAGAACAATCACACCCCAGCCCGCACAAAAAAGTAAACCCGCACCGCACAATCTACCGCTCGCGGCGTCTATCAGTCGCCCTCAATCCGCCACCAGGCGTGCCGACGCTAACAGATTTCGGGAACGCGGTGCGCGATGCGCATAGGCCTCATGCGGGGCTGATACAGCCGTTGATGTGTAGGGCGCCTGAGGTTATCTTGAGGATGCCGTGGGATGAGAGGGCGGATGTTTGGAATTTGGGCGTGCTTGTAAGTCGATCTCTACTGCTAAGCCGTTGTGGCGTGGAAAGGGGTCGGGGAGGGGAGGATATGGGGAGGCTGTGGAGGGAAAGAGATAGGCTAATTGTGAGGATAGATGTGGCAGCTTAGGTTTAACGAACATCTTTTTGATGGGGTGACGGAGGGGGAGCAGTTGAGATATATGATTGCGTCTCTTGGACCGCCGCCGAAGGAATTCGTGTTAAAGGGAAGGTTGGGGGTTAGGGAGGTGTATTTTGATGATGATGGTGAGTTTTCCATCGCTTGGCATGGGGGTGCTGGAGGGGAGGGGTGTGTTGATGATGATGGCGATGGTGATGCTGACTTCGCGTAGGTGTATGGAAAGGGGCGCCTGTCAAGCCGTCCCCTATTGGAGGGTCGTTGGAGGGGGAAGAAGAGGAGTTCCTGGACTTGCTGAAGGAGATGGTGAGGTGGGTTCCGGAGGAAAGGAAGAGTGCGAGGGAGTTGTTGGAGCATCCGTGGTTGGCTTCTGGCACTGATGGCGGGGATGAGGAGGTGGGGAAGCAGTGATTGACTTGCGTGCACGTCACGGCAGGCACATGAGACGAGTGCGAATTCGATCGAGTAAGTTGGGCAACTTGTTTTCCGCGGCATCGACAACAAGAAGTGGGTTTATTGCCAGCCAGCCATTATCCAAAGAAGATCTATCTACCCCAGAAAGGCTCCTCCGCCACTGCCTCTTACCCCTTCCTCTCGCCCGGTCTATTGTTGAAGAATGCAGCAGATGGGCTTTGATGATGGAAGGGTACGTTGGGGAAAGGGGGGAATTCGGTAGCCCAATTTGGGCGTGGATATGTCCTCTCGGGATAGTGGCTAACTGTCAAGAAGCCGCTTAGTTGATTCGGGGGTGGTGGAGAGGAGGTTGTCAACTTTCTCCATGGAGCATGCGTTCCTCTTTTGTGCCTGCCTGATTGTGGGATGGGTGCTAAGAGGGTGAGACGGTGGGGGGGGGGTGCTGAGGCGTTCTTGGTTGAGGGATGAGAAGGCCCCGTGACGGAGCCCCGGGGCGGGAGGGGTGGGGTTAGTGATGGTGGGCGTTTCGGGGGAGATGGGGGGTTGATATGGGCGTCGAGCATGTGGTGGCAGCTGCATAGTAGTAGCTAGATGTGTAATTGTTAGTCGTTTTCATGATAGACGCTAATAGCTGCGACGAATTGCGATTCCGAGTCTTTCGGTTTTTGAAATACTCGGCTTTGATGGTGGAGGACTCGGTCATGTCAAATAAAAGTATTATTAATTTGTGTGTTGTTAGATTGACGTATTTAGAAAAATGGCGAAGGTAAGTTCAGCGCTTCCTCGAACCACTGATCATTTTCCAAGTCCATCGACTGCATCCACATCATCTGATCAATATCCGGGATGCTGCTGCTCTGACTGGTTTCGCCAGGATCTGCACCCTGGTTTACCCCAGCCTCCACATCTTGCATCTGAGAAGCCCTGCTCAACCGGGCCTCAGCCCACACACGACACTTGCTCAAAAGCTTAGATAATAGTTTGAATAGGCTGTCATCGCACTGGAGACTCGACTCTATGCCAACCCGGTCGAGTTTCTGTATCATAAGATCTATTGCCGCCACCAGATCGACTGTGTTCCGCACGTCTTGCCGATTCCACGCCGGGTCTTCGAGCACCGACAGGTACTTCAGAATCGTGACGCACAGAATCATCTGAGACCAGAAGTGAAATGGGAGGCCGACGAGGTCTGATGGGGAGAACTTGTGGAAATTGTCTAGCCACGACTTGATGCTTTCGACGGATCCCCATAGACACTTGAGGCGTTCGAATCCGGGTAAATGGCCACCGTCACTCCTGGGGCCTGACAGATTGAGAGGTGGTGAGTCGCAGCTTATTGAATATGCTAGCTGATTGATGTATAGTTCTACGTAATGTGCGTGTGTAATAAATGCGCCTATATGCTGGGCATCGCCCATTCCTAGACGTCAGAAATCATGTACCGATATGGTCCACTCCGCATTTATGTGAGTAATCACGCACCTCTTTGAACGATATCTGGAGGAAATGATGATATTAATCCATGTAATTGTTCCCTTAGTGTCTTGAGATATAATAAGCCTGGCATCGAGGTAGTCGCAGAAGCTGTTGATGTACGAGAACGATCTATCTCATTCTGTTCTCGGATATGAGCTGCTTTTTGCTTGAGCAACTGCAGGCGCACCTGGAATGCAAAAGCCTTGTCCGGTAGACATGCCGTGTTCGTTTCAATGATACGGAGCGCCTCTTCCATTTGGGGCGTCCATCGTAGAGCATCTATGCGCCCGAGGTGAGATGAAATACTAGTATAAAGATATACATGTTAGAAAGGTTACTCTTATAAGTCTGGATTGCTGTTGAACCACATGGGATAAGGCGGCAGAGCGTACTTGGAACTTAACACAAAACATGCTAGGACTGCTCGTTGCCTTTCCATGAAGTCTGCAACTGTTTCATCGCTAGGATTTTGATCACCTCCGTAATCCTGCCCCTGGGTTATTGTCATCATTAGTATCGTATCTAGCCGAAGCGGCTTGAACAACCGCATATCGTATACCAGTGAAATGGCCAGCATCATAAGGCGAGATACGAGGTCTGCTCTGCCCAGAAAGGCATCAGTACTCCATGCTAGGTACGTTAATAATCCAAGCAGCAGGTCGATATTTGATTGGACCTCGAGAAGAGCAGATGTGAACAGGATGCGCTTCAAGCCCTCACTCCGGGCTAACCTTTTCTGAGTCGAGAAGGTGGTAACGGTGAGGATGGCCTGAAATAAGAACGGCCGGTTTTGGTGTAGTTGCCAAGCTGTTATGTCTGGGATTAGGTTGATAAAGGGGAAGTACGGCAGCATCTGCGAGCGGAAGAACTCGAGACACTCCTCTGCGTGGCGTAACGATGGCTCAGGCGGAGATGGGGAGTATGGAAACGGAGAGGATAAATCTATACGAGCCTGTACCATGGGAGACGGGTCCGTTGCGGGCTTTGGTACTCGACTGATGCTTGGGTTAGTGCTAATGGATGTTGCTGGGGTGTCGTTGATGCGGGATGTGGACAATGGGATCCTCTCCTCGTCAAGGAGCCGAAGAATTTCAGCTGAAGATCCAGAGGAGCCAGCCATCGATTGCATCGCAGATAGCATGATTTCTATCCTGCCCTCCAGCTGGGCGATTCGCGTATCAGACTCTTCGGATCTATGAGCATTTCGCCGGCGAGCCGAGTCGGATGGCAGGCACTCCTTTCTGAGGCGATGACATCTGCGATTCTATTAGCCATGTGCGCTGCATCAATAGGCTTGTGTTAACATGAAGCATATCAACCTTTCGCAGCTATCGGCCCTTGGACTAGGCACGCACCGGCACTTTGCTTTGTAACAGTGCATGCAAGCTTGTCCATAAGTGCTGGAGTAACCAGCGGCTGGTCTAACTCTCTCCATGGCACCAACTGGCGGAATGATGAGAATAAGTCATGCTAGAAATTCCGAAATCCTAAGGAATCATAGATAGATGTGGGCAGGGATGTAAGTATAGGAAATGAAACTCCCTCGGGATTACCTCCGACGGAATTACCTCCAACGGGTTTACCTCCGTTCCAATCGGTGCCTAATGTGGTTAGAGAGAAGCACTCTCGGCTCGGATGAACCTCATGCCGACTACGAACCTCGATCGACAAGTGAACGGGAATAGATCCGATTCTTGCTATTACAACACCCACTGCTTTGCTATTCCTATCTTGAAGCCTTTGCTATGGCCTAGACGTACTAATTTATTTAGCCCACTACTAGATTGCCGGTTTGAAGACGTACTTAGTAGACACTCATCCTACCTCTAGTCTCCCATTTTGCTCAGGAGACCTCATAATCGAAGACACCCATTGCGGTTCCTAATATGGTTCCATTCCAGCTTAGGAAAAAGGGGACGGTGGTGCCTTTGTCTACAAAGTATGACGCCGTCGGTCCTTAAGTGAAATGTCCATAGCCCAATGTCCATAGGCCCGCATTGTCGCACATACTTGGGCACATGGACCGGAGATAATCCGCTGCCTCCCTCCGAGTAATGCCGCCGGATCTGGTTTCCTGAAGTCCGCTTGCTCACTAATAGGTCTTATTAACCTTTCCAGCCTTGGACGTATATATAAACAGAGTACTGCCTATATCTTTCGCTCTAATACCAATTCAGCTCATACATTAGACTTCTCATATAATCGAATAATCATACTGTCAAGTCTTCATACCATCAAGTCTTTATACTATCAACCTTCTCTTCTACCTCTAAGAGCCAATATGCCAGAGAAGACAGTCGTGGTCACTGGTTGCAGCAATGGCGGACTTGGGGCGGCAATGGCAAAGGCTTATCAGGCCAGAGGATTCAGGGTCTTCGCGACCCTACGCAACAGGGTCAAGGTCGGATCTCTAGCGGACATAGAGGGCATAGAAATTCTCGAACTCGACGTCACATCAGAAGAATCCGTTTATCAATGTGCGAAAGCCGTTGAGAAGCTTACAGGAGGATCGCTCGATATTCTGGTTAATAACGCTGGCATCTCCACCATCATGCCTCTGCTCGACACGTCGGTCGACGACGCTAAGAAGATGTACGACAGCAATGTTTGGGCAGTACTTTTAATGACGCAGGCATTCGCGCCAATGCTCATCAAATCCAGAGGAACTATCTGCAACATCAGTTCAGTTTCTTCCGAATTAGTCTTCGCCTGGCAGGGTCGGTGGCAACTTTCCCCATAAACGTCTAGTGCCCTAGGCTTACTCAGATATAGGTATATACAGCAGCTCTAAGGCTGCCATGACGCGGATTTCTGAGACATTACGCCTTGAGATGGAACCTCTCGGTGTGAAGGTCGTCACAGTCATACTTGGAGGCGTCGAAACAACTGGAAACAACCCCGATAATAGAAAGGACCTCGAGCTGCCCGCAAATTCATACTATCAGAAGATAGCCGCCATTATAAATCGCCATAATAAGGCATTGATTCACAACAAGAAACAGAATGTGGATGTGGCAGCGAATAATGTGGTCAATGACGTTCTTAGTGGCCGCACTGGCTTTGTTCGACGAGGGCAGGCCTCTTCACTCAGTTGGCTCTTCAACACGTTTCTGTCCTACGCACTCACCACATATCTAGCAAACGGAGAGTCGGGTCTTGCTGAACTCAGTGGTAGGTAGGTGGTAGATCTAATACAGATGTCTATACTAGCTTATAATGCGCTATTAGTAGGTTGGTATGAAATGAAATAGGGGCCGTAGCTTAATCGTTAGTCACTGTATCTAAATAGATAGCATACGTTTAAATAAATTGCTTAATTTTGTCTCGTAGTATTTAGATGATTCAAAATGAGGACTCACTTCCTCTACAGAACTCACCTACGCTAATTGAACATCCACACACCTCAGCTAGACAGCCTCTCCTCCACCACCACCACGCCAAACGCCTCGTCGCCACCAGCTTCCTCACCACTGCCTTCCCCCTAACATACTTTTTTACACCCGATACCCAATTCACAGCCTTGCAATACCACCTCCTTGTCACCGCCCTGCGCTTCCTCGACCTAGACCCCAAAGCCGCAGACTACTTAACCCCCAATCCCCTCTCAACCTCCTACACCCTCAGCCTGTGCCCACGCGAGCGCCTCTCCTCTACCGGGCCAGAACTAACTACATAGATCTTTGGCTACAACCTGCGGTCACCGCTGGTAAATTTATCGGGAATTGATAAGAACGCTTTCGTCCCTGACGATCTCCTCCCTCGGCGCCACTTGCACAGAAGTTAGCGGGATCATCCCACGCAAACGAGGTAGAACCCACAGCCACGCTTCATCCGTATCCACGCCTTAATCAACTGTTTCGGGCTCAACTCCCTCGGCTCAATTCCCTCGTCGCTGGCGCTGTTGTTGCGCGGTTGCGTAAGCGTGTCCAGCAGTATTCTCTCTCAATTACCAGCAAAAATAATCATCGGCTGAAAGCAACTTGTCCCCATCTTCTTAGCTCAGGGGTAAACTTTCGAAGTAAGTATGCGCACCTGCTATGAATAAAAACGCTGCTTCGCTGTGTGATGGCTGGCTTAATACATAGAGAACATCTAGATCTGCATACCTTTCCGTACCAGTATGACGACCGTTCGACTCGTCGTGGGCTTGGAGTCACAAATGGGCCAAGTTGTTCCGACCATTCCGCCGATGCCCGCCCGTTTACCCCGCACACCCCGCCATCTTATAGTAGGTTTTGAGCCTTTTAGTAATAAAAACATAGATCTGGGGTAGGGTAGTTATAGTCTGTGCAATCATTATCCCGTGCAACTTTCTACTAAATTCTCGCAAGACAATCTTTGTCCTCTCTGCGTATGGTCGCGTTGAAACGTTGAGTGTAAGCCTTCGCTTCAAAGGCTCGAAATGTCGGTAATAAATGTAAGGTAGGCATTTATCTTAGGTTAGTGACAGCTATGGTTTTAGATTTAGAGGCCTAACGAAGGTAACTGCTGAAGTGGCTTTAATTCAGTAAACGTACGCCCAAATCATTAGTCCACGTCCCCACCCCCCACCTCCCTTAACGCAAAGTCGCGTCAACCATCTTGCTTAGGCTCTCATCAACAGTAACCTGGCTCCGAATCGCACTCCAATCATGCGTCAACAAGCCCCACGTCTCATCGGCATCCTGCACAGTAGTTGCCCGCGTCTGCACGTAAAAGCTGCCCGCCAACTCCCACTGCATCCAACCGGACGGTTTCCACTTTTCCATGAATGCAATCAGACACTTGTTGTACGTGGTGTCACGCCAGTATGTTCCATTCTGGATGAAGCCCCATTCGGTAAGCAGCACGGGGAAACTGTACTTTGTAGCCGGGTCGGTGGTGTTCAAGGAGCTGTAGCCAGCGTTATATAGAGAGTTTCCAAAATCTTCACATGAAGCGTGGGTGTTTTCAAAGTCGTATTTATGTAGTTCCAATACGATGCGATTGGCGTAGGGGAGGGTGGAGGGCTGGAAAACAACGCTCTTGCCCGCACTGGAAGTCCCGGATGTTCCAGTCAGGGGCAATCCCTTGATTATGGGACTGATTTTGGTGTCGTAGTCTAGGCCAGAGAATACCAGAAGGACGTTTGGAGCGGCGGAATGGACGGCAGCTGCTGCTTCAGTCATGTGCGTGTACCAGGTGTACCAGTCGTATGGGTCGCCGCGGTCAACATCTGGCTTGCGTAGCTCATTGCGAAAGCTGATTGATGATAATGATGGCCAGTGCTTTGCTCCCTAATAGATTTTGTTAGACACTTTCTTGAGTTATGCTGTATAACAGTACGTTTAAAAAAAGGGTTTTTCGAAAGGTCAGGTTAACTTACATGTCTTGCTATGTATTTCCATCCACGAATCCATTTTGATACATCAAAATGTGTGTCACCAAACCAAGCATTTCCATCAGAACCGCCACAGCACCAAATCGCCTTGGACACATGGTTGTCAAGGTGGACATAAATCCCCTGGCTGGCTAATTCGTTTGCAACTGCATCAAAGACATCAAGTCGTTTTGTCTTTGGAGAGAACTGGGGATTTTTCTTCAGAATCTGGTTCAGGATAATGGTCCCGTTTGCGGTTCCCAGAGCATTATTGAGTGTGTCTTTTAGCGTGACATCTCCTCCGTTATCAAAAATGTCGTCTACCATTTCCGTAGCGTATGTTAGGCGAACGACATTGAGTTCCAAACCTCGGATCTTGCTAACGATGTCTTTAATGGATGAATATTGAAGACCTTCTGGAATCATGGCCTCTTGGTGTCCTGGCCAGTTTGTTCCAACTAGCCGGACTATGTCGCCATGCGCAGACCGGATATGTGGACTGCCATCTGTATGGAAAGGGAGCTTGAATGGAAGCTTGGGACCTCTTGGAGTGGCGCTCACTGCAATAACGAAGAGGAGGAAAGAAAAGAGAACTTTCAGATCATTCGTCATGTTGTGCATTTTTCACGAGAATAATTGATATGTTACATAGTAAAATAGAACAGAATAACTTAGACGTTGGTTTCCTACTTAATATATATGTCAATCTCAAAACATGACGGAAGATCTCTATCCATAACTACCCCTCATACTATGAGTGAGTATACTATGAGTATGAGGGGTAGTTCTGGATAGAGATCTCATACTTAATCGTTGCTTAATCTTGATTGGTGCGCAACTGGCTCTAATTAAATTAGAACATTTATACAATTGACTTCGCCCGATTTAACACCGACGTTTTATGTTCAATGGCCCTCTGCAGCGGGCATCGGGCATTTGGCGTGCGGTCTCGGATGAATTCGACCTAGAGTTCTTTTGGGAATTCGGGAGAAGGCCGGGATTCCTGGCTTGGCGAGAATCCCCAACTAATCAATCACATGGTGAGTAGTAGCCACTGTACTCCAACAGAAGGATTTCCAACAAGTCCTACACAGAGCCCAACTTATCTAAATCATATGAGTGGGAATATAGAGCTAGGCAAATATTTGGTCTTCATAGTCTCCATCTAGTCCTACCGCGCCTGCACCGAGAACATAACAACATACTTGGCCAAGCTAATATCTTCGGCGGATGTTGATATGTTTCTGCGCTACCCTCGAGATTGTCTCCGTCCTAATCTCCCTATGAGCAAGAAGTATTTCCAAGATCAAGCAAAGCTTTGGCTTGCAGGATAAGTTCAACTACGTTTGTCTTCTTCTATTGTGCGCCATCAAACGGCTAGTTATTTGGTGTATGGTAAAAAGAGGCACTCCTACCTGCTGCATGGTATACTCTCATCGTTATCATTTCTGTTGGTGTCTTCTTCTCATCATCGCGTAATACTTCTATCTTGCGTTGGATCCTATCACCACGCAAAACTACTGCCATTGTGTTGTCACTTTTACGCGCCAACATCCCCTGCAGGACCCTTGCGCCTGGGTAATTACACTACATGACGAGACTGAGGAACCTCATATTCCATTCCCAACCCTTATCTCCGCGGGCTCAACTTGCGACGAAAAATGGCTATCTCGCATTCTAGTCCGCCAAACGAGGCACAGCTGCCCCCATATCCATCCTTTGAGGCGCTCAGGGCCAAAAAGGAGCCTCCGCGAATTACTCTCGACACCACCCAGCGCCTCTTCTGGCCTCTAGATGGTCCGCTTTCTACCTCCATTTCGATAATGAAAGATGCTTCGAGTCCCGACTCTCTCGAACCGTATTTCAAACAAACATCTGACGGCGCCGGCATCTGGCACCCAGTCTCGCAGATGCCGCTTACTGAGCCCAAGGTCTCGTCCATTACAGTATCAGTCGACAATCTTAACGTCTAGGAGGATTATTGGCTTGAAGATCATGAAGAGCACTCTTCACCAGGCGGCAGCGGCGAGCCAAGCGCCCGGTATGGAGAGCTCCCCGATCTCGGCCCAGAGGACGAGTGGGAGGAGGGTTCTGACGATCATCTATTGATCTGCTGTGACGAAGTACGACCGCGTGGAAAGGCGGTGAAGTTGGTGGTGAAGCCTGCAGCTGGGGAGAACGGGTTTATCACTGTTCACGACTACGTATCAGCAGTGCACCCGTGGCTAGCCAGCATTCAGGAAGACATCTTGAACTCTATGGGTATGTTTCAGCGGCCTGTGCCGTTGGCAGCGGAACCCATGGTGAATTATAATGCGCTAGACCGCTTGATGATGGAAAATAAACCGGATTGGATTCAGGAGAAGAGGATGAGGTGGGCATATTTGCCGCATAATAAGGACCTTGAATGAATCGGCGCGTGAACAGAAGTTAGAGCGAGAAAGGAGAGATGCCACAATTATAAGATTTTGCCCTTTTTATGTCTAGTCACCATCATAAGGCCATATATCGAGTATAGTGATAGTTTCTTCTTCTAGCTCATATAGCACCTTAACCTAGCTTAAAGGCGTAAACTACAGCTAGGCACACTCATAGATGAAGATTAGGATCCGACCTGAACTCAAGGCACTCGTTTGATACTATACCACCTTGCTCTACTCGATGGGCTACGTGACTACTTATGAGATTTCTGGGGGGGTGGCCGAAAGCCTGAGTTTCTGACCACTGTCTCTTCAGCTAGTCACCAGACCTAGAGAAGCCAATGGGATACCCTGGAGAAACGCCCAAAAATAGGACTATTCCTTAGCAATTCCCAAGTTATCCCCGGAATCTCCAACAAATGGGATAGGCCTGGGAGACGCCCATATGCAGGGCTATTTCTTGGCAAAACCCGGATCATCCCCGGAATCTCCAACACATGGACCGGAGATAATCCGCTGCCTCTCTCCGACCAATGCCACCGGATCTGGTTTCCTTGAGTACGATTAATTAAATGTAGACGTGGGATCAAATGGGGGCGGGCGATCTAATCCGCTTTAGTTATAGCGCATGGACTACTAAAATAAAGTTTGTGTAGTATGGAAGAGGTAGGTACCATACACGCCATACAAAATTAGCTGTAGTCTGCCGTACCTCTTAAGAGTTCCCTGCATTTAGCGCTTTATTAGTGTACATTGCCAAAGTGGTGACACACACCATTCCCCGTAAAGCTCTATATAACGCCAGATAATACGGGATTCTCAATAGTATCTACAGCAATTCTATCTACAGCAATTCCGATTATATGCGCCAGTTATAAATTCAAAATGAGTGGTTTGTAAAAGCGAGTTGTTGCGGATGCCAGGTTTCTGATCAAGGCGTTTGAGGAGAAGCCTAGCGACTACAAACTCGCATGGGAGAAATTACAAGCAGAGGTCGAACAGAATATAAGACTGCAAGCGACAAAGAAGGCTGCAACCGTAAGAATATATACTGTTTTAATAACTATGGTCTAATATCAACAGATTGCGCCAAGCTCGCTCCTCCTCCTCCACGAGGCCATGGAGATTTTTGGGTTCACAGACGGGAATGAACTCATCCTCACTGGGGAGGCAAACCCAGTCCCCCAATACCTCATCGATTCTATCGCTCGAATAAAGCATGTGACGGGCGGTGACAGCCTCTATAACGAGGCATACACGAGAACAATTCTTGATGAAATCATCATCGGCTGCGTGTATGAGGAAAATATAGCTTCCCAGAGAGGCCGAAGCGAATCTCCACCAGGCGAGCCCCCAGCAGTGTGCCACTCGCACCCACCAAAACCACAGCTAATTATCGAAGAACCGGCCCAGCTTGAGTTGTCCCATGAGACCCCCTTCTATAGTCAGCGTATGCATAATGCGAACAGTTGTAGAAACTTACTGTGCGAAGGTCGGTAGGCTTGATTATAGGGAAGTGCCATGTTTTTCCCAACTTCACCTCACCTTTCGGAGAAATCAATACATTTCGTGCCGATATACAGGGATAGTCGAGTTTCCTTAACCAGATGAACCGTATACCCGCCAGAACCTGTTGAATTAACTTAGGATTAAGGATGTAGGGCTCAACTCGCTTGACTGATGATATATGCTATCTCACGTTCCAAGGGGCAGATGCCGCGTTGTAGAAGGGTTTCAAGAGAAAATCCAGCATATTCGGTAATAGCAAATATTTGATGATTAAATAGATATGCTTCACAAATAGCAACAAAATTCTGATGCCTGGTAGGGAGGAGAGGGAAGCGGACTACTTTTGCAGAGACTAATCTAGCGGAGTTCGCAGGGGAACTACAAATCGTCGCAGGGGAATTACAAACTGTGTCTTCTGCATGTGTATCCTCTCCAAAGAGATGAATTACTCGCACAGTAGACCTGTCATTACAGAGAACTAGAAAGCTCCCAGTGCGGAGTTCGATAAATTTCTCGTAAAAGTCCCATGGATTGCAGGCAAATGATGGAATAGCCCTTTCTCCTACAGACCATAATTCTCTGTCGGCTCTTAACGATGGATGAGGCTGTTCTGGAAACAAAGCTCGACGCTGCCCAACAGGAGATGGCATGGTCTCTGAAGTATCAGCAGACTGTGTCTCTTGTTCGTCTCCCATACTAAATAGCGAAGAGAAATTGGGAGGAACGATGAAATGCAAATTGCTGATTAGGATTAGAGGATAGAAGCAGGTTCATGAGACGATGTAGCTTGTAGACGCCCCTAGTTATCAGTTAGGGGAAAGGAGAAGGTAGCGATCGAGAATGGTTTTTGAAAGGGGGGACGCAATTATGTATATATTGTGAGAGGACCAAAAATCTTAGGTATAGAAGACTATAGAAGGTAACAGAACATGGTGACTCATACTGTAACGTATCCTAGGTTCGCACATTGGGATGCTTCTGCTGGGGTTGCCAAATCCTCATGCCTACCGACTTATCAGTAGTGCAACTTCAAGATGACATAGCGGGTCAGTACATACCGGCGGTACGTACTCTCGAGTGCCATTAAAATGTATGGGCCCTCGCAGTGTGGTGGAGCGATTGACAGGGGTTAACCAACCATGTTTATTCCACCATCCCAAACCTGAGGGGCACCACCAATTGTGTCTCTTGATGGCCTTACCCGATGCTCTCGACCGACGGTATTGAGCGTCCCTCACCACCAGATGGTCTCGATGAAAGACGCTTTCATATTTTAGGATCCTTTTGGAACCTCTGCACGAAGCAAGTTGTGGGCAGGCAGGAGCTGCTGCGGCATGAAAGGAGTCAGGATGGAATAACTATAAGGTAATTACGAGACCCATTATGAAGCTATCAAGATTCAAACAGTGGGCTGGCTACATAATCTTGAGGGCACATTCTATCTGCAACTGCAGCTCTAGACCTTCTGTGTTCGATTCTGGTTTTCCAACATTTTGTATTTCTACCATTTGCATACTCTAGCTAACGTCCGACCGTAGACCACCGGTGCATGCCTGCCATACATTCGCCAGTCCTTCCATGTAACCGAGTCGCCAGCTTCCAAGGGCGCGGTGCTCTAAGCTGTGGCCTGAAGAATCTCGAATCGCTGCCACTTCACACTTCACCTAGGTAAATCTTTAGCTGGCCGTAGTGAGCGAAGTGCAAGCTTTCGTTCGAGAGCACCTTGATCCCTTCCAGCCATGCATGCCCTAGTTGAAAGGGTCCGGCTTGTTGTTGAAGTTAATCGCCGTGATTTCATCGTGGTAGACGATGAGCGTCTTCGCGTCGCCAGCTGTAGAATTGGCCGAATGGCGATACACGCCATACTGGATCGAGCCGTTGCCTGTCCACGGCGTGCCATCGGGACTCGCGGTCACATAAGTTTGAAGATTCTTCTTAGTGACGGTATGCCCAAACCTGCATTCTCCGGGCAATTTCATGTCGAAAGTGAACTGGCCTGTTTTGTCGCTCTTCCACAGTACGTCGAAGCGAAAATCCATCCATTGGTTTACATACGGCATGACATCGTTGATGACCACTTGCTTATAGACATTCCCGCCCCAGCCCAGCGCGAGATTCTTACCTATAAGCGCGAGATGAAGATCGTGTCCGCCGCCGTGATGTTTGAACTGCCAAACCACGTCCTCTGCAGGCGCATCGCGTGTTCCCTTCACGGAAGGCACGAGATCCTTGAACAGCATGCTGAAGCTGTATTTGCCGTGGTCGCCGTCCTTATAGATGGCCCCTGGGAAGCCACCGATTCCGAATTCACTACGAGGGAAACCGTTGCCGACATACGTCAGGTCATCTAAAACCACCTTGTTCGCGATGGCAAAAGCAGTGTCGTGGGCGCCACCGGCCACTACGTAGAAAGCGTCCTTAGCCGTGGCGGAGCCTGGTTCGATGCCAGGAACGTCGACTCGGTAGGAGCCTGTCGTCGGGTATCCGGAGCTCACGCTGCCGTCTTCGTAGTTGGCGTTAAAAACCGCTCGTGCGGAGACGGACGCTACGAGCGTCGAGAATGTTATCGCAGGGATGATCTGAGTCGGTTTCATTGTGGCTGTTGGGTTGTTGTCAATCACCTCCGTGCTTGTGAGTGGATTGCCTTAAAGTGTCCGTTGGGTAATGTTCACTTCGAAGCAAGTTGATCGTTCCGTGAGGTAGTTGAAGGCTTGATCTCTATAAAATAAATAGCGACGAATACGTCGCTTTATATAGATTGTACATGCCTCGTGAGAATCCAGTCTTATAGATATTCTATCATTCCACAGGTAAATTACCTTGCGGAGAAGGAGATCCACTTATCCCGCATAAACAACGCTACAGTGAACTAAAACTAACACTAGGTCAGATACCTTTAGAGATCAACGCTACGTAATTACAGTACCTCAGCTCGACCCGCCGCGTCGGGCGTACTTCCCCCGGCGTCAGGTGAATTTCCCTAGGAAATGTGGAATACGCTATAAGGGAAATCCGGGGGAATCCCCTGACAAGGCCCCGGGGAAGGCTTTCCTGGGGAAGCCCCGCCATAATCCATTCAATTGAGGGGTTATCGATGAGAAGTCTGTGGTCACTGATTCACTGATTCATTCTAGTTCGTATGAGGGGTTATTAACGAGGAGTTCCTGATGTTTGTTTGTCATAAGGAACCGCCCGACAGCTTTGGTTGTCATTGTCTTTTTAATGCCGAAACTTGGGCCGAAGAAGGTCTTCAGGTTACTTGGCTCTATAATCTCCAGGGCCGCCCAGACAGGGTTGCGGTTCGTGAGGGGAAATATGTGGCACGGGCCCACGTCAAACGAATCGTCCCACGAATTGTAATTGTAAGATCTTATTTTCAAATATGTCATCGCGCGCAAAATAGCGGTATCTACTTCGTTGATTCGTGTCGATTACCTAGGAACAGTTGCACCCGGAGCATGTGAGCACGCTGCTCTCTATGGTAACCGAAATGCGTTAAGAAATAGACGCCTAAATCCTAGAAGGCGTCATATGCAGAGACAAACCAGCACGACCATTGTCGCTATCATATTTACAACCTTTTATTTGTGTGTAAGAAAATGTAACTAGTTTCTTTTAAGCCTCTATTAGTTTTGCTTCTAAGTTACAGACGTTTTCTATTATAGGTTTATTAATGCCTGTGGCTAAAACAACAGCTATTAACTTTATAGATCTACTCTTTAACACAGTTCTCTAGCTCTACCTAGCCGTTATCAACCTTGGTAATATCTTCATCCTTAGCTCTATGGATTCTACTAGAGCCGTTCCTTTAGTGGCTGCCTAAGTGATTTGTTTTTCTAGACTTACTATCCTAACTAGTAGGCTAGATAGGGGTAGAGTTAATAGAATTATAAAGCGTAGTCTAAAGGGTCTTATAGAGTCTAGGGAACTAGGTTAGGAGGCAGGAAGGTATCGTATACTATAAGAACAATAGGCTACGTAGATATAGCGACTATTAACTAGAGAGCCTCGTCTTTAGGCTCCCAGTCCTATTTCTACTCCGTGGCCCTTAGTAAGGGCCGCTGCTCTATAGTAGGGCTTCCCCTGAGTCAAGGTCGTCGCCCACGTGAGGCCACGTGACGTGCCGCCTTACAGCTTAATACTCGGCTTTAGGATGTGCCAGGTGTAAAGCGTAAGCCTAAGGGTCTCACAGGAGTCCAGGGAACTAGGTCAGGAGGCAGGAAGGTATCGTATACTATAAGAACAATAGGCTACGTATATACAGCGACTATTGACTAGAGAGCCTCGTCTTCAGGCTCCCAGTCCTATTTCTACTCCGTGGCCCTCAGTAAGGGCCGCCGCTCCACAGTAGGTGTTGTAATAGTCACATGATCTCACGTGATCTCCGTACTGAATATCGGTAAATCCTAGGAGTAGATTACATAGTCAGCAATACATACAATTTATTACTTAATAGTTATAAGCCTAGAGTAAATCCAACACGCAATTTAAAGGTATTCGAACATCGTACAGACCTATAAACCCCTCCTAAGAGCCTATCTATCTAAGATGGCAGCCCTATAGAAGGTAGGGGTAGTCCTTACTAACCTAAGAGACTAGGATAAGTGGCTAGAGACGATTAAAACAGCCTTAATGAAAACAGGAGTATAGGAGTATATTAATCCTTCTTTAAAAGACCCCCTACACTTCTACAACCTATTTGGCTAATTCTAGACTTTATATAGACTATAACTTAAGGAGGAAGTAGTATAGTTGTTATAGTAGGTTTCTATAACCCTTATACTAACACATTAATTAATAGAGTAATCTAAGTTATAGTGTTTTAGACGTAGATTATAGGGATATAGGTTTGCTTAGAAAAACGCTCCTAGGAGAAGTCTCCTAGAAGAGTTCTTTTAGAAGTAATAGGCTCTTAGAAGAGTTCTCCTAGAAGAGTTAGTCTCCTAGAAGAACTCTCCTAGAAGAGAAATCATATGATTAGATATATTAGATATATTAGATATATAGGTATAGTATTATATCTATTACTATCCTTATATTACTTTAGTATAATGCTACTATATAAGTAAATAGGGTTAGTTCTTAGATAGGAGCTTTGTACTTAACTTAATATAGTATTTATTACATACTATAACGTGTTTTATAAAAGCCTTTATATATAATCCCCTACCTCCTCTATTAAGTAAACTAATGTAATAAAACCTTTATAAGTCTTATAGTTAAGACCTAGTGTTACACTTTAAGCACTACTTCTATAAGGTACTAGCTTATATATAAAGTAATATGTCTTCTATTAGAAAGAGTAAGTCCCTAGAGCTAACTGCCCCCCTAGCTCTAGTAGCTATAGTAATAGCTACTATTATAAATAAGTAAGTTGTTAAGGTTTAGATGCCTAAGCCCTATATGTTACAGCTAGCGTTTATAGCTGCACTTTTGCTAACATGCTAGTTATGTTAGTAATGAACATGTTAGCAATTTAACTACTCTTAAGGTAGGGTTAACATTAGGTAATAGAGTTTTCTTAGGCACCTACTTCTATAGGTACTAGAGAATTCCTAGGCACCTAGAAATGGCTAGGTACTAGATAGAGTAGGCACCTAACCCTTTCTAGGTACCTAACTATTACTAGGTACTAGATAGAGTAGGTACTAGACTATTTAGGGGCACCTCCTTATAAGATCCCTATATAATAGAACTATAAGAACTATAAGGACATAGGGTACTATATTATAAGGAGTTACATATAGGAGTGTAAGTTAGATATAAGTTAGTATAATCCTATAGGTCTACTATAAAGGATATAAAAAAGATAAAGGGGGAACCCTCTATTCCTATTTCCTTCTATACCTAAAACCCCTCTAACTTAACTAACCCCCTATTTACCTAAGGCTTCCTTATACTATGTGCCTAAGGCTTATAGTTGCAATTAAACTATAACTACCCTAAGTCTATAAGGATGCCTCCTAACTTAGGTTAGTTATAGCTGTTATGTAGCGCTATTAAGACTTAGGGCCATTATAGGGCAGTTGTAACTAACAGCCTTAGGCACATAGTAAAAGGAAGCCTTAGGTAAATAGGGAGTTAGCTAAGTTAGAGCAGTTTTAGGTATTTAGGGGCATAGCTATAGAGGGTTGCATCTTTATCTTTTTTATATCCTTTATAATAGACCTATAGGATTGTACTAACTTATATCTAACTTATACTCCTATATATAACTCCTTATAATATAGTGCCCTATGTCCTTACATTATATAAAAAAGATTATACTTACTAGGGATAGCTATATGTAAATAATATCCTATAACTAGAACGACTTAGGAGAACTGTTAAAATACTACTAACTATAACTTAGTGACATTTTAAAGTAGAGACCTAACAACTTTACATAGCTATAACCTTAGAGAACTTATAGATAACTAGTAGATTAGGGTTTGTGTTACAGCTAAAACATACAACCTATATGCTGCAAGATAGAGTAATAAAGTAAAATAGCTTACAGCTAATTAGTAGTAGGAAATGGACGTAGAGATTATAGGTAGCTTAGTTAATGAGGGCACCTTTAGGAAAAGGTACCTTTCTTAGAAGGTACCTAGCTAAAGAGAGGTACCTATTAGGAAAGGCACCTATGTAGAGCAAGGTGCCTCCTTAGAAAGGCACCTATGGGAATCAGTACCTATAATAAGTATAGCACCCTTATAGGACATACACGTAATTAGATTAGTAGGAATAGTAAGAATAGTTAGAGAGTCTACTATTCTAACTATTCCCTTTAGCATAACGCTACTATATAAGTAGATAGATAGTTCTTAGATAGGAGCTTCGTGCTTAACTTAATATAGTATTTGTTATATACTATAACGTGTTTTATAAAAGCCTTTGTGTCTAATCCCCTACCTCCTCTATTAAGTAAACTAACGTAATGAAACCTCTATAAGTCTTATAGTTTAAGACCTAGCGTTACACTTTAAGTACTACTTCTATAAGGTACTAGCTTATACATAAAGCAATATAGTAGGAAACGATTCCACTTCTAATGTTAGGATGAAGGGAAAAGCAGCTATAGAGCCTATTCCTTTACCTACTACTACGCCTACGCCTAGGGGGCCTCACCCCTTAGACAAACTTAAGATTGCATTCCTAGATACATTTAATAGAGATCGTAAGAAGCTTAAGAGTTTCCTTATCTAGATAGAGTTGTAGATAGCCTTTAACGCTAAACACTTTACCTTTAAAGTATAGTAAGTCTTATAGGCTATAGCCCTCTTAAGGGGTACTGCCTTAGACTAGATTGCTAACTACCTAACCGACTATATAAGCTACTATGCTGCTAACAGAAGGGTTACTATAATAGCAAACTAGGGTACTAAGGACATCTTTATTACTTAGGTAGGCTCTATTAAGTAACTTAAGGCAAACTTTAGAGATGTTAACGAGAGAAGGAACGTAGTGCAAGCCATTTAGGCCCTTAGATAGAAAGGGTCTATAGTTACGTATACTGCTAAGTTTTAGTAGCATGCCCCTCTTACCTATTAGGGAGACGAGGCTATATACAACTAGTATTATAAGGGATTAAAGGATCATATAAAAGACAAGATCTCTTAATCTAACAAACCTAACGACCTTAAGGAACTCATTAAGATAGTATAGAAAATCGACAATCGTTACTATGAACGCTAACTTAAAAGACAAGGAGGAGCATCTAGCTACTAATAGACTTAGAAAAGGAAGACACTAAAGAGCTATTAGCCCTAACCTATAGAGCTT